AGATTACCAGCCATTCTTACCATACCGCCACGATGCAACTCCAATACATTACATTCGATTGTGATCTCGTGAGAGAATCGCATCAAAAATGTAAGTGGAAATACTGGGGAATATGCGAGTGGCTTGTCTCCATAATGATTGCGTTCTTTTCCACAGAGTTGGTATTGCACATGTGAGTTACCTGGGTGGATCTCGCCGGCAGTGTGGCCTAATTGCTTCCATTGATCTGAAAAATCGAAAGCTCGATTCAATGCCCGGGTGCAGCTCAGCTAGTTGATCAAGGCTGACCGCGATTTCTAAATTTTTCGTCCAGGGTATGGTATCGGGTTCCCGAGGAGCTCCTTGGGGTATGAGGCTCTTCCTATTCCCAGCACCATTCGGGCTTTCCACCATATGAATTTTGCTGCCATCTGTGAAGAGTCCCTGTCCATGCTATACTCACGGAGTCTCTTGTAATTAGTATTCCATCATATCAAATCCTGAATGCAGCTGAAACCAGAATACCAAAGCGGTGTAGGGCTCAGCTTCGATAGTGGGATGGGAATTCCTCCCTGTATGGAGAGTACTCCAGAGTACCATTGTAAGCCACATAACTCGCACATTTCCAGAATTCCGCAGTGCTCAAGTGGAACTGTCACTACGCCACTGCACAACGGCGCAGTCAACACCCCTCTTAGGAGGTCGGAGCCTAAGCGCCCTAGCAGGTCATGTGTACACGTAGATCTCCAAAAAGAAAAAAGGACTTAGATATAGTCGACATCCGGCGGTTACCCCTTTTATAAACGCCTTTGAAATAAGCAGGTTAAGAAACCTCCAGGGCCATTTCGGAGCAAAGAAGAAGTTGCTTTTTCGTTGAAACCAAATATCTTGAAATCGGTTTTGACCCCACCCGCGTATTTTATTTGAATTTTTGTCAGCTCTTCTCTCCTTTAGCCTCAGGCCTCTACTGGCAGGTTTCTTCTATACATTCCATCATGGCCGGCATCTTCCGTACTATTTACGACTGGCTGCTGAGGATGTTCTGGTAAGTGGGACCTTGAAACCTGCGGCCCGTCCCCGCTTGCTAACGCTTCCCAGGGCCACCGAGATGGATGTCACCATGATCGGTCTCCAGAACGCCGGCAAGTCATCCCTGCTGCGTGTGCTAGCCGTATGTTTCTTCCTTCTTCTTTTTCTTCGTGGTATCGGGGATCCTTGCTGACCGCTGCGCATAGGGTGGGGAGTTCACCATTGAGTATGTGATGACCTCATCGATATCATCGCCCTGTTCTGACCATTCGCAGTTCCATCCCGACCATCGGGTTCAACACCAAAAGGGTACAGAAAGGCCATGTGACTCTGAAATGGTTTGTTGTTTTCTTCTCTCCCAGTCGCGACCTTCACTAACTTCATTCTAGCTGGGACCTGGGCGGACAGCCTCGGTTTCGGCCGATGTGGGAACGGTATTGTCGAGGCGTGAATGCGATCGTGTACGTTTTTGCTTGTTTTTTCGTTCCTGATTTCTCCCCGCGATCTGTCTTGTCATCCGCCATGCTAATGTCAATAGGTACATCGTGGACGCCGCAGACCGTGCAGCGCTCCCAGTGGCAACAGAGGAACTTCATGATCTGATGAAGAAGCCCACACTGGAGAACATCCCCCTTCTGGTCCTGGGCAACAAGTCTGATCTTCCGGACAAGCTGTCTGTGGACGAAATCATTGAATCCATGGACTTGAAGTCCGTCACCCACCGCGAAGTGAGCTGCTATGGCATCAGCGCCAAAGAAGAAACCAACCTCGATGCCGTCCTCCGCTGGCTCATTGCACGAGCCAGTCGGTGAGACCCTTGGCAACGCCTCGACTCATATGCCTCTTTTGATGTTCATGCTCTTGGTGTGTTTTGATTGTGTTCATGTCCTGTAGAATCTAGCGTGTTTAGCCCGCAGCCTCGGATGTAACGAAGTTGACGATGTAGTTTGTTTTCTTGCCCATGGATTCTGAGATTCATGCTGACGATGTATGTTAATGGTCATGAGCGCTTTTGGTTCTTTCGTTCTTTTTTCGCCTTTTTTTTTTGGTCCACCGCTGCTGATAGTTGGGTTTGAGAATCATTTCGAATATTTTTTTGTTGGCAATGAGAATGGTGTGAGAATGGAAGGGTTCACTGAATATGTCCAGGACCAGCATAGATAAATGAAACACGGACCACCTTCGGGGCTGCATGGGTGTGTTGGCTGCCAACGCATCAGTGCAGCCAAAGTAAAATACACCCCAGCCAATGGAAGGCTTCCATTGATCTCTTCTATAATGAAATGTATGCATTGGATGTCAGAAAAGGAAATCTGACTAGGATTGCGCATATCATTCTGTACTCGTACGTCTAAATTGGCCATCTGATTTCCACACACTACGCGGTAGATCTTCAACTACGTCACTTGGCGCTTGCAGATTTCATAGATCATTCTCAAGGCATCGAGAAATCAGGTGGCATTAGTCGTACACAAAATATCTAAGATCAGTTTTGTAAGCCCTTGCAGACAGGCCAGATCTGGAGTGGCTCAAAGACCCCTTTCAAGCACCCAAGGTAGCGCAATAACGCCTGTAAATAGCAGCCCAAAAACAAAAAGTGGAAGCACTAAAAATGCAAGAGCAAGATGGATCATTTGCAGCGCTTCTCCACAATGTTCGGTCCGTGCTCCTCATACTCCTTCTTGGAGATCCACATCTGATGGAAGGTTCCCAGACTGGCAAGGATACTTCCTCCAATCCAGGAGCCGAAGCGCCGCTCGGAGGTGTTGCCAGCAGCGGTGACCCGCACCCTCGGTCCAGGGAACATCTGCATCAGCTCGTGGTTCAGACGTTCGGTGAAACCGTAGAGCAAGCTAGATCCACCGGTCACTACCACATTGGCCAGCAGGTGGGGACGCAGATCGACGTCAACACCAGCCAAAGAGGCCTTGACGAGTTCTGGGATGGTCTGGGCGGGGGTTGGGGGAGGGAAAGATGACTCTGGGTCTGGGACAGCAGCCTTGGCATCGAATAGAGATTCCACGACGCGGAAACGGTCAACGCCGAAGACTTGGTTGTATCCATCGGGGAATTCGAAGGGGCGACCGGGGTAAGTGCGGGCCATGTCCTCGTTGGGGATACCGTTAGGACCTGGGGCAGAGAGCCTGGTAGGCCCGGGCCAGACCTGGACGACGCATTCCTTGAACTCAGCCAGCGTGCGTTCCTCCATGAGGGCGCGGTATGAGGCATCAGGCGCCTTGTCTGCAGGGAAGGTCTTATATTTCGCTTGGGGCGCTTGACCGGCTTCAACGGCGGTCTTCGAGCTGATGAGGTAGTGAGGGGTGATTGTGATCGGTTGGGGAGAGTTGGCTTTAAACAATGCGCTGATCTGAGACGAAATGTAATCACCGCCGAGCGGAGAATGTTGCACACCGCGCTTCAAGATCATACCATCGTGGATGGGGGTGACTGAGATGTTCGAGGCACCGATATCAATAACAAGGGCAGAGGCCTTGCCAGAAGCAAAACTATAGGTGAATCCGGTCAGTAAAATGCATCGGCAGATCGCGATGGGCCTGGTACATACGAAGCAAGAACGCCAGTGCGCGCGAGGTAGAAGGCCGGAGTATCCCACTTTTCCATTGCAATTTCAATGGTCTTCTCACGCGCCTTTGCTGGGTTCCATCCAGGTTCTGTCATCAACAATGGGCTATCAGATAGAGGCTTCTCGTCTGACTCGACTTCCATCTCCTCGGGGTGCTCTTGAGTCCCATCATCGTTCAGTCCGTTCTGGAATGGGTTGCCCGCCTTTGTGCCGGTGAGCCTGGACATGAAGGAATGTTCCCATACTTTCTCTGCCATATCCCAATCCTCGACGATGCCATCCTTGTTGAGCGGGTTATAGACAGAGAGACCCGGTCGCGGGGTAACAAAAACATCGTCGCCGTAGACGATCTTTTCCTGTCCATCGGCGTTGTATTTTCCATAATAGGTCGGGATCAGTGACTTGGGGGCATCTTCACCAGCAAAGCCCGCGCGAGTGGTTGAATAGCCAGGGTCTAGGACGATTGCAGAGACCTCGTCTACAGAAACATGGTAGTCAGCATTTGAAAAGAGTTATATATGTATTTAAGCCACAAAAACCGCAGAGGTCGGCCAATTGGAGAGTCATAAATCACGTACCTCCACCGTACTCGGCGGCTTGGGGTGGGTTGGAAGGGTTCATTGCGAGTTGCGCCGTGGTGATTAGATTGCGGGTTGAAGCTAAAGGGGTATCATGCGACGACGGTGAACTGTATTGAGATAAGTCAGAATGCAACCATGCAATTCCGACAGACAATCCGAGGGGCTGGAGACAGAGTGAAGGGCGGTCTCTTTGGTGTTGGAGCTCTGGTCTTTCAGACCGCGAAGAGCAAAAACCTTATGTCAGCTGTGACTAAGCCGATTTTGACGCGGCAGCATTTGGACAGCCCTGGCTCTGTCGCACATGTGTGTTTCTTTGATCGTTTTGAAGTATGCTAGGTATTGTTTGAATGTAAATGATGGAACCTGTCCATCAACTTTGGAAGCAATTAAGTAACATGCTTTTCCAATGAGAACTTTGGAATCTACTTAAGTACTGGCCTCGCTCATGCTGAAGCTACCAAAGTACGGAAATATATCTTATAGATGGTCTCGCGTACGCTATCCATGGGTGTGCTCAAGTGGTTCTAAAGTTGTGACATTGTAACAGCTCTAGCATGGATGGTTGGATCTTCTACTTAAGTAGGTAAAGTTGTTCAGCCTATGGAACGACATACATCCATCCCAAGATTGATGTACTTGCAACCTTGGAAGGTCACTACTTGAGGAGAAGAGGCATTGCGAAAGCAGTATTCAGTCATGTCATATTTTTGAAATTTGCAATACTAAGTCTCATGATGGTATCTTATGCAGTTTATTTGAGAACAAAGAAGGCATGGCGTAAAATCATTCAAAGGGATGCAGTGAAAGCTCGGAAGCAACAGCTGGACTTATTTCTTTCCAGTTTGTGTTTCACGCATGGCGGCTCTCGCACTGCGACTGCCTCCCAGCTTCGGACCTTTAGGCCCTTCATCCTTCGCCACTGGCTTTGTGGCGCGAAGGCGACGGCGGGACTGCATGGCATCCATGAAGTCTCGTCGAAATTGTTCGGCAATTCGGTCATCAGCAGCTTGGGGATCATCGGGCCGCGAGTCGTCCTCATATTCATCATAGACATCCACTAGAGAAGACCGAAATTAGTAAGGGGACCGTAGCGCACGCATCCAAAACAACTCACATTTACTCTCCCGGAGGACCTCTTCCACAAGACGGTCTCTCTCAATATCGGCATCCGTTCGTTGTTGACGGGCGCGCCTTGACTTGCCACCTGGGGCGGAACGAGTTGCCCCCGAGACAATATCGGCATCCCCAGAAGGAAAATCCTCGTCACCAGCCAGTTTGCGCGTCGCCGCTTCTGTGCGCGCGATATTGCGTAAGGTTGCCTCTTGACCGAGGTCGATCTCATGGAGTTTCCCTAAAGATGCCGGCTCACGTTGTTGTTGTTGTTGTTGTCCGTGGAATGAGAGGTTTGCCGTGACTTCCTTTGAAGTTGGCTGAGCGATATCTGAATTCGGCACTTGTGCGTGAGGCTGGTAGCGCTTAGCCATCTCTGAATCTATATATTCCATCCTTATCTTGTTAGTCCATCCCACGCAAGATCCAATCTTAATCGCAAGGGGAGCTTCGTACATGTGTCTGTCAACATCATCACTTTGACCAGTATAGCCTGTAAAGCGCTCATTCATGGCGCGTATTTTGTCCTCCTCTGGGTCTCCGGCTGTAGGCGCCAGCGCGAGTTGCTGACCATGACCGTGTCCTAGTTGTGATTTGGCGGAGAAGCCAATTCCACCTTTGCGCATAACGCGCGGACGTCGGGCATTTTTGTACGATGGTTGTGTCGGGGTCGCGTTATCATTCTGGTCACTTGCGACAAGGGCAGGATCGGCGTCTGCAGCATCTTCGGTCTCAGGATCAGCACGTCGTCGGGCGAACTTGCGCTTCTTCGCGGGTCGGAAGAGAGCTTCAGTTGGAACAGTATCGGCCGTTGAATCCATGGTATTTTGCGACAACAGCTTGGTGAAGTGAAGTGACAGTTCAGAGTGAGGTCATGTCGCAAAAAGATACCTCTTGGCCGGTATTGCCGGCAGAACGCTGATCACGTGCATGAGAGCGGAACCGCCCTGTGTCAAGTGGTTCTTGTTTACTTTCTTGGCATGCAACGTTATCTCTATGCGGGTCGACAATCGCTCATATGAGGCGCTATCTCATTGCATCTTTTTCATAGTTTTGGCAATTCATAGTTTTGGCAATTCATAGTTTTGGCAATTGAATAGCAACTGCATATCTTGCAAGACTATAAAAAGTACCCAGACACACCGATCCATGAAATGTGAAGGATCCAAAATGCCCCTCACAACCTACTTCAAATTCCACGTGATAATATAGCATTTCTGTGCACCAAGTCTCTATAAAGCTCTACAGACCTTGAAAGACTGGATCGACAAGCATACAATGAGCCTGATTATACTATGAGATCCGATACATAACACTTGGCATGTCTATCAAAGAAGTGACCAAGAACCAAGAGACATGTGCTCAATTGTTGTGCTAATACACTTGTGATTGAATTGAGTTTGAACTCACCCAAGCAAGACTAAAGTCAAGCGCAGGACGAGAAATAATCGTCGAGTCGATTCCAAGCCTGTGTTGTGTTGGAAGGATAGATAAATAGACCGGAGAGAGAGAGAGAGAGAGACAAACAGTACGAGGTCATATGTATCTATTGCAGTTGGCACATGGTCCCAGGCAAGAGCTCCCTCGTCAATATTTGAAGACATCATTTTGGGATGTCAGGTCTGTCTGTTTGTCGTTTGTATAGATCAACCCTCCTCTCTCTCTTTCTCTCTTCTCCTTCCCCTCATCCACATTGATTCTATCACACAACACAACACAACACAAGGCTTCCTGTAGAAAATATCCTTTCTTCAGGCAAGTCTTGGCCACCTTGTGCTCAGGTTACGAGCACGTCTTTTTGCTGGCGGGTTCGAATTGGACGGATCAACTCGATCTGCCAGGCACGGAGCGCAACAGCTTCGACACCGCGGCGGCCTCTGTTGGTCTGTCCCCTGCTTTCCCCGGGAGGAACGGGCCGTACCTCCCTGGCGCCAGAATTCGCAGGGCCAGTTGGGTCTGAGCGGTCTCCCTGATCCCTCATACCGGTCGACCTCAATCCACATCCGGCACCTACTTCAGGGTAGTCTCACCGATTGATCTTTTTCTCAAAGCCCTGACCGTGCTTCAGTACGTGATTTTATCATCCTCTACCCTCCCAGAGATACAAAAATGTCTTCTACCGAAGAGAGCAGTGACGATGGCTCCGTCAACGCCGGGCAGTTCAAAATCGGTCCAATGCCAGGACAAGGGTTTGACCTACCTAAGATGGAACCGATTGAACTCGGCAAGATGCACACGCTGGAGGAAACCGACAACAACTTCAGCAACTGGCTTATTCAAATCACGACGCGTCTCGCACACCATCGTCTCCAATATCTCATCCGGTCCGATCTAGCACGCCCCGAACCGGGAGCCCCCGCATATGAGAAATGGCACTTCTACTCAACTACAGTCGGCAAATGGCTTTTGGATAGTATCTCAGAGGAAATGAGAAATACCCTCGCTATGAGAAAGAACCGCACTCCCGAGTGTTATGAACCGTGCTATGCAGATCAAATCATGGACGACATCGATACCCTTAGGGGTGGTGGAAATCGAATGAATCAAATCCAAATTGATGCGTGCGCGCTTGGAAACTGCCGGAGGAATCAGTTCGACACGGCAAATGATTATTTGGAGGCCATGCTGGGTCGATTATCTGTGCTGCACGACAAGGACGTTATGATCCCCCCTGTTTACGTTCTGTGTCTTCTTCTGAATGAACTGAAGGATGAGTTACCTGAGGCCAATTTCATTTACCGAGAGATACGCGACAAGGAAGCTGGCTTTGTCAACGAGCGTCGCTTCAGGCGATACTGCACAGGGCTGAAGATCGGAGCAATTGGCGCTAAAGCTCAAATCGACGCAATCAAACCTGCCAAACAAGATGCCAAGAAGCAGCATAATCGGCCCCGACCCTGGAAGAGCAACCGGCCTGGCAGGGGCGGCAACAACGATGAATCACAGTCTCAAAACCAGGAGAACTCGACCCACGATACCACTCGCAAGAGAGGAGCTCCCCCAACGGGTATGGACCCTTCCAAATGGGCTGAAGAGCGCAGAGCAGCCACCGAGCAAAAGGATTCCGGTGGCCGATGCACTCACTGCGGCCGGGGTTACCATAATGCCAATGATTGCTTCTACCTCAGGGACGATCATAGGCAATCTTGGACTCCCCGTTCTGACGTTTGGAATCTCCGTGAAGCACTCGAAAACGAAGATGACGAGTCAGGTACTGCTGCCTCGGAAAGTCTTCCTCATTATTGACTCTCGCTGGCACACTGGCTGGTCCGCCGGTATTTCTTCATCAAGGATGCAACTGCGCACGGGAAGATACGCCTGAAGAGGTTGGATACTGTATGGAAAGCAACAGCCAGTTTGATGGAGGTGTTGGGTATCGAGGGGTGGAGAGATGCGGCTCTATGAAGGGGATGTTGGGAAGCCAGGCTTGCCCGTTTGTGTAGACAGATCCTCCACTTCCTCTTGCTTTTCCCGACCATGCTTTTTCCGATACGCAGTACAACGTAGAATACAAATTTTACTGCAAGACATGCATTTGTTTCAGTAGAGTCTTTATCCTGTGGTTTCGTTGAGTTCTCTTCACTCATGCCCAAGTCTGGTGGATTATGAATCTCCGCGGAGATACCTTGACCATTTACTCGGAAACGATCTCAAACTGTGATCAGTACCCAGATGCTCCGTACTCCATACGAGTAGAACATGATGTGATTTCCAGCTCCGGATTTAGGTTCCCGATTCGCCCCGAAAGCTACTCCTTTCGGAGTAAAACAAAGGAAAGATTCATATCTGCCAAGCCGGTCATCAAAGCCAAAGAGACCAAGCTCCGTCCCTGAAAAGCTTCCAGGGACCGAAATGTACCAAGAAGCCATTTGAAGCCATTTGAATCCATTCCTAGACTGATAGAAGTTATTGGGTTTCAAGCCGAATCATATTTAGGCTTTCTTCAGATCTCAAATGAGCCTGATTCACCTGTGGACTCTGGGACCGGGCAACGTCCGAGACTGTAATTTGCAACGTGTGGGCTTGAGAGGCCGTCAACTATGGAGACTAAACCCAACACGTCAGCATTAGATGAAGGGACGTAAAAAGGGGAACAGCGAAAACAACGAAATCACTTCAGACCCCCACGACCAAGGTATTGGATTCCAAGAAACACCGTCGGTCCTTTGAGTCTGACATTGACGTATCGCGAACGAAAGCAAGGTCCCCGTGAGACCTGTCGTGGCAGTAACACCGACAGAGTGGGGCAAGCCGCAGAGATCCAAAATGTCGCGCTTTATGGAGATAATAGAGCATATTGTTGATGAAATGGCCGGTGACAGAGCCGAGGCCAACGAATACCAGACCCCGTGGGGTGAACGCGGGATATTTCGGTATTTTGTTTCATTGCCAGGTCTTCAAAGGCGGAGAAACCCGGGGAGCAGACATGATGTTCGCATACATGCAATGGGAAGTATACTCGGTGTTGACAGCCAAACATAAGGCTGGGCGAAACTCTTTATAGACTTGGCAATAAGGCGTTCGACCCAGCACTTCGGAAATGGGCCAATCGGACAACAGCGCATAGCCAGGCACGGTGCTAAGACTTTGACAGGGTTGGACCTACACCCCCCACAAAAGCTTTTGAACTCTTAGCAAATGCCAAGCCCATGTTGTGAGGTCATGTTGTGGGATTCAGGTGGAAAGGTTGGCATTAGCAAAGGGAAAATGCTACAAGTAGTACGGAGTAGAAGAATTGGAGTCGAGCACCGAATATCGGTGGGGGCTGCAGCCCTAGAAGGCAAGAGTCCCAACAGTGCATTCGTACGATCACGGTGTTCCCCCCGTATTGCGTACTCGTACAGTAGATTATTAATGTCGACTCAGCTGACCTCACCCCTGTCTACTCCGTACTCCATACTCCTTACGTGGAGGGAGAACCTGAGCTGAGCACAATTTTGGGGATCTTCTCCTGTATGATCCCAAACCTGTGGTGTTTCACTCCAATGTACATAGTCATTTGATATTTTATATTGGATAATTCCAAGGTTCATACAAGTATTGAGAGTGTTGGGAGAGGCTTCTAGAACAACACGGTGATAAGCAGAAACATCCAACTATGCAGTCCAAATGGAAATTGGTCACAGGAAGAGACCTCCATGATAACCACACATTAAGGTGAGGCCGATGAGGCCAGTTCGGCATTCAGCCGAGTTCGGGATTTCTCCTCCACCCGCTGACCGGTTAAATGACACATATCTTTCCTTGGTGATTGGCCAGGGGGCCGTTGTTGACTCCCCCCATGTACGGAAAAATCTGCATTTCAGGTGAGCCGAATGGGCCAATTCGTCCACCGAGTCTCTCAACCAAAGCGGCACTGTCACCAATTCGGCATTCTTTCGGTGTTGGCAGGTATATTCCGTTCCACTATACCCGTGCAGCACAGATGAGGTAAGTGGCTCTCTCTCACGGACTTCCAGACCCTCTCGGTTCCTTTTCATTTTCGTGAGAGATTCGATAAACCCGAATTCTTGCTATTTACGGCTCCGGGGCCCCGCGGTATGGTGAACAACGATCTGGACGCAAAAAGTCCCGAAAACCGCCCCAACCTGGGAACAATTCGGAAGGTGACCGAGATGGTGGGGTGCAGGAGAAAAGAAGGAAGCCAAATCCCACAAATCTCCACTTACCCTGCCCCCCAGAAAGAGACCCCCGGATTGGGCCCTAACACTACGATGTTAGGGCTTGGCACTCACTTGGCGGTCGGACAAGCCTTGTGAGCCTCTACATGACCGGCCCGAAAGGGTAATGAGTGACCGAGCACACAGATACTGCACTCAGCTTCGAAATGAAACCTGGACATTGCATGATTAGGAGGATTTTTGATCCTATCACACCATAGCGGATTATCTCCCCCATACTCGTACTTCCTCCCCGTACGGAGCACCCCAGGCCGGGAAGAAAATGATCGCCACAAAGAATGAAAGGGCGCCCTGAGCGGCGCGTATCCTCCGATGCTCGGGGACGGGCATCCTTCCAATAAGATCAGATCAACACGGCCCCAACCCGTGGATCCAAGCTCATTCGGGAGTGGCGAAAGCGCGGGATCTTGGTCACCTTTTTTTCACCGGGATAGCGAGCCCTCGTGGAGTCGCGGCGTCGCGGTCGAGTCACAGTCCTTGTTTCGGATTAGGACCATCAAGGTGGATTGTTATCCACTGCGGAATTTATCTATCCACAGAATGAAATTTCCCACCGTGATGCGGGGTCTCCAACCTGGCAAGGGTATAAACTGAGCAAGATGCCGACCAATCTCCCCTTGCTTCTCTTCTCCTTCCAGACTGTTTTGCCAACTGCACTCCTCTAATCGGTCACTATGTTCCGAGGAAGCAATCTGCGCTTGGCGCAGGCCTTGCTCATCGTTGCACCGGCTTTCATTGTTTTCGGTTACAACCAGTCAGGTCTCGGCCCCCTGGCAACTTTGGAAAGCTGGGCGAAGGTCTTCCCTGAAATCGACACTATCAACACCTCCGGTGCTGAAAAATCAAACAACTCCACAGGCAAGGGTACCGTCATTGGATCTTTCCAACTTGGTGCTCTCATCGGTGCTCTATCATGTTCATACATTGGTGAATGGTTTGGTCGTCGCAAGACCATCTTCTTCGGTGCTATTCTTACTATCATCGGTTCAATCCTGCAAACTGCAGCATATGGCTTGCCGCAGTTCGTCGTTGGCCGTGTCATCCTCGGTCTCGGTGTCGGCCAGTTCAGTGTCGCCGTTCCCGTCTGGCAATCAGAGTCTACTTCCGCCAAAAATCGTGGAAAGCATGTCGTCGTGGACGGTATCTGTATTTGCTTTGGTTATGTCCTGTGTAACTGGATTGACTTCGGATTAAGCAAGGTCAATGGTGATTTGCAATGGCGTATCCCCCTGGCCATCTCTCTGTTCTTCTCGATGGTCGTCTTGGTTTCAGTCTTCTTGATCCCCGAGTCTCCTCGCTGGCTCGTCCGCGTCGGTCGCATTGAAGAAGCTTCCAAGAGTTTGGCGGCCTTCAAGGGCGTCCCCGACGATGATGAGGCCGTTCGCATCGAGATTGCTGGTATTGAGACCTCACTGGAGGTCTCAGTTGCCAGCACCTCGCTTATGGATATCTTCAACTTCAAGAAGGCCGACGACGAAAGACTGCTCTATCGATTCTGTCTTTGTGTCGCCCTCCAATTCTTCCAACAGATGTGTGGTGGTAACCTCATCTCCACATACGTCTCCACCATCTTCGAAGAGAACCTCAACATGTCCAGCGACCTTGCTCGCATTCTGTCCTCTTGCGCCATGACATGGAAGTTCCTCTGCAGCAACATTGCCTTCTTCGCCATCGACCGTCTCGGTCGCCGCAAGATTTTCATGATCAGTGGAACTGGTATGTCCGTCTGCATGATAGTTCTCGCCATCACCACCAGCTTCGGCGAGAACCACAAAGCATCCATCGTCTCTGCCGTGTTCATCTTCCTCTTCAACTCCTTCTACCCTGTCGGCTTCCTCGGCGGTAACTTCCTCTACTGTACCGAAGTCGCCCCCATGCGTCTCCGTGTCGCCATGTCCGCCGTCTCCACCGCCAACCACTGGCTGTGGAACTTCGTCGTTGTCATGATCACCCCCGTCGCCCTCGACACCATCGGATACAAGTACTACATTGTGTACGCCGTTATCTCGGCCTGTATCCCTATCTCCGTCTACCTCTTCTACCCCGAGACCATGAACCGAAACCTCGAGGCCCTGAACCACGTCTTCCGCGATGCACCTACCACCTGGGACATTGTCTCCATGGCTCGCAACTTGCCACAGGGTGAGGCTGCCGAGGTTGATGTCTGGATGCGGGGTGAGGAGAAGGGTGCCATTGAGCAGAAGGAGGTTGCTTAGATGGATGGCCTAATTATATGAATGTCTAATGTATATATTTTTACGATGACGATGGAACTGGATTCCTCGAATCACGATAGATGAGACCACTAGAATGAGCCCATCAAATATTTCAATTTTTCAATCTTCTGTCTTCCCTGTAATTCGACTTGGTAGCCGTTGAAGGTTGGGATAACTGTTTGCTTGGGGTGCTCCCGTTGCTGTCTTGAGGGGTTATTGAAAACAAGGTCATTATAATACCCACCCAGTTGTTGAGAATAAGGTCGTTGTGATGGGAGGCAAATCACTGTAATGACCTGATTTCTCAACAAACCTCCCACACAGCAAAGGAAGCAACCCAGACAAAGAATTCTCTATCCACTCAAATATTGGCCCTTTTTTGTGTTGGGAGTTCGACACAACCCTCCGTTTGAAGATAGCCTCTCTATCGCGACTTTGACCGGTTCTTCCTCTCTCTCTCCGCTTCTTCTTTTGGCCAGAGAGAAAAAGAAGCGGACAGAACCGATCGTATTGACTGCGGAGAGAGAGAGGAAGAACCGGTCAACGACGCGGTAGAGAGGGCCTATCTTCAAACACAAACGGGGGTTGGGACGAACTCCCTACACAACAGCTTCAACACCCTTCAATCCCCAAATGGCTGTTCCGGTAGTTTTGACGACTTGAGTCATCCATTGTAACGCCCAGGGCCGTTATTCAGCAAGGCCCATTCCCTTCGTTCTTCCTGTGTCGATGGGTTCGTATTCTTATGTTCTTGGTTCGTTGCACCCGATTCGATCGGGTGGGGAGCAGGCGCAACGGGACTTGTAGATATTGACAACGCAAGTAGACAAAACGGCGGGCAGGTGACTGAAGACTGGTTTTAGTATGGGAATCGGCAGCGGTATTGACTTGGACATTGACATCGACGATGATCGGCTCGGGGATCTTGTAATGGGCTCTGGTATCTTGCTCTGGGCACTCACTGTGGCATCTCGCACGAGTTCTCACATTTGACACTGGCATCACTTAAGCCCTGGTGTCTGGATATGACGTCTGGCTTTGACTGCCGTTACATCACTTCATGGCTATCGATATCCTTTTGGTTGTAGATGTCGATTGACGAAACGATTTGTGTTTGTGGAAATGATGGATATAGCCGGTGTCTTCATGGTTTGAATATTGATCGACACATCGGAGGAGGTATGTTGAAACGACAGAAGTTGTCGACGAAATGGTTGAGCTTGACGAAGGGACACAACCTTGGTTGCTTATTTCGCTGGATGTGGCTCGGAGCTCACTTGATGGATACATCATTGGGAAGCGGAGCCAATGGACCGACCATAGTGCTATCATCCCACGATGGGGCCAATGGAAGGGCATTCATGCTGTCATCGTGGAATGGGGCCAGCTCGGGGCCATCGGTGGGCCTGGGCCCAGGCGCTTACGCCTCAACCCGGGACAGAGAAGTAGACGTTGATGATTTGAGAAGGCGTATAAGGACTCAAACCCCCTTGAGCTAACTAAGAGAAAGGAAAAGGGATTCAAATCGATCGATTTGGGGGGGAGGTTGAGGAAGCAACCTCACAAAAAGGCAAACATCGCGGGTTTTTACCAAAAAACCATCCCAACCCTCAACGGTACCTTGCCAAGAAATGTTGGCGAGGGCCCTACTAGTCAGGCGTTCTCCATTCACGTAAGCTACTTTAGCATTATCATGAAATAGAACAGAGAGGTTCAGTGAAAGTTAAGCATCTCATCTTCAAAGTTGAGAGGGATTCTCTCATTTATGAGGATCTCACATCTACTGCCATGAACTGCACTAACAGGGAACCACTGAATCGCCAAAGAACCCATTCAATTTTCATAATGTCACGCACAGATGAAATTCTATTGACAGCTGAATGTCAAAGCCCAGAGTCATGATCCCGATAGATTCTTTCCACTTTGGGCACTGAATGTAAATATCTTCTTAAGCTTCAAGTAACTTGCATCATGTGATATTAACTATAGAATATAGTAGATTAGCGTAGGCCATTTAAATTCTGATCATGACAATATACAAAGTCCTTTATTTAGAAGAAACGACCACTCTTCATAGCACCAGGGAAATCATCCTTGAGTGCTTCCCAGATCGGCTTGCCTCCCATTTGCAAGTCTTTGAATGCCGGGCAAGTGAGGTTCAGCAAGGGCACCGAGAGAATGTTTGTGACAAATTCCAAAGGACCAGCCAGAGTCGAATACAAACCACCAAGTGCGTTGGGACTGGCAAACTTGAGGACCTCGAATACGAAACAAAGCAAATTGTTACCCTCAAGAAGGGTGGTCAAGTTCAACACACCACCTGTGAGGTCTGCAGGGTCAACTCCGGCGAAGGAGTTAACTGTACCCGTGTTTCCACCAATGCTATATTGAAGATGCGTTAGTAATAAATTCTCACGCCAATAAAAGGTCAGGACTTACCTTCCAAGCTCCGGGTACTTGAGGATCCAGTCAATAGTATCCAAGTTGAGCTGGACAAGTCCCCAGTCCACAGGGGTTTTGTACCAGTTGTCAGGGATTCTTTCCCATCCCTCCCGATAAGTCAAGTTGCCTTCATCGCCTTGAATACCATAGAAGCTTCGGACATGGCTCTTTGCTAGTGATTATCAGTGAGCCATTCATGAGTTTCAGCCTCGACAGCCTTAGAATATCAACTTACTCAAGACCCCCTCTGGGTTTTCGATAGAATGGTTTCTGAACAAGCGACCTGAGAACAAATAACCGGCATTTCTAGCAATCAGACCTGTGACTGGACCGTAGTAGAAGTCAGGGTTAGTTTGGATACTTTCGTCGAAACGAATCTTGGCGCGTTTTGCCATGAGATCCATGTCAAATGTGCCGTCGGTCGACATATTGTACCAGGTCATGAACTTATCCATGTTGAGCGTATGGCTGTTACCGGTAACATAAAGATCATCGCGGGTATTGGAGGAGTCAGATTCGATGAAGTTGTGGGACCCAATAAGACCTTGAGGTTCGCCTGTATGAAGTCTCGTTAGACTGTTCATTAACTTTGAAAACAAGGTGATGGAGATTACCCAGCAGTCCGCCCAAGTTGTTGAGCAGGTTGTTGACACCGGTGTCTCGACCTCCAATGGAGAATCTCGGATCAAGTGAAAGGGGGTCACCAGTCCAGACGGTGCCCATTATGGCAAGAATGGTAGCCAGATCAACACCCATTCCATAGACTACCAACCTGATTAGATCGGAGTCTTTTGATAGGGTAATCTAAGAACATACCTTCATTGATCGCCGTGATCACATTTGCAAACTGTATTCTAAAGTTAGTGCATGGACCTATACGAGGTTCATAGATCGCGACCCACCGACACTACCCCGTCACGAGGGATATAAGCATGGTTTGCCAATGCATTGAGACCCGGACAGGGTCCGCGTTGATCACCATTCTCAAAATTGGGTGGTTGAAATGCGTGCTCGCCGGTGACTATATCCTTTGGTTAACTATTCGTTTGATGAAACACGCCGGCACTGTGTCACATACCATCAACCGGCGACTTCATTGAATCAAGAAGAAATCGCTTGTCAACCTTGGTCTCAGCATGGGCCTGAGAATCAGCATATGGGCATCGCTTGTGTAAAGCTTGGTGTGCCGAATGGTCATTATGACCACCTCCTGCGCCTGGGAAGCCCATGACCAGGGATGGCGAGAGCAATAGCCCTAAGGCAGCGACTCGCATGGTGAACGAGCTAGACTCTGGTTTTGATAAAATGATCGATACTAAGAGCCGACAAAATTGTGGAACAAGCGAAAGAAGATAGATTCAAAGAATGACACGCATAAGTACACTCCTGAAGAGGGCAATGGTCAAGTTATCAGAAGAGGCGTTCGAGTTGGCAGTGTGCTGATAAATTAAGCACCCCTGAATGGCCCTCCCGAGGTCCCTTGGTGCATAACTAGCATAACAACTGGCACATGTAAAGTGCGACATAGTTGATCGATCCAAAAAACGAACTAGTCCGAGTACTTCGTATGTTCGTACAGCGTACGGAGTACACGGCAGCTGTATTGCGCTCGGCTGTCTTCCGTAAATTAGATGCCCCACCCAACGGCAATTCCTCAACGTGCAGGTCCTCATAGTTTCCTCAAAAGCCTACGAGTCAGTATTCTTCTGAGCCCCCTTGACACTGTGGATCGGGTTGTAGCCACATAAGGTGTCGCTTGTTGAAGCGGACTGCGTCCGTGTGGCCTTGCCGTTTGTGATGTGGAAATTTGCAAGACGTTGCTGATCATGTCTGCTTGGGGGATTGCCGGCATCTTTACGGGCTTAGATCGAAGTTAGAAGAGTGATAGTGTCGATCAAAACATTCAGCATGCAGGGCTTATATAGTACATGATCCTTTGGAGACAAGGTTTTGCTGACAAAAAGATGATGCTGGTGATGTGAAAATGTAGTGAATCTTTTACGATGTAGTTAGAGAAGTGAAGAAAAAGAAGACATTCAGAAGAAAAAGCCCTGGAAATGATTGTCCATCCACACAAACTGCAGGCGTACTCGTAAGCCCCAAGACTTTTATTTTTCCGCCCGGAACGGCAGGATGTTGAGCCCCTGCTCGGGGGGAAAGATTTCCTGGTCCCCGGAAGGTTTAAGCAACAACGCCTCAGGGCCACGATTGGGTCTTTTTGAGCCCATAGCGGGGTCATTTAAAGATGCTAGCCAGAATTGAAGGAATGAGGGCCCGAGCCAAGGCTCTAACGGAAATATTTACTTAAGAGTGGAGAAATGTGTCAGTTTTCCGAGTGTCGATCAGCAGCCTTTTAAACTCTTAGGCACCGCAGGTGGAGCCGCTCCTAGAGCTCCTTCGACTCCTTCGCTCGTGGACTTACAGGGAATGTGGAAGCTAGAACGTCTAGAGCATCGACAAAAAAACTGGGGAAGGTCTCGTATCAGGCGTAGATCCCAATTTAGACCCAAGCCACTGTTTTGAAGTAAACTTAGCCAAGCATTTAGCCATCCCACGCTCTTGGATTAGGGGTATTGTTCATCTGCAGGTACAATTGTGACCAAATCAAAGATTATTGTAGTCATGAGCTGCCAGGTTATTCCATATCCATGGCCAGATGGGTAGTAGAAATGAATGGATGGTAGAAATGAATTTCGGGAAATTTTCTCAGGCCCAAACGATAGATCTTTTTTCTTTTTGATAACTACTCGTAGTAGCTGTTTTGCTAGCAAAAACAATCTCGGCAATAAGGATTTGGAGATGCACCGCGCTAAGAACTCCAACGGGGAGGTGCATCAAGCTCTTGCATTGAAGCTAGAAGATCATCGTTGATCTTATTAGACTTGACGCCTCCTGAATCTCGATACGAGTATTCCTGGCGACTGGCGACTTGATTCTCCCAGACACTCCTTTGTTTCCGAATGAATGTCATTCTGAAGCCACCATAATGCGTATTTCCATCGCAGCAGTCTTCGCAGCAGCATTCTGCGCAACCACAGTGGTAGCGTCCGAATTGGACCAGCTAGCGAAAGTCTTACCTTCATGCGCGGTATGAAATCTTTCCACTTTGCTTGTTGAGCCTTGACTTGAAACTGAAGAAAGCTGACAACGCGAAGCTGAAATGTATGGTGGCTTCGGTGCCACAATCATCCTGCGCGCCCACGGATCAGAAGTGTCTTTGTCTTGATACCCACTATACTGTCACACTCGAAGAATGCGTACTGACCAGCTGCACAATCCGAGAGTCTCTGAGTAAGTCCAAAACATGACCATTGACAGTCTGACTCTAATATCTCAATAGCTACAAAAAATGTTACAACATCATTGTGCGGAGCTCCGGTTAGAGATCGAACGAAGGTTGTGTCAGCCGCAGGACTTGCAGGTGGAATAATCGCTCTGATTGCCTTCATTCTTCGGATGGTGGCAAGATTAAGATGCTGTGGTGGAGTCTTTGGAATGGATGATCTGACAATGATGGTCACAATGGTATCTTTGTCGCCTCTTCCGGATCCCTGATTTTTTTGCTCACCTCCCACAGTGCCTTCTGATCCCTCTCTCCGCCCTTTCGGTCGTTTGTAAGACCTCCGAACTCCTGAACAGTTTTGATTTTGATATCTGATCTCTCGATATAGTGGCGGACACCGGTCTGGGCAAGGACATGTGGACACTCCCTTTTGACAATATCACCCACGTTCTTTATGTCAGTGCCCCGAAGTTTCATAACTGATCTTTCCCCACAGCTAACACATGCTGCAGATCTATTTCTGGGATGAATTAATATACCTGAGCATTCTGCCACTAACGAAGATATCCATCTGCTGCTTCTATCTGCGCATCTTTCCTGACCGAACATTCCGCAATGCAACTTATGTTGTAATTGCCCTTAATGTCGGATACTTGATTGCATTTGTTCTGATATCAATTTTCCAGTGTCGACCACTGCCTGGTGCGTGGCTTCGCTGGGATGGAGAAGAGAGCTTCCAATGCAATCATATCAACGCACAAGGCTGGGCAGCAGCGGTGATCAACATGGTACTCGATCTCATTGTTATGATCCTTCCACTGCGACAACTTTATCATCTCAATCTCTCTTTTAAAAAGAAATCCTACGTGATTTGCATGTTCAGTCTTGGTGTTTTGTTCGTTTTCCCAGATTCCTCGAACTTGATCATGAGAGACTAACCTCAAGCCCAGCGTAACCCTCGTCAGCATCCTGCGATTAAACTCCTTAATCCACTTTGCTAGCACTACTAACTTGACGTGTGAGTACCATGATTCCATTTGGACTAGTTTAAACAGCTTCGTTGACATCTATACAGGGGACTATGTTAGCATTGGCTACTGGAGCACGATTGAATGCGATGTTGGCGTCATCTGTGCATGCCTGCCGGCAATTCGCTCTTTGCTACGCCGTGTGGCCCCTGGACTCTTTGGTGATACCACCCACGCCAATTCTTATGCCGTGAACTCTCATTCTCGCGGCACTGGCTCTAGGTTTGACGGGGTAAATGTTCAGAGCAAAAACGACCAACGTGATTTCTATCCTCTCGACGACATGGACAACACAAGTGAATCTCGGTTGCATCACCCAGTGTAGCCGAGAGGCACGGACAGTCACCAAGCATAGCCGATGCCAACGGTTTCCCTTTTAAGACACTCATTCATTTTCTATTTCTTTTCTCCCTGTGATTGTTGTAATGAAGCCAAGCCTAAACAGGAATTATATTATTTAAGATTTTAATGAGTATTCAGTACGGAATACTTTTTCAATAAATAAAGGGAATTTCAATCCGAGCTAGAGTTGCTTTTTTTGCCCGCCCGTCTTGAAATCCCCAGGGACGAGCCCAGCCTCTTGGGAGCGTGTAGCCTATGTTCTATCGAAACGTGTCCAACAGACAGAATGCTTCCTCCAGGACTCGCTAGAGCTTTTCCATGAAAAGATGGCAATTATTTACCTCTAGCTAAATTGTTCACCACTTTGCATCCTAGAGGGGTTTCCATTTTTATTTTTATTTTTATTTTTTGACTCCGAAATCCTTCATCGAAGACTTGATCCACCTTGAGATTAGTGGCGTCAGATCAGCACGTTGAGCGGGAGAGTGTGCTAGCCTGTCTCAATGGCGGTCTGTGGTGCACTTTATACAATTAGAGCTTAATGATTGGCCAGGATATATTTTACCCATAATAAATACCCTCTATATGCCATTCCCTGGGATGCCGGAGGTTCCTGGAACGGGGCAATACGAGAAAGGCCCCATCCATCAATACAGAACTCCTGAGCTAGCCTCTTCGAAACTGAAAGTGTATTGTAATACGGAGTACATGCCATTGCATGAGACATCCTAATTCGAACCGACTGAGAGACGGCGTCTGTCGATCACATTCTCGAGGATAGCATGGGGTTGAATAGGGTAACGTCAAGAAGGAGGGTATAGGGGATTTCCGGGGCTAAATTGCGCTCTAGAACTATAATAAGACAGGAAGAGGTACCAAGAGAAGCTTTGCAATAGTTGTTAGTTCTCTGTTTCAAATCACTTCTTCCTTTCTTTCCCTTCAGTTGGGTTCCTTTATTTGCTTTTGACATTTGCCTCTTCGTTCGTTTCCCATAATGCGTCTCCTTGCAGCGCTTGGGCTGTTATCATCATTTTCGGTTGTTTTCGCCTCGTATGTGGAAACCTTTCTTCCGGCGTATCTTCAAAGACCGGGCAATCCAAAATCTAACATGATGATGCAGTGATCATAGGACAGACGGTCATCTCCACCGCGCACACAAGCGAGCCCCCGGCAACGAAAAGAACGCCACTGCAACCCCCGATTATGATTATGTTGTGGTGGGAACAGGCCCAGGAGGTGGTCCTCTTGCAGCTCGACTAGCCATTGCTGGATACAAGGTCCTTATATTGGATGCTGGAGACGACCAGGGAAATGCTACCAGACAGATGGTCCCTGCTCTGCAACTTCAGTCCACCGAATATGAACCGATGAGATGGGACTATTTTGTCAACCATTATTCCAACCTGACTCGTCAAGAGGAGGACTCGAAGATGACCTACCGCACCCCTGCAGGCGATCTGCATGTTGGAAAAAATGCTCCCGCTGGTTCCGAACCATTGGGTATCTTATATCCCAGAGCAGGTACTCTGGGAGGTTGCTCTGCCCATAATGCTATGATGTGAGTGCTGCCTCGGAGTAATGCTCAATACTGCTGGGTTATTGCATATGCTAATCGGTACTACCTTAGTACTATTTATCCCTATGAGAATGACTGGGAGCAGCTGGCTAGTGTTACTGGTAATGACTCATGGTCAGCTGCCAACATGCGCCAGTACTTTGAGAGACTGGAGCGCAACCGATACCTACCCAGCAGTTTGGCTGGTCATGGGTTCGAGGGCTGGCTCACAACAAGTTTGACGGACTTGCGTCTTGTGATTGAGGACCAAAAACTTCTTTCTCTGATCCTTGCTGCTGCAACTGCTGCCGGCCAAAGCTTGCTGGGCAAGATAATCAACACCGTGACAGGCCTCGCAGAAGTTCTGCTGCGTGATCTCAACAACCCTCTCCCTACGCGTGACTATGATGAAGGTCCATACCAAGTTCCTCTTGCTGTTGATGTTCCCGAATACAAGCGCACAGGCCCCCGAGACTTTCTTCTCAAGACTGCCAATGCAGTCAACTCAGATGGTTCGCGCAAGTACCATCTCGATATCCAGCTGAACACTTTGGTCACCAACGTCCGTTTCGATACCTCTGGACCTAAGCCTCATGCTACCGGAGTCGACTATCTGTTGGGCGAGAGTCTTTATCGAGCGGATCCCCGAGCATCCAGAACATCCGCCGGTGGGACCCCGGGGAGTGTGAGTGCTGCCCGCGAAGTCATTCTCGCTGCAGGATCTTTCAACACCCCACAGCTGTTGAAGCTCAGCGGTATCGGTCCAAAGAAAGAATTGGCCAAGTTTGGAATCTCGGCCCTTGTAGATCTTCCTGGTGTTGGTTCCAATATGCAGGACCGCTATGAGGTGGGCTCGGTTGGAAAGTCGCCAACTGATTTCGTTCTAACCTCCAAGTGTACATTCATGTACACGATGCCCGATCCCTGCTTGGACCAGTATGAGAACGATCCCCTGTTTAAGGGAACCTATACCACCAACGGAATCGCAATTGCAGTAGTCCGCAAGTCCTCTGTTGCTGAGGACGAGCCTGACCTGTTGATCTCGGGAGCGCCCGTCAACTTCCCCGGTTACTACCCTAATTATTCTTACGAGGGATTGAAAGATGCCCAGCACTGGACGTGGATTACCTTGAAAGCACGCAGTCGCAACAATGCTGGAACAGTTGAGCTGCGATCCACCGATCCCCGGGATATGCCGATTATCAACTTCAACTCGTTTGATTCTGGAGTTACCACAGATGGTGCCGATGAAAAGGACTTGCAGGCTATTTACGAAGCCATGCAGTTCTCCCGTGAAATCTATAATGATCTCATTCCCCTCGATGGTGGATTCGAGGAAGTGTGGCCTGGACCCAACGTTACCACCGAATCCGAGATGAAAGACTTCATCAAGCAGGAGGCCTGGGGCCACCATGCCTGTTGCACGGCTGCTATTGGAGCCGATGACGACCCTCAAGCCGTGCTGGATGCGGATTTCCGTGTTCGCGGTGTTGAAGGCTTGCGTGTGGTAGATGCCTCGTCCTTCCCCCGGATTCCAGGTTACTACGTTGCCTTGCCCATCTATATGATTAGTGAGAAGGCTGCTGAAGTCATTATCGCCGATGCTGCCTGAGTGTGGCAATACTTCTGCTTTTATATAGCCAGGTCCTATTGACTACTGTAGCGGGTTTTTCGTTTGTCCCTCGTATCAGCTCTCGAGCCAGTTTAATATAATTTTTTTTTGATCATCACCCTCTCTTTCCTCATGCAAGACCTCAGGAGTCATTTGAAAACTTCAGACCCTACAGTCGATTAAATCAGTCCAGACTCCACTTCTAAAAGAGTCAAACAGAGGGATACCAAGTCAGCACCTCCTTTCTTTTCTGTTGGACAAATACAAGCATCAAGTGAAGATCATTTCCAAGGTTCGGACTCCACGGGCCCGCGGGATCCGCGTGCTCGCCGGGCCGAAGCATGTGGGGCTTCATCCACCAATGAGAATAATCTTTCTATTCCCTCTTAGGGAGTATATAAGTTGTCTTTTCAACTTGGTTGCTGCTTTCCACTTCCCTGCTGAGATGACCTGAAAGTGAAATCGAGCATCAATGAAAAATATGGAAGCGCAGGCCTCAGAGCCTTTGTCCAAAAACACAGAGAGTACGGCAGATCACGACTCCACGGAAATCACCTCGCTTTGGAAACTGGCCCCTGTCACAGTCGCCTTATGCACTACTCTATTTTGTGTTTCCTTGGTATATGACCTTACTTTACTCGATGGGCTTTGGCTAATATATTACTCAGGACGCTACAATCATTGCGACGGCTATTCCCAAGATCACGACCTACTTTGATTCACTCAACGATGTAGCCTGGTATGGCAGCTCCTACATATTCACCACAAGCGCCATGCAGCTCATTTTCGGCAAACTATACACTTTCTATCCCTCAAAATGGGTCTTTTTGGCCGGGCTGCTCGTTTTTGAGATCGGATCACTCATCTGCGCTGTGGCACCTACCTCCAATGCTCTTATTGTGGGAAGATGTATTGCGGGCCTGGGAGGCGCGGGGCTTTTCTCTGGATGCTTGATTATCGTGGCAACGACAGTCCCACTGCGGATTCGCCCAATATATATGGGACTGGTTTCGAGTATGCATGCAATTGCGAGTGTTGCAGGTCCACTGTACGTGCCTCTGAGTATTCGTACCCTTACTGTGCTAATCCAAGTCTCTCGGTTAGAATGGGAGGTGCATTGACAGATCATTTGTCTTGGAGATGGTGCTTCTATATCAATCTTCCCTTCGGTGGCCTTGGATTGTTTTGCATTCTCATCTTCCTCCCCTCGAACGCAGATTCCATTCAGCGTGTAGACTGGAAAACGCAATTGAGGCAATTTGATTTGCCTGGCACGATCTTCTTGATTCCATCTATCATTTGTCTCATATTTGCCTTACAGTGGGGTGGATCGCTTTATGCTTGGGACAGCGCTCGCATCATAGCCTTGTTTGTGGTTTCCGGCGTGACTTTTGGTGTTTTTCTTGGAATCCAAGTGTGGCAGAAAGATCAAGCAACAATTCCCATTCGGTTGATGAGAAATCGAAATGTCTGGGGTGCTGCTTGGTATGGAAGCTGCATTTCGTCGACATCGTTTATCTTCACGTACTATGTATGTGCTGTCTCTTGTCCACGAGGAGCAATGCTGACCCGATACTAGCTCCCAATCTGGTTCCAAGCCATCAAAGACAAATCTGCTACCGACTCTGGTATCGCCAATCTTCCAAGCTTGATCAGCATGGTACTATTTGCGATCATTGGAGGTATACTCGCTTCGGCCATTGGATACTACACTCCCCTTCTATTGGTATCCTCTGTCCTTACGTCCATTGGAGGCGGCCTGCTGAGTTGTTTGGAAGTCGACTCAAACATAGGCCATTGGTTTGGCTACCAAGTACTTATGAATGCCGGAGTAGGTGTCGGCGCCCAGAATGCCCTGCTTGTCGCTTCTGTTGCTGTTGCGCCCGCTGATCTGGCAATGACCACGTCGATCCTGACCTTCGTCCAAACTCTGTCAAGCGCGATATTACTTCCCATAGGGCAAAGTGTCTTTCAGAATCAGTTGTCGGCGAACCTGATATCATATTTACCTGATGTCGATGTCGCTTTGATTTTGCACAGTGGTGCCACCGGATTCCGGGATCACTTGAAGTCCAATCAATTACCTTTGGCTTTGCAGGCATACAACAAAGCGCTTTGTCAGACGTTCTATGTGGGCGTGGCAACTGCGGCACTTTCAATCCTTGGGCCAATATTCATGGAATGGCTATCATTGAAGCCTCAAGTTGAGGCGAAGAAAGATGATCAATCTTCCAAAAGCAGTATTGACGAGCCAACCCAGATGAACTCCGAAGATAAGCCCACCGAAAGTGTTTAAAAGGGCCAGGAAAAGCGGTCTTTCATTCATTGTATATTATAAGTTTTGCTTCCCTCACTGTACATTTTCGAGGTTCATTCCCAACAAATCTATCGCAGATGGATGTCCATTATCCCAGCATTCCAAAAGTGCCGACATGCTTTGAGCTTCCGAGTATGTGATGTACCTCGTCATATCCAAGCCTAGATCATCATTTTGGGGGTCTGTGGGGAACAGGTGACCGTCCTGAGAGTCGCCCAGCAGCTCTAGAGCATCACGGTTTCCATCATACCTCCCGACACAAGAGTTTTGGGCTTCGACCAATCCCCGAGAGACAGAAACAAAATTAGCGCAGATATTGTACATACGCTCTGATGCTTTAGAGACACCGCGAGTTTTCTGGAGTGTCCTCACAACCTCCTCGAGAAGATCCACATCTTCCATGCTAGTAGCAGCGATAGAGTGAAGAAAGATCACGATAAATGGCGTGAAAGAAGAGTACAGTTGGACCCTTGATAATGTCAGTTTCTGAAGGGGATGTAAAAAACAGGTTGAAACACTGACCAATTGGCATAATCCGCAACAGTGAATCGGCTCGAATCGGTGTAGCCTGGAAAACATTCCAAATGACTGAGTAAACACATCCGCGCGGCTCTGAAGCATTCTGGTCCAATTTCGCCGTCTTCAGTCGATGTATAGGCACGCAAGATAGAAGTTAAGACCGAGTAGTATAAGATATCCCATGTCTTTTGAGTCAAATCAACAATTTCTGGTTGGTCCACATAGCTATAATCGATCTAAAATGAGTTCACAACGTGTCAGTATTGGAGGCCAAAATCTCAAGGGAGTTTGAATACCTTGTCTCTTCCCTGCATACATCCCTCAATGGCCAATTTTAGACACTTGATGTCATCTAATCGTTGAGATCGCGAGTGTTTGATGGCAGACGGGGAGTATAGCTTGTTGTATGTGCTTCCTTGTATTTCAGCGAGTTGAATCATTGAACAAAAGGCCTCATCCCAAGGGCGAATCGCTGGATCTGATGAAGGAGCTGGTGTTTTCACATCCATGTCGAAGTCTTGTAGATAGGATGCCCGACCCGAGAGCAGGGACATACCCTTGTCGAAGACATAAATGGTCCAGAACAGACGGCGCTTATTGCTTGAGTTCTCATCTTTCACGTTCTTATATGTGGACTCGCGATGGTATCCAAGCATCTGGCAGTGCCGAGTGGCAGTGGATAGCAAATGGCTTCCCATGAGTGGATTGGCTTCATCTTGTGCTTTCAAAATCTAAAAGCATCGGATGTCAGTATTCTTCCATTGCCAGAACCTTTCTCTCAAACAGATAATACATACGCCCATGGCCAGTGCAATGACATTTTCAAAGCTAGGAACTGCGAACACGCTGTGACTTCTGAGTTGGGCCTCAAAAGTGGATTTGCAATTCTTGAAATGAGTCACAAGATCAAATTGCTTGCAAAATCTGTCATTGGTTGATAGATACTCTCTCATGAGCCAATAGAACACTCCATGCATTGCCGCGATATCACCAGCTGAGACATCCCGAGTCGGGAAATAGACCTTTTGGCAAAGTCTCTCTATCAATGTCACATCATTGATAGGATATGAAGAAATGAATAGCGGTTTCTGTTCTATCTTGCCAAGTTAGGAGGAACTCTAATGATATGAAAATAGGGCCCGTACCGTGGAACCTTTGTAGCATTGCGAGTACTAGGTCAGCGGGCAAGCATAGGGGTATCTGACGAGAATTATTGGAATGACTCTGGGATTCCGCTCGATCTCGCTGGACTGGCCGCAGGAGACCGTTCAGTGAATCAAATGCGACATTCAGAGTAGAGCCAGCAGCTGGATCATTTGGATTTGCCATGGACTCAGCAGCTTGTCTAGCCCCAAGTGACTGCCTCGTGAATGAAGACTCGCCTTCGTATTGATCAATGGGTATATCGGAAATTGACACCACGCCATGGTTGGTTTCTGGCGTAGACATATGCTGCTGGGTAATCAAAGGCTGTGAGGTATGATCATGGGTGTTGAGCTTGGTCTCAATGGCTTGAAGACGACTCTCTAAAGTTTTGACGTACTCGCGCCTGAAATCGAAAGTCAGCATGTGTGGTCTTCATCCTTCGATGTCAATTCTCACAGATCGTTGGTTTGTGCTGTATTGGGTCGTTTCTCCTGGGCAGGCTCTGCTTTTTGGCAAGCGATTCGTGCCATCCGGCAATTTGAACACGGAATGGTTCGATCACATCGTATCTAGTATGCCCAAGTCAGATTCTTGTGACTTGCTGATTCACTTGGCCGTTTACTTTTCGTGTCTTGCACCCCTTGCACTATATGACGACCCAGTTAGCGGTTATGTGGAAAACCAGATCTGGACATACTGCTTTCGGAACCGTTGAAAGTTGTTGGCGCTTATTGGGAGGTTCATCTGTAACTTGGTCCATAGCGACTGAATCCTGGAGTTGCACGCATCAATGTGCAGTTACGCGACTCGGGTTTCTCGGGTTTCTCGGGCCCGCGGCACCCGAGCTGCGCTTCCATAAACCAATCACAATCGATTATTAGAGCCGCCATAGCTAAACCTTAGAAATCAGGCCTCCACATGCGGCTTGGTTCTTCTCTATACACTCTTTACATTCTTGACAGACAAAACAGGGAGGAAACAACAAAATCTAATCGCCCCAAAGGTCACTAGGATTTACCAAAGCCTTTGTAAGAAGTGCGGTTTGGGGCGCTCTCCCCAACTAGGCCAAAAGACCATTATAATCTCACGCCTGTGAGATCATCCCAAACTTCGCCTTTTATACTGCAATACTAGGCTAAGCATTCCGTGAGATACGAGCACCATGTGTGACACAAACGATATGTTTCGTTATATGGAATCTGAGACGTCAATACCACCAACACTCCCATTCCTTCGAAAAGTCCTCGAATCCACGTACCCCAAGTGACTCCTGAACTTCCCACCGCCACCAGTGCTCTTCTTCCACAGAACTTGGAAGATCCAATCCACTGCTTATTCGAAACTTTGTTCGGATCCATCCTCTAGGAAAGTATCCAGCAGTCTCCCAGTCGATGATTCCAATCGATCCAGTGTCAGGGATATCTTCCACAATAATGTTACCAGGGCCCAGATCGGCATGGTAAAAAACAAATTCGGAGCAGTCCATACCCATCGACTCACATGCTTGTCGAAGATTCTCAGCATCATAGTTGTAATCAGCCCCGTACTTGATGAGATACTGCTCAGGTACGTTTTTTCCATCCACGCCCCCAATCGTATCGCCTTTCCAGCACTCAAGAGTTTCGCAGGTTTTCGCCACGGCATTCACGTAGTGATGTTTCCATTTCTCATCAAGAGTGGGCCAAGCATTTGCGAGGGTTCGGCCTGGCACTCTGCTGAGAAAAAGGTAGGAACGACCGTCATGTTCCGCTTGGTGCAGAATCTTGGGTGTATCAAAACCAGGTTGTTGTTTCTGAACAAATTCTAGTGTCGTAGCTTCTCGAGTTGTATCATTGACTCGTACTTTGACTTTACAGAAAGCACTGTTTCCTAAGGACCACACAGCTGAGCGGTTCCCAGCGTCGTACACTAGCACAATGTTTGGATGATCCGGAGGCAGCGGCACGAACGGGAGCGCAGGATCGGGCGCATCGGTGAGGATGTAACTTAGATCGTCATCCCGATCGTACCATGTTGCGGTATCAGAATATCCGTTTGAACGATGGAGAATAAGGGCACCAATAAGCCAAGTATTCTTATCAACCTGCTTGATTGACTCCCTGACAGGGTCCTCCATTGTTTGAAGCTGCTTTCAACAAACAGCTGAGTCCTTCTAGTACAATGCGTTGCTATGATTGAAGTTTCGTGAACCCCTTGGTAAATTTGGTATCGAGATGTAAAAAAGGTCGACGTGTGAGTCGGGTTGTGAAGAGTTGTTGGAATCCATAGCTAACTACATGTCCAGAGCACCGAGCCCGGAACCCGGAGCCCGGGTAGGTTGCGGAGCAACCAAATTTCGCGAGTGCGCTGCCAAGCTGCACTGATGCAGCTTAAGAAACTATACACATCAACTTTGTGTTACTTCAAGATTTTGTTGACTTGTTATTATTTGGTATAGAGAAACAGTGAAACCAAATCAACAGATCTCGCTGTGCATTGCCTCTTAGCTAGCCCTCAAGGCTGTTCCCGAGCATAGAAGATGCTTGATGTTGCCCGATCTCTACGAAGCTATATTGACCATATGGCAATTCTAAAGCTCTTGTATAAGCTCTTATAAACATGTACAAATCTATCGTATAGTAAAGGGTTGATAGAGCAACATCATTGTACCTTCAAGCGAGAAAGCCCCTTCTCTATCCGATAGAAAAGAAAGCTACTACAAGCCAATCCCAACATTACAACTAAGCCCGCCTAAGTAGGCCGTGCTCAATTTTACTCTGAGATCAATATGCGGCAAGAGGTGAGCACTAAAATGAAAGAGGAAAGGTTTCGATGGCCAGGCGTTATCTGGTACATATGCACACTGGACAAGTATCAAATATTGATTTTTTCTAAAATGCAAATTCTGTCTTGACAATTAGTACATCTTTCCGTCAGCAATATCCAAAATCAAAATCCGGTCTTCGAGGGAAGTGTATAGTTCAAGGGGCCGAGTCTGCGATTTCAAAGCGGACATAGAGATGATTGTTTTCTGCTGCCGTCCAAGTGACAACCCGACGGATTCTCTTTGTGCCTCTAGGGAACCCGGAAATCACAAGACAAGCGACTGACTTACCCAACTGCGTCCCCAAAATTTCCTCGTACTCTGGAGTACCCCGTTCTAGCTTCAAACATGGCTTACCGCCTGCAGTTGCCCAAGCCACACCTTTTCTGGGGTAAAGCACGTCCCTACAATACCCAAACGTCTGAGGATTTACGACGTTCATGAAGATCACATGTTTCAAAGTGGTAATGCTCTCTTTAAGATGGTCTTCGTACAAAGTCGTGGCGATCTCGTTCCAATGATGGCCGTTCTTAAAAACGGAGTCAGCAATGATAGCCCCGACACACTCCCATTGCTTAACTTCTTCACTCTGGATCACCTGCTCCCCCAGTGGCTCAACCTCAAAGCGATGATACTTGGAAAAAGTCTTTTCAATATCCGTAGAGTCAAGGTCTCCGCCCTGCAAAGGTTGCATGAAGTTATGCGCTTCATAATCTACAACCCGATGTGTTTTTTTGAGTTCCTTCATGGTCAGTGTTACAGGCTTGATTGCGCAGCCTGGAGCATTGGCGTTCTCGATCCATGATTGGTAGCGCTGCCAATCCGCCCTATACTTGGCATTCAGGGCATCGCCAGTCAATGGTGCGGTAGTTGCTGGTGGTGCTGCTGGTGGTGCTGCTGATGGCGCTGCTGGTCCAGCCTGTGTTGCAGTTCTCCTGTTTCCCAAGCGAATGCCTTCCTCTTCGCTACTACTGCTGCAGCTGCCGCAGCACAATTTCCCGATGCACCCACATAATTGTTGAAGCCTGGTCATCTTGATTGATATATAACGCAAGTGTTTCTGTAGTTGATATAGTTGTATAAGTTTTAGGGTTGATAAAGCTTAGGTTTTCTTCTCAGATTGATGTTTTGATGTTAGAATGCTAGACTATCATGAGACTTCATGGGGTATTTATGCTCTGGGGACTCCTCTGCTTGAATGAGGATTAAAATCCTGGCCCTTTGAGACTTGAAAGCCTTTATCCATACCATCGAGACGGTCAATGGTCTTTATGGAACAATGGAACTAGCGAATTCCATAGTATGGACTCGGGAGCGACCCGCCGGAACAAAGCAACTTGGTAATGAACCAGGCCAAAAAAGGCGTTACTCGAGATGAAATCAAATCAAAGAACAGTATCAATGGCATTGATAGTCCCACCAGGATGAAAGAGGGATTGACAAAGGATTCGACCTCCGACGTCATAGTTCCCGTTTTGTAGTGCTGAACAATCAGCCGCCACATACCAGTAAGTCTTGCTGCAGATCCGCATTCCTTGCTCCAATCATTGAATTTAGCTATGCTGAGATTGAAATTGAAAATTGTTTAGTAGTAGTCCATGGATGTCAGAACCAAAAGCAAGCCGAAAGGTTAGAAACAGCGCATTAAAATAAATTCTAACAGATAGTCCGTAAATCCAGCTTGTCGGGCGGAAAAACCAGGCTCAATGTGCTGCGGATATTCTCTAACTACCTGGGCTAAATTAATTCAATTTTGACCTAAATTTACTCAAGTAATTCTTAGTTCGAACTTGGCCTCGGGGATTAATACGGACTCGGAGCCTCAGGCACCAACTCAAGTTTAAGTTTCCCGACGAGCCGCAGCCCCACCCGCTTCCAGTTGGGGCACTCCGTTTATTTTCCCTACACAGTACGCTTGGAATTATTGTTGTCTGCGATATTTAGTATTTGCTTGGCGGTAATAAATTACGCTTGATCCTGGGTCATGCATATGGGCTTATCCCCGTTGTTCCGACTGTTCCTTGACCACATGACTGGATTTGAGAGAACCGAACTATTGCTCAAGTGCTTCAAGGGCCCTGATGGTGACTGAAAATCTACTTTTTGAAAAAAGTGAGAGAGTTCAAAAAAAGCTGCTTCAGTCATCAATGACATAGAATCAACTGTAACTGACCAACGGAAAAAGTAAAGTTGGTGTCACGACGGAAACGGAAGTCTCCAAACGGACTCTACCCGCAGGCAGAAAGGATGCATGCATATGACAGGAATCGGAATAGAAACCTTGAAGGTTGAGAAACTATTTGAAACTAGGACTGCAGACTGAACTCAAACTAAATCGGAATGAGTGTTGGACAAATGAGCAAATCTCCATGAGGCTTGCTGTCATCGAGGCATAAGGGAAGTATCCCGTTCCCGCACTCCCGCACTTTTATACTTCGATGGTCGTCAGATGTGCATTTCCATTCACCTGACCTGCACGAAGGCGTGTGATTCTTATGCCTTCGGAATTGAGGGAAGCTGCCAACATTTGATGCGATTATTAGCGTTTGCATGGAAGATTCGGTCATCTTAGAAAATCTGAGGAATTTCCTAAAGTTATAAATTAAAATGTTACTCAACCGCAAAGAGTTAGGTAACACCAGTCCGTTGTTGCATCAAAACAAGTGGCTCTTTCTTCAAGGGCGATATAAAGAAACCTGAATTCTGAATATACATTCCACGTTGTATATTCCCATTGAAGAATGTTGTATTCGAGGTGGTTATTATTGTTGGCTTCGGCCCATGCTCATGGAGCCACTGTTTGCCCGATCCTTGGACCTGCATTCCCTGCACCGACTACACTATCAAAAGATGAATCCTTTCTTTCAGCAACCGAAGAGCTAACCTCGAAGCTCCACAAAGCAATTGACAATGGAGATCTACCCTCAATATCGTTTGCACTGCAGATATTCAACGGCCAAGAGCCTGGTTCGGCATTCAGCTTCTATCACACCGATGACATAATTAAGTCTGGAAATGTTGGCGTGAACGAAATTGACGAGAATACTATTTTCCGCATTGGCAGCATATCAAAGCTGTGGACAATGTTTCTCTACATGACCTTTGGTGGAATCCGACACTTCCCCGAGCCTATTACAAAGTACATATCCGAGCTACGTGCAAACCAGAGCTCTTCAAAGCCACCAAATGCGATCGATCATGTACAGTGGGAAGATGTGACTATCGGTGAGCTGGCAAGTCACCAGGCTGGTATTTTGAATAATTGTATGGCGACCTTCACATTTCTGCTTGTTGATGATACACTGATCTGACTCGAATATTGAACCGCAGATGGACTCTTGGACCTGGGGTCTCAGCAGAATACCCTTCAGAACCAAGGATTTCCTGAATTATCCGAGTCCGAGCAGGTACCATGCGGAAACACTCGCCCGTGCGACAGAGCAGGTTAATATCTCCGCCTGTCTACTTATCATAATTTTCATTGGCTAATCACTGTACTTCCCTTAGAATTCTTTGATGGAGTTCTAGAAAGACGTAAGTGATATGTGCGCCCATTCTTATACCCCCACATCTGACCGAGTGCATGTCATACTTAGATCCCGTAGCGGCAACTTCGTATACTCCACTATACTCCAATTCAGGATACCAACTCCTCGGATACGCCTTGGAGTCTATACTAGGTGCCAGCTATGAGGATATTTTGCTTGATCGACTTATCAAGCCACTCAATTTGACTCAGTCCAGTCTCAACGCACCCAACCCCGATCTGGCGGTGATACCGTACAATGAGACGGTCAGCTGGTTCGACTTTGAATTGGGCGACGCAGGAAGGTATTTTCAAATAATGTGGTCTCTATTTGAGTATTCAGCTGACGAATTACTAGCGTCGGGGGAATATACTCATCCACAAAAGACATGGCAACCTTCGGTCGTGCAATTCTCTCAAATGCCTTGATTGAGCCTGCAATCACAAGACGATGGCTCAAACCAGCAGCACACACATCGTCCCTACGCGGCTCTGTCGGGGCGCCGTGGGAAATATACAGCCATTCAACGCCTCGCCGGGTCGACCTTTACAGCAAAGCCGGGGACATCGGATCGTATTCCAGCTTCCTAGGCCTGTCCCCCGACCACGACACCGGGTTTACGATCTTGGTTGCTGGCAGCAGCAATACGCACCAGTCAACAGCCGTGATTGCAGACATAGTTGCGGACACATTGCTACCGACGCTTGACACGGTCGCCAGAAACCAAGCATTGGAGCGTTTCGGGGGAGACTACGCATTAAGTACTGGCGGTTCTAATTCCTCCATTACCATCAGTGCAGATGATAGCCCCGGTTTACACGTTGAGAGGTGGATCAGCGACTCAGTGGACATGTACGAAACACTGATGACTCTGACAGGAGTCACAGATCCCTCTGCGATAAGCATCCGCCTTCAACCGAATGGTCTTCAGAGCACAGGTCGGATTCGATTTTCGGCTGTGATATACGCACTGGAGACTCCGCCAGATGCTGGGCCCATTTCTGGCAGCTGTGTCTCGTGGTTCTTAGTCGACACGTTCGTGTACGGCAATGTCGGCCTATCTGATTTCGAGTTCGACCTGGATGATGACGGATATGCGACAAGTATCTCGCCTCAGGCATTGCGCATCACTCTCCCGAGGGTCTAATATTCGAGAATCAAGAGTGGGAAACAATGCCAAAGCGGGCGCTTTGACTCCGGTCTCTCGGATCGGTTGGGCTGACTAGGTCGGGGACCGGGGACTAAGCCAAGGCCGTAATCCGGTCAGACCTTGCCTCTCACCCGAAACCTGTGATCTCATCCCAAGGAGACGAAGTTTAACCCACAATTGACCGAGAGCCGGAAAAGCCCCAGAGATACTCCGGTTGCGAGGTTAGGTGGGGAGAGTTAAGGGCGCAAGGCACGTGTGGGGCTCTAGGGATGGAGCAAGGGGAACGGGGGCGCGAAACGTTAGGTGAACGGGTGTTTTCAGGCATGTCTGTGTTACGCGATCGCGCGATGTTTGGTTTTTCTTTCAACAACTTAGAAATGATCATGATACCAAATTGAGTTTTAGTGAATGATATTCATTGTGTTCAAAGTCCGAGTAGAACTGAATATTTGTAACTCAAAAACCCCAGGTGCTCCAGTGGAGAGTCTGTGGAAACAACAATTCATCTGCCTCATGGACGACTCCATACTAAATTCACTCCCGAGTGAAACCGGGAAATGGCGACTCCGACCGAGGCCGTTTTGGTTTTTGGGCGATTCTTAATAATAAAAAGAATTTTCTAGATCGTAACATTTTCCAGTGATTCGAGGCGAACGAAACAAATGCCTCGAATGCAATTGATTGTGTGGATATGGCGCCACGAACGCCTTGGCTCCGGAGTTCCATGGGTCCTTAGAAAAAGGTCTATGCTTCTAAAGTTGTACTCTGTACTTTGTACTCCGTTCTCATACTCGTACACTACATGTCTTGGATTATTGAGGTATACGTCATATGTACAAAGATGCCCGAGTCAGACTAGATCTGGGGTGTTGGGGAGATGTAAATGCCGGGGTACGGGGTAGTGTCTCTGTACAAGATCAATAGCAGGAACATTGACGATGACATCATAAGCCTGAATGCGTTGGTGTTTTTCATTTTTCTTTTTATGCGCGAGCCCAGACCAGCGGCTGTTGCTTAATGGGTAAGGGAGGACCCACTATTCAACCACACCGCCTCTTATTGGTCAACTCTTAATTTTTCAACCTTGGGATCTTCTTTTTGACTTTTATGTCCAGGGAGTATGCAGGGATGACTTCATTCCCGTATTTTGTGTCTCGAATTAATGTTTGCGGCAATTGGTAGAATACTTTGTACGAAGTAAATGGAAATCTCTCGTATAATGTTTGTGCACCTCCGCTAGTAGGAAAGGAACGAGGTTCAGCAAAACCTGATCTGAAGCTCCGATCCATTGGCGCCCAGAGCGGGGGCCTAGCACTAAGACTAAACTACTACATGGCCGAGCAAAGAGCAAAGAGAAATGGCTTCGGCAATGTTGCTTGTCAGGAAGCTCCTGACGTCAGATCTACCGGGTGGGGAATGCCAAGCCATAACAAGGATCGCGTTCAGATGATTTTGATAGCAGGTTTCTGCCATCAATCTCTATATGCAGTCTATGAATGTAGAATAAAAAACAAAAGCTGAAGGAGAACAGGATGTGCAAGAAAAAGAGCAAGGCTGAACATTGAATTCTGGTTCGTTTTCAATAGTTTGCCTTGAGCCGTAGATGCGTGGTTACGCCAGGGATCTCCGTTACCTTAAGCGGCGGATCCACTATAAATCCGGTTTAGAATCCAAAGTAAAAAAACCGAACCCAAATTTCGAGCACATGCGCGACTTGGAGCGCAGATATAACAGTTGGGAAGGGTCCACATAATTTTTTTTTTCTCTTCAACCCCTTGTTGGCTCACCCCGCATACCATGTCTCCCCCAGAGCAACAAGAAGCTCAAGCTGTACACAGCGAGAGCAGGCCCTCGTCTCATGGCGTCAGCAGCGACACCAGTGATCCTGTTGATCTCTCCGCCGAGCTCACCGAAAAGAAAAGTGAGAAGAGCGAGCGCTCCGACGGAAAGCGCGAGCTGAAGGAACAGGACTGCTACGAGATCTTGGGATACTCGTGGCCACGATGGAAGAAATGGTCCTACCTGGCTGCGGTCGCTTTCGTGCAGGTTTCGATGAACTTCAACACCTCCGTGTACCCTGCCGCGGTCATTCAGCTGTCCGAGCATTTCAAAATTAGTGAGCAACATGCTCGCACTGGTCAGATGGCCTACCTGGTCACCTACTCTATTGGATGTGAATTGTGGGCTCCTTGGTCTGAGGAGTTCGGTCGCTGGCCCATTCTCCAGCTCTCTATGTTCTTGATTAACATTTGGCAACTCCCTGCCGCTCTCGCACCCAACTGGGGCTCCCTTGTGGTCGCGCGTGCTTTGGTATGTTTTTCTTAGTGCCAGTATCTTTATGCGATTCCTCTAACAAATATTAGGGTGGTCTGTCTACTGCTGGTGGAAGTGTTACTCTTGGTTTGATTGCCGATATCTATGAGCCTGAAACGCAGCAATTCCCACTCGCTTTCATTGTCTTGTCCTCTTGCATTGGTACCAGTATTGGTGGTGTCATTGGTGGACCTATCGCACGATGTAAGAAACTGCCCCCCTGAAAACATTTCGCTTCACATTGCTGATACACTATTCTTACAGTCTTGTCATGGGAATGGTTCTTCTGGATTCAACTCATCTTCGGTGGTGTCACCCAGGCGATCATTTTCTTCATGCCCGAAAGTCGCTCGACCATTATCATGGACAAGGAAGCCAAGCGCCGTCGCAAGACAGGAGAAGACCCCAACATCTACGGGCCCAATGAGCTCAAGACCCCTCGTGTCTCCCTCAAGGAAGCCGGCAAGATTTGGGCGCGTCCATTCTACATGCTGTTCCGCGAGCCAATTGTGCTCTGTCTCTCTCTGTTGTCTGGTTTTTCTGATGCTCTGATCTTCACCTTCCTGGAGAGTTTCGCCATTGTCTACAAGCAAGGATGGGGATTCGGTACTCTTGGACAGGCGTGGGCGATCATTCCCATCAACGTCGCCTACTTCATTGGCTACTTCTCTTACTTCCCATGGTTCTTCCGTGATCAGAAACTTCGCCTCCGCCACGGTGACGCGGCTATTCCCCCCGAGCGCCGTCTCAAATGGCTTCTGTTCCTCGCCCCCCTCGAACCAATTGGTCTGTTCGGTTTCGCCTGGACATCATTCGGTGAATCGCGTAATGTCCATTGGATGGGGTCTATGGTCTTCTCTACATGTGTCGGTATCGCCAACTATGCAATCTACCTCTCCTCCGTCGATTACATGGTCGCATCATACGGTGTCTACTCCGCCTCTGCGACCGGTGGTAACGCTTTCGCGCGTGATCTGCTGGCCGGTATCTCGGCCATGTACGCCACGCCGATGTACACCAACATCGGTAACAAGTGGCATGTCGAGTATGCCAGTACTATTCTGGCCTGTCTGTCCTGTCTTGTCGTGCTTCCCATCTATGTCTTCTACTGGAAGGGACCTCAGATTCGCGCGAAGAGCAAGTTCGCCTCCACCCTGGCTGCGGACCGAGCTGAGAATAATGGCCGTCGTGTCAGCAAGATCAGTGTGGAGCCATGATCTGTTTCGCAGATGTACTTGGCTTTGGAGTTTGTGTGAGATCTTATGTATATTCGTCTCCCTCTCTGTATATATGACTCGTGATGAGTTAGAGGATTGCTTGATAGAGTCGATACGGACTATCATGACTGTTATGTTAAATATAATTATGTTCAAATCTAGAATCTCTGACCCTCTAAATCTCTAAATACCACTTCTAAATATTATCTCAGATGCTGACGTCCCATTCACTCTAGAGCTGAAGCCCCACCGATTGACACTGCAGAGTAAGCCCGTTAAAAAACGTCATCACCGAGAGGATTTTGCAGTGCATCCACAGGTAGGATCATCCGGGCCTGCCCGAAGTACTCACACATTGCACATACCACATTGCATCCAGAACATGTGAGGATGCAAAGGCGTTGGGCTGATCTGACGCCAAGGCGGGAGCGGAGGAGGACGTGCACGAAATAAATACCACGCACCTTAATCACCCCCCATAGCTTAGATTTCCCCTTTCTTGCACCAGACATCCTCAACATGATTACAAGCTCAATCGAGATTGCCGCGCCGCCGGCAAAAGTGCGCGAAATCGTACGTACAACCACGAAGGCCGAATGAGCTTTACTAACACCCTTCGCGCTGGTAGTTCCTCAACTTCTCAGCCTACCCAGAATGGCACACAGAATGGCTGAAGGAGATCAAGACCCAGGACGGCAAAGCCCCACAGGATCTGGCCTCAGGTGACAAGATCGACGTGAACATCGAGAGCTTCAAATTCGTCGCTGAAGTCAAGGTGAGTTCTGAGGTCTGGGAGCTGGAAATGCGCAGACATGCTGATTGGGATAGGAAAACACCGAGACCTTGTTCTCTTGGCAGGGCCCGCCCGTCTTCACGATTGCTGGTTACCATAAATTCCATATTGAGCCTGCAAATGATGGTGCGTCTACGATTTTCACGCAGACTGAGGACTTGAAGGGTCTGCTTGCGTTTATTATGAGTCCTTCCCTGCTTGGGAAGAAGATGCGTGCTCATTTCGATGAGTTTCATCGGGATTTGAAAGCTCGTGCTGAACAGGCTTGATTTGGGGGCCGGAATTTGCTGTGCACGCACCAAATTACTTGGTGCACGCGCCATTTGGACTTTTTTTGATATTATGATACACTTGATGTTAGAATGTTATCTATGTATTTGAAGTATCTATTTGAAGTTATGCATATTTGCAAGAGCATCGCGAGCCGGGGAAAGACAGAGTTGAGCTCGACTTTGGTGTGCACCTGCCCGAAGCTACCCTAGGGCATCAGGGCTTGGGAATATTGTTGGCCCTGGAGGCGATGGGGTTGTGAAGATTCTCCCACTGTCCCCTTCTCTCTTCCTTCTTTTTCCCCCGGTCCGCACTTTTCACCCCCGCATTACAACCACGCTGTTACTGCGGGATCCCTTTGCTCTTCTTGCGTAGCCTCTTCCCTGCCCTGTGCCCCATCATTTTGGAAACAGCTTCAAATGACGGCAAGAGAGTCTAGACTCTGGTTTGTGGTCGAGTATATACACCTTTTTGCACAAAGAGCGCGGTGCGGGTGTTTACCTCGCCTGATTTGAAACAAATAACCCCGAGACTTCGCCGAAGATTTGGCGATTAAATTGGCTTGGGAGCTTGCAGCAGTCATCGATTCGGGTGGGTGTCGGTAGACCTCAACATGGTGCACATCCCACGATAGGAACAAGCATTGTGAGAAGGGATGCTGTGCAGCTAGACGGGCATGGATGTCCATGCATGCAAATGGCTTCCATGTGATGAGTGTGCCCGTAACAAGCGGTAACACATTAGATCCGTTCTTTCAGCAATTCCCTGTAGTTGGCTGTGTATCACATGTCCAGGGTTTCCTGTCTGGCAGAAATGTGCCCTTGCAAACGGGGCTCGGTTGGGATGGGTTGGTGACGGGTTGTGGTGTTGATATTCAGCTGGGAACAAGCGTTTAGCTTGAACACACGAGCCGGAACAGAGACTCGGTATCATATAAACATGGCACCTGTCATATCTGGTGAAGCACTGAAGGCGGCGAGGTAAGACGACTCGGTAGGATCTGCAAGGTTGAATATGATGTCCCAGTGAGACCGGAACATCTCTTCAATGTTGGATTTGTCTAGCCAAAGAACGCTTCTGAGATGCACCAGTACCTGCTCAAAGCTATGCAGTTGGAGTGTAGTAGCAATTTCACACGCTCTTTCCATGAACTTTTGGAGATGATCTGTGCCCGTCGAAGCAACCATGCCGACGGCGACGAGCCACACATCAAGAGAATCAACCATGTGGGTGGGCGGTGCGAGATATCTGAAGTGCTCAAAGAGTCGAATGACGATCTCGTTTGATATGACTGCGTGTGGGTAGTAAGTCGGGCCCTGGACGATGAACATATATAGTATGATTGCGCATCGTATACATTCCGTGATCGGCGAAACTAAACATGCTGCTGCGTTCGAGGAGAGTAAAAGCCGATGGACCACAAAACATGTTAAGTCATGTATCTGGGTAGTTGTGAACGGCACTTGCTGTGCTCGCTGCATGACGTTACGGAGGCGGACGAAGACATTTTGAACTGCAGGGTCAATTTCAAGGGCGTTGACATCGAATGTGTTTTCACTGTTGACGGTTGACTCTAGTCGCCATTCCGGAATTGGTGGTATTCCGTCTCCAATGCCGTAATCATCCTGCGTTTCAAATTGAGGGTGGCCCATGATGAGCATTGAAACCCTAGTATCCCTGTAAGTTTGATGGATTTGGCTTCGTGTGGCGGCTCACTCACCAACTAACCATCCTGGCAGTAAGTGGACTGGTTTGTCTGACTGAATTGATGCCACCTCTCAAGTCGACTAACTTCTTGACCCCGTCAACATGCATCCGGCCGACTTTGACGTTTCCCTTGCCAAACTAAACATTCAAGGATTAGTTAAACGACCAAATTATGAAGGCAGACACTAAACAACAACCAGGGAAGATTCTCACCTCGATAGTTGCCAATGTAATTACAGAATTCATGGTCCCATCCTGCATGGCAAGAGATACATCTTCCACCTTCCGCCGAAGCAAAGCCACTGAGTCTGCCATGAGAAGCTCGGACGACTGAAAGCCCTTTTGGGCGAGAAGCTCTTCATCAAGGCATGCAGTCTGCAGAGACACGTGGAAGAGTGCTGGGTCCCCCAACGCCAGTGGCCACCAAGAAATGAGGAATGGATTTGAAGTCGCGCTCAAGTCAAGGGGGTAGTACTGAAAAGCGATCTTGTTGAGAACTAGATCAATGGGGGGTAAGCTATGTGCGGCCAATCAACACCAGGGTAACATACAGCCATGGATGAGACGTTGAACGTGCTCTCTGGGAAGTCTAGTTGGTGGATATGAATCAAAGGGGTCGAAATGTCCAAATCTATAAGTCATCAAACCATCATATTTGCCAGGAGGCTCCAACGACCCGCTCTCCGGCGGGCCCGGAGTTGCCGACTTGGTTGAAGGTTCGTTCGCATAGGCACACTCAATTTTACGCCGGGTACATCGGGAACAGCGTGGAGTCCCCAAGTCACAGCTGGACTTTGATTTTGCACAAGCAGCACACGACCGACGGAGACTTGGGCGCATTGCGAGATAGTGAACATCAAAGGGAGTGTCAGCCTCAGGAACCGCTAAGGTGCTAACGCGCCCCACACCGCCTTTGAAATCGCGATGGGGTTGGGATTGATTGGAAGATTGTGAGAGTCTGTTGACAGTAGGTCAGTTTGCTCAGACAGACTCTTGAAGACAGGACCTGGATACGTGGACTTCAGGTGACAGCCCTGGCCCAAAGAGGACTAGACTCCGTTTGTCCCTGATTCGGAGTCTAAGCCTAATCGGGAAGCATATCTATCATGCCATTGTTGGGTTGTAACGAGCACATATATGTACTTGTTTACTGGCATTTATTCGAGGTTACTCTGAGATTCTACTGCTACCTAAGACCTTGGGCCTCAACATGGATGCTGTAATATCCAACTTTTCGGAACCTCATGTTGAGCTGCTTCAAGCATGGCCTTCCAATCCCTCCCAACCTTCGACCTCCCTTCTTGGGACACTATCCCAATGGCCGACCTGGCAATATGTTGTGTCATTTTTGGTTGCTGTGATGCTATATGACCAAAGTAATCATCATCGCCAACTTTGGAGTCTGTCGTTCATTTAGCTAATATGGCCTATAGTCATGTACATCAAGCGCAAGGGCTCCATTGCTGGACCGCCACTCAAAATCCCACTAATGGGACCATTTCTTCAAGCACTGGACCCTAAATTTGATGGTTACCTGGCACAATGGGCAAGCGGGCCTCTCAGCTGCGTGTCTGTCTTTCACAAGTACGTGTTAACTGTTTCATCACATCACATAAGATCCTCATACGAAGCCCAGTTCACTCACAATGCATACCACAGGTTCGTTGTCCTTGCATCGGACCGAGATATTGCCCACAAAGTATTCAAGTCACCATCATACGCCGAGCCATGTATAGTGCCAATTGCCAAAGATATCTTGGGTCATAAAGCATGGGTCTTTCTGCAGGGCCGAGACCACGCAGAGTATCGCAGAGGCCTGACTCCACTGTTCACAAATAGAGCTATGGCCACTTACCTCCCAGTCCAGGAGAAGGTGCTGGCGGACTACTTCGATAAATTCACCGCCGCGAGCGCAGGAAATCAGGGCAAGCCAATGGAGTTCATGGCCATGTTCCGTGAGATCAACTGTGCCCTTTCCTGTCGCACATTCTTTGGTGATTACATATCACAGGCTGCGGTGAAAAAGATCGCCGATGACTTTTATCTAGCCACGGCTGCCCTTGAGTTGGTCAACGTGCCCCTGTCAATGTATGTTCCCTTCACCAAGCCCTGGCGGGGAAAGAGAACGGCAGATGTTGTCCATGTCGAGTTTGCGAAGTGTGCAGCTGCATGCAAGGCAAACATGGCGACCGGTGCAGAGCCGAAGTGTATCGTCGATCACTGGGTGCTCCACATGATTGAATCTCAAAAGTACCGCGAGAAGGTTGCAGCAGGAGAAACAGATGCGGAAAAGCCAACGAACATGATCCGCGAGTTCACCAATGAGGAGATTGGAGAGACACTATTCACCTTTCTATTCGCATCGCAGGATGCGTCAAGCAGTGCAACAACCTGGCTATTCCAAATCCTCGCCCAACGACCAGATGTCCTCGATAAGTTGCGACAGGAAAACCTCGCAGCCCGGGGTGGGGATAAAAACAAGAGCTTTGATCTCCCCATGCTAGAATCCCTCACCTATACCAACGCTGTTATCAAAGAGCTCCTGCGGCACCGCCCACCCGTCATTATGGTGCCGTATCTGGCAACCAAGAATTTCCCAGTGACTCCAAATTACACTGTTCCCAAGGGAGCAATGATCATTCCATCTTGCTACCCGGCTTTGCATGACCCAAACGTTTATCCTAACCCCGACACCTTCGACCCTGATCGGTGGATCTCAGGCGACGCGGAGTCCAAAACGAAGAATTGGCTTGTCTTCGGTGCAGGTCCACACGACTGCCTCGCAAGAAGATATGTACCGCTTTCTATGGCAGGTATGATCGGAAAAGCAGCACTGGAGCTTGATTGGAAGCACCATGCTACCGAGAAGTCAGAGGAGATTAGGGTGTTTGCCACGCTGTTTCCAATGGTCAGTCATTCCTAGCCTTTGATGATTTTCCAGTGACTTAGCGTGTTGCTTTACTGACACATAAGCAGGACGGGTGCCCACTTGTTTTCACGAAACGTTCATAGAGCGAGTGCTGGTGGGAGAGACCTAGATCTCTGGCTAGATCGCGCGGGCAGCAAAGCAATTTGATATTTGTACAGGTAGTAACAGGGAAGGCGTAAGCTCAGAAAATTAGAGTATGCATAATCCAGAGCTTCGCAATAATAAAAATCTTATAATTATACACAGGGGTCCATCGTATATATACCATTCCAGAACGTATTGGGGAATCTTTGAAACTTTCTTCATCGACCCGCTTCATCATTGCCGGTCTTTGGCAACATCTTGTTGATCTTTTCAACAAGTTCCTGGGTCCCGTAAGGCTTGTGGATGATATCATCCATGCCAGCGCTGATCATTTCGTCTCGCTGGGCCTCTCTGACATTTGCGGTCACGCCTAGGATGGGTACATGACCGCCTTTTTTCCCTTCAATATTGCGAATTTCTTTCGTTGCACGGTTCCCATCCATTATAGGCATCTGTTGATCCATGAGGATACAATCAAATTGGCCATTTTGATGGGCATCAACGGCCTCTTTGCCATTACTGGCCTCGGATATGTCGTATCCAAGTGCGTCCAGCTTCCGTGAGATGATACGTCTGTTGATTATGTTGTCTTCGACCAACAGAACACGCTGACCGTTTCCAGTCTGCTTTTCATGGTGAGTTGAACTTTGCTCAATGCGTTTCATGTGATCATCTGAAACCTCACGCGCTATGCTGTGAGTTCGCTTAGTGGTTTGATCACTTGGAGCACCTGGCTTTGATTCCCACAGTTCTTCTTCTGGGGGGTTTGGTGAGATTTCGGGCTCTTTCGTCGTCTGATTGATGCCGCGCATTTCATTTCCGAGTGTCTGGATATCAAGACAAAGACGGTCCATGCCTGAGATGTTTAGGTCACCATGACCATCTGAGCTCGTGTGATTCGTTCGGCGGACTTTGAAGAAGAAACCAAATGTGCTTCCTTGGCCTTCCTGTGAGCTCACGCCGATCTCACCCCCGTGCAGGTGGCACAACTTCCTACACACGTTCAGGCCAAGACCAGAACCCCCATATATACTTTCAGTCTTTGGAGTTGCTTGGTTGAATCGTTCGAAAAGCCGTTTCTGAGCCCGGTCGGTGATTCCAATGCCGGAGTCTTTGACGGCAACCATGATGTACGCCACCTCGCCCTCTCCCCATTCAGCGGTGTTGGTAGCATCCTTGCGGAGTGCAGATTCCCCGGACTCGAAGAAGACGATATTCGGCGGATATGATGATGGACGCTCTATAGAGGCACCCATGGACACACGGATGAACCGATCGCTCTCTGATTTTGCGGTAAACTTGATTGCATTCGAAAGGATGTTGATCAAAACCTGGCTCATTCGATCCAGGTCGGCCATGACCCAGTCAATGTCGCAAGAGTGATACGATACGTCGGCTTTATATTCGAACTGTATTCGCTGCTTTCGAAGCTCGGGTCGGAATATTGTAAGTGGGGTTGTGAGATGTCGCTTGGGTTGGACCTTTTTAGGAGATAGGGAGAGCATTGATGCGTCAAGCTTTGAGAATGTAAGAACATCGTTCACGATCTTCTTTTGATGTGTGATGCATAGGCTGATTGTTTCAACAGCCTCGGTGATGTTCAAAATGGATATTTGTTCCGGTTTCTTGTTGTATATAGCCTCTTGAATATCTTCGGTGCAATGCAATATTGCGGATAGAGGATTTCGAATCTCGTGGCTGATCATGTCGATGAACCTCTCTTGCTGTTTCTTGCGCTCTTGTGCCTGCTCAGCAGCATGTCTTTGTACGAGTTCGGCCTTTTTCTCTGGGGTGATGTCGGCGATAGTGCAGATGAACAGTCCGCCGTCTCCGACTCCAAGTGATTTGACCTCCTGTTTCCCTAACTGATCCAACGTCATGACGCACCACATCGAGTCTGGATCGCGAGTGTGGTATTCGATTCGTAGCCCTCGTTTCGAATCTGCCGTCTCCCGATACCCGTTGGCCACCCGCTCATAGTCGTCTTTGTGGACCGAGTTCAACCAACACTCTGAAAAGTTTGCCGTGGGACATGGGATCAGGTCTCGAAAGCGGCGGTTCACGGATATCAGTTGGTAACGATGGTCGAGGATCGCCACGCCATTTGGCAGGATGTCAGCCAGCTGCTGTGCCGAGACATTTTTGCTGAAGTTGAACGTCATCTAATTCACCGGGCTTCTTGCGCTGTCCTCGTGGGCTGTTAGAAGGATCGTCCGTTGAAGTTCTGGCAGTCTCACAATGATTAATTGCCTACGAGCAAGTGGCTGACTCGCATCGCAGGTAGAAGTTAATTGGTGATCGTCGTGTCTGATGTGTCATAAACCAAGCTGTTCGTGCAGGGTATGTAGTTTGCAATATAGAGGGGACGATCGCGGGGGATAACTCAACCTCTGTCCTATACGTCATTATTGTGGAGTGAGGCGTTTCTGTTCGATCGTCTTCCAAATTCAGTTTCGGGTTCCTTTCTCCGACGCGTTTCATTGGTGTCCATCTCCCCTTGATGCCACATTCCTGAGGCAGGAGTATGACGTAGTCCAAATCTGCATGTACTGCCTGAGGCCAACACAGTTACATTCCCCGACTTGCTCTAGATGTTGGTACTGAATATTCCAAAAAGTACGGAATAACTCGAGAAGTTATGGAACACCGACAATTTGGAGGTTGCATTCACTTTGTCAGTCCGACCTAACAGTATTTCAACAATGTTGTCAAATGATTGCCGAGACAAGCGACAGGCCAGGCGATGGGCCGTATGACCACCACCTACCTATAGACCTGTAGAGACTTCTCGCATCCCATCTTAGCATCGAGCGATGTGGCTTCACCCTCTCTTCCGGGATTTCGACCTACCCAGGTCCACAGATCGGATGTCGATGGAAATCGTTTTCCTAAGATGGGCGGGACACAGTCCGTCTACAAATATCAAGCATGCTCACTGATTGGGGAAAATGCGACTTTGGGCTCTGTTAAAAATGAAGATATATGCGCAATGATGTGATCCATGGATACTGCGTGTCCCGAGCTTAGGACCGGCGAGGCGCAAGTACCCCTGCATATAAATCAATGCACCCTACGTGCTGTAAAAGCAATGGGGAGTTCACATACAGTCCACGGTGATCATCAGGACGTTCGAGACTCAAATCAAATTGCGTGGTCCAGCTTAACGGGCTGCAAGAATGTGATAGTGTTGCGCAATCTGTACTTCAAAATGAGATAGACATAATTTGCTTATTATTGGTTGCTGATCCCGGGGCCTCATGTTGGTCAAAGCGATTGCTTGACTGCCGATCAACTTGGCAAAGGATCGGACCCTGTGGGAATGCCAATGTGCCCTGTTAGTCATCGACAATGGGCGCGCTCCTTAGGCGTTGGTCGGGTCCCTGAATCACAGCTGCGAGGGCACACGGACACCAAGGTAGACTCCCCATTAGCCATGGCTCCACCCCTCGGACGGGTGTGCGCCAGCTGTTAAAAGCGACAGAACACAGCACGAAATTTTCGATGGCGAAGCCCGCTTCCCCACTTGCTTATCAAAAGGTCTAGATGAATTTCGAGTGAACCGCCCAAATAATGTACGATGTACTCCGTACTCGTGCCGACCACAGATTCGGCGTGGCGAAATTTGTTGTCCCTATCTGCGCCAAATTTGAAATGATCTCCCAACAGGTGGAGTAATAGATGTCGTGCTTGCCAAATAATCATTGAGAAAAGAACTAATTACAGGCGTAGCATAGAGATCATAAACACTTGCCATTTGTCCTCTTTCACTTGAGACAGGACGTCTAGGAAAAATCTGGACTCCCGTACTCTGTACTCGTAGTGCGGCTAAATTAGCCCTACCGCCGGGATCCCGCAATGCTAGCGTTCGGGCCGACAACAAAGTTTTTAAGCCCAAAGCCGATGGCAATTTTGCAGACGCGTAGGAAATCTCCAAATTATTGAGCAGTCATACAATCAGATGCGTCTGCATATGTAGTACATGTGCATGATAAAGGCCGCGTACAACTTTAGAACGACAGAGACTGATATTTCAATCCCTTTATCTTTTCCACGTGCAAGGGACGAGATGGTCAGTGGATACAGCTCTTCGCAGTGGGTCGTGCCATACTCAAAAAAGTAATCCGAGAGAACATGCTCCAGTTTAAGATCTGGCTCAAAACGGCAATCCGAGATGCTTCACTCCACTTTTTAAACTGGAGCTGTTTGAAGATTTTGATTTTTTTTCGACCGTAGTACATACTACAGCTTATATTAGACTGATAGTAGCTGCCGTGTATGATGCTGGACATCCGTTTTCATCTTCTCTCTTTTTTCCTACATCATAATGGGCATTGTTGACTATTTCAGTCGACCGCGTGGTCTTGAGGCCCATGGTGGTGCTGACACACCCACTATGGAGGCCCCAAAGGTCATTGAACCTACTGTTATTTCGAGCCCAGAGTCTTCTGGGGCAGTAACACCCGCACACATGTTGCCGTCTCCGGCGGGAAGTGAAGATCCGTTTATTCTTGAAAAGATTCCACACCAATTTGGTCGCTTGGGTTCTTGGAGAGGATCTCTAATCTTGCTTGTCACCTCTGGTTCTCAATTCCTTGACAATGTGTTCATGACCAGTGCCAACATTGCTTTGTCTTCAATCCAAAAAGATTTCGAAGTTTCCGGTACCGATTTGCAATGGATGATCTCCGCATACACATTATCATTTGGCGGTTTCCTTTTACTTGCTGGTGCTTTATCTGATCGGTACGTTTTTCTGTAACTCAAATTGCAACAAGAGGAAGGTTTTGTACTAACTTCATACAGTTACGGACGAAAGAAGATTCTGTGCCTTGGTCTCGCCTGGCTATCTATCTGGACCCTGGCCATTGGCTTTGGTCAGTCCTTCATTCAACTCACAGTGTTCCGTGGAATTCAAGGAATAGGAGCTGCACTCACTGTGCCATCTGCCATTGGAATCATCAGTTCATACTTTAGCGGTGTCGACCGTACCCGGGCTCTTTCTATTTACGGCGCCTCTGGCACTCTCGGATTCTGTACTGGTCTTATCTTCGGTGGCTTCTTGACTTCTTCGCTGGGCTGGAGATACATTTTCTACCTGATTGTCATCATCACCGGCTCTTTAGGAGTTTTGGGTTTCATCGTTCTTCCCGCCGATGTGCCTTCGAAGCAGAAGCATGAGCGAATGGACTACATTGGAGCAGTGATGTCGACAGCTGGTCTGATTCTGCTTCAATTCGTCCTCTCAAGTGGCGGAACTTACGGTTGGGACCAGCCTTTCATTATTGTTCTCTTGATTGTGGCCGTTGGTCTTCTTGTTGGATTCACTATCCTTGAGAAGTACATCAGCAATCCGATCATGCCTCTCTCATTGTGGAAGATTCGCAATTTTGCGGGTCTCTGGGTGATTGGTTTCAGTAAGTGATTTTTATCACCCGCACAGCCCCTTGCAAGCGACTGACTCTTCATAGCTGGATATGGTACATACCAAAATGTCATCTATTACATTGTGCTCATTGCACAGGAAGTGGATAAGCTCAACGCTGGCGACACCGCACTCCGCTTCCTGCCCATGGGTGCAATTGGATTCATCGTATCTCTTGGAACCGGAAAGCTTCTTGAGTACATGAATGGAAAGCACCTCTTGATCGCTGGGCTGGTTCTAGCTGTTGTTGCCCCCATCTCCAGTGCTCTGACTTCGAGCCCTGAGTATAGCTTGTATGTATAATCCCCACTGCCAGAAGTCTTCATCCACTGACCTTGATAGCTGGGTTAATGTTCTCCCCACATCCTTGATCAGCATCTCATCTGTGTCATTCATCTTTGTCACAACCAGCACGGTGGTGCTGACCAGCGTACCCGTCGAGGTGAAGAGTTTGGCTGGTGGAATGGTGAGTTTCTGACCCAATCAACGCAACTTTGCTTCAACATACTAACAACACTTCCAGCTGAACACTGCATTCCAAATCGGCTCTGGTGTCGCATTGGCTATCTCGGCTGCTGTCACCGATGCTGTTGATATTCAGAAGGGACATGGCCTTGCCGAACAATATGGTACTGGCCTCTGGTGCTCAGTCGGTCTTGCTGGACTTGGCCTGATAATCGGTCTCGTTGCCGTCCGCGAGAAGGGGATCGGCCCCAAAGATAGACTCGGTGCTGGTCCCATAGCTGTTTGATTTCGCGCAGTGCTTATGTTCTCATTTTACTTACATTCATGGATAGACCGCGGATGATGCTTTATTTGTTTTGATTGGCTTTAGCGTTTAACGAAGAAATAGAGGATACACAGAGCTTGGTACATTAATGTTTTTGCATGAACGAATTCAAATATACTGTGATTGAATGGCCTCCATCTCCCTCTGCTCCCTCTTTTTGCGCTCCGTCCCTCACAAGAATAATGTTTAAACTTTAAAACATGCAGCATTCATTTTCCCGAAATGACAACATGATCAACCAAGCAGATGGTCAAAACGAAGGAATAAGCTTTGCTTTCACCATTCTGTCAAAGGCAATGCGGTATCCATCGACAGTGTCGATAGACTCCTTGAATCCAACCGAACGAGCCAAGTCGAGGGAATATTGGCGATCAAAATCAAACTCTACTAACATGAAGTGAATAAAAGGCCAGTTGAAAGACGTGATAGAACCCGCACGCAGTCCATGAGATTCCACCAGCTGATCCCAGAGCTCTTGGTGCTTCATCACGAAATCCTGTATAATGACCAGCTGGTCACCAGGCCCATCTCCTACCAGGCCAAAGTATGCGCAAATACCAGGCCAAACCTGTGCCCAGCTAACCGTCTCGCCGTTCGCAACGTTGAAAGAAGACCCATGAGTGCATCGGTCGCGATTCAGCGCAGCGAAGATCTCCATTTTGGAAAGAATGTCCTGGAACGTGTCACTGTGCTGGGATGCATAACCATGCGCCGTTCCGGGGAACGGAACCCTTGCACCGCGACCATTAACCTCTCTGTAAAGCGTGAGGTACATGGCAATGCCTTGAGCTAGGTTCATGGCATTCGAGCCTGGGACAAACCCGATGATCCCGTCTGGTCGAATCTCAGAAAATGACCACTTCCGGCCTCCCTCTGACAGTCTTTCGAGTGTGTCGTATTGCTCGTAGTAGAAGACGTTACTTCGCCATGGCTCTGGAATGCGAGGCATATGTTCGTACAGAGGTGGCCGGATGTCGAGTATCTGGGAGAATTCCAGACCATAGCCCTTTCCACCGGTTTGCAAAATCACCGTCTCCAGATTGGCACCAGCATTCTCAAGACTCTCGATGCTGGCGCGGAGGATTGACGTGTTAAGCTGCCGTCGAGAAGCAAAGTCTGAACCGTCGATGTAGGCTGGTGTTTAATTAGCTCAAGCATTCAATGTACCTCCTCGGGGATCCGTGGTGCTTACCGCAAAAGAAAACAATATTGATTGAACCAATGTTTTCAATCGTCTTCAGTTGCTCGGTGACCGTGTCCACGGATTGTGTCAGGTCAACGCCCGAAATGATTTTGAGCCGGTCATCATCAGGGAGACAGGCATCTTGCTTCGATAGTGGTCTGTTGCACAGGCCTGTCACACTTTTGAATGCATCTTTCGACGGATATTGAAGGCATTGATTCATAAGAGACCAGCCTGAAATTCCAGAGGCTCCAAAAACCAGAGCATTCTTCTCAATTTGTGGCATCGTGATTGTTGTTTGACTTGTCCACGGCTGTGAAGCTGGAAGGTTCAGAATAGCCAGGCGTCTTGATATTTTAACCACCAGCCATCCTTATACTGATCTTAGGAATTAGAGCTGACAAATGGTATGCAATTTATAAGCATAGCGATCGGAAGATGATGTCCGAAACAGGATATGGCTGATGTCGCTCATGTATACTCCATAGAGTGGGAAACTTCCCAACACGGTAAGTCTCCGACCAGATCGATGCCGATACCCCACATCATAGCGGCGTCGATTGCTTGGCTGCTCGTCTCAAAGCTGGCGAAAAGAGATGGGATATTTTGCAGATGCCTGCTATCTTGCTATGCATAGGTGTGTGTTTCATGATACACCATGGCAGCCAGAGCTCGGTCTGTACAGCTAGAAGAGCGATCCACCAACGCGATTCGCATATCATTGCATGAAGAGTGTTTGAAGTGAAAATCGAATGTAATATTCTCTATCAAAGCCTTTGCCGATCATAATTGGGACATGAGGCCTCTCAGCTTGTCGAGGTGCAGAGCCTACATTTGAAGTATACGGCGGGATTGCCTAATCGGGCGGTCGGAAAACTGCCGAATTTGGCCACCTTTCGGCTTCAATGTGTTTTTCTTTCTCACAACCTTGCATGGCTATTGAGTAAACAATTGATACCTTCCGCGGTGCGTTTCCTTGTCTCTTTATTCGTTTCTGTGCCTGTATTGGTCGAGGGGCTCCCAAGTCGAAGCCGACGCAACTGCCGAGCAGCCAGGACGTCATCTAATCTCCCCGCCTGGGCACCTGTCAGTGAGCCACCAGCGACACAAGTTACGTTCGTGTTTGTGAGCCCTCAAATTTCCGAGCAAACAACACATGTGAGACCCGTTACGCAAAAAGGAGGTCTTCAGCCACCGTCTCTGGTGCCGCGAAATGCCCGCCCGTACTACTCTCAAGTTCATTTCTACGACCACTGACGCTGGATCGCCTCGGGGTAAACGGGCCCGACATGCTTGTGAGACCTGCAGGAAGCGAAAGGTACGCAACGCGTTATCTTCGACCCTTGCGGACCTGGGTCACCGGGTAGAGAAACTGACATTTCGAACTCTAGAAACGGTGCCTGCATGATTCCCATGAAGCTTTGCATGATGATTCGTTGCCGTCAAAAGAGTTTTGCTCTGACTCACTAACTACTGAAACCAGTGTGCAGGAGTCCAACATTGAAGCTCCGCGGCGGGCGAAAAGTTCTCGGGATTTTCGATTGCCATCTAGTTCGACCAACGATGGGGTAAATCATGTGCTCCAGGAGACAGCACGGAGCTCGCCCAGTGTTTCTTCACCTGATGATGATGAAATTCACACTGCACGGCATAAAGCTGGTCGAGAACCTAACTTTATCTGCCACCTCAACCCAGAGGGATTCTTTCTCGCCTCGACCAGCCTTGGTGCATCTGAGGCTGCAAAGCAATGCAACTCCATCGGACTGTGGCTCTCTAGAGAAACGAGAAATAGCCTCTATGATGGTTTGGAGCCACATTGTACAGCTATAGATGGTTCCAATCGACACACCCGTGGTGGTACTTCGCGTGCCATCCTTTCAAGCATAGCAAGCACCGAGGTTTTGCCGACTCCATTGTGTTTCAAAACCTCGCGGTCTATCTATCTTCGAGATATATACCCTATCTTCCCAATCCTACCCCCCGAGACATTGCCAATACAACTCAAATCGGACCCCTCTGTTGCAGACACGGTCCTAGCCCAGGCGCTTTCTATCGCTGTAGCGACGAACATGTCTGCTCGCCCGCATCTCTGCTTACAGCGTGTAGATGGCGTCTTGGAGCCAAAAGAATTCGCGGGTCGTCTATCGCGAGCCATCTTGAGAACAATTGATCACTTTAAGATTAGAGATCATTTGTTATTAGCTCGGGTTTTCGCCATATTATCAATATTTTCCTCGTTTACGACCGATCTCCACACGGCAGCAGAATATGGTTACCGCGCCATCGGCAATATACACACCATCCAGGTTCATTTGGATACTTCGAACGTACGAACGGACCATGTCGTCGTGACTCAAACCTTTCTCTGTGTGTGGGCGATCGATCGCCTCAATGCAATCCTCCATTCCAGGCCTTGCATCATGCATACACGCGATATTGGAAGAGACATTGGTGCCTCGATTGCCGAGCAGCATGGATGCTTTCGCGCTCTACTGGTTATGTGCGACCGACTAGACGGTATCATTGATCTCTATCGTCCGTTTCACCAGTCAGGCGAACATGATCGTTCTCCCAATATTCCCGGCTTTGATGACTTGATCGTTGAAGTCAACGCAGTGCAGTCTCCCATACATTTACTAGGTGTGTTGGGGACCAGATCATTCCCACACTGGAATGAAGACTGACTTGACATATTCTACTCAGCCACCATCGAGACATTATACCATTCTATCGCCATGTTATCTCATCGCTTCCACTCCGTCGAAGACCCAGACCGTTCATCCATCTCATATCTCCGATCGAGCCTCTCTACAGCAAAACTCATAGGTCTGGTTGAGAGCAATCTTCCTCATCCATTGTCAAACTTCCCATTCGTTCCGTACTCGCTATCTCTCGCGCTACGTGTCTGTTACAGAGAGCTTCGTTTGAGCAAAACCCCTTTGTATCGCTCAAGGGCTAGAAGTGATGTATTGCATGTCTGTGAACTTCTAGGGACTTTCGGTAAGAACTACCCTTTCGCCGAGAGCCTTTCTCGACTCGCCACAAAGATCATCCGGGAGATGGACAAGGTCGCCACATCGGTCATTCAGGCTCGTCAGACGGTTTATGATCAATCAAAGGGACCAGTCTCCCTTGAAAGCGAGCAGAATACTAGGAGCAGTGCCGTTGCTCATGTCCCCGAGGACACCTTGGCTGAACAGCAAGACCATGCTGCTTTAGCCCATCACCAGAACTTCTATGATACTTCTGATGCGCGAACTATGCCGGAATATTGCGACGCGCAAAATGATGCAGAAGCGTTCGCGAATGTATTCAATTTGCCGGACTTGCCGGACATCTTTGACCACTTTGATTCGGACTTTAATTTCCAGCCAGCCGATCTTGCATTAGGACAAACATTGGGGCTTGAATCTTTCGATAACACTGATATTGGTGCTCAGTTGCTCTGATGGTTGGATTCACCGACAAACTCACTTGATACCCTTGCATTCTGTGGCGCGATGTACAATTAGAAGTTAGTTGAACAAAACACTCGAGCCTCACTGAAGACTTGAAGAGCTCAGATTTCATCCAACAGCAAGTCCAAATATCGCAAAGAAGCGGACTTGTTCGCCTCTGCCTACGTCATATCTACATAGTACCGTCACCCCCTGCTCTTACCTACCTTCATCTCCAGGGCCAATTCTCCCTTCATCAAAATGGCGGTTAAACCACGAACAGATCGCCCCGTCGCCATCATCGGGGGAGGAGTCCTCGGTCGCCGAATAGGTTGTATCTTCATCGCAGCCGGCTACCACGTCCACATCCACGATATATCAGAGGCCGCACTCCGCGACGCAGCCGAGTACATCGACACCCACAAAGCCGAGTTCTCACTCATGCCACGCATTCACAAGGCCAGAGAAGACATCAAGGATACAGCGGGCAAAATTACCGGCTGCGAGGTTGAAACTTCCATCACGCAGGTGGACCTGGAGTCATCGACGACTGCGCCGTTTGGGATCTGTAAGACGTTTTTGGACCTGCAGTCGGCTATCAGTAATTCGTGGTTGGTTGTTGAGGCTGTGTCGGAGTTATTGGATCTCAAGATCGATACATTTGCTAAGATGGATGAGTTGGCTCAGGAGGATTGTATGCTTGGGTCGAACAGCTCGTCGATCAAGTCGAGTTTGCTGGTTGCGAAGATCTCCCAGGAGAGGAAGAAGAGCGCTTTCAATATTCATTTCGCTATGCCGCCTGCTATTCGGACTGTGGAGATGATGACATGCGGCCAGACGGATCCCGATATCCTCTCGTATATGGAAGATGTGCTGGGTGAATGTGGGATGTTGCCGGTGACTGCTCGCCAGGAGTCGACGGGGTATGTACTTCACTTACCATATGGATGTCACTAACCTATATAGATTCATTTTCAATCGCCTGTGGGCTGCGATCAAGCGTGAAATCATGAATATTGTCTCCTCGGGTGTCAGTGACCCCGGCGAAATTGACTTGTTGTGGGAACACATGTTCAAGAACGGCCCACTGCCTTGCCAGTTGATGGATCAGATCGGACTTGACACAGTCGCTTACATCGAGGACAATTACATTCGCGAGAGGGGATACGGATCCGCAGGAACAGTCGATTGGTTGCGCAAGGAATACATCGACCAGGGACGCATAGGAAAGAAGTGTGCGAAAGGAGGGCTGTATCCGCCTCTTGCGAAATCTTCATCTGCAGAAGCGAACCCGGCGAACCCACACAGCGCAGCGAAAGATATCTACGTGCTCGATGTGGGATTGGGCGGGAATGCCAAGGATGTCTCGCAGGTACATTCCAATGGCAAGGTGTTGAGGCTGAATCTTGCCACGCAGAAACTGACCCCCGTAATGGTTGGTCAGAACCAACCGGACGGGATTGACGCATCGCTTTCGACACAGCGGATTTTCTGGACGAACATGGGGCGCAGCACTGCTGCGTGCGATGGATCTGTCTGGTCGGCTGATATGGACGGTGGACATGTAAGATGTTTGATCTCGATTGGTGATGTGCACACGCCCAAGCAGATTTCGGCCGTGGAGTCGAGGAAGCAATTGTACTTTTGTGATCGCGAGGGCACGAGCGTACACCGCTGTGGTTATGACGGGAGTAACCATGAAATCATGGTTCAGCGGCGCATTGATCCCAACAGTACATTGTTAGAGCAGATGACATTGTGGTGTGTTGGAGTTGCAATTGACGCCGACCGAGAGCTGATGTACTGGACGCAGAAGGGGCCTAGCAAGGGGGGCCGAGGTCAGATTTCCGTGGCGGGTCTCGATATCCCGCCCGGCGAGACTGCGGAGAATCGCACGGATATCCGCTGCTTGTATTCGAAGATGCCAGAGCCCATTGATATCGAGATTGATAGCGCTACTCAAACGCTGTATTGGACGGATCGTGGGGAGCACCCGATGGGATGCACCTTGAATCGCGCATATATTGGTGGCGAGGAAAATGACATGGAGAAAGTCATTCTCGCCCGGCATTTCCATGAGCCCATTGGGCTGAAGTTGGACAAAGTCAACAACATTGTCTACGTGGCCGATTTGGGGGGTAGTCTATACTCGGTGTCGCTGGATGATGGCGTGAAGACGGAATTAGTCCGCAACGACAGCTGCTACACGGGCCTGACACTTGTCTGAGAAGTGAGCATTGTGCACTGAATAGCCCGTACTCCGAGTACGGAGGACTCAGTATGTGTACATTGACCATCCGGATGGCAATACTGCCGAAGAACAGCCGACCCCCACGCAATATGGGGATTGAGTGGAGTCTTAGTCCAGGAGGATGAAACGAGTTGGTCTTGGACGTGTATAGTGTATAGCCCTAAGCGCCTGGTTCCTACAGCCACTCCCAGGTGAAGATGGAGTAGTGCAAGTATCAGATATGCAGGGCAATGTAAAAATAAAAGACCAATGCAAGTAAATGCCAATCGGAATCCCCAATGTACTACACATCTCGGGATATGACACCCCCTTTGCCCCTGCGCGACGATCCATTCCAACGCGGGCCCCAATAATGACGCCGATAGGTTGCAATGCATATTGTTGATCCCACTCCATTTCCCCCAGAGTACGAGTATAAGCACCCCCCAATTCCCACCTGTAAATCCCTCAACCGTGAAAATGCATCTCAATTCCCTCCTCCTGGCGCTAGCCTCCACGGCCATCGCGAAACCAAGCCCCGCGCCAGCCCGTCTATGGGCAACACACTACAGTGGCGATGTCTACGCGCTAGAACTAAATCACAATAACTTGACTATCAAGCAAACCCTCAAGACATGTGGTGCCATGCCGAGCTGGCTCACGCTTGACCCCCAAACGCGCACAGTATACTGCTCCAACGAGGACGGGACAGCCGATCCATCCACACACGGCTCATTGACGGCTCTGCGCGCCGCGCCAGACGGCCAATTGCGCGAAATCGCAGTGACCGACGCTGTTGGCGGAGGCGTGAACAGTGTGATCTACCAAGCGGACAAGGGGAAGAAATTCCTCGCAATTGCACACTAGTATGTTTTGTTTGTCCGTCTGTCCAGGCTTCCCATTCTAACATCTGCCAGTGGTGGTTCTGCCGTCTCGACATTCTCCCTGCCTATCAAGAAGGACCAGCCGACTCTTCAGGCCTTCCACTTCAATCTGACGCACCCGGGCAAAGTGGCGCAGCAAGACTCGTCGCACCCACACGAGGTCTTCCTCGACCCCACCGGGGCGTTCATTTTGAGCCCCGACCTTGGAGCTGACCTGCTGCGCATGTGGTCTATTGATGAATACTCGGGCAAATTGGAGGAGTGCCCGAGCACGAACGTCACGTTCGGCAGTGGGCCGCGACACGCGGTTTTCTGGACGGAGGGCACGAACGAAACATCTGGTGGCGCGACGCATGAACGCAAGCTTGCATCTGTTGGTAAGACGATGCTGTACCTGGTGAATGAAATCGGGGGAACTCTGATGGTGTATGATGTCTCGTATTCGCGGTCTGGATGTCTATCGTTGGAGAAGAAGCAGACGATTGTCCCGTACCCGAAGGGTGTGATGCCCAAGGGTGCGACGCCGGCTGGTATCAAGCTGGTTGGGGATGCGTTGTATGTTTCCATTCGGACGGATCAGGGATTCAAGCCGAATGACTCGATGGTCGTGCTTGACCGGTCGCCTAAGGATGGATTAGTCAAGGTGCGGGACTCTTCGTCCGCGCATGGCAAGGTGCCACGGACGTTCGTGATCAATCGGGCCGGGGATCTGGTTGCAATTGGCAACCAGGCTTCGTCGAATGTGGCGATTGTGCGTCGAGACCAGAAGACAGGTAATCTGGGCGAACAGGTTGCTGTTTTACAAGTTGGTGAGCCTGGGAAGGTTGGGTCGGCGGAAGGCTTGAGCAGTGTCATCTGGGATGAGTAAATTGGGTAGATATATAAACCAGTGAGCTCGATTGGCCGTTCAGAACGGCGCTCTTCTATAAACAGTGCGAAATGAATTTGCAGTACAGTTTGCATCATATAAAACCGGACGAAAAGAAAAAAAAAACAACCATATACCTCATGACCAAAACATGTCCGTAGGAACCCCATGCTGAAAGAATGAAAATGGAAACCCTCAACTAAAAAGCTCCTCGAAGGCCAGCTTCTTCGGGTTTTAGTATCTTGTCGGAATCCTGCACCGAAACTGGGGCTGGGAGGATCCAGAATCACGGATTCTGCCTCACAAAAAATGAATGAAAACAAAATAAAAGAGAAAAGAACGTGTATAAACCATCAGTCGTAAAATGCGTAAAGCCAAAAATGCAAGTGGTCTTAATATTCACTTGATGTCGATTTGGAAAGCCTTCCACTTTCCACCAACTGTTCGACACCGCGGGCACCCACGAGGACCTGGGTAACTGGTTGGCCCCTGCTGCATATTGTGTAGAAGTCCGTTGCCAGGGGTCCTAAATGAAGCGGGTGGACTGGAGATGAACATGCCCACACAGTCTCGGCAGACTCCACAAATGCATTCTGTACAGGCATAGCACTCATTCAAGGCCGAGGGTCGTTTGCAATGGGCGCAAAACACCTGCACCTCTTTATTGCGGAAAGAGGCGGGTGTGGGATTTGAGAACCGATGGTGTTGGCGCTGAGAAATGGGTGGGATCAAATTCATTGTTGGGCTACCGTCGGAGTTGATGGATGGCGCAACTCCTGAGATAGACGATGCAAAATTTCTGCCAGTGCCAGATGCCGAGGACATGGAATCGAGTGAGGATTCAATGGATGGGAATGGTTCGAGGTCGCTGTCGCGGCTGCGGTGGTTCTCGAACGGTGGAGGGGTCAATGCTTTGTGCAAGGGCGAAGCGGCGTAGTGATGCGGTGGGAATGGCCGGTGCGATGAAATGGGAGGCAGCCCTGTGGATTGGAAGGCGGGTGGTAGCGAAGACCGACTTTTCACGCCAGGAGCAGACGTCACGTTGGAGAGTAGTGGGGCAATCGTTGGAGACCGACCAGCCTGCACAATCAGCCATGAATCAGATGGAGACTCGGTACTCGAACTCACCTCTGAATAACGCTCATCATCAGCCTCTGTCGCGGACGTCGCGGCTTCGATCAAATCCTCCCAGCGCTTTCCTTGCGCCCATGCCGCAGTTTGCGGCTCTGCCGACAGGGCTTTGCGGTCGCCCAGGCTTGGCCGCCGCGCAAATTCCTTGGAGTTGGGTCGATCTTGTCTCGGCTTCCGGGCCGATTGCGAGATGGAGTTTTTGCGCGGCCGGGAGATCTTATCTCTGCGCTGGATCGGTGGTAACGTTGACGAGCGACCGGGCGGAGAATGGTTGAGAATGGATGGAAGCAATTCGCGGGGCCGGGCGAAAGGTGTAAGAGACTCCTGTTTGAAATGATCGCGAAGTGGGGGAAGTTCGATGGTCGAGCGCATATGAGGGTGGCTCAGGTCGGTGTCAGAATGGGTTTCCTGGGGAAATGCGGGTCAGTACCACCGAACGGAAACCGAGTCAACGGCCCACCATAAAAGGCGCAGAGGAGCAAGACCTACCATATCTGTATCCCAGTCCGAAGCCAGGCGGTGATGGTGCAATTGTGCCAGCGCAACTGCTGCCGTGGCCGCAGCGGGGTGGGGTTCATCGAGAGCTCGAGGGGTGGCGGGAGAGCCATCCGCAACGTAGATGTCTCGTTCCGGCGCCACATCTGTGGGTAGCCGTCAGTATCCCTGTCTAGCGGTGAGGGGCAGACCCGAAAGTCAAGGTCAAACCGACCATGAGGCCGCCTAGGCTGGGCGGGTTCCGGAGGAGACAGCTGGGCTCGTTGTTCGAGCGGGGTGTTCACCATCATCAAGAAGCTTTCCTCTGTCGCCGGGAGCTTCGGAATGTAGTGATTCGGATGCGCACGTCGAATGTGCTCCTGCATGGAGCGATAACGCTTTTCCTAGAGTCATTGGATTAGTTGGAATTCCGAGTAGCACGGGGCAATCTTGAGCTGCGCAAGTCCAGAGTGGGGTTGACCAGACACTTACCCCCAGACATCGTTTCCGACAATTGGAACTGTCGTTATTCTTCAAGGGACAGACCACCTCATTATTGGCATCGGTCACCGAGAAAGAGCTGGTCAGAGAGCTTCGGGGAGGCATGGTGCATGTACAGTATAGGTCATCCGAGAACCCGGGGAGGGGGGATGGTCAGATCAGAAGAACTCAACAAAGAGGTCACCCAAGCACGCCAGGGTATGAACAATCGAAATTGCAAAATTCCAAAATCACCTAAGAACTTGAAGAGAAAGAGTAGGAAGTAGGAGAACGGATTATACTTGTGGGTGAAAGTGGTTGGTATTACGGGTAATTACCACCTTTCGCCTGAACTCTCGTTTCGTTTAGTTTAAGTCTGGTATATACCAAGTACAGAATACTCCAGAGCTTCTCTTTTGTACAGTTTAGCCTCGGGGATTGTCCATGTATGAGTACTTTTCATGCAAGGTTAAACAGGCAGCTTGGTATGTCTTTATCGAGTATCGATAACCACAAAGAGGGGCTGCATGCGTTCTTCAGCGGCCATGGAATGTTTCATCTTCTGATCTGGCGCATACAGTCGCTTATTCCCTGCTAGAAAAGGACCTCAAAGGGTCTTGAATGTACTCTGTACCCCGTTGACATTGCCGGGAAACCAAAAAAAAAGGACAACGGAAAAAAAAAGATGAAATACGGTATAGACAGGTATTCAAATACAGCCGGACAGAACACGGCTGATCGGAGAGCCCGGTGGAACACCGAGCTCGATCGGTGCTTTTTAGGTCTTTGGGGTCAGTTGGTTCTTTCTTCTTTTTTTGCTTCCCTTTCTTTTTAATTTGGTTTTCAATTTATTCTGGTTATGTACTGTATGAGTGATCCAGCTTCATCAAGTTGAGCTTGGTGGGCAGGGGGACGCGATAGGCGCTATCAGCGGCCCCTCCAAAGCTCTCCCCAGAGCTCTCAGGATTCCAGAAGCTGGCGAAGGAGGGGAGCTCCGGGTGGCGATACTAGCGCCACGTTACAGTTGTAATTTGTATTTTATTTTACTTGGAAATCTGGGAACCAGGGTTGAAAGGGTCCCTATTTTTAGTGATCTTGGTTGCGGGAGAGCTTTGAAATTATTTATCTAGTTGATTAGACTATATTCAATATGTTACTACATAGCCTACAGTGAGAGTATAGTGTTCGATTCAATGTACTGGGAATACTAGGTAATATATTGAACCATTCTATAACCGACACATGCCGAAGAGCATCCCAAAGCAGCCTGATTGGTGGTTTCCCGGATCTCCCCCCACTCTTTCGCCAATTATGTTCACTCTGATTGGTTCCAGTGTCACACCATCCCGTTTCTGGTTGGCCGTGCAGGAAATCACCGGAAAAGTCTGAGATTTCTTGTCTTCAGCATACGGGTCAACTATACCCAGGTATTGACGCCAGGGGAAACACACTTGTACAAAGTGTTATCTCAAGCTCCACTGGTGTGGAGAGCTTCGAGACCCCGCCGTTATCGGTAGTCGACTTTCGACTCTAGGGCTGGACGTGTACTCGTATGCACTCTGCAAGCTTACTCGACACCCGTTTCACTTGCTCTGCACGATGTGCTATTTCTATACGGTTGAAACCCCTGTCAGCATACCAGCTGCATCTCATGCAGGGTCCAAGGCAACCAGCTTCGTTCGCCACTAGGGGTGGCTGAGTAGCTGATACTCCATGCCGGCCTCGTAGCCTCATCTGGAACCCTTGCCGCACTCGCCCCCAAGGGATCTCGGCCCCAAAAATGAAGCCCCCATCGGGGTTTATATACTCCGTACAATTGGAACGGTTGAAGCTCACCCCAGTGGAGGTGTCATCAGCCCGTTGCTCACCACCCGGTCTCCGGCCAGGAAAAGCAAAACCGCCTCGGCAGCAGCTTTGGCATCATCGTCATCCTCTTTGCCCGCAACAGCAGAGCGATTGATCTGTTCCTGGTACGAGGTGACATCCGCAGCAGGCCAGCTTCCTCGGCGTGCAAATTCGTGCATCGTCTCACTGTTCACGAACCTGTCGAATTCAAAGTGGCCTTGGAACGTCAGGACCCGACCGGCATTGTAAAAGCCCTGAATGGCACACTGGGCGCTACTACCGATGTTCGACCAAGGTGCAGGCAGAGATACCGGACCTGCCGCCAGTGCCGCAGGCGTAGGCACGACCTGATCACCGTGGATAAGTTGGATTCGGAACGGGGTTGCACGCGCCAGCGGCGGGAACCGCGCAGTGAATGCCGGGTCGAGGATGATGGGCTGAATACCCATTTCATAACCAGCTGACCAGTGCTCCGTGTGGTATGTGGAGTTGGCTTCAACGCCTGTGGAGAGTAATGCCTGGGCCACGATCTGGTGTCCGAAGCAGGAGCCGAAGATCTTCACGTCGGGGTATTCATTGTAGACTGTTTGGATGAATGCTTTCAGCTGGTGGACCCAGGGGCGATCTTCGTAGGCTGAGAACCCGGATCCTGTGATCAAGATCGCGTCTATCGGCCCCAGTGGGCCGGCGTGAGGCTCTGAGTTGGACCGGCGGAGGGTTTCCAGCGGTGGCAGGGATCCGCCTACGGCGTCAAAGGCTGTGATATGCACCGACAGAGCATTTTGATGTGGCTCTTGTGATTTGTTCAGGCGCTGTGCTGCATTTTGTAGGAGGTTTCGGAACATGGAGCTATACAAGCCCCGCTCTTTGTATACCGCGAGGCATGGGACGTCCGCGTCTAGCGCGGCCACGTGGATGCGAGCCATGTGGTCTGAGGATGAGAGGAAGAGCGTTTGCAAAATACAACGTCCAACCCCTGGAGTACAAATATGCCAAGTAGATATGGGATTCGCAAACTCCTACTCAATCAGAATTTCTGTGAATAATTTCGGTGGAGCAAGCTGGCCAGAATAGGAAATCGGATCCCTGTCAGTGGAGAATCTGGTTGGTTCATGCTTGTCACTTTTGGCTCAGGAACCAAAGATCTTAGCAAAAGTACTTGATTATCAAGAATTTTGGAGAGTGTGGAAAGACGACAGATCTCGAGCACAATGTATCTTTAATGCGAGGTACCTGCAGACTCCGACCCCACGCTCAAATGTCGCCGTTGCTTTCTCAATGACTTTCTCTAGGGCCTGCATGCGGTTGACCGTTACTACGAGGAGTTTGGCGTCAATGCCAAGGTAAATGCTTCTATTCCCGCTTGTTTAAATGGCAGCTCTCGTGTTTGAAGTGATCGTCGCTTGCGTTCCTCAATATTGCCATAAATAGCACATTCGGACTGGTCACGGTCAACTTGACGGGCATCCATGAATGATCATCTGAATGCAAGGCTACATGGACAATCCAATATGATCGCTTCTCTTCTGTATTCAGGGTTCAGGACCACATGTAATTTTCCAAATGTACTGCATCTAAAGTTCTCTTCCCTTTCATGCATCCTCTAGAGCTCTCATCTCGCCCCATAATCCGGTACCAGTGAGCTCGCTGCCCCTTCATCTCTCTGAGTAGACTTCCGGATCTTTTCGCATAGTTCATTGAACTTATCCTTAGTGAAGTCCTCTACTTTGAACTTCTTCAGCTGCTCCTGATGGTACCATGCTTGTGGGATATCGCTTTGCAGCTCTTCTGGCAGTCTTTGCGTGCTGTCAAGCCACGGCATCAAGACTTCTAGTGATCGAAGCTTCAGAAGGCGTTTCCTGTACTCGTTGATGTATTCACCGACTGATTCCTTGGATGTTTTGTGGTAGTGTCGGAATTCGCTGCATCTCACTGCGATAGTATCGTAGTGATAGCCTCCTTCCATGAGTTTTGACAGCCTATTGTAGAGTTCATCCGCAAAGAAGATCGATGATTTCGTCTTCCCTTGCTGAATAGAGTTCTTAATTGGCTTCGAGCAGTGTTTGTACATCCATTCCCCTGCTGACGCGGAGAAGAACTGCCATCTCGAGTAACCTTCTGAACCTCTCTCGGGCCTCTTTAGCTTGGTGACCAATGCCAGCAGCTGTAGCCGCAAAAGCACCAGACGCACACCTCTCATCCATTCATCGAAGTCGGATTCAAAGGTAAGCGTATCAATTTTGGAGAATCTAAGCTCTTTTTGCTCTTTGGGTACATGATCGACCTGGGAACTCGCCGGATCCCAGTCAAAATCGTCAAGATCCATGATGTAATTCGTTCGCTGCGACTATGCAGGTGGCCGTTGATGTGTATGATGATGGGCGAGCACCGCGACTATGCAGGTAACCCAATTTGATGATGGTTGTGATGATCGTTTGATGGTAGCGGATGCGGAGTTACGTCAAATCACTCCTCATTCGCTCGAATTTGATGAATAAAGGGTGCTGATGGTCCAAATCAGCGCGAGGGCTTCATAACCTGATAGAGAATATGTCTAGAGGAAGAAGAATGATGATGTAGATAGTATTCTCTCATCAAAAGCGGACGGGGGAAAGGAAGGAGAGAGAGAGAGAAAGAAGCCTCTATCTACTCTATCAAACAAGCCCTGTCATCCCAAACAGGGTCCGCTGATCAAGCAGACCTGACAGTCTTTTCCCACGCCACTTCAAGGGCAGTTTGGAGCCAAAAAAAAAGAGCCTCTGCTCGTTTAGTCAGGGGAGTGATTGAGTCTACTAATGAACGATCAGACACTTGAGCACTCGTCGACCTCTTCATGGGGTTTCAAAATCACGCTGTTTGGATCTCTGCATTCTCGCTTGGATATTATTGATGAGAATCCCCTACCTAAGTACTGCCCTCTTTCGCTTGCTACGTCCTGAAGTCGTTGAGCCTGCTACTTACTTAAGTAACTTTAGAAGTACAGCCCTGGAGGTACTGGTAAATATATCTGTAAAGCTGTACACTAAAGTATTTGCTTTGGACCTTCCCAATTGCCGATCTTGAATGGGTCACATCCTAATCAGCCTTGAAAATCCCTTAAGTCTCGCTTAAGCAGTCTATAGGTGCAGACTGCTTTTACATGTTCCAATGCTGGTATCAAAGCGTGTGAAACCTTGGAACCTTGAAGCCAGCTCGCAGGAGTTGCCAACCTTCAAATATCCTAAAGTCTAGGCACCGGGTTGAGCAGAGGACCAGGAGCAGTCCAGCTCTAGAGCCTGGCCTATTTCCAGGGGAGGGGGTTCGCTTATAGGGACTGCATGACCACGGGCATGCAGCGGGACATAATCGGGTTGTACATGTGGATAGATTAGACCTATGATAAAACATGACCCAAAGTGGATCTTTCAAGTGAGCTTCAACTTAGAAGGGCAGGATTGGTGAGTTGGCAGACGAAACGGATATTCCGCACTCTTACGGTAGGGAGATCGGGATATATCAAATACCGATATGTGTCCAAATGCTGGGCATGGTCATAGACTGCAGCCCTGTGCGAAGCATGGTTATTCACATTGGGCAGAACTTTCAACAGAGACAGAAACGGAACTCATCTCTCGCCCGACAGAGGTCTCGAGATCTAGATATTGGAGTCGCGATCGACGGGAATATTTCCCAAAGGGGAAATGTTAGTCGGTCACCCACAGGCCCGAGGAGCCGGTTCATATGCACGAATGGCAGCCAGGATCGTCTGGATAGAGATGGAGTGAAGAATATCCATGGATCTCATTTTGATCTGTCTCTTCTCGGCCGAGTATTGTGATTTAATACTATCGAATCCCCTCGACTCTTGACTATATACTCTTTAGTCTATGAAGTATACCAAGTACCAATCTCTGTACCAATGTTCATAGATATTTTAATAATGACATCTATACTACAGAGTATGCTATTCTATTTACGAGTATAGATGTTTATCTAAGATGCACGCCCTAATCCCAAGGAAATAAAAAAGAATAATGTTTTTCGCATCACAACATCGCACCCCGCAAATTGCGCCATAAGAGAGCCGAGCCTCCAATGAGCTCCATTCCACCACTGCACGTCGCGCACGCAATTAAATCCACTTCATTGCTCAGTGAAGACGACATTGCATTACTTGGATTCTTGGGTTACATGTTCATCAACTATAAATACAATCAACTTTCCCCTCTGGTTTGTATACACTGTACTCTATCTGCCTAAGACTAGCCCATCATGGCACCTGCAGCTACTTCAACTCTCCCAACTGCCCCTCACAACCTTACAGGTCCTATTGATATCAACTTGTTCCCCGATGGCCTGAAGACCACCGGTCAACATACCCCCCTCTACGACCACATCGTCCCCTTCGAAAAGTTCCCCAAGCAGATCACCGGTCCAACAGTCTGGGATCCAGAAGAATACCGTTCCAACCCTGAGAAATGGACTCACGTCTTTACCGACGATCAAATCGCCGAGCTCAGCACAGCTGCTGATGCCTTCCTCGAATCCAAGACCCCACTAACGGGAATCTCCAAGGTAAGTTCCATCAAACCCAGATCTATACAACCCATCCTAACAACCCCAGAAAAACTTCATCCTTCCCAACCTCGCTAGCTACCTGCACACACTGCGCGCCGATCTCATCGACGGCAAAGGATTTATCCTCTTCAAGGGCTTCCCTGTCGAGAAATGGGGTAACCACAAATCTGCCGTCGCCTACATGGGTCTTGGAACCTACCTTGGCTACTTCGTCAGCCAGAACAGTCGCGGCCATGTCCTGGGCCACGTCAAGGATCTAGGCGAGGACTCAACCCAGATCGACAAGGTCCGCATATACCGCACCAACGCCCGCCAGTTCTTCCACGCAGATGACTCCGATATCGTCGGTTTGCTCTGTATCACTAAAGCCCTTGAAGGAGGCGAGTCTGATCTTGTCTCTTCCCACAACGTCTATAACACACTTGCCGTTGAGCGTCCTGATGTTCTGAAGACTCTCACTGAGCCAATCTGGTACTTCGATCGCAAGGGCGAGACAAGTAAGGGACAGGAAGAATTTATTCGCACTGCAGTTGTATACCTTGAGCGTGGCGAGAATGCCCGTGTTTACACAAAGTATGTTGCTCTGCCCTTGATTGACGATGCAATATTAACTTTTATTTTTCAGATGGGATCCTTACTACGTTCGCTCGCTGGGCCGCTTCAGCGATGCTGGAATCATTCCTCCCCTGACAGAAGCCCAGACTGAGGCTCTGCACGTGCTGGAACAGACTTGCCAGCGTTTGTCGCTGCATATGGTTCTCGATATCGGTGATATTCAATTCCTCTCGAATGCGCATATTCTGCACGCTCGCACAGCGTACAAGGACCATGCTCCCCCTCTGCCTCGTCGTCATTTGATGCGTCTTTGGTTGGCTACGCCTGAGCACGAGGGTGGATGGAAGTTGCCATTCTGGGATAGCAATGAGAAGAAGAGAGGTGGTATTCAGGTTGATGATCAGATCCCTGTTGCGCTCTTGGATGCAGAGTAACTTAAATTAATGAGCTAATGATACCTTTTTTATATTCTTTTCATGTTATTCGTGTTGAGAGTTCGTATTTGTAAAAAATTGTATATTCATGGGTATTGTACGCCTGAAACCGGAACCCTTTGCTAACACCACTGCTAACCGCTAATGCTGATACAACTGCTAATGCACGATCTTGTAATTGCCCCCATTAACAATCTCCAATTTTCCCTTCGTGACCATCCCGCCCAGGAATTCCCGCAACTCCTCATCGCTAAATGGGAATCCGCCGGGGACAGCAATTTTCAACATCATGATAATCCGCGCCAGAGCCATCGGCCCTTGGTTCGTCAGCATACCAACGATGAACTGCCAGTGGACATTCATTTTCTCCATTGCAGCCGCTTCGGCAGACTCCTTTGCTGCTGCGGCGGCGGCTGCTTCAGCGGCAGCCGCTGCATCGGCTTCCCCGGCTTCGCTATCGGAGTCGGAGTCTGGGGCGTGTTCGTCCTCGAGAATTTCGATTACTTCAAATGTGTCTCTGGTCACTTCGTGAAGAACTCGTTTGCTGACCCAGAATAGACATGCGCTGCGGACGAGGGGAGGTGTCATCTCGAGTTGTTCGGCCAGCTCGGGGATTGATTTGGTGGCTGGTGAGTCTGGTGGGGAATCCTGGAAGGCGTAGATGACTGTTGCTTGCCAGGTTGTTACTTCGTCGACGAAGGAGTGGTTTTCGAACTCCAGTTCGACGGTCACTTGGCCGAGAGCGTTGTGCCACATCAGTTTTCTGGAGTCTTTGCGCTTTTCGAAGCAGGAGGCGTAACTTTCTTGGATCGCCGTGATCTCATCGGGGACCTTGAATTCTTGGTCTTGGAATTCGGGCCAGAAGAAGCGAGAAAGAATCTTTGCGTGGAGTTGTGTGTCTTCTGCCGTGAGATTGCCAGATACTATTTGGTCGTTTCTCACGGCGTGATCGAGACGGCGGGAGTCTGTCAAGTCCTTCAGCATGACTTCGCATGCTTGCAATGCAGAGTCCCCGAATCGGACTTTGAGAAGTTCCAAGACTGTAGTCTCCTGATCATAGTGCCGACGTTTCTGGATGAGACGGTCTGCCAGAAGAGTCTGCATTTCCTTGACGAACGTCTCCTTTGAATCGAATAAGCTGACTAGACTGTCGATGACATCTGCGCTCTTCGACTTGCGATAGTCGGGGGCGGCGTCGACAGGGTCAGGAAGCCAGTTCATGTCATCAAAGTCTATCTCGCTATTCTTGCTCTGCATGGAGTGCTGGTTGAGCCTTGTCAGCTCGGAAGCCAGCTCCACCAATGTGTCGTTTGTGACAGGTCCTTCAACCGCTGCAGGATCAGCTAGCAGACCACTGACGATCACCTTGACGGTGTCATCCCGGTCTCTCAAGTACCGTCTGATAGGCCGGGCAATGCGATCCAGCAGGACGCCATTAGGGTCCAGTAAATGGAAAGCTCGAATAACCGAGATATACACCTGTAAAATTTCAACCGTAGAAGCACCGGGATGTAGCAGTCTCTGCTGCAGGTTCAATGAGAACCAATGTGTCACGTACGCCCGCGGCCTGGTCTGAGTTACAAAGTGGCGCAGATCTTCCACCGCTCCACTGCTCGCAGGCCAGTCAACAACGACATCGAAAAGTTCGCTGACTCGAAGCATTCCAAGCCGGGCGGTGCCTACCGTCCGCCACTTTTCGACATCGCCAAAGCTCACGTCCATAGCCCCGGATTCGACCTCGGAATGAATGACGGACAGAACTTGCACTGCAAGGCGTGCGTAGACATTCTCAATCCATTGGCCCAGGTGTTGTGGTACACTCGAAGGCGCCTCCCACTCACCAGCATATGCGGCATGGATGAAGTCTCCCATTAGAATGTTCATCACCTCGGCAAAAACTTTCTGCGCCTTGTCTGCACCAAGCCCAACAAGTTGCAGACCATTCAGGAACGCCAACAGCCGATCCCGCGCAATGGTCACTCGGTGTTCCTCGCCCTCGGCCATCATGTGTTCGCGTGCTTCCGGTGTCTCCTCGTTCCAGTCCTTGTACGAGACGGAGTATGTTCGTTCCACTTCCATTTCATCTTCGCTCATTTCGGCGTCGAAAGCTTCGTCCAGGGTGTCAATGCCCAAGATGACCACGGCATCGCGTGTGAGTTCGCTGGCGAGAAGTGGTGAGATTTCCCTCCACGGTAAACTATATGAGACGACTGTGTGGAAAGCGCGCTGCAGTTGAGCGAGGTAACCCCCTTGGTGTGGAGTCAATGGAAGCAGGAAGTGTAGGACGGGGGCGAGATAGATCCGACGGGCGAGCTGTAAGCAGGCCACGATGGTGCGCAGAAGATCTTCTTTCTCTGGAGAGGCCAGAAGCTACCAGAGTTAGTATTCATAGTGCAGTCGAGGCGTCGTGTCATACCTTGGTCAATCCAGATCGAAAATTGATCAGGAAATGTTTCCTAATGTCGTTGCCATACCACTCAAACAATGTCCACGGAGACGTTCGCATCAGGTACTCCAGTGCCTCTGCAGACTCCTTTGACGGAGGCGCAAGCCGGTTCCATTCCTTCAGCAGCTCACTGCCATCGGTATCGCGATGAGTGTAGAGGGGTTCAAAGCCCAGGTTCGGCACGGAGAGGAATTCGGCCGCCGCCACGCGCGCCTGATCTAGGATTTCTGCATCTGCAGACGCAGAGTCTGTAGAACCGCCAATGGTCGCGAATGAATTTGACTGCGAGTCTGCTTTGACTGTGGAGATGGAATCGGTCGATTCGAACGAGGCGACGGGGTTGTCCGACTTGAGGGAATGGGCGGGCGACGGAGAGAAAACGGAGCCGAATACGCGCCTACGTCCTGCATTGAGGGGAACGGTGGACAGCATTTTGTTCAAGGGACATCGGGCATTGTGGGCTGTTTGGTTACCCGTGAGTTGATGTTGACGATGAGGTCAATGTTTGGGGACGCGTTTGTCGGGTTTGCACCCGTCAACTTTTCCCGGACATGTAGAGCTCTGCAGATGGATTGGTAGATGCGATACACACACATATATGTATCCGCTTATGTCTATGTATTTATCTCAGTGCAAATGGAATTGTCTATATAAGGGTATCGGACAAAAACAACGATACAAGTACGACTTGTAGGCGGGACGCGGAGACTGGAGACTGTTACACAGTTCTCTCGACGCGTTTGTGCTCAAAGCGATGCAAAGCGACGCAAAGCGATGCATGTAGATGTACAGACATGCACCCCGACCTCTCTGGCTCTGGCAAAGTTTCTCATCTTCCCCCTTCACTGGTCGTCCACCTTCTCCCACTCGCTATCGGTGCTTCCATAGCCCGAGCCATCCCCGCCGGTGCTGGGTCGTTTCTTGGAATCCGTCCCAGGCTGTAGATGCGTCGAACTCCCCGTGACAGTAGCCTTGACCTCCTTGGCTGCTTCGGTCTCCGTTTCACTATCCGTGTCGGACAGGCGAGCCTTCTCCTTCTCCTGCTCCTTCTTTTCGGCTTCCTGCGCTTGTTGGGCGAGTTTCACCTCAGCGGCGAACCAGTTGATAGCGTACCATAGTCCTCCGCTGATGATGGACAAGGCAACGAAGTGAAGGCTGTAGGTGGCGAGGAGGAGGGCGAAGAAGATAGCCTGAAGGGCGGCAAAGGCGACGTTGGTCGCGATCAAAAGGGTTGGGGTGGGTCCGGGGGTAAAAATGCTCGACCACAGGTCTTCCACAAAAGACGCCATACTTGAATGATGTAGTATCCTCTGTATAGAAGAGTCAAGGTGGTGACGTGGGGTGAAATCGGGAACTGGAATCCGTGGGGGGAAAATGGTTACCGCAAGTCACCGAAAGTGGAGTGTTTTCCTCTCCAACTGCTCAACTCCACAATATCAAAGGACTTTGATTTCCGACTTTCACGCTTAATACGGAGTACTTTCAGGGACTTAAAGTGGTTCTGGTGGAGATTTTACCCCATGGGGACCTACAAGTACGATATACTACGAGTACATCTTTTATTAATGCGGTCATATGAAGTGTCACGGGAATGTACAATGTGACGGCCCGATCAGAGGTCAGGCTTAAGAACTCCTGAAGTCAAGAACTTGGCATATTCTCAGCGGATTTACGCTTTGCCGCCTAGGTATTGGCATAGCTTATCTGGGATGCGTCATGTCTTACTACAATTGAAGTACAGACTACGGAGTAAAATACAATAAAACCCTCATAAGCTCATTGCCAAACCACGAACACTCGTACCCCGTACACCAGCAAACATCCAAGTGGGTCAGACAAAACCAGGCTCGGCGTGAGACCGAAAGGTGGCGCCGAAACCTGGAGATGCCGGGGAAGGACTAGGATCCTATCACAATCCACCCAATGCCAACCTCCGCTTGAAGGAATTGCCCGTACATCATCCCAATGCGACTCTAGGCGTCTACTTCCTAAGTCAAAGCAATGGTAGCATCTACCAAGAAGTAACAAGTAGTAGAAATCCCTCGGTCAAAGACAAACATGACTCCCCCGCTGCCAATGGAAGACGTCTTATTCTTTCTCCACAGCCAAGATAGCGCCGATCTTCCCCCATGGGTACTATACCCCCGCGGCAACCCGTCTTGTATGCAAGTCAGGTCTCTGCTTCCCCCGACTTGGCTCGGCCTTTGGGCAATTGGCGTTTTACCCTGGGACCGGGATCCATGCTTCCTACCACGCCCGATTTGCGGAGGGGTTGATACTTTAGACTTTATACGCGACGGCGATGAAAGCCTATAAGTATCCACAGAAGGCCGGTGTAGAGTGTCCTCAGACCCCAATAGTTATCCTCCAGTTCTCCCTCTATAACCCACGATGGCTGAGATAACCCCCGTAACAAAACAAATATCCAACGACCCTGTGGTCGAGGGCTTCTCTCATCATGCCGATAACATTGCCTCGGATCGGGAACCATATGGTCCTCCCGGTCTCAAGGGACTGGTGGCTAACCCATTCGTGCTGCTGTGTGCCGCCTGCTCAACGCTAGGTGGTTTGCTTTTCGGTTATGACCAAGGTGTCGTGTCGGTGATTCTGGTCATGGACCAGTTCTTGACTGAGTTCCCAAATATCGACGAGAGTAGTCCCGGCTCAGGGTTTGCCAAAGGGTTGTTGACTGCGATGATTGAGCTTGGTGCTTTCGTTGGTGCCTTGAACCAAGGATGGATTGCCGACAAGATCTCTCGAAGGTATTCGATTATCGTCGCTGTTATCATCTTCACCATCGGATCTGTCCTGCAGACTGCCTCATATGGTTACCCTATGTTGGTGGTGGCTCGGTTGATTGGTGGCGTGGGAATCGGTATGTTGTCGATGGTTGCACCGTTGTACATCTCGGAAATCAGTAAGTTTGCTCCTTGTCTCACTTGATTCTTATGAAGCATTTACTGATTCGCTGGAAAGGTCCCCCTGAATGCCGTGGTACGCTCTTGGTGCTTGAAGAATGGTGTATCGTTCTCGGAATCGTCATCGCCTTCTGGATCACCTACGGTACACAATACATGGTCGGGGAGTGGGCCTGGCGTCTTCCCTTCCTGCTGCAGATGATCCCAGGCTTCATTCTCGCCGCCGGTGTTTACGTGCTTCCTTTCTCACCTCGATGGCTGGCTTCAAAGGGTCGCGATGAGGAAGCTTTGGAGAGTCTCAGTAGACTACGATCTCTGCCAGCATCCGACAGACGCATCCGACAAGAGCTGCTGGACATTCAAGCCGAAGTGCGTTTCCATCAGGAGATGAACAAGGAAAAGCACCCGACTCTGCAGGGTGGTGGAAAGAAGAACGCGATTCTGCAGGAGTTGTCCGCTTGGGCAGATTGCTTCAAGAGTGGCTGCTGGCGTCGCACTCACATCGGTGTTGGACTGGGCTTCTTCCAACAGGTGTGTTCTACATCCATCCGAGACATGGACATAAGCTAACCGCGTGTAGTTCGTTGGTATCAATGCTTTGATTTATTACTCACCCACCCTCTTCGGGACTATGGGTCTTGACAAAAGCATGCAGCTCATCATGTCTGGTGTTATCAACATAGTCCAGCTGGTCGGTGTAACCAGCAGTATCTGGACAATGGATGTACTCGGTCGCCGTAAGCTGTTGATCGGCGGTGCAGTTTTGATGGCAGTCTCGCACATTATCATTGCCGTTCTAGTCGGCCTCTACTCTTCAGACTGGCCGGCACACAAGGCAGAGGGCTGGGTCAGTGTGGCACTCTTGATGTTCTACATGCTCTCATTTGGAGCGACTTGGGGACCTATCCCCTGGGCATTGCCATCCGGTATGTCAACAGCTCCTCATTATGAAGAAAAAGCTAACATGTATAGAAATCTTCCCTTCTTCCCTTCGTGCCAAGGGTGTCGCCCTATCCACATGCTCCAACTGGCTCAACAACTTTATTATCGTGAGTGCTTCTATCACCCTCTACATAGCAATTGCTAATTTTCAACAGGGTCTCATCACACCACCACTCGTCCAAGACACCGGATATGGCGCCTATGTATTCTTCGCCGTCTTCTGTGTCCTCGCCGGCCTCTGGACCTTCTTCTTCGTACCTGAAACTAAGGGCCGAACCCTTGAGCAGATGGACCACGTCTTCAAGGATAACTCTAGCGAGTCAGAGAAGGAGAAGAGAGCTGCTATTGAGGCCCAGCTTATTCAAGCGCAGTATGAGAGTGCGCATCGTGAGTTTGCTTGAGCAGGGCATTGCCCGGATGCAACGGTGTACATCAATCGAGCTTTGCTCCCGGATACCCCAAACCCCATTGTACTATTTACCATTATACCAATGACCACTTACGATCTTATGATATACCCAGCCCCCCAAGATTCAATTGCTCTGCAACTAAAGTAGATAGACGAGTACTTAAATAATTATGGTAGTATGCCTTCGCCGTGACGAGATCCGACCCGGCATCCGTGAAATCCGTGCGATCGTGACGATAACCTAAAGTATGGTGACATCTTAGTTCATTCTGGGGAATCGTGGGTCTAAGTCCGGGGTATTTATATATACAGTTAAAAGAAAGATGAGAAGTATATAAAAGGAACCACAACTTCCAAAGCTGGGGTTTATTCTGAAGTTGAACATACAATACATCATGTTGAATATTCTACCTGGAGCCCTATTTCTTGCTGCTTGTTACTCCGGAGGTACAGCGGCTCACAAAATCAACGTCAAGGCTCCTGAACACCTACCTCCTGGCGCTTCTCAGCCGGTTGATCACGCATTTGCATCATTCTCTTGGCCTGTTCATTTCTTCGCAGACTATGCTGGTATGCCATCAAACAAACCCCTGCCATTCTCTCTACTTAAGTACGATGATCCATAGGAAAAAAAAGCCATCCAAATACTTTCTCCCAAGATATCGTCAACCTTCTTCACGTGAAGACCGGCGCGTACCCCCATATTCGGGTTGGAGGAACTTCAGCGTAATGGATCTATCAAAACTTCCACAAAACTCACTGACTGAAACGCCCTAGTGATCGCGCTATCTATAATGCCTCGCAGGCCGAATCTATCGTTCTCTCCACTGAGTCAGACAATGGCATACCACTGGAAGTGTCCTTGGGACCAGTTTTCTTCGAGGGATTCGAAAACTTTCCCGGCACACCCTGGACCTTCCAAGTGAACCTCGCCAATAACAAGAGCAACGCTCTAGAAAATGCCCTCGCAGAAGCCAAGGTTGCTTTGAGTCATATTCGCGGAGACTTATATGCTTTCGAGATTGGAAATGAGCCAGATCTTTATCCAGGAGATGTAAGACCGCTAGATTACACGGTGGCAGATTATGTCAAGCAGTGGAGAGCTTTTGCAGATGCCATTTCTAATGAGGTTTTGCATGGCAATCAGTACGGCTTGGAAGACTGGAAGTTGTTCCAGGCTTTGACTTTTATCTTCTATTTCAATGGTTTCTCTACGTGAGTATCCGGCTTTCCAATCGATTCCAATGTCAATCTAACGTTTACCAGAGCAAAGGCATTCGAAGACGGAGTCAACGCGGACGGACATGTGAAGTCTGTTTCGTGGCATCAGTATGGACTTCTTTCCTGGTATACCTGGTCAAGACTGATTCAAAAATAGGTACGCCTCTGGCAATCAAGACTGGGTCAGACTTCAGGGTTAGTAAACCGATTTGCTTCCACGTATCGCAGTGTCACTGATCCTCTCAGAATCGTTCATGAACCATACCCTAATCACCTCCAACCTAACCCAATACATCGACGATATGGAACTGATTCACGCCAACGACCCAAACATCACATTCCTCCTCGGTGAAACAAACAGCGACTATGTGAATCTCAACATGAGCCAAGTTGAAGGCGTCTTTGGAAGCTCTCTCTGGCTAGTTGACTATCTTCTGTATGGCATGAGTCTGGTGCGTATGACCTCGGAGCAATTTGCTCAAGTCCCAAGCCACTGAAACCGGAACAGAATATCACCCGATTCAACTTAATCCAAGGAACGACCTTCGGCTACGCCGGCTGGACACCAGTTGAGCACAATGGCCTCGCACCACAAGTTCGGGCCCCGCTTTATGGCCAGATTTTCGCCGCGGATGCTATTGGTCGACACCCAACTGTTCAGGTAAAGGCATTGGAGTTCCAACGAGATGACTTGTCTGCGTATGCGATATACGAGTCTGGAATACTAGCTAGATATGTTGTTGTTAATCTGGATGAGTGGAACTCGACTACGAGTTACCCCAGACCCTCTCAGAAGTTTGAGCTTGATGTTCCGCATCATTCGAAGTCCGTTGAAGTCAGACGACTTGTTGGACCAGGGGCAAGTGCTGATACGGGGATTTCGTGGGGCGGTTTGAGTTGGAATTACACGCATGGGAGACTTGGGAGAACTGGGAAGAGACAGGTTGAGCTTTTGAGGGTATCAAAGGGAACTGTTACGCTGGAGTTGGACTCAACTGAGGCAGCGATTGTGGAGCTTCGGGAAATGTAGAGCAAACATGGAATTTGAATCATTGTTTATTCTTTATAAATCATGAGTAGCATACTATACAGTGAATACACTCACAGTCATTAAGTTCAACAATCCTTGTGATTGTGCTGGCCGTCTTGGTGGTGCTTATCTTGCCAGTAGCTGTAGCAGAGAGTATCACCTTCGGTGTTGAGTAAGCTCTCGAGAGTAGCGTTGGGCGCAAGTTGCCCAATATTGATTTCGTAGTCGAGAGTCACGTTGGCTCCGGTGTAATCGAGGGCGTTGACGGGCCCGCCAACCTGGTGGTAGCGAGTTGGGAGGCTCTTTTGCTGCCATTCCCAGAAGACACGATCAAGGTTACCGTGGTGAAGGTAAAATAGAGGATCTGTCTCATCAGCGAGTGTTTTTTTTCTTTCTTTTCTTTTTTTGTAACGAAATTTGGATGACATACCACCGGGGCTCAGGGCCTGGTTGCCCAATGTTCCGAGCACACCTCCAACACCGAAGTGTCCACTCCCATGGATGTTCGGCTGAGAGAAGTTAGGAATGTTTTCGATTGCCCGCGCCATCGAGGTATAGTCTGGTTGAGCCAGAACATGGTCGACGAGGGTCTGTTGCGCGAAGTAGTTCATAATCCAGGGGATCCAGTCGCGGCGAAGGCAGTCCGGCTGTCCCTTGGGATGTCCGACAGAAAGCTTGAACTTGGATGGAACGAAGGGACCAGTCTCGACACAACCACCACCAGTTCGGCCAGTCAGATTGAAGACATTCTGCGCAGAGGTAGCCGACATGTATTTTCCATTTCCACCGAATCCGCGGGTCGGGTGGAAGATATCAGTCTCGAAAATGGCCATGGAAGAGTTGTCGGTAGAGGATGCATCCAGTGACCAGTTCCAGTAGCTGTCATCTCGGTCAATATCGTGCAGATTTACGTCCAAAATACTCCATATTCACTTACGGTTGAGCACCTCTGTATCCACATTCCTCTCGCAGCCTCTTCTCATAGGTAGCAACAAAGTAACGGTGCCAGAGGATAAAGTGGCCCTAACCCACAATGATCAGCATCGACATAGATATTGAAGAGCAGGGTCTCTTACCACCCAATGAATGTTAGGCGTTTGACTGCTATGGGTCGCTTGGAAGTCTTCAAACCGGTTCGTTGAGTTCTCGAGCCCGGCCAGGGTGGGCTTCGCCGCCAGGCAGTGAACGGCGCTGATATAGTCTTGGCGCTCCGACAAGTTCAACCGTCTCCTAGATGAAACAAGTCAATCGAAAGTGATTCGAATGCTTTTGTGGTCCAAGCTTACCATTCTTTCCGCAGTGGGGGATTGTGGCACTGAGTAGCTGCACTTTCGCCCACCAGAAGCAAAAGCCCGAGTGAGATTAAATTAAAAAGCTGCATTTTTGTTTGAATGAAATACACAAGCTAAATCATCATTCTCCGGAGGCAGAGCTACTCTTTTAAACATTTCGTTTTGGGGCCGATTGATGGGCTACGGTCACTGGCTCGGCAGCAAGGAGCGAAGCCCTAAGACCGGACCTGCAGGCTAGGCCAGCGCCGCTCGGCACTAAAATCCAAGACAATTTCAATGACAGGCTCCACTCTTCTGTTCATAAGAGGGGCCATGATAGAGCTTTGGATCCCCTGTCACCAATGGGGGCCAAGATAGAACAAAGTAGAGTGGGTGGATTGATGGCGGAGGATGCCCACGTTCAAATGCTGCTGTTCTTTTGGGGCGGTTGTCGCTTGTTCCGATCATGCAAATACGAAATAATTCATCGGTGGAATTGCGAAGGACTTGAATTAGATTTCCCGCCACTAGCATGCTTTCGTCCGGAGCACATAAACCTAAGCTCAGTATAAAACGAATCTCGTTGGCCGTCAGCCCTGTGAAGTGAGTGCGTGTCCAGAATGGCCAATCTCGCCGGAGATGACGGGACCTCCACGCGGCGGAGTCCTCTCTGAAAAAGCAGTCTGTCCCAATGAGTCCATCGTTACGAACAAATTGACTCGAGAACAATCTACGCCCCCGCCAAGGCCTTTAAAGCGGGGTGGATACCGATCAGCCACCAACGGGAGCCAGAAGATCGTCGACGACCCTTCCCACTTGGCTCTAGTGTCCGCTTTAGCCTCATATCTGATTGCCCTAGCCGACTAGGTACAGTAGTTCCATCGGGTCACTTTGTGCTTTGCACGGCCGGTGTTACCGTTTGAATCATACCACGCTCAACCCTGCCCTTTTCCACCCCTGTCCCGTTGTGCATTGTGCGGGTGGTGAAATTACATTGCATCAATATAAGGCTTTTAGGGTGAGGATTTGACAAATGAAACATCTCTGGGGTGTACGCTTCGGGCAACCCTCTCGTACAGTACCGAAGATCCGCTCTCTGCCACTCTTACTCGGACGAATCCCCATGCGGGCCATAATGTCTCTTGCGTTTAATATAAGAAGAAAATCCCAGTCTTGTGACAGGTGATCCGCGCGATAACGAACTCTTGATCGGTGAGATCTCCGTCGGATCCAGTATGGCAATGGCATACATCTCAGCGAGCAATGGCTCGCTGCAGCCAGCCTTTTTGGCAGTGATGGTTTTGCTTCTACTGCTATCAACGCTCAGTGTTTTACTGCGGGTATACTGCCGAGCATTTCTCATTCATAAGGTCGGACCAGATGACTATCTGATCGTGGCCGGGTTGGCTATCACAATTGCAATGGGCATTATGAACGGTTTTCACGTCAGCATGGGTACAGGGTGAGCTATTCATCTGCAAGGGTTCTCTTCTTTAGTTCTGTCAGCGTTGTTAACACCCGTCAAGCCGTCATTTGACCGATCTACCATTGGACAAGGTCCTCATCCCGACACTAAAGCATTGGTATGTCTACCAGCTTGTATATCCCCTCTCGGTGGGAATGGTCAAGTTTAGCATCTTGGCACAATACTATCGCATCTTCGCTGTGAAAAAGTTCCGGATGGCTACAATTGCTGTTGGCTTGTTTGTATTTGCCTATACGATTATATGCGTCTTTGTCAACGTGGGTTACCTCGTGCCTCGTCCAGCCCTAGCTCTGACTGATCTACCAGGCCTTCGAATGCCACAGCAAGCCCTGGCGCGCATGGGACCCCAGCTTCCCTGAAGGTTGCAACAATCTGCCGATGGCATATTTCTCCACGGCGGGCATCAACATTCTGACCGACATCATAATTCTGATCATGCCACTGCCAGTCCTAGTCAAGCTTAATCTTCACGCCAGGCGAAAATGTTAGCAACCCTCTCTATCCCGAAGACTACCCACTGACCATGGCCAGATGCACTCGTAGCCATCTTCCTCTCGGGAGCATTCGCTTCTGCAGCCTCAATTGTCCGCTTGAACGCCCTCTATAAATACACAACCACCAAAGATGTTTCCTATGATGCTATCCAGATTCTCATATGGTCCCAAATCGAAGTCAACGTCGCCATCATCTCAGCCTCTGCGCCATCACTGCGCCCCCTGTTCAAAAACGTCTTCAAAAGCTCTACATATGCTCGCTCATACGGACAGACTCCAGGCGTATCGCGTACTCCATATGGGGGTTACGGACCTGGAAAGTCGAGTCGTCACCGGACGTTGAACAGCGATGGGGCTTTTGAGCTTACGTCGACAGATGTGCGAGATGCGGATCACCCAGGCATGTCAGTTGAAATCTCAAGTCCGGGGCTGAGGCCTTCACGGGTGGATGAGCATAGCTCCCAGGAGTTCATCTTGGAGGGCACCAACATCAATAAAACGGTTGTCATTGAGATGACGACAGAGATTCGGCAGTAGATTAGGGCTAATTTCAATATCAAGTGATCCCTTCCAAGGTTGGAATGGGATCACAATCCATGGTTCACATTGGAGGCTCAATGAACAAAGCTTATCTGATTGTCAAGCACGTGCTCCTTCCTATTGTACTTTATCCTGGCTTCATAGTGATATCACATCACCCCAACCAGCCGTAACGTGAAGTCCAGGCCTCGTCGGGTGGCTTGTGAGACAGCAAGCGTGGATTTCCCCAGGCTCTTTCACAGTCACTATGCTATCTCCTAGTCAAGGGAGCCGGGTTTAACGCCAAGAAATTACAACTACAGCACTCTCCAACCAACCCGTGAAGAAAACATCAAATTGAGCATCGTATTGAATCTACACACAGGTAAATTGGAAAGTAAAGCATTAGCAATGGTATCTCGTATTTCCCAAACGCCGCAAAATGGCCCAGATAGCGCAAGTAAAATGCATCACAAAACACCGTGTCGCGCTTTGAAAATGGATACTTTTTCATCATAAAATAGAATCTGTTGCAGTCGGTATCGGATCCGCGAGGCGATCTGCTCTTCGTCCACCTCCGAGTCGCTGGAGTTGAGATCACCTTCTCCGTAGCTCCCGTCGCTGTTGTCCGTGTCATTGGCTTGTTCTGGGCTGACCCATTCTTCATCTTCGTCATCGGTGGGGGGTGGGGAATGATCCGTTGTGGGATTGTCGTCGAAGTCGAGTGGGTTATCGTCGCTTCTTGCTTCAAGGATCTGGTAGCATTTCGTCTGCAGGCCTATGTAGGCGATCTTGAGATCTGGACGGATGCTGACGATATCCAAGACCTGGAGGGCAAGCTCTTTCAGATCGCGATGGACGGTGTGATGAATGTGGGGCAGGTATAGGGCCCGGAGCTGTGGCATACTAGGCAGCCTTTGAAGGAAGTAATGCTGTGGTTTTGATGATTAGCGGGGACTCAGTAGCATTTGACAACAAACTTACCCAGTCTCGGTAGTGCATCGACATTCCCAGCTCCTTAAGCTGCAGCATCTTCCCACTGGTGACGAATCCTATCATGTCATGGTTGAGCATCCACTTGTGTGCTCGTGGGCTGGAGGGATTTGCGCGATCGCTCGCATCTATGAGAACTTTCCGCAGACTTTGTCGGTGCCTCCGCAGAACATGGCGGTAGATGGCGTCGATGTGAACGGTGGAATCGTGACCGGGTCCTTCATGCAGAAAGACACTCTCCAACGTATTTGGAGCGAGTGCATCTTTGATAAAGAGCATGAGGTACGGCGAAACAGTGTCGGTGCGAATGTGTTTCAGATTCAAGGAAAAATCAGATACCGGCACACTCTCTCGATGTCCAGTAGAGGAATTACGCCTCGTCGGCATCACAGGTGGAGCATACTTGCGTCGCAGAGCCCTCCAGAGCTTTTCATTATCTTCACATCGCATTATGGTAAGTGTTGTTAATTTTGTCCAGTCGATGGCAGGTAGCAAAGTTGACACGGAGAGCGGAACACGCTCTAGCTCAAGGACTTTCAGATTGAGCGTCTCAGAGCTGGTATCAGCCACAGGGATGGGTGACCGGTTGTTTCGATTTGGCAATCCAGAACTTGAAGGGATCTTGTCGTTCTGGGTAGTTGAAAGCGGTTGCTCGGTGCTCGAAGGTCTTTCGTTGTTGTTACTGATACCAGGTGGCTTGGGGGCAACGTTGGTTGGGTCTTCTGGTGTAGGAATTACCCCAGTAGAGGCGTCGACAGTATCCTCTTTTGTATTGGGCGGTTGCTGCTGTGTTAAAATCCCGAGTATACCATTTGCTTTAGGCCAATTCGATGTGCCCTCAGAATCCTTGCCACAAAGCAGCCAGGGCTTCATATAGGCTTGATTCGCAATGCCGATTCGCAGTTCCGTTAGACGGCAGCGTGATTTCTCAATGAGGAGGGCCAACTCCTCCACATAAGCGGGTTCATCGATGTCAAGAACAGCGATACTCTTGAGAGGAGGCAACACAGACAATGAAGGGTGCTCCACGTGTTTGTACTTATGAAACAATCTTGTTGCTGCGGCCGATGAACTGCGCAAAGCGTTTTCTGAATTATCGTGCCAACGCACCCAGATTCGCTCCAGACGACAGTCATGACCAGGTCGATCTGCCAGCGATGCAAGCGCAAGCCAAATTTCACGAACCACCCCGGTCGGCATGTCCCAAACAAAGGCTTCAAGATTCACCATCCGCGCAACCGCCAAGGCGACCAATGTCCCGAGCATCTTGCCCACTTCTTTGGTCACTGAGTACTCTTGTACCCAGGCGATTGGGCCGTTGCCAATGGAGAATGTGCGAGTGTATTGGGCATAATGATTGCCTCTACGCGACCGGAACCTAGTTCCGTTGTCTTCCAGACTTGTCTTCGGGTCATGGTGAGGCCTGTCGCAACCACAGCTATGGCAGCTTTGGGATTTGCTGTTGTGGGGCAGAGGTAGTCGATTGAACACATCCTCGCCCATGACCAAGGTAGACAGCCCATATGACAGCGCATCCACTCCCGAATAATCATCAGTCGGCGGGTTCAGTGATTCAGGCCAGACGATGTCGAAGCGCGAGTACATGTGAGGGATAGCTAGGGCGTGGAGGGCAGAGCATGTTAGAGCAAGCGAGGTCAGATCATTTGTATGTACGACCTATGCGGAGATCGTCAGTTGTCTGATGGCAGCGAGAGAGAGAGAGAGGAGACCCGGCTTTACCTCTTTGATAATCTCCTTCAAAACATCCAAGGGTAGCTCTAACAGCTGCAGTGGCTGTGCCGCTTTAGGCTGGAGTGGGGTTTGACTGGGGCGGGGAGTTAATGGAGACTCCTGCTCGGCAGCTTGGTTGGCATCCTCGTGCTTCAGTTGCAACTTCCCCAGCTCCAGTGCGAGGTCTGGTTTAGCACCTGAATCGAGTTCAAGTTCCATCTCGGCGCTTTGACTGGAAGCAGATTCCTCTTCGTCGGACGACATGGACAGATCGGCATTTGGCTTATCAGCCCAATCCAAAGTGGCTCCCGCCATCCTAGCGTGATGTCGCAACAAGAGTGGAGCACGATGTATGCGTGAAGAACATCTCCAGCTAGACGCTGAAAAGACACTTCAGATTGGGTTTGTTTGTTTTGATCCAGAGAATATGATACTGAGAGAGAACAGTCTGGGGTAGTGAGCTCCAAGTGATCACCTGTTCACCTTATGTAAGCCTCGTGGTCAGTCAACTGGTCAACTCTGCAGATCGGAAGTATATAACCTCGAGGTATGGGTGTGCTCAAGTGAGAGAGCCTTGGAGAGAAATGCACTACATTCTACACAATAACTGCCGATACATATACAATGTATTGATTTACGAGACAGTGCTGGGGATCTCTTTCCCTTCCCTTTTTCCAAGATGGTGTTTTACAATCTGTCCTGCAACTTTAGAACATACTTCAAATCAACATTGGCCTCTGGGGTAAGAAGAAAAAAAAACATACTATTTTGATCTGGAATTCCAGAAGCGTCAGATTACACGTGTAATTTTCAAAACCAATCATGTCAGTCTATGGGATTTGCCGTCAACTAAGCCTCCAAGGGTTGGAAATAACCATCCCCGGGGCCTCCAATCTTCTACTCTCTTCCGAGGCGCTCTAGATTGATAGCCGCACTGATACATGCCAGGTGGCTGAATGCTTGGGGACTGTTACCCATTTGCTCCCCGGAGATGGCTACTTCTTCAGAGAACATGCCCAGGTGATTAGCGTAGGACAAGATGTTGTCAAAGTGCGAAAGTGCCAGCTTCCAGATGTTTGGGATAGGCACATCGTATCGGGCGGCCTATATATATCCAACAAGTCACCGCGTTAACAGGGGTCAAGTCACTGGGTGATTGCAACCTACACGAGCCATGGCTTCGACAAGCCAGAAGGTGACCATGATGAAGGCACCTTCACCTCCTCCCACGCCTGTGTAACAAAAGAAGGGCGTTAGCTGACATCCTTGCATATCAACCATTCTAGAGCTGCAGGAAAAGTCTTACCATCGTTGGCTCTCAGATGGTCATAGCGGAAAACCATCTTGGCACTGGACAGGCCTTCCTTTTCAGGGCTTTCCAAAATTCTCTTCAGCGTGCTGATGAATCGTGGATCATTGGGCGCAACAAAGAAGACAAGGGGCGCAATCAAAATCGAGGCGTCCAGCACATCTCGGCTTTCATAGCTCTGGCAGAAATGACCGCGCTCTTCGTTGAATCCTTTGGTCATGATCTCATCATACATCTCATCGCGGACTCTGATCCAGTCGAAACGGTCCGGGCATGGCAGGCTGGCACGTTTCTCGGCCAATCGAATTCCCCGATCCAAAGCAACCCACATCATGATCTTCGAGTAAATGAAGTTCTGGATTTGGCCACGAGACTCCCAGATGGACATGTCTTTTTGGTGTCGAACACCAACGACATAGTTCACCATACGCCGGATGGAGTTCCACTGGTCGTAGGTGATAGGGTTTCCGTGCTTGTTGTACAGGTAAATACTGTCTAACAGTTCGCCGTAGATATCCAACTGCGTGTGGAAGACGGCGGCGTTGCCGATGCGAACGGGCTTGCTGCCCTTATATCCATCGAGGTGATCAAGTTCCACCTCAGGGATATCGTACTCACCTCGGATGGTGAACATCAGCGGCAGGAAGGGCCTCTTGCTGTTAGGATCGAGATCTTGAGCGGCATGCGGGAAGATACGGTCGAAGATGAAGTTGACATACGCTTCAGCTTCTTGGCTGTAGCCCATTTTGAGAAAGACGTACAGCGTGAAGGCTGTGTCACGCACCCATGAGTATCGATAATCCCAGTTACGCGAGCCTCCCACATTTTCAGGGAGCGAGAAGGTCGGTGCCGCGACAATGGCACCCGTTGGTTTGTAGGTCAGCAGCTTCAGGATCAGCAAGCTGCGCTCGACCGTCTCGCGGTAATGGCCCCGGAAGGCACACTTGCGAGTCCAGTTGGTCCAATAGTCGGAGGTTTCCTCCTCCATCTTCCATAGGTAGGCAGCCATGGTAGCCGAGCTGGGCACGGCTTTCTCGGGGCTGTGCAGGACCAGGTTCACTGTCTGGCCCTCCGACAGACGGATCCACGCGACCAATCCGCGGCCTTTCAAGCCTGGACGATCCTCCAACTTGAAAGATGCCGAAGGGAAACCAAGCTTATCTGGCTCCCGTGAATCAGCAAAGATCTCGACCTGCAGTCTTTCTTCCTCGCTCTCAAAGTGGATCGTCTGAAGTCGGTGCTTGCACAAGTCATTTTCCAACTTCGCACGGGTGTTGTGCGAGTCTCGTGCATAGTTGAAAGCCGGAAAGAGCTCTACTTGCAACTCCATCGATCCACGGCTGCACTCCAGTTTTCTGATCAAGCCCGAGTGCTGCAGTCCCGACTTGAATCGGTTGGTACCTGGTTCATTGCAGGGACAGTACCCCGATAGTAGCCGAGCTGACTGAGCGCCCTTCTTGGGGTTGACTGGGAAATAGTCTAGCATGGTCACCACACCGTCCTCATTGGTCCATCGGGTCTCCAGAAGGTTGGAATAGGGAAGGTATCGTTGCTTGCTGTGGGCATCGACGACCGTCTTGTAGGGGGCCACCGCGAAGAAGCCCCCTTTCTTGTCGTCCAACAAACGACAGAAGACGGTAGGGGAGTCGAAGACCGGCCAGCACATGTAATCCAGGCTACCGGCCTTGCTGATCAGGGCACACGTGTGCATGTCCCCGATCAAGCCATAGTCCTCAATGGCATTGTACGCAGATTCGGTCATGACGGCGATCAAGGTGCACGATCAGAGGGATTTCAATTCCTGAGGAGAGTACCACAAAGCTGGAACGGAATGAAATAATACTCTGCAGCACCGGTACGCAGTGCAATGGAAGAGAAGAAAAAGGGCAGAAACAGAGAGACCAACCCAGCAGTCGCTGAGCTCCATCCGCATCGTCCGAGCTATATCCTCGGAACTGATGGGAGACGCCACGACATGATGATGGTGCAATCTGAGGTCATGGCTATGCCGGGTTGGGACTTTTAGAGAGAAGCCCAAAGCCCGGCCACGACGCATGAGGGCTCAAGGATCTCTGTTGGCTCGGTGTTTTGTACATTTCGTACACATGTGTCTCCTATCCCTCAACACAGAGCCATGCGCCTTCAGAGTATTGCCTCCAAGAACCACCATGTTCATATATTGAGGACAACAACATCGGAGATGTCAATCCGCCAATGGAATCAGCAACCAAGAAAGAGGTCTTTTGTTCAATGACCCCGGATCGACCGGACAGTGGAGAACAAAAAAAAGCCCAGTGGGACCAGTGAGAGACGAAAAGGACAAAGTGCGACCGCCCTGAGAAAGTGGTTTCATCCAAGGTCCCTTGATCTCGTACTCGTTCCTTTTTTTACCTCTTCGTCAATTTTCCTATTTCTTTTTTGTTTTTTACTGCATTTGTCTGCATTTGTCACTCCCTTGAACTCCTCGAATACAAACTTGTCAAACCTGAACCCCCTCCCTTTTCTTTGTCAGCATTTCGGAGCTTCACCTTACACTGTCGTGTGACACCTCGTTCTTCCATTCCACCCCCATGGGGCAGTCAAATCTTGTGTTCACCGCTCATTTCTACTCGAATTAACCTGTAAACCCTCAACATGGGGCCTCCCGGCAACCACCACCGTCGGCGCAGCTCCATGCTTACCGGGGCAGGGCGATCACAACCGGCTCCAACAGACCGGAGAGACGAAGGCATGTGGTCGCATGCAGATGGGGCGAACAAACGCGAAGAGCAGGAACCTTTGACGGCAGAGGACACCGATGCGTCCGAACATTCATCCGCCGCCGAGAGCCTGGAGCTGGACCCGATCAGCTCGGACGATGACCAATATGATGAGGAAACCGGTCTCACAACAAATCAAAGACGTCAGCGACGTCGTCGGCGAAGACAGCGTCGCAAGCTCGACGCTCGAATCGCGGATGTCAAGGGCCAGGGAAACATTCGCGAGATACTCTCGGATCGCAATGTGGTGAAGAGGTTGCTCATCAATGGCGCACTGATCCTGATGTGGTACCTCTTCTCCTTATCGATCTCAATAGTGAGTCTCCCTCTTGTGAACCATTTAAGCCTGTCTGTATCAAAACTAACCAATCCCCCCTGCAGTATAACAAATGGATGTTTTCCGAGAGCGATGTCGTCTTCCCTTTCCCTCTTTTCACAACAAGCTTGCACATGCTCGTCCAATTCACTCTTGCCACAATAATATTATGGATATTCCCATCGCTTCGTCCACGGCAACCGGCCGGGTCTGCGACCACCTCCCCCATTGATGGCCCCGAAGAGCCACAACCTCTCATATCTAAATTCTTTTACTTTACTCGCCTCGTCCCGTGCGGTGCTGCCACCTCGCTCGACATTGGCCTTGGAAACATGTCCCTCAAGTTCATTTCTCTTACTTTCCTGACCATGTGCAAATCATCTGCCTTGGCTTTTGTACTCTTATTCGCCTTCCTCTTCCGTTTGGAATCGCCGTCCATGAAACTCATCATCATCATCGCCACAATGACCATAGGTGTGGTGATGATGGTCGCTGGAGAGACTGCGTTCAATGCACTTGGCTTTTCACTCGTCATTGCATCTGCGTTCTTCTCGGGATTCCGGTGGGGCTTGACCCAGATCCTCCTGCTACGCCATCCGGCCACTTCAAACCCCTTCTCCACTCTTTTCTTGCTTACTCCCATCATGTTCGTTTCTCTGATCACCATCGCGCTGTCTGTTGAGGGTCCCCACGAGATTTACAAGGGATACCTTAAGCTCGCTAGCGTGCATGGCGACTTGATGGGCACTTTCCTACTCATTTTCCCTGGAGTCCTTGCATTCTGCATGATTTCCTCTGAGTTCGCACTTTTGAAGCGTTCTTCCGTTGTCACATTGAGTATCTGCGGTATATTCAAGGAGGTCGTGACAATCAGCGCAGCGGGCATCATTTTCCACGATAAGCTCACAGCGGTCAACCTCACCGGTTTGGTCGTGACAATCAGTAGTATCGCAGCATACAACTATATGAAAATCGCAGGAATGCACGCCGAGTCCAAGGAGGACGATTGGAGTCGCGAGTCGAGTCCGATGACCGATACCGAAGGCGAAGGCGAGTACAGTGGTGGTGAGCGAGGTGACTATCGTCAAGTTGCACCCCAAGACTCGAGCATCGTCAGCCCAGTACCGGGAACTCGGTTCAATGAGGAGACCTCACCAGCCGGTGACCAGCGCCGCTCATTCCGGGTCCGCGCCAGCGGCTCCCGACACGGACTTTCCATTTCCACCACCATCCCAGAAGATGATGGACTACCGACGCCCATCAAGTCCGCTCCCCCAACTATTACAACTATGGCTGAGGCGGGATTTCCTCAGCTTAATGCCTCTACTCGCGAAGCATCGCCGGCCATACAATCGACCTCATCGACCTCGCCTACTCGAGGCCAACATTTCACTTAGCACTAGCATATCATACCCACCTCTCGTTGGTTTGACTATACTGTACATGTGGTAGTCTTTTATACATGTTTACGATGTTGGGTCTGTGACCTACAAGAAACAGCGATTGGAACATCATGTCTACTTAAATGAATGGGTCATGTTCTGGAATGACCAGGATACGACGTTTTGTGTGCATGGCGGCTTGACTTCTGGCTTTTGCTCAACTGATACCATCAATCAAATTTCCTTCTTCATAATACGCCAATGCCGGATAAAGTTCGCATTTTTTTACAAGTAATCAGTACACAGATGTGACAGCACATCCTCTCTAGTCCTTCTTTGCATCACCCTTCATCATATCCATAAGACTCTTCTGCCCCTTCGCTTTTCCAGGCCCCTTAGCCTTCTTCTTTTCGTCTGCCTCAATCTTCCTCTCATGCTGATCCTGGAGTCTCTCTCGCTCAGCCCTACCCTCTTCCGACAGTTTCGTCTCAAGGGCCTTAAACTCATCTCCCTCGGGATCCATCCCAATTAACGACTCCAGCAACTTGATCTCGCGTGCCCAAACACCCGGATCAGCAACATTCGCCGCAGCGGTCTTTTTGCCCTTCTTCGGCTTCGCTGACTCACTCTCACTTCCCTCCTCGTCTTTGACGGGAGCGCGATCAATAGGCGTTTCCAGCACCATGGGCAAATCCTCGAACCGAGGCTCGTTCATCACATTGTGGAAAGCGCGTAAACCAAGGAATCCAGTGCCAATATTGGCGTGTAGATCACGCTTACTACCGCGCGGTGCTTTGGAGTCATTTAGATGCAGAGCTCGAAGGAACTTGATGCCAATCAATTCGTCGAACTCAGATAAGAACGCCTTGAACCCGGTCGGTGAGGCTAGGTCGTAGCCTGCTGCAAAGCTGTGGCAGGTGTCGACGCAGATTCCGATGCGGGCGTGGTGCTCTGCTGGAATGAGGGCGAGTAAATCCCGGAATTCGGATAGCGCTCCACCGATTGTGTTGCCGTGGCCGCACATTGTCTCCAGAACTGGGATCACAGTCTTTGTTTCAGTGATGGCTTGTGTGAGCATTTCTGCCAGCCGAGAGAGAGCTTCTGGGAGTGGTGTTTGATTGGTACTTCCTGGGCTTTGAAGGTTTAGTATTTCTTCAAAATTAACGGCGGTCTACTCACTGGAAGTTATATAACTTGATCCCCAGTGCCTCACACCGACGGAGGTCATCTAAGAAGGAGGTGTATGCTTGCTTGGCCTTGGCCTTGTCACTTTGTGCCAAGTTGACGAGATAGGAGCCATGGGGAAGGACATGTCTATATTGCAGGTGTGAGTGGTTTTATCAAATTTACCAGGACATAGGTTACTTACTTGGATGCATCATAGCCTTTCTCTGCGCAGAGTTTGTGGAATTGATCTCGATGCTCGTCTTGCAGAGCTGGATTGTCCCACTTTCGCTGGGATTTCAAGAACAAAGCGAATGCATTTCCGCTGGCTCAATATTAAAAAATGCCAAATTTGAATGATAGATCGAAGCTCACCCAATTTGCTCACTGTTGTGGATTGAATTGAAGACACCTGATTGAGATTGAATTACTGATTGCTCGAAGCTGTCCACATATCCCAGACTGACCTTTCGCAGCACTGACGTGGGCACCCACAAACATGCGGAGTCCTTTAGTTCGTGGTGCCAGAGGCATGGCTTCGGCCTCTTGATCTTTCTTGGTCTTTCTAGTCTTCTTGGGGGGAGCGTCTTCCTTGGGCTCTTTTTTGACAGGAGCTTTTTTGCCAGCAGCCTTTGGAGCGGGTTTCACAGGTTTCTCCTCTTTGACTGCAGGAGCAAAGGTCTCAGCTTCAGACTGCTCGGCCTCTGAATCGGATTGTTCCTTCAAATTGATGGTTGACTTCTGTCGCTTGGATCTTCTTGCTGGTGATTGCTCGGATGTTCCATTGCTGAGATTGCGCTTGTGGGCTGTCTTTGACTCTGCCTCCTCGCGCGTTGGCGGCTCAGGGGACTGGCAGCACATATTACTATGTGTATTCAGATTCAGCGTCAAGCTGTTGACTGAAGTGGGTCAAGGATTGTACGCCGAGTTTGATCTCTGTTCACCACAAAAGCCAAGCACGACGTTCACAGGATGAGAAGAAAGAAAGAAAAAAAAAATCCAAATTGAAGCAAAAGAATCAAGCAGCTCTTCAGTTTTCGAGTCAACCATTGACGTTGTCCATTACGCAAGGAAACCGTCGAACCACGTGACGATCGCCGGGGCAACGAGAATATTTATCGATAACAGATTCTCCCTCATTGTTCCCCTCTACACTCTTTGTCTCACATTTTGAAACTACCCTGGCCATGGCTTCCGAAGAGCTGGTTGATTTCGATATTATCGAGGCTCAAAAGGAAAATGTCCAGTCTCTCCCAGGAGGCCGATCGGCTCGAGAGCTTGCTCGGATCTTTTCTGGTGGGAGCAACACAAGTGACAAGATCCCCTCACCGTCACCAAATGGCACACGAACTATTAACGATGCCATGCGCCTGGAATATGAGAATGAATTGCAGTCAATAGGGGAATCGGACGACCCTCTCGATGTTTACGACCGTTATGTGAAATGGACCCTGAACGCATACCCCTCCGCACAAGCAACACCCGAATCTGGCCTACTCCCCCTTCTGGAACGGGCAACCAAATCCTTCCTGTCCTCATCACACTACCGAAATGACCCTCGCTATTTACGCCTATGGCTCCACTATGTTCGACTATTTTCTGATGCCCCGCGCGAGACATTCGCTTTCCTGGCTCGTCACAAAATCGGTGAGAGTCTAGCACTTTTCTATGAAGAATTTGCCAGGTGGCTCGAGGGTGCTGGCCGTTGGTCTCAGGCCGATGAGGTTTACAGACTTGGTATCGACCGTGAAGCACGACCGGTAGAAAGATTGGCCCGCAAATACAACGAATTCCAACAACGATATGATCACCGACAGCAAGACACCGGCCCATCCTCACCCGCTCTCCCCAAGGTTCGTGCTGCGCTGGGCGTCAAAATGGACCCATTTGCCCCGTCAGAGACCTCGGATCCCCAGGCTGCACAGCCATCACCCCAGCCAAGCGCTGCCCCTAAGACAAAATCCGGAAAGCCAAAGATGGCCATTTTCTCGGACGCTGATTCAGCTGCACCGGGCCCTGCAACTGGTGGAGCGACGAAAGGATGGGAAAGTATTGGCTCGATGCGAGATCGCAAGAAGGAGAATGAAGTGGAGGCGAAGCCTTGGGCAGGAGAAACTCTGAAGGCTGGCAAAAAAGCAGCGCCAGTTCAAAAGATGGCTATCTTCAGGGATCAGGTGAGTTCCCACCCCGGGATGGCCCCTCCCTCTGCAGATCTCCAAATATTTACGATCACAGGACTAATTGATGGCATGAACCTATGGTGTTTTATTACGTATGCAGTCAAATCCAGATCTTCCTTCCAAGAAACCAATGCAACCGAAACAATTACCTGAGCATCATGTAAGGGAAGCCGTGAACCCACGGACAGGCCGTCGAGAGCGTGTATTTGTCGACCTCGAATCAGTATACCCCGACCGTTCAAACCCTGCCCATGAAGTGAGCTTCGAAGAGCTCAGAGCTATCAAACGCGGATGGATGGACAAGGATTGGCGGAAAGAGAAGCAGGCCTTACGACAAGTTTCTGGGGGTCCAGATCCCTCCGAGTCTTTGCCAGACCATCTCGTCGAGAATCTAACCATAGACACACGTCACCAATACCAAGACCAAGACGAAAACCATGAACCTAAGCCTAGCAAATCGCATCGCACCAAGTCCAGGGGGGAATCGTCGCAGACGCAAACTGGTAAGTGGACCAACTTATCGGCACAATAGAACACGCTCAACTCATACTTCATGCAGTCAAAATGAACTTCGACTCTCCGTCTAAGAAGAAAGTTCGGCGAAAGAGTACCAAGGAGCCAACGATGACCATGCACACTCGCGCAGCAACCGATGAGATATACAGCATTTTCAACCAGCCATTGAAGGCAGAAACCGAGGAGGACGCTGACAGCTTCTGCGAGAGTGATTATGAAGATGACGACGCTGCCAGCACTGGTGACAGTACAGGCACAGGGCACCACTCTGCAGCCTCGAGTGATTTCGGCGATGAAGAGACCCAGACGTTCCACAAATCTTACGACGATACCGATTATGCCAATACCACTCGGGCCGGAAGCATTGATGGCGAGGATGGTGATTGGACCGAGTTTAATCCTGGCCGTGATATTCCAGGTCTCGAGAATGTCGAAGTTACTTCCCATTCTGTCCATTCTGTCGGCGACGAAGAGGAAGGTAGTCCGACAGTTGGGACACCGGACAGGAAAGGATTCATGCCAGAGATGCCCGATGACTACGCTCCTCCATGGGGAACTTATCGCGATCCTGCAGTGATGGCTCAGAACCGTTTGCCTTTCATGACACCTATTGTGGAGCGAACGGAGTGCTCAATTCCTTCTATGACCGTTGCCCGCAACAACTTGTATAACGCAAAGACACCATCCAAGCCTCGATCGCCCGCTGATGATCTGTTGCTTGACAGCCCACTAGGAGGTAGCACACCATACCGAGACCTCACGGTTACATCGACAGCCGATGTTCCATTCAGTCCAACTGCCTTTAAGGCGCTTGCACCCAAGCTGCGGAGGCGCGAAGCTGTGATTAGGGACTCACACTGCAACCCGACCGACAAGGGTATTCGTAACACGATTCTCAATTCTCTGGAGCCACCTCTTGCCGCCTACACCGGTTATAATGAACACGTGGAAGACAGCAACTATGCTTCAATGATTCACAAGTTTGTGAAGACCCACACCAGACGATCAAAGAGCGCCGACGATGATGAGTTTGACACCCCAATCCTTGAATTCCCGGGAGCGGAACGAAGCTACATCATTCGGCGTGAGCTTGGAGCCGGCGCATATGCTCCAGTCTATCTAGCCGAGAGTGTCGACAGTCTAGAATCATACGATTCCGACTCCGACGATGGCGCAGGTCCAGACGGAAAAGGCTTGCTCAAGCCACCAAACGCCTACGACACACCTCGTTTCCACTTTGAGGCTGTCAAGGTCGAGAATGGGCCGTCAAGCGCATGGGAGTTCTATATGATCCGCACTGCGTACGAGCGTCTTCGACAAAATAATGACTATCGAGTGACAGACAGTATTGTTCGTGCACACGAGCTTCACGTTCATCGGCGAGAAAGCTTTTTGGTGGAGGACTATCGAGGACAGGGTACATTGCTGGACCTCGTCAACATAGTCCGCAACGAATCTCTCAACACCAACCCCACGGCCGAAGGAGGTCTGGAAGAGGCTCTCGCGATGTTCTTCTCGGTTGAGCTTCTCCGGACTGTGGAGGCCCTGCACGCAAACGGAGTCCTTCACGGCGATATCAAAGCAGACAATTGTCTCGTTCGTCTCGACGAAGCGACCAACGAACCACCTACCAAAGCCCTCTCTCTCCTTGACCTCGGCACCGATGAGTCACCTTCAGACCCTCGCGAAAGCATCCACTATGCCCCCAGTGGCTCTCACGGCTGGCAACAGAAAGGTCTCGCTCTGATCGACTTCGGCCGCGCAATTGACATGCATGCCTTCTCGCCTGGCGTCCAATTCCTCGCTGATTGGGAAAAGGTCACCCACGAATGTAATGAAATCCGCGAGAAACGCCCCTGGACCTATCACATTGATCTGTACGGCATTGCTGGTGTTATTCACGTCCTTCTATTCGGTAAATACGTTGAATCAACACCAGTCAATGACGAAAACGCAGCAGCCGGATCTCCACGCACGTACCGCATCCGCGAGTCCCTCAAACGATACTGGGACCGCGATCTCTGGGCTGGCGTCTTTGATTTACTGCTCAACCCCGGCGCTGAGCGGTGGCAAAGTATCGAGCGGGAGAATGGTGTCGATGCTGATTCTGATGTGCAAATTCTCCCCGTTGTGCATTCCATGCGTCAAGTTCGTCTTGCTATGGAAGAGTGGCTTCTTAGCCACGCTGAGAAGAAGGGTCTTGCGCTGCAGCTGAGGAAGATCGAGGCATTGCTTGCAGACCGGAAGAAAAAGTTGGAGAAGTGATTGTGTCATCTTGTTTCACGCATCTGTCTATACTTATACCCCCCATATTTTCCTTTTGTTGTTTCTCTTTCGGACTTGAGGGGTTTTCATGGCCCGCTTGAACTGTTTGTTAATATCACTTTGATCTGTAGATGATACCTAATAACCTTTGATCTGAATGAGATCCATACTGTAGTTGCCGCTTTCATTGACAACGTGTGCCTTGTCATTGAGGCACACACTCCGAGCCTGGGACACATACTATTGTCCTGTAGTTCGGAATGTTCCGAATCATGGGGATCATCCAATCGGGGTTAGTCGCATGGGGAGATCGGACCCAGCCAAGGGTCCCAGGTTTGTACACAAAGCGGACAGGGATTGTTTCGTCTGTCCGCGGATACGCGATATAGGATCTAATTGGATTGAAAGGTGAAATAAAAGGATAATAATTGATTGGCAGATCAATACGATCAAAGCCCAAGCGAATCCTCTAAAGGACGAAACCTTGCAGGAAACAGATAATCAATAACAGCCAAACACACTCAGCTCCAAAGATCGAAGCAAGGCTTGAAAAAAAAGACGGACATCCATACGTAGAAACGCAGAAGAGTTAAGAAGATAAAGAGAAAAAAAATTCAGAAAAAAACATTGCAGATGCAACCCCAATAAAATTCGCCACGGGAATCATGAAGCAGAATCAAGGCGTGAATTGGAAAAAAAAAATCATATCGAAATGCGAGGTCTCCGAGATGCGAATTAGGGAGATTGGAGAACTGGCAAATGAAAAAACACCTCGCTTGCGTATTCAGCATCGTTCAATTGCGATTTCACGCATTCGTTTCGTATCGGTTCGTCTATGGTATTTGCATATGTATCGTTGCACATTCGCTTTTGGGGGTGTGCCATCCGGACTGAGTGACGAACTTCGGTCTGGAGGCAGGGTCGTGTGTGACGGGTTTTCGATAGGGAAATTTTGACTGGTCATGGTACCTCTAAATGTGAAAAGGGTGTTGAAAACCCCCTGCTCACGAGGTCCAGACTGGCCAAGGATGAGAAAGAAAAGTGAAGAAGAAAGGGTAGAGAGTGTCGGTCGCAGAGATCGCGAATGGTTGTCAGATAGGGTTTTTGGGTGGGTTTTTCGATTTTTTTGGTGTTTGGTGTATTTTCGAGGTAGTCCAACAGAGAAGGAAATGAGGTTGAGTGAATGAAGTGGTGAACTCGAATTGAAGAGGTTGCACCAGGAGAATGTAGTTGCCAGTAAAATTGGCCGGTTTCGAAACAGAACTGCTGCTGTAGGCACAATGGACATGAACCAACTGCCAGAAGCCACTGTTTGCAAGGTCTGTCAACCAAAGTGAAGAACCCATCACATGTTTTTTTTTTTTTTTTTGTTTTTTGGTATTGCGATAAGAGGCTGGACAAAAAGCAGACTCGGGTCAAGACATATCATTACAGTCGTTGAAGATGCGGGGGCTGTCGTAAGAAAAATGCTGAGGCCACGATCGGGCCTTGTCGGTATCTCGTTCAAATCATCATGCAAAAGGGGGGAAATCTCGCAAATAAATCGACGCCGCAGAAGAACGGATACTCGAGAATTGGACAGCAAAAAGCACAATCTAGTTGCGCGTAAAAGGCATATTCAAGATTTGCCGGCGAATCCGCTCAGCATCAGAAAGACCATCCTCATTGGCGTTGTATGGCAGAGGTGCTTTCTCGTGGATCTGAGTTGGTGAGACCTGCATGGGAGACGTGGCGTCATGGGGCGCAACGTAAGATGGATCACCGCTCGAGAAGGGATCAGAAAGTGTAGGCACAGCCCGAGAGGGTCGAGAGGGAGGTTCACGGCGTTTGAAACCTCCTTCAATCCGGAAAGGTGAGCCAAGGCGTTTGATGTTTTCGCCAAGATCCAACAATGGATTGTTCGGCTTGCCGAGAGGGGTGGTCTCTTCGGGTTCAATCGGGCCCGAGTTGAGTGAAGAAGGTGGAGAGAAGAGCTGGTCCATATCGCGCGGGTTCACAGCACCAGTGGTGGCACCACGGTTACGAACACGAACTCGGCCATGACCCATGTTTTGGAACTTGTTGTCGCGGACGTAGTCCTCAAGGCGACGGTCGACCTCTTCCTCTGAGGGATTGGTGTTCTTATGCGGTGTCGCGGCAAAAACGTCGTCGGGATTTTGCACGGATTGGTCCAAGTACGTGTTGCGGCGGGCACGGCCACCAGGAGCATGGATGGTTTCGCGTCGAGGGGTTTTGGAAGCATGAGCCTGGCGGTTTGATCTCCCTGGGGCCCATGTATTGTAGACGAACGGTGATCCCAGGCGCGGGATACTGGGGGCTGATCCAACACGGAGGTGGCCTGGAGTCCTCGCCACAGCGGGCAGGACGTTGTCGGGAACTGGGTCGTTGAACCAGTTTTCGGTGGACGGGAAGTCTTGTGTGACTCGGGTAAGGGGTGTCGGCTGGGAGCTGACAAGTGAGACACCAAGGTCGCGAGTCGCGTAGGCTGAGTTGTTGGCAAAGTCTTGTACTCGGGTATCCTCGGGAGGCCCATACATCTCCGTGACCTCCGTCGTGGGTTCGGGGGTCCGAGATTGCATGATGCGCTGGTAGTGAGGAGAGATAGAGAACTTGCGACGACAGAGCAACTTGAGGCGTCGTCGAGTTTTAGAGTCAGACTTCGGCCATGATGGTAGGGCTCCCTCGGCCTGTGCCTTGGGGGTGGAGGCTCCAAAGGCATTCTCGGCAGAAGCGCCAATGCGACTGCGCTTCTTTTCCCAGGTCTTCCTAGCACGGCGGGAAACTCGCGATGTGACGCCAAGAGGAGGAATACTTCCCGGTGTCATCTTGAAGGGGGTCATGGTAGGGTCCTGGAGGTAGATTTGGTAGGTGTTCCACAAATGGTTGTCCATCTCACGGGTCCAGCAGGTCTGGGCCTTCTTCACATGCACGGTCTGCTTCTGAGGTCGTGAAGGCGACTCCATCTCGGATTCCTTGGGAATCTCCAAAGGGAAGTATGAATCAAAAAGGTCACTCTCGACACTGGTGCAGCTTCCTACTGATGGTCGCGACGCGAATGTTTCAATGGATTCGACAGAAGAGTTAGAAAAGCTTGAGCAGGCTGAGCCTGGGCGCTTGATACTGTTAGGAGCGGGTGTCTGGTCCCATGAGGGCCATTTGCTCTCGGTGTCGCCCATGTCTAGCGGAGTGCCACGGATCTGCGCAGGTGGTGTCTTAAACTCCATACGTGAGCGAGGAGGCGCAAGGAATCCCTCATCGTTGAGGCCGTCACCAAGGATAGGCGCGTTGAAGTCACTTGATTGCGGAACTTCGATCGACGGCAGTGGCACGTCGGAGCCTTTGAACTGGAAAATATCCATATCCACGCGTGCGCAAACATTGGTACCAGCGCGCGCCCTTTGTCGGGGTAGACGACAGCTGTGGATTGAGTGACGAGGAGGAGGCGGGACGTCGATGATGGTGTTGCGCCGCTCGGGAGTCTTGGGCTCATTTTCGAGGGAGAAAGTGAAGTTCTTGGGGAGCGTACGGGACAGCTGACGTTGAGCCATGCTGGCGATCCTGTACTGACGTGCACCGTAGAATGTGGGTCAATGCGACTTTCTGGAAGGACTTCGAGGGCGCGTGTCGGAAGTTTAGATCGCGAATTGTCTGGCGCGAAGGGTCGCGTCAAGGTCGTGAGTCGTGAGAAGTAAAAAGGAAAAATGCAACGAGAGCAAAAGGTAGAAAGCAAGAAAAAAGTAAAAAAAAAAAAAGGAAAACCCCGAGGTCTCGGTGATGGGCGTGGAATGCGGCAACTTGTAAATCGAATCACCAGATCACATCTGCGGCTCCATCCCGAGTAGTATGGAATGGAGAGAGCCCAACGCCCTAAGAAAAAAAAAACACAAAAGAAACAAGTCTCTGAAGGGGTAACAAAACAGAGACGAGCAAAGTCGCGATTGTCAGAAAGGGTGGTAAGAAAAGAAGGTCAAGTGAGAGAGAAGAAACGGGGGAGAGAAGGTTGGGCGTGGGTGTGCTGCGGGAGAGGGGGTACTGGGTACCTACTGACCCGCTGGTGAACTGCGCTCTGGACACGGTACTCGGTACTTTGCACAAGTACCCACTGCGAAAATCTTAGGGCGCTACTACTCTACGTCTCGTTACAAGACGAGTATTCACTTGTTTGACTCGAACTGCTTTGTTTAGATCTTCTTCAATCTTACCTAGAGGGAGTCACTGGGCATTGCCTTACTTCATGCGAGGTCTCGAGGCAAGGGTAACACTCCAGCTGGGAACTGTCTAGATACGGAGTACGTAGCAGTACAAGAGTATATGCAGGTAAGTTAACTATGAGTACTGCGTACTTTGTACTCCGTACAGAGCTGCTAATACCTGCTTTGGCGCAAACTATACTCCGTACCTCCCAAGTACTCCGTACGCTTGAAAAGAGGGGGGGCTGGTATCTTTCCTAGGTTATTTTGGGATGTATACCAAGCTACGGAGTACTCCATAGGATGTATGGTAGATCAGTTCGCGTTCCATCTGCAAGGGCTGAAGAAGAAAGTTGAAGTTGAAGTCGAAGTACTCATACTCTATACTTCGGATCTCCACCGGCATCAAGGTTTCCAGGTACCTCGGAAAGAGAACCTTGGATTGTCGAGAATCGGTTTGTGTTCAAAGAGAAAGCCAAATCACCACATTTCCATTGTGCGGTCTGGGAGCCCTGAACGGGACGGGGCCCAAGGGGGCCCCATATAACCCCATTCGGTGGACCTGCGACCTGCGAGAGGCTCGTTGTGCTCCACTGACGCGCCGACGCGTTCGACACGTTGATGAAATATTACGGTATTTAATACGGGTCAGGTGATGGTAATTACCCTGCTTATGCTTCGTGGTTGGGACTCTACTCTGTACTCTAGGATATATTCTGTGTCCAGAGTAGGTATTATACCTCGTCTGCGCATCTGAGAGATCGAAGAGAGTGACATTTCATCTGGCTAATATAACTAGCGTTCTACACTATCTATAGAGCCGGCAATCTGTTTGTACTCCACTTTTGAATAGACCCTCCACAAGACAGTCAACAGTCAATTTGAACGTCAAGTCAAGGTCTGAGTGAAGGGCATGGATTCTCAATAAATATCAGAAGCTAGGGTTGGAGGGAAACACCGTGTTCTGGCAGCCAAATGCCTCGAAGCTGGACAGTCAAAATTGCCACCGAGGAGGTGAGCGGCTTGTTTCAGATCAACTCGTGCGGAAAGGTAGGTTACGCTCAAGTGCCAACTTGTGTTGCACATATATCACATTCGTAAAGGACCATCATAATCATATAGATAAGCACAAGGAACACATATGAAGCAACAAGTCACGTCAGGGCCACTACTCCCCGAAGAAACTCAAATCGACCTCGGGCTGCCGAGATCGGAACAATAGCTCAATCGTGGGATCGGTGATGGATTCAAAGCCGCACTCAAAGTTCTTGGGCCGGCCTTCACTCTGCAACTTGAAATCGTACTTCATCACCAAATGCAGGAGCAGGATCTTGGTTTCCATGGCGGCGAAGAAGCGGCCCGGGCAAGCGTGAACACCGTGTCCGAAAACAAAGTGCTCAGTGGTTGTCGTGACAAATTGATGTTTGTGCTCATTACCTGGCTCTTGGCGCTTCTTCAAGAACCGGTAGCCGTCGTAGGTAGCAGCATTGGGGTAGACATCGTCGTCTTCGAGGGGTCTGGTGGAGACGGCAACGTTTGCACCCTTGGGAAGTACGGTGCCGTCCGAGAGAACGATTTTTCGTTGAACGAGACGGTTCAGAGAGACTGGGCTGCGTTAGTACTATATCATTCTTTTTCGGCGCGTGAGCAGGATCACTTACCCAATGACACAGGGTGGGTTCGTTGCGACTCCTTCATGATACTATCCATCAACTTGAACTTCAGCAAGCTAGCCTTGTTAAGCACCCCGTCCACAGCGGCAACTGCACAGATCTCATCACGAAGTGGCTGGATGTACTCCGGGTATGCAGCGAGATCGTACATGATGTTGGTAAGCAAGTTCGACGTGGTGTGGATTGCCGCCAGGGCCAGTCCGACCTGAGCACGATCCTGGTTGAATTCACGGTTCTGTTGAGCCTCCGCGGTGTCATGGAGCCAGTCCAATGCATCGGGCTTATGAGACGGGTCTTTGGGGAGCTTGCCCTCTCGGATCAATGACCGTTTCTTGGTCTCGTTGTTGACGATGCTTTGAGCTTTGGACAAATGGCTGCGCAGCTTCCGGGTACAAGGCAGGAACCAGTGAACAATGGGACGAAGGACGGAAGGCCAATTGCGCAACTCCCGCATGGCGACGAACGCGTCAATTGCATAGTGGACAGACACATCAATCCATTCTGCGTTGCGGCTGACAGTCTCCCCCATAAAAATGAGCGAAGAGAGGCGGGCGATCATATACGGGGCCTTGTGAGCAAAATTGTATGGTGTCCATTCTACAATGGTTGTGAGTAAGACATCCCCCGGGCTTGCAAATGCCAATGTGACTTGACCTACCGTCTGTGGGCGGGAGCGCCTCTTCCAATGTCGAAGAGGCCTTCGTAGAAAGAGTAACTGTCAAAGATCCTGCCAGCGAGTTTAGTTGATTCTGTCTAGTTTCCAAGGGTCCAAGGGTATTTGCTCGTACCAAGAGCTTGGGTCAGCTTGGTTCGCACGACATCGACGGTGACCTTCATCGAGCTTCCGCCGTGGAACGGCTCAAAGCCAGATATCCGGTCGTCGAAGAAGTTCTATCAGATCAATTAGTGTTTGGCCACTGGAACTTGAGATTTCTTGGCTTACCCTCTTGATGGCATCAGTGAAGCTTAAGTCCGGGTGGTTCTTGATCTCGTCGATATATTTCGGGTGCATCACAATCATAGGTTGTGTAGATCCCATGATCTGGAAGACACTGACTCCCTATCATGACCTGTCAGCGTCCCAACGATTCCCTTGTGTCACTCCAAAAGAGAGGCCTTCTATCTGGAGACCGACCTTTGCAAACCCCTCGGCAATCAAGGCGCGACTTGACTGCACGAAGCGAGACCTAGCCTTTTTGTTGGTGATATCCCCCCATGTTCTCCCAACCAGGGGGATGCGGCGATGTGGGATCTCATCCACGATATCATCCCAGATGAAGGTGACAAGCACTACCAGTAAGGCCACAGAGGCCCCCTGTACCACAAAGGGGCCATTGAGCAGCTCGGTGAGGACAGCCATGGTCAAGACTAGATATTAGAGGACACACTAAAAGGAAATCCCCGGACTTTCGAAGTTTGAAATGACATGAGGAGACCATCATTTATAGCGGGTTAAATTGGGCCAGTCAGGCCTTGTGCATTTTTTTCCACGGAGCTTCGACTGGAAGTCCAACCAGGGGGGTCCATGCATCGGATGTGGTTGAGCCGAATTAAAGACAAGAGAAAGCCACCCGCCTAGTGTTAAGTGGAAACCAGACTCTTGCCCGGAACGTTCAAGTCCCGGGGGACTAATTACTGTAGTCCACAGTCTATGCGAGCAGTACGAGAAGTGCGAGAACGAGAGCCAAATTCAGCGATCCCTTCCCGAAGAGGCAATTCTTCAATGGTTTTTGTTCCGTCCAGGATCCACTTTCATGATGCAGATGCTGGAGTGCAGTGTAGACGTTATGTCAATGCAAAGGGCCTTAGTGCATACTTGCATACCGGGTCTTCAGAGAGATTCCGAACGTTCTCGTCATACATTCCAAAAGGCTCGGCGCCATAGCCTTGACGGCGCCAGGGTTTGATCTATGGTGCTACGATGTTCCAAGGAAAACGACAACGAGTACAGATTCGGATCAACCTTCCAAAAGCATTCAAGCTCCATAGGGCCTTGAATAACTCCAAGGCTATCATGTATGCCAGTGCAGGCTGATATGACACTTCACACACTGTAAGATAAAGCTGCGGATTACTAGGTCCGAAAAAAGTGCGGAGAGTCGGCAAATTTCTCTGTACCCACAATATGACATGGTCTGACCCTGGCACCCTGGCACCCTGGCACCCTGGCACCCTGGCACGGAAGTTTCGAAGAGACAAGGTTATAAGCATTGCCAATCGAGTGGGCCCTCGGATGTAATCTTGCCGACCTTCAAGTCCAACATCGTACTTTTCCCCCAATAGTCAATAGCATTAGTTCTAAAGTTATGGTGGCTCATCCGACCCGAGATCTGTAAAGCCACAGGGTCATCTGAATTCGCCGATCTCTGTGTGGTCCGCTCTTGGACGGCCTCCATTAAATACATAGCGAAGTGTCACGGAACCCCAGCTACCCGAAGATCGTTGAGTGGAGCAGATTTACTCGTACTCCAAAAAGCAATTTAAAACACGATCAAAGCAAATGTATTTCCACAACTCAATAGATTCAATAGATCTGATTGCAAAGTCAACAAAAGAGAGATTTCCGGCGCTATCATTATAGATCGAAACCATGGGTGCATTGTGCCAAGACCCCGCATTCAGCGACGCTCATGTGCCTTTTTCCCCCGCTTAAGTCGCCTTCTCAACTTCACTCCTTGAGAATATCCCCAGAGACTCAATATGGGAGATTACGGTGCCACTGCTCCGCCTTTGCACTCTGCCCCGGTGGAGAATCATCCACCACAATCCTCGGCATCTCTAAACGAGATCTCCGTCCTGATAACGGGCTTCGGAGTAAGTGATCTGCATCGGTCTTGTCTTTCAAGCACTAACACGGAACTCAATCATAGCCCTTCAAGACGAACCTTGTGAATGCTTCGTATCTAATCGCATCCTCCCTTCCATCGTCTTTTACCTTCCCGTCGCCCGATAAGGCCGATCTGCGTCGAGTCTCACTTCATGTACACCCCACGCCGATTCCCGTGGCATATGCCACGGTGCGAGAGACTCTACCGTTGATTTTGGAAGAGTTCGCTGCATCAAACGGCGGTCGCAGGCCCGATCTCATCATCCATATTGGTATTGCCTCTCCGCGACCATACTATTCTGTCGAGACGCTAGCTCATCGCGATGACTACATGATCACCGATGTTGAAGGTCGTGCGGGCTGGGAGTATGGGGAGAAACTATGGAGGCAATCGGGCCTGCCTCCGATCCTCACTCCTGGTCGTGCTACGGAGGACCCGTCCTCTGCATCGTCCTATCAACCGGATAGGCAATTCCTAGATGTGTGGCGCTCTTTTGCCCCCAAGTCTGATCTTCAACTCTCAAAAGATGCAGGTCGTTACTTGTGTGACTTCATATTCTACACCAGTTTGTCATTGGCTCTGCAACAAGGTCATGACCGAAACATACTCTTCCTCCATGTCCCCGGGTCGTCCGAGGACGCAGATATCGAACAAGGGCGGGTGGTTGCACTTGCCCTGATTAAGGCAATGGTCACATGTTGGATTGACAAGAAGCATGCGGCATAATCATTCCAATGCATGTCATGCTAATGCTTTTGCTTTTTGATTTGTGTTCCATCGGGCAGCTCGTATCTTGAAGTTCTTCGTGTGATACTCTTCCTGAACAGTGTCCCCTTGGCTTATTCGCGATTCTGCGCCCCTGTCTTCATCGCATACCAATACCAATACCAATACGTGCATGGTGCCAACATTGGCAATCCCCCCAAATTTTATTCATACGAATTAGATCATCTTTATTCCAATCTCCATTTTCTCTCTATCTTCTTTGCTGTCTCCAGTTTTATTCTTGGCCCTGCCAGCTTCCAAGTGTAGTACGGAGTACGGAGTATGGGAGTGCAAGTATGCAAGTAATGTACGGATATCTGGAGTGCTCGTCACTCACAAGTAAAGAGTACCACCAACCTTCTAATCCAGAGATAAGCAATGCGGGGGCGGCACTGGCTGGCAAAACCAAGGTTACTCGAAAGGCCTCCACTAACCCTAACTTCTCTAACATCCACAAACATGGAGTCCCAAACAGCATTGGTTATAACTCTACTTCTACTCCTCTCTGTCCCAATCATCCTCATTCCCCGCCTCATACACTCTTCAATCCAATTCCTCAAATGGCCTCGTAAACAATCCAGCGAGATCACCTCGCTACGCATGTATCCCATCAAATCATGCCGAGGCCTAGAAGTGACCCAAACAATTCTCAAAAGCCATGGTCTCGACCTTGACCGTCGTTGGATGTTAATCGATACATCAACAAACAACTTCCTGACCATCCGCCAAATTCCGAACATGACCCGCATCGGCACAGCACTAAGTCCAGACGGCCATGAACTGATCATCACCGTTCCCAAGTCTGGTCCTGAAACAGAATCAGTGCACACTATCCGTATCCCGTCTCATCCGACCCCGGACTGGCTCGCGGAAAATACTCATATCGACCCCGTCCGAATCTGGGATGTCGATACAGACGGGTACCGCTATAGCGAAGCGATTAATGCTCCATTTTCAGAATTCCTCGGTCGCAACGTCGCCCTCGTCTACAAGGGTCCTACGCCTCGTATTCTCAAAGGCAATGGTGATCCCAGTATTCTGGGCCGTGTTCAAACGACTGGATTCTCGGATGTTCATCCCGTGCTTATTGCGTCGGAAAGTTCACTCAAAGAGCTCAATCAGCGTTTAGAGAAGAAAGGCGTTGATCCAATTACGGTTGAGCGTTTCAGACCTAATATTGTGGTTAAGGGTGGGAAGGCGTGGAGTGAGGATTCATGGAAACTTGTTCGCATTACGGGCTCGGGTGGGCCTGATTCTACGAAGCCGCTTGATTTGGATATTGTTGCGCGTTGTGCGCGCTGTCAGGTCCCGAATGTTGATCCGGATACGGCCAGTAAGCATAAGAAGCAGCCGTGGGATATGTTGGTGTCGTATCGGAGGATTGATGAGGGTGTTAAGTATAAGCCTTGCTTTGGAATGTTGAGCGCGCCGCGGAATGAGGGGGTTATTGGGGTTGGGATGAGGTTGGAGGTTTTGGAGGAGACGAGTGAACATCGATATATGGCGGGATTTTAGAATGGGATGTAGACTTCCCTTGGCTATATGCGCCAAACATTATGTGCAATTGGCTCTGGGGTGGTTTTAGGTTCTATTCAGTTACCGCCAGTATCATGTACTAAGAATTGGACGGTTTGGGCAGATGATAGATTTAGAAGTGTGGCATTGACACCAGACACAATCAGAGTGAATGATCCACTGTAATTTTGAACATAACTAAATGATATAGACATAAAGAACTAGCATACCTTCTGTGCAAAGTAACTAAGCTCACTTCAACTGCTTACTAGCAGAAACACACCAGTTGTTCCACTCGGAGAAGAACGACGGCTGCACATGGCACTTGGTGCTCATGAGCTGGTCTTTGCGAGTGGCAGCATAGACATCCACCACACCGGCGATGGCATCCTTATCATGAGCAACCAGAACCTTAGTGACAAGCAAACTAGCCTGACTGCAGGCATTCGCATGTCCCATAGGTCCACTGTGACTAGCCTCCTTGTGAACAGACTTCAAGAGTTCCCAGAGCGCATCAGCTTGTTCCTCGTCCTCGATCTTGGGCAATGAGTTGCCCTTGCACACCTTAGTGTACTCGCGGAGAACATTGTTTGCTTTCGTCGCAACTTGCTTCACGCTTGAGCGGCGGGACAGACGGAGGAGGGGAAGGAGAAGGTCCAGAGCCAAAAGGCGGGAGTGGCTCTTTTTCACAAAGATCTCGAGGAGGTCCAGAACGCGGTTCTTGAAGTTGACCATGTTCTCGCGAGCGTCTTTCTTGTCTTTGCGCTGGGAGGATTGTTGTTGGCGGGCCTTGAACACTTGCACTAATTTGTCGTCGAGCTCGTCCATTTCGTCATCGTTCATGTCTGCATCAGAGTCTTCGCCTTCACCTTCGGCGCCATGCTGACCGAGAGCCTCGGCTAATTTGGCCTCGAAGGCGGCGACTTCTTGTGCGTTTTCATCGTCGTCTTCTTCTTCTTCTTCTTCTTCTTCTTCTTCCTCGTCATCGTCAGAGTCGGACTCTGACTTATCATCACCGGCTTCGACGACCTCGACATCACTATCGAGTTCGTCTTCGTCGACGTCCATCATCTCGGCATCAGAGCCATCCTCCTCCTCACCCGAACCATCATCCTCGTCGAACATCTCTTGCTGTCCAGCGAGACTCTCCTTGGCCTCAAGAATCTATTTGCGGTTAGTAAACTCGATCGAGTAAACCTGCTTGGAATACTTACTGAAATCAATGATTCCAAACCATTCTCGGTAATCTGTGTAGCAAATGCACCAAAGACTTGCTCACTCATGCGACGGAACAGCTGCGATTGCTTGGAAGCGAAACTGAGCAAGATTTCAACGAGCGCATCAGATGCGTCGCCAGCGTCTTCCTTCTTAGTCTCCTTGTCGCCCAGGAATTTAGTCGTGCAGAACTCCAACTCGTCGAGCATTGAAACTGCGTCCGCGTCTCCGTTGTAAACTTGCATAAGAGTAAGGGAGTAAAGCAACTTGAATGCGGCCATGCCCTTCTCTTTCTTTTCCTGTGTCACGGTAAGTATTTTCGGTCGGAAACTTGGGGAATGGGATATCCTTACCTTGCCGGAAAGCTTCTTAAGAGACTTGAAAGCAGCCTTGACAGACTCCTGCAGCTTGTCATCGATTTCGATGATGAACTTTCCGAACTCGCCGGACTTAGCTGCATCGCGGATCTGCTTGACCACCGCATAGGGCAGGGTAGCGGCGAACTTTTGGTTGGAGATAAGGCTGTTCAAGCAAGAGTTGATGCGGTTGCGCAGCATCTCTTGTGTAGCCGAGGAGAGGGCAGGCTCGGGCGCAGAAGATCCCTTGCTGGTATCCATGAAGTACGCGAAACGCACGAAGATAGACAAAATCTGCTCGAGGCTCGCCTGGAGGTCATCGGCATCGCCTTCGGTGGCAGATGCCTTCGAACGCACAATTGAAAGGAGAAGTCCAGCGACGAACTGACGGTTGGTCGCAGAAGTCTTCTCATCTGTCGTTCCGGGGGTCTGAATAAGCTTCTCGAAGAAGGGAACAATCTCTTCCAAAGCCTCGTGGTTGGCTTCAGCCACAATCTTCTCGACAGTTTTTGTCTTGGTGGCCTGGTCGAAGTTGAGTGTGCCGCTAGTTCCCATCAAGCCGCGAATAGCCACTGCTGCGAATTCAGGCTCCCTGGACACACGGGCTTGGATAGCCTTGGATGCCTTGACAGCCATGCGGTGGAGGTAGCGGTCCTCGACGGCAAGTTGGTTGACCAAACAGCGCATGAGGTTCTTGGTGAAGGTGTGAGAGGCCTGTTGGACGGCGCCATCGTTGATAAGTCGTGAGAAAAGGAGGAAGCCCCAGTACTTTCGCTCGTCCGATGATGCAGCTGCAAAAAGTCCATCTAGAATTGCTCGTTAGTTCAATGTTCCTCCAATACTTTTGTGTGCATAGACTCACTGTCTACGACCTCGGTCCAGAAGTCGGCGAAGCTCAAGCGAGACTTCTTCGACTTCTCCTTTGACTCGACGCTGGTCCGCGACAAAACGGCATCCCAAGCGAAGTGAAGCTTGGAATTCCAGACACCAGAAGACTTAGCGGCGTTTGTCTTGTTCTCACTCTCGCTTGCTCCGGCACCTGACTCCTTCATGATCTTCGACAACCCACTGCGCTCCTTGGTATCGAGGGGGTCATCGTGTTTCCAGACCTTGCTCGGGAAGGTCGCTTCAGGGAACATGTCCTTCGCAGCCAACCAGATGGAAATACCCTCGGGCGACCGTGCGAGATCGTGCGAGCAGAGACGTTCCAATGCAGCCTCCACGTACTTGTTGTCCATCTTACGGGCGGCAAGGTCATAAACGCACTGGTAAATGATCCAACCACATTCTTCGCGAATCCATGGCTTCTTCTGGGCGAGTTCGAAAACGAGATCGATGACCTGTGTCCAGTGCTCGAAAGGAACAGTGGACTGGAAGAGGACGGAGGACTTGATAACAGCTTCGGCACCGAACAGCCGACCGAAGAGGTGGTCGCGTTGTTCCTATAAACAGAAAGAATTACCCATTAGCGCATGCGACATCAGAAACCTCGCGGGCCACCAACCTGTCCGGATTCACTGCCCGACGAATTGGACTGGGCCTCCCACAACTTGAGAGCATCTGCGAATCCAAATCGCGATGTCTCCCTTGGTGAACAGAAGACCTGTGTGAGAATCTCGGTCAAGGCAATTGAGAAACCGATACGTGCAGCTTTGCGGCTGCTGCAGAGACCGCGGAAGAGTCTCGATAAGACTTTTTTGATCTGTTCGTCGGCAGGGTCTTTATCCGGTGTGAATTGTGAGACGAGCCCCTGAGCGGCCTTCAGTCTGATCTCATCTTTCTCACTGGCGAGGTCTTCGTAAAGCTCCACCAGCTTCACGTCGACATTGTGAGCTTCGCGACGGCGCTTGAAACCCATGGCGGGAATTGATTGTGATAGCGGGTATGAGGTGAAAAATAGTAAATCGTCCGCACTCAGGTCGGGACAAGAATCTACTAACCAAAAAGCACGTTCAAGACTCCTTGCGGCCGTTGAAGTCTCTCAGAAAAATCTATGCTCTAGCCACGTTTGGACTAGTGCGGGCTGATAAGCTGATAAGATCGATTACAAAGTTGTGCACACTGTCCATCTCAAGAGCTAAGCCTAGCTACTCCGTAGATTGAAGGGCTTTGGGGGTTGGTTCAAGTAGTTAGAAGGGTTGCAAATACTCCTAGCCCGGTCTGGGAGGAATTTCCTTAGCCATTGACCACCTCTAGAGCTGTGTATGGAGTGAAACGTAGTCCGAAGTTCAAAAGTCGTAGTTAAGTATATATATCCAAAACCTCGACCAATGAAGACTTCTATATTATTGTAGCAATCTTTCAAAGTCCATATACTTAAGTACTTGCAAGGGAACTTTAGAAGAACTCAGGTCAAATCCTGCGTACAAAATTTACTTAAGTACTTAAATACAACTTCGTACTCTGAACAACCGCAGCGAAACCGAAATTGTCGAAAAAGCAAAGCCTTGGCCTCGAAGCATTCAAAATGCAACCCCTGGAAGGCGCAGGCCACACATCGCAAACTCTTCAAGACAAGCCGAAGCCAACCAACCTTTCAATAGAACCAAGACATGTAATTGAAGCTGTCAAAGAAAGCGGAGGCAAACGGAGGCCCGACAATATTTTTTTCAGGGGCTAATGACGAATCGCAAAAACGAGACCGTAGTCTGGAGTTCCAGACGCTGAACTATTGTCTGTTGTCAAGTGCAACCGGGAGGATTCCATCTATTTATATTAGTGAAGTGCGCCCAACGCTTCCACGAGAGGTTATGGACTGATCATGCCTCACAATCCATAGATATGGAGATGCATATGTAGCAGAGGTGTCAGTATGCATAGACAATGGATCGAACATTAGAGTCTGGGCAAAATTACCTCTGTGTCAGAACTGATGTGTTGGAGTGGACCTGCATGGGCTTAAGTAGTTTTTGGAGCTTAATTGCGTGTAAGTGACATGTGGGAGCGGAATTCGTGCGAGACTGCGTTTGAGGTAGACAGATGGGTCTCGGAGTGAATAATGTATGGAGTCTGGCGTGAAGGTGGAGTTGAGTGTCCCGGCAACCGTTGTGATAGATGCACGCCGAGTTTCAGGGGTTGCTGTCACCTCACATGGGACTGTACAGAGTACAGTTCGAGGCTAAATTGGGTTCTGGACTGGTACGATGGGGCAATTTGCAGATATGATGGATTTGAACGGAGTGCTCTTTACTCGTACATTAGCTACGGAGTAACCATAGTTAGTTCGACAAGTAGAATTGACCGAGTGCGGAGTGTGTCCGCTAGTATGGGATTTAGCCAAGCTAGGCAAACGAGGTCAGCTACGGGGGCGGAGCGAGGCTACAAGCGCGTGGGTGATCATGGCCAGACTCTGGACTCCATCTGGACCAAATGAGAAAAAGGAAAGAGATATTTGATAGTGTGATGTGCTACCGCAATAATAAAGTGACCGGAGTGCGGAGTACTCCATGCACAGCGGCTAAGGAATGGATCTATCACTGATTTGAAGAGAGGCTCAGAGCTCTGTGATACATGCCAGACGGAGTGGAGGGACTAAGAGTGAATAGCATCATGCTAAGGAAGCTAGTTAGGAGGCTGACAGGCACGTAGCCGATGAGGCGGCGCATAAATGGCCGAGTTCAATAGCGGCGCAGATCGGTGCAAGTCGGAAGAATACGAGGACTAGAAGGATCAGGGGAAATGAGGGTAAGGGTATTTCGAAGTGTACTAAGTGTGTATGTGTGTATGTCTGTACCATACCACCGATACAAAAAAAATCCTGATGGGAGTCTTTGATGTCATCCCACGATCACGGGACTGCGCATGAAGTTCGCGGTTTGCTTTTGTTTACTTTTGAAACCGGCGCGCGAACAACAAAGTCGATCTGACATCACCAAGACCTGAGACGGAGAGGGGGGTCTAGACGCAGCACACACGAGTGTGATGAACCCCGCAGACAGTCGGCTGGAGACCGGATACGACTGGCCCATCGCAGAGTATTAACGCATCACATCAGACCCCACTTAAGCTGGGCGCAGTTGAGGGGAATCGGAGGGACCGACCCTGGCTTTTGTCAGCCCGTCTGACGGTTTGCCTGATGGCGTTCTGCAAATTCCCACGTTCTCGGCTCGAAGCCCGATCGACGAGATATCAACGCGACTGTTGCGAACTGAATCGACGCATCTGAAGCACATACCATACTCACCTCAACGTCATTGAAGAACTCATCAGGTTTAACAACGTGCACGGTGCACACAATTATATTGACTTCATGACGTAGGGACTCACGGGCCAAGGCCTGAGGCCCGGAAGGAAAGGCGATGGCTCACCGCATTGTTGACATTGTACTACTCGTACAGTGACAGCCTTGCGACAGCTGCATATAGACGCGGCCAATGACAAGGATCAGGGCACCAGCTCGGTCTTCCGGACAGTCTGGGATGACCGAAATCCCGGTCGTTTCAAGAAGCCTAGAATAGCACCGTGGGGTGCAGGAGTTAGTCGGAGCCGGAGATCCACTGTGACTGGCCGACGAGCACCGGCTACTGCGACTAGCAGTTTCATCTCATCTAAGAGCCGCTTGGAGGTGGCGAATTTGAGCTTGAGGTTCGCGATTGAGCTTGACATCGCGTGCAATAACCAGATCCGAGGTGATCTGCTCAAAACAAGATCTGAGGTTGTTTTTCCCACTCCACGGTCGTTAATCCATGCTCGTAACGGTGGCCTTGCGCGTCAATCCGACCAACGAGAATTGCCCGAGCTTGTCTCGGCCAGGATCCCTCTTCGCGGTCAGGTCCGACCAGTGACGTCGTAACATGAAGGTATTCGGGATCATGTATCCAGCGAAACCAGTGCCCTGCCATACCCTTCCATTGTCGCTGAGGTGATTCGAAGTCGAGATTTCAGATACCCGGACGACGAAGTCAGGAACTACGAAGGTTTCAATAGACTTAAGCAAATAAAACAACCCAAGGGGCCATGAAAGGGATGCGCGACATTGACGCGGACCCTTGATCAGCGAGAATGCGGGTGCAAGTAAGGGCAGCACGGGTATGTATGGGGAGACAGCAATATCGTTCAAGATCTTGGAGACGGTCATTCCTTACTCAATACTACGTTCCGTTCAATTGACGCCGCGACTGCGAAGCGAAGTACCGGGGTTGATATACCCGGATCAACCATATGTACGAGGTCGCATAAAGAAGATTCCACGCCTGCGATCGGCTTTTCTGTCTCCTAACTGGGAGGTTTAAGTCCCATTACGAGCTCGGAGATGACGAGAGATCGTTGGAGTATGAGAATCTGATCGCACGACGCACCAATCACCACCTCGGTAAACCATTCCATCGCCATTGAATGTGATCATGGGCCCTCTTTCTCTTATCGGAGCCTCTAGTGAAATTAGCGCTCTCGCTAGGAGATCGCCGCATCACCTCCATACATCCAAGTGCCTTTCTCTCTTGTATGGGGTATGGGGATGAAGATGGGGATAAAGACCGTGGGTGACGTTTGAGCCCCAACGCAGGATAACAAGCTCTGCAATTTGTCCCCTTGCCTCGAGATCGCAATCACTTGCAGGTTGCATCAAAGGTAAAGCTCTGATTTTTCCGAAGTGGAACAGAAGTGGAGATCTTTAGACTCGATCTGACTCCGACTCCGTTTTTTCAGCTCACCTGTTCCTCTGACGGCACACACGGGATGGTGAAACCGAGAGAAAATTACTACTCGTACGTGTATACGAGTAGTGCTAGGTTGCGAGTAACAGTTTAAAAAAAACCTTCGTACGGTGGATACAAGACGGAAACTAACTATACGGAAGAACCATGGAAGAGATGGAATAGCGTGGTTTTGACTCTCAACTTACAGATTGCATATATAGTTCAAAGACATACGCTCCCTATAGCGAGCAGGGGGAAGAGAAATTGCTTGGATCCCTTCACGGATAATCAGCGTCCTTCCAATGCTGTGATAGGCGCTGGGTTGCTGCGGCAAGGGAGCCCCGGCAACCGGGGCCAAAATGGTATTCGGCCCCTAGCCAGAGCATGGGATTCTCTTTTCCTCTCCATCTTGTTGCATACCGAAGATCGTTCTTCTGCATTGACTGTGAAATTTAAATTCAATTTCTTATTTCCTTTCTGAGATTTCCAATTACCCTTTTTTTCTATCGCATATTCTAAATGCCTGAAAATAATTTCCCCATTTGGTAGGCCCACTGTATGTAATAAAATACCATACACCCGTAGTATGTTCTACTCAATAGCTGGAATCAAATCTTACAGTCTCATTCTACTGTACTCAGGTACTTACTAGGTTACTAGGTTCATGTCAAATTCCTATTAACCAGATTACCATAATTACGTTGTCGCAATACAGTACTGGTGATCCTCCCCACCTGCGTTGCCCATTGCAACAAGACCATCCCTTCAGCTTCAGTTCTTTCTTCAAACCGCTTTGTTCCTGCTTCTCTTCTTTATTCATATCTCGTCGACATTCCACGATTCCTTCAGCTCACTCTTGTTTCAATCTTCAAAAAGGTTTGGTGCTTTCGACCATTTAGACCTTATTGTTGCACTTCCCCTCAGTCCTGCAGCACCCACGAGCTTCCCCGACCCCTCCAATCGCCGACATACAACTTTCCAAAATATCCCGATATCGTGAATTCGTGCCATGGCCCTTTAACTAAATCATCAATCGCAACTTGACTCTCGCTGCGGAGGGTCCACGGAATTTTTTTTTTCTTCGGGTGGACTGGTTGTCACGGAGATCGTGGGGACCCATAACGTTGAAATTGCAAGCGTGGAGACAAGACCTTTTTGAGAGCCAACTTTTTTCGGACCTCAGTGTAGGACTTAGCTCTGGGTAGACCTCTGGGACCAGGAGTTGGTTATCCCAATTGTACCACCCTCGTCGGTCCGGTTGCAATTGGACGTCAGTACCATGGAGCACTCTTCACCTCTCGCTGCCATGCAGCCTCCGTCAGTGATGTTTGGTCATTGTTTCCGGTCTGATGCGCAGTCATACTCTTTGCATCCTATGTCTGGATTTGGTGGAAATCCTTTCAACTTCAAGGATTTGTCTATGAAGAAGTCCAATTCGGACTACTTCAACATGAAGCCGGTCCGTGGATCTTCACCTACTGCTAGTTTGGCTGCAGATCTCTCTCAGAACTTTCACATTGATCAAAGGTATGTGTGCTGTGCCGTGGTTCTTTATGTTTCAACTTCATCGAACAAAGGTGTCCTAACTCTATATTTAGTCCCCAATTAGCCACACCCCGGCGGTCTTTGTTCACGGCCAACATGCTTGGCCAAGCCAATTCTAATGGTATGGCGAGTCCATCAATCCCAAGAGAGTGTGCTAATATGTTATATAGATGACATGATGACCACCCCTCCGCTCCCTTCGTCCTCACCAGCCCCAGCTATGGATTTCATGGAAATGTCCCCTCTCCCGCATAAGAAGCCTACCTTCGTCGTTACAACCGAGATTGAACTTCAATCACCTACACCTGATGGCAGCCCAATGGTTTCTCCTCTCGCTTCCCCCGTGCCGAGCCCTCTCCAGGCCTCGCCAATGGAGTCACCACTGTGCCAGCCTGAGTAAGTTGTGGTGCCAACCAGGTGGACAAGAACCATACTAACATATCTGGCAGACGCAAACGCCCTAACTTCCTGCGTCCAAGCTTGGCTAGAAGTAAAGCGCAATCGTTCCAACTCGGTATGACTCGCCCGGCACCTGAAAGCAAGGCACCGCCTTTCCGCTTTGGTACCGGCACCAAGACTTCTCTTAGTACTTCTACTTCTTTGGAGGATATGTTCGGTGACTCACCTCCCCGTGAGCGTTCTGTCTCCCGCAACAGCTCTTCGGATCGCCTGGCGCCTCCACGCCTCCGACCTCCGTTCCATGCCCGTGCCAGCGGCTCGCCCGCACCCAGTTCAATTCGCAAGCCCTCTCATCCCTTGATGCGTCCCCGTAAGCAATGTCGGCGATCATTGAGCATGTTTGAGCACCCAGCAGATGTTATTGCCGAAAAAGAGGCCAAGGTAGCGACAAATGCACCCGTCCAGTCCATTAGTGACATTCAGAGCCCGCCCAGCATGAAGCTGCCTCATTTCATCCCTGAGGATCGCGCGGACTCATTACCTCGCATCGACAAAAGCACCCTGCTGGAGCTTATGGGTGGCAAATTCAACGACCAGTTTGATAACATCCTGGTCATCGACTGCCGCTTCGAATATGAGTATGAGGGCGGCCACATCAATGGTGCCGTTAACTTCAACGACAAGGATCGTCTCGCCAGTGAACTATTCAGCGCTCCTCAGCCCCGCACTGCTCTGGTCTTGCATTGTGAATACTCGGCTCACCGTGCTCCCATCATGGCCAAGTACCTTCGACACCAGGACCGCGCCATCAATGTTGATACTTACCCCAACCTTACATACCCGGATATGTACATCCTCGACGGTGGATATAGCTCATTCTTCGCCGAGCACCGTTCATTCTGTTTCCCCCAGAACTACGTTGAGATGGCCGACAAGGAGCATGAATTTGCCTGTGAGCGTGGCCTCGGAAAGGTCAAGCAGCGCTCCAAGCTCAACCGTGCCCAAACCTTTGCTTTTGGTGAACACTCACCTCAAATGGAGGACAGTCCCACTGGCCGTTGCCGCCTCGGTGATAGCCCCAAAAGCCGTTTCCTGGACTCGCCTTTTTCTGCGAGCTCATTCTCCGGTAGCCCAGTTCCCCAACGGACCCCCGGGCGCCGCATGCTTTCTTATTAAACAAAACCCAAAAACATTCGGCAGCCCTTCGCATCATGCATTTTTTCTTTTTTCTTTTTTTGTCGTTGGAGCGTGGTGTTTGGCTGATGCATCTCATGATGTTTTATGGCGGCTTTTTTCTTCTACTTTTCAGCCTTTTCCCCCTTGCATGCTTGACTTGCATATGCCAGATTCCCGGTGATCAGGCTTCTTTCTTTTCGCGATAGCGCTGGATTCGTCTGCTTCGCATTTTCAAAACTTTGATGCACCAGCATCGTCCTATCCTTGGCGGCTTTTTCGTCCCGCCCGTCATTTCCTTTTAGTGGTATTTACCACTCCATGAAATCGCCCACGATCAACCCCGGGCTTTCAACACTCATGACTCCATCTATCTGAGTGCCCATTTTCCTATGTTTTATTACGACCTTGCACCAAGTGCCCACGAAGACGGCCCACAATCATCGCCGCATTTCCCTTTTCGATACCACGGGGCTCCAGATACCCCATCGAACATTTTGCCTTTGCATTGGCATCTCCTTTTCTTGAACACATTCCTTACCTCTTATCGCCCTTTAATCCACTTGGCCTTCACTGTACAGTCTTGTGGAATGTCAATTCCTGCTGTGCCATCGGTTCTCAATCGGTCACTTTAATCATTGCATTGTGTATGCTTTTTTCAATCTTCCTGTTGATTTCACCCCTTGGATCGGTCCATTGCTGGTGAGGAGGATATTTGACTCGAGACTGTGCAGCTGTACATACGAGGTTTCGCCGCTTATGTTGGGAAATTCTCCCTGGATGTTTCCCCAGAAATTTAATGGGTCGGAATTGGGTAATCAGGAGACTCCAGTTACAAATATGTTTGATTTCCTTTGTGAGAATGAAAAAAATATTCAAATCAGCTTTCTCCCTTCAATTCGTAGCAAATTTCGAACTTAGAAGTAGCTGGGGTCAAGAGGCCGGTTGCAACACCACTGGGGTCGCCTAAGCAAAGCTACTTGATCAATGCCTCACATTGTATACCCCGTACTTCTGACAGGATTTAAAGACTTGAAAACTTGGAAGTTCCTCCACAAATTAAAGGTGATTTGCCTCTAGTGTGGCTAGTGTGCCTTGCTACAAAAACGGCCCCACCTGGCTACATTGCATTCGGATACTTCCGAGGTCCCATATAAGTATATCTTACATTATATTTCTTGCATCTGCACCATTATATGATCTACATTAGTGGTTATACGGGTGCTTCCAAAGCCTGCAGAGAAATCTTAAGCAGATGCACGTTCGAACTTAATAGAAATAATTCAAACCTTGGAATGACGAGGCGCTGTGCAAATATATATCAAATCATCCATGGATGCATCCAAGCTCATGCCTTAGGCTGTAGAGGAACTTTAGAAGAGAAGCCCTTAGCCAAACCTTGAACTTCATCATCCATATCTCCATCAAAATGCAAGAGGTCGGTATTCGCTGCCCGGTAGACACCGTCAAATTCCCCATCAATCTTCAGTGATGTTTCAGATGACAGCCACATATACTTAAGTATCTCTCCACGTTTCCTGCTTGCGCAGGTAAACCCCATAGATCAAGTACCAGGAGGGGATTCAATATAGTCTCTGGGAGGGTCTCCCCAAAAAACACATATCCCAAAAGCCAAAAGAGGTATAAGCGTGAGAATTTCTTGGCTCCAAATCAATCTTCAAGCTTGATTCTACAGCATCAAAGTCATTCTAAAGTTGAAGTTGGAGATTTGGGGTCTTCGAGGTCCCGCCCTTCTGCACCTTCCTCCAAATATTTGAGATAGAGTGGATTCTCACTTCGTTTGGAAGCAACGAACAGGGATTCAAAAGAAGCGCTTCAACCGTTGAAAGAGTTTCTCCATAGTCACATATCACACAAGTGATACATTCGGCCTTCGACGGACCCAATTCGAGAGCCACCATGTGGCTCTATTCAACTTGGGCGTCATCGGGGCCCCAATACCCTGCGTCTGGAACTTGCTATTTCTTTGGTTTACCCTGAAGCAAAGGGGGATGGCGGCCTACTCCAAGCCGAAGCGCAAAACCGAAACAACGCCGCACACATGCTACGGATTTGCGTTCGCTCTCATGCCGAACTAACGGAGAGCAAGAAACATGTCGGGCATTCGATAATGAAGTTCGCGCCATTACAGCAACTCTTGTTGAGACCTATCGGCCAGAAAGAAAGGAGCGGAGGGAACCGACTGAATTCACTGCTCTGCTCAGAGAGAGAGAGGAAGAGGAAGAAGAAGAGAGAGAGAGAGAGAGAGTCGGGAGAGGATCTATCTACACATAGGGGTTGGGACGAACTCCCTACACAGCAACTCTAAACCGAGAGGCATTGGCCATCTGGGGTCCTTGGACCCGAGTTGATTCGGACCACACCTACACACACTCGGCTTGCCTCAAAAAGGAGGGATTACCAGCCATCGACGAAAAAGAATGGCAGAAAATTCACCGAGAGTTAAAAAACGCGATTGCGTGGATCCTGGAAAAGACAAACACGCAAGTGACGGCCGATATTGAAGCCATTGAAGCCCCCCTCCCTCCTTTAACCTTATGAGCGAAATTCCTGGATCTCCGACGAGTCATACATCAACAAACAGTGATGCCCCGACAGCCTTGTCCACAGAGGATATTCTGCCGCAACCTATTCTACCAGATCTAGCTGCTGTGCAACTTAGCCAGAATCCCGTTTTCTTCGAAGAGAGAGATCCTCTCCGATCGCAACAAGTCAATTCCATCATCGAGGAACTTAACGAGCTAGCGGTGCAAGCAGCAACAATCAATAGTCTTTCTCCTATTATGGAATCAGAACAGATCCGCAACTTCGTCAAACGCTACGACGATTGGGCTAGCAGCAAGCACTTCGCGTTGGAAAGCATCAACCACATTCGACAGGCAATATCAGCTTTGCCGTTGGCAGCCGATGGGAGAGACCTGCTACAGAACAAATTAGCGATGGCGGCGGGAGAGTTGTTCCACAATCCGGAATCAGCCCCAGGGTCTTCTGATGGCTCCGAGGAGGGTGCTTCGCAATGATCGGTCCCTGCGTCGGGTCACCAATGTGACGGCGCTAGCTTCGATTCGCGATTAATGTTGCAGATCAGATTGGGACTCAGAGTCACCAGCTCCCCCGAAATCTCCCACCCCACCACCCCAACCCCTGCCAGAAAGGGAGCAGGCCCTGGTCCTGCGAACCCAGTGAGACGGAAGAGGGGTTGAAGCCAAGGTTAAGTCTTGGCAATATGATAGCGAATTGTGCGTGCGTGTATACCTCAAAGCTGTATTCTAGTACCGTTGCGGGTCTGAGTGATCCGTATCCGCTTCTTTTTCCCTTCTGACCGTTGGATCAACCTCCTTTTGAGGCCCAGTGATCAATCTGTTGTACTTCTACATATGTTAGTTTACCAGGGCGCCGAGATTCAAGGTGATGTGTCTCACCCACTATCAGAGTACCAAATATGATAGCGAAAACACCGAGATTGACTGGTGTACTTCCAAGTTCCAAGTTTCACGGCTTCTTCAACAGTGAACCAAACCTGTATATCTATAGATTATATACTTAGTATGGTCCCTGTACACTACTGAAGTATTTGATGTAGTACCCTGAATTCAGCCGGGCTTTTTGAGTATGGTAATACACATTAAACCAAACTGGGTATCCATCGGGGTATGCTTAAGTAGCCATGTGTACTGGTAGCAGATGTAGGGTGGAGTTGAAAATGATATAGATCACGAATACTCGTATAAGCAATTCTTCATAAACAAAGACGCATCGAAATCAACTCGAAGGTACTTAAGTAACAATGTTTGTAGGAAACAACACTAACAAAGGTCAAATGTAATATATACAAAATTTATCTGAAGAATCGATCTCCTGCCAGTCGTTCTAAGTCAACGTTGGTCTCTTCGGGGCCTGAGGTGCTATGTAGGGTTAGAGATCCCAAGTTCCTTGGTATTTAGCATCGAGTAAGTGCCTCTCCAGGTGGCGAGATGATCATCGAAGAAAGAAAACCTACTCAAATTTGGATATCTTTGGCTCTGCTAATCTTCTTCGCATTCATTGTTGCCTTGTTGGCGGATGTGTTGCTGGGAAGTCGATCTCCTGGTATTTGGGTATCCCTGGAGCTCTGGTATCTGCATTGATCACTGCAACGGTGCTGCGATGCTCTGTTTTGCCTTCATCGTCGGCATAAGACTCTTGGGGACTTCAACCATTCTCTTTAGATGGCACTCTGAATTCATTCAGTTAAGAGTTCCGGGCGAACGACAAAATCGTGCAGGACATTGTGAATAATTGCAAACGCGCAATCTAGGGGGTTTCGTTACTCCAATGAAAATAATTTTCTTCCGTTTACTTAAATTTGTTTTGGTAGGACGAGATTGTAGACTCAGTAATTTGCCTACTCGATATCCTAATAGAGGTCTCTCGTACAGGTCTGATCCATAGGCGTTCGTGGAGCCCTACCCCCTTGCCGCTGGTGGGTCCCGGTACTTGGCTTGACGCCCTCGCGGAGTTTTGACTCTGTGCAAATGCTGGGGACCAGAGCTGTGCAGAGTAATTTGTCCAGAGATTTCACTGTTTGAAGTCACTTAAATACAAAATTGGTTTCAGGGGTTTGCAGAAATAGCCTACCAAACGAGTCTGGAGGACGAAGTACCTCCGAAGTATATGTCCCGAGGTCCTTACAACCAAAGGCTCTATTTCTGTATCTAATTCATACCTAGAATACTCCGTGGGTATGGATAGATGGAGTAGATAGAGCAGACCATACGAGTAGATCAAAGTCGTACAGCCCTGGAGTAAAGATCGACAAACGGTGGATGTATCGTTAATGAAGATGCGCGTCTGTCGTCTGCCGCGGGACTGTGATAGGCGGAGACGGGAACTAATGGAGACTCACAACCCTTTGCTCGGCTCTCCTCTTTTGTGTTTCATCTTCTCCTGTGTGTCTCTCTGCTTTTTTGTTTCTATTACATCCGAGACATTCGCTCATTTCAATACGCTCATTGCCCTCGTTCCACCCATTCCACTCATTTTAGAAGGCTGCGCCTCGGGGGATCCGCAGGATCTCACCTCGTTCTATTTTGGTCTTTTGGTACTGCTGCCTATCGTTCAAGTCTTCGGAAAATCTACAATTCTGTGTGCTATTTACAAGCATTTCGCTCCGATCTAAGCCTCGCAGCCCTGCTATCGCTACTTTCTAAGACACTTAACGCGCGCCCCACTACGAACCGCGACCCGCCGTCGCATGAACTACGGAGTACACAATTGCATCGGACAGTGCTTCCTACAACCTTCACCATATCGCAGACAGCTCTTTCTGTCGTAAAACTCGAATGACTATTTGCGACCTCAAATCATAGTCATGAGTCCCGCGAACATAACGCTATGGGCGCGAGACACTGCCAGCGACCTCGAGTCGATTCCCTCAACATTTTCCAGTTGGGATAAATGTATGGCCAAGTCATACTGCAAGTGAGTCTCTGCCGAGGAATTGATGCATCTAGTTTGCAAATGCGTTCTGGAAACTAATGATCGCAGGTGGCCAGTGATCGTTGGTATCATCGTTGGTTCCGTGATTCTTCTTGCCGTGCTAGCATGCATTTTCAATTGTCTCTGCTGTGGTTACCAATGCTGCAAATGCTGCTGTAGCTGCTGTTGCCCATCTGGCAGACGCAGAAACAAAACACCAAAGCATTTTGATGACCCTGCTTTCCAGCAGCCAAGCTACCATCAGCCACCCCCACCTGCCCCCAATCCAACCTACCAAGCGCCCCCGGCTCCTCCATCGTACCGTGGCGCCGAGCAGACTGCCCGCTTTGATGCGCCAAAGTCCCCGGGAGTCAAGGTCAACGAGGATGCTCTTCCTGAGATGCCCACTTGGGCTGGTGCCAAGGACAAGCATGTCGAGGATGAGATTCATCACGAAGACGTCGAAATGGCGGCATTGAATCCTCCGGATCGGAAGCAAGGCGCTGGTACCCCTGGTGCCGCGCGCTCGGATTATTCTCCCAACCCCAGCGCGGCTGGCGGCTACAGAGGTTTCGCACCTACAGATCCGTATGCTCGCCGGTCACCCGGTCCAGCATTGACCCCAGTTCAAGATCCTTATGCGCGACGCTCGCCTGGGGTGCCATCCCCCGGAGGAATTGATCCCTATGGAAGGAGATCTCCTGGACCGGCAGCGGCACTTGCTGCAGCACAGGATCCTTACGCCCGCCGATCGCCAGGCCCAGCAGCAGCCCTGTCCGCCACCCAAGATCCCTACGGTAGACGTTCGCCTGGCCCAGCAGCAGCCCTGGCTGCAACACAAGACCCCTACGGACGACGTTCGCCTGGCATGGCTGCAGCTGTGGACCCGTACGCACGACGATCACCCGGCCCAGGAACAGCCTATAGTACCCCAGACCCCTATGCCCCCCGCTCTCCAGGTCTGGCCTCGCCCATGACTCCCCACAATCCCTACGACCACTCCTACCAAGAAGGCCACGACGACAACTACGGTGCAGGTGCAGGCTACCACGCCGTGACCTCCCCTTCACCCGTCGCAGCCTACAAGCCGACAACCCAATATAGCCCCGCGCCCATGGCCTTCTCCACAGAAGACCACAACCAAACACCAGGCTTCCAGCGCCAGCCTTCTTTCGGCTCAAGCCAATACCCACCCACCTACACCTCCCAGCCTGCATACCAAAGTTACTCGCCCGGTGCTACTTCTCCACCCCCTGCTTTCTCGGCTCCTACTACCGAGTACGCCACATATAACCCGCACAGCACTGCAGTCACTCCTGAGCCGGATCACACCAGGCCCCCGAGTTTGTTGCAGAGTGGGAAAAAGCCTAACCTCAATGCCTCAAGTAACTTTTGAGTGCCTTTATCCTCGTAGATCGAGGTTTTTCATGAACAGACGCTTTCTTCTTTCTTTCTCGATTTTTGATACCATTCTCGGGCTGTATCTGTCTTCGTTTACTTTACATACATACCCCCCAAGTCAAACTAGATTTGGAATTGATGACTTTTTTCTTTCTCATTAACAAGCCCTATCCTGGGGGCGTGTAATACCATAAAGATGGGTGCTCGTCTGGGGCTGTATTGGCAACAATCAAGGCTGTTACATAGTCCTGGATGTTGAATTTGAGATGTGGCCGATTCACGCATTACAAGGAATATCACGAGGCTTCACCTGAGAGTTCTGAATTGTAACTCATTTTTCACATTTCATCATAAAGTACACTTCCGTGGAGCTTGTCTCAGAGGCCCCGCAAGAAAGAAGATATTCCAACATAGACTGACAGTTGACAAGTGTTCATCCGCAACAGGTTGGAGAGAGTGCAAAGCAAGAAGAAAGCGCGCCAAATAGGATGGCAGAGGAACCTAAGAACTTGATTACTCTTCCATTTCCACGGTGAAGTCATGCTTCTTGAATGCTTCTTTGAAAGCCTCGGCATCCTTGGTCTCTTCATCCTCCGTCTGTGTGCAATCCTTCCAGCCCAACCGTTTATCCAACAGTAGCAATTTACCCATGACACGACGACCAAATTGTAAATCGAATCGAGTCTCAGGCACAATGGGCATCATGGTGATTTTTTCCTCTCCAGATTGAGTCTGGTAAACGCCCTTGTGACCAGCGGCAGACCACAAGTCCTGAGCTTCACCTTCGCTCTTTTGCTCGCCCTCAACGCGTGGAGTCCAGATGAAGAGACGGAAGTAATCGTTCATGCCGTGTTCGTGGACTTTCTTGTGGTCTTGGATGGTCTTGAATTTCGCATAGTCCAGGTTGGAAGCTTCCTTTTGGAATGCGGCTTCTACGAGACGTCCGCGGATCTTTTCTACTGGCATTGGAAGGAATTGCCAGTGTGTGTGAATACCGTTTGACCGGCTGACCTCCCATGTCACAGAGCCAAGTTTACCGCCTGATTGCTCGTTGAGCATTTGGTTCAGGGATTCACGATAGCGTTGCATCTCGGTGAAGGTGGAGACGCGAGTTTCAGGATCGAAGATGAGATCGATTGTGGGAGAGTGCTCGAGTGGGATGATGAGCATGTGGCCTGGGAATCCCAGGGAGGGGAAGAAGTTTTCTGATGGCAAGGGTCCTTTGGCTGTGGTGACGTAGCTGTGGTCACCGATGGATGTGATGAGGTGAGTGGAGATGTCGGGGTTAGCCAGACAGAAGAAACATTGATCTGGACCAGGGGGAGGAGCGCGTTGCTTGTGGCGTCTCTTAAAGCCGGGGTCTCTGTCGACGTCTGAGGGAGCAAAGCGCTGGTACGATTCTTTCTGACTTGGGAGAGTTTTGCGCCTGCTTTGTGCCGCTGACCAAGGGCAGATGGTATGGCCAGGCGGAATACTGACCAGAGGTGGGGTTGTAGGGTCTAGGTTAAAGGCGTACATCGCATCCTTCCGTGATCCGAATTCGGGCAGTGAAATGAATCGTGTCGTCTGATAGCCAGCACCTTCTTCTGTCGGCATGTGGAAGAAAGGCTCGCGTTCGAAGAAGGCACCATCTGAGCTGGAGAAGTGGTATCGTGGTCTGAGGGTGGCAGAGACATCAGCCAGACACTGAAGCTCGGCTGGCAGGGAGCTTTCATCCCCAGAGACCTTTTGGTTTGATCCGAGGCGAACATCTTTGGGCCATTGGTTGGTGATGAGGATATCTGTTTTGTGGATACCGAACAATGCACGCGCATCAGCCTCACTGTATGTTGGCTGGAATTTGCCACTAGCATTGCTCTCAGGCTTGGAATCACCGGTCGACTCTCCTAGAGTTCCACCCAGAGCGGCAATTCGGATACCCTCCATATTCTTGAGAGTTCCCCGCTTCCCCAAGAAGAAAAGGTTTGAGCATAATTCGTCATCGGCTTCAATCTTCTTGACCACTTGAGGGGGAAGAGGGCGGTTTCCAAGACTGAAATAGGTTGGACACGCAACCTCTATCTCACCTTGTAGCAGCGCATTGACTTCCGCAATCTCATCTTCGGCCAAGCAATCACCGAAGAGATTGCCGAGAATGATTGCAAAAGAGAAGTTCTGCTTGGGCTGGAGTTTGCCAAGCTTAGTGAAAAAAGGTCGGAGTTTGCCGTTCAAGCCACCAACAACAATACTGCACACCGAGTTAGTTACAAGTTCTGGTGCAAAAGAGAGCTTCCTACCATTTGGGCGGCATTTTTCGTCAAAAAGGGCCTCGCGTATTGCGATCGACGTGGGTAACGATTGATGCAGAACGCGTGTTAAGAATGGTGTAAGCAATGATTGAAGGGAATAGATGAAAACATCAACAGCCCAGCGCGGAGATAACACAGGACTAAAGGATATAAACACCGTTCAGCACAAATAGGCTGCGCATTGACTGACCAAGCGCAGACTGAACAATTGAGAGTCGCAAAGCTCCGTATCAGCACGTGAGCATCGCCGATAAGGACCGGAATAAAGAATCTCCGCATCCTGAACTTTTTTTTGTATGCGGGATCAGACAAAAAAAGCGATCAGGACCTTTCTCACCAAGTGCTGCCTGCTGTCTCGTCAACATGGTGGGAACAGGCTCAAAGTCAAAGCCTGTCAGGCGCCTTAAGACAGGCACCGAAACTACAAAGAACCACCGATTCGAGGGCTTCTCATCACGCATCTCGAAGCTCAAAATCGACCCGATCCACCGCGTGCGCCGAGCCAGCTTTGGCGAAGATGAAGTCGAGACATCCTCATATTTCCGGTCGGCGCTCGACCACTGGTTCGAGATGAACCTCTCGGACAATTTCACAACTTTCGTTCGGCGAGTCAACCCTCTGTCCGAGAGCTTTGCGCAAGTTGTCTACCACGAAGGAAAGATTATGGGACTCTTGGTTGAATTCATCGAGAAGAGAGATCATCTTTGCATGGAGCCGTTATTAAGCTTGCTCGCACAATTTGCTCGGGACCTGGGTGTGAAGTTCGAGAAACACTTCTCTACGGCAGTGACGCTGGTGTCATCCGTCGCGGCTACACACCCCGACATTGAGGTAGTTGAATGGAGTTTCACATGTCTGGCATGGATTTTCAAATTCCTTTCTCGATTATTGGTACCGGACCTGCGCCAATTGCTGGGTATTATGACCCCATACCTTGGCAAAGAGCGACAGAAGCCATTCGTGGCGAGATTCGCCGCTGAATCTATGTCCTTCCTTATCCGGAAGGCTGGCCTCACCTACTACAAGAATCAAGCACCACTTGAGATTGCCGTATCATACCTCTTCGACGACATTTCGAAAACCGCCGATGATAACAAAGACACCGAGGGCTACAGGGGAGGACTCATGAATATGTACTCCGATGCTATCAGAGGAGTCAATAACGGTCTTCACTCCAACGGCATGGATATCCTTCACTGTATTTTGCGCCAGATCCCGCCCACCAGTGAAAACCGCAACGATCCCGCGGAAGTTGTTTGTGGCTTGATTGTCAGTCTTGTCCACGCCACGACCCCCGAAACCTTCGGCCCAATCCTCGATACCGTCCAGGCCTATATCGACGAGCGCTCAAAATCCACCCCCAACCCTAATCTTTCGGAGTGCTGCCGTATAATTTTCTTGCTTGTGACGACTCGCAAAGGTGTCAGAATCCAGAATTGGAAGATAATCCATCAGATTCACATCTCTTTGCTTAAGCAGGTTTCGGCCACCGAGGTTTCATCAGAAACGATGACCACCCTGTTGGCAAGCGTTGCATATGCCTTTCAACAATCACCAATGGATGAGCTGCTACCATCGCTCCGCACCATCGTGGACCTGGTGTCCACTGGCCCACTCTCAAAATACTTCTTGTTCTTTTGTACCACCTTTGCTGAGTGGGGATCAGAGCGGTTCCAGAGCCTGCTTCTTTCCCCCTTCCAGAAGTTCATTAACTCGTCTTGGCAAAAGTCAGAATCAGAGACTTGCTACACCCTGCTGCGTCTACACCAGGCCGGCTGTATCACCCCTGAACAATCACAGCCTGGCTTCATCTCCTGCCCAGATACCTTCAAGGCTCGTATCAATGATTCATTGAAGTATCCGGCAAAAGATGAGGCGTTTTTGAATGCACTCATGAAGCTCCCCACAGCCATCTCCATGTTTGCCGACAACGCTACGATGTCAAAGATGGTTTCAAAATTGCACAGCAATCTCGTGCTGGCCTTTAAGGATGGAGCTGCCGAAGGAACAAAACAGACCAATGGCCTCAGGTTCTTCCTCGGACAGGGATTTAAGACTTACGTTGAACTCGCCAACAAGGTTGATAAGCTCGACACAAATCTCTTGGAACCCATAATCGCCACTGCCACAAAATTCTCCCGTCTGCCGGTCTTCTTGGAGGGCACCCTCGTCTTCATCACATCACTCCCAGAATCTGCGGAACTGCAACACCCTGCACTAGAAGCCTTTGCGCAGGATCTAATTGTGAACCTCGCCAGCCCATCACACAGGCTCAGACTGGTCTCTCTTCAACTACTGCGAGAATTGGTCATTCGAACCGCCAAAGAAGATCCTACGCCCGTGGATCTTTCTATCGAAATCGAACAAAGTCCGCTTACGATGGACAGCGTGCGAACTATCTCCATGCATATTCGAAAACTCGCCCTCATCTATCCCCAGATTGCCCACCGTAGATGGATTGCCAATCTTGTTCCTTACTTTTGCTTTGGATTGTTTTCAAAGAAACTGGCTCCTCTGTGGGACGACTCTGCTGCCACGCTGAAGGCTATCAGTGAGCACCCAGAGGGTGAAAGGATTGTGTCCAACCTGTCTATTCAGTGGCTGCAAGAGCGGGACTCCGAGGCGCTAAGTGATTCTCCGGCGGATGATGAAACTTCATTTGTCAACAGCCATTTCCAGTGTCACAACGTCGTGAAGGTCGAAAAGGCTGTCGCTGCAAATGCCAAGAGCACAGATGACCCCCAGGCCGTCCTGTCTGAACAATTCAATGAAGACCATACCGTCGCAGAGATTCTTCCCGCCACACCGCGGACCCATGCGCTGCGCGTGTTGAACGCTGCTCCTGCAGTCGCCGAAAAGCGTTCGCGTCAAATTGTACCGCTATTCCTCTCATGGGCTTTGCGTGATGACCAAGATGACGCCCCTCCATCTGGAGAGGCCAAGGGCGAGGACGACGATGAGGATGAAGCTGAAGATATTGACATGAGTGATGCGCAGGTCCGCTGGGGTTTCCGAGACAGATTGTCCATGCTTGCCCTGTTCGCTCGTTTCCTCAACCCCATTGTCCTATACAAGGCTCCGGAGGTCCACACAGCAATTTTGGGACTTCTGTGCCACGGTAACTCTGATTTGCAGCGTCATGCCCTCAAGGTCCTGTTTACTTGGAAAGATCCCAATGTTCTTCCGTACCAGGAGAACTTGCTCAATCTTCTGGATGAATCTCGCTTCAAGGATGAGCTCGGTGTGTTTGTTCACGTCGGCGGTGAAGATAGCCTGATTAAGAACGAGCATCGGGATGTTCTCCTCCCAGTCCTTCTTCGACTGTTGTATGGTCGAATGATTTCCAAGGCTGGCTCAGCTGCTGCCGGCCAAGCTGGCAGACGCAAGACCATTCTTCGAACTGTTTCGCACCTCTCAGAGCAAGACTTTGGACTCTTTATCCAGCTTGCATTTGGCTCTCTTGGAAGTGTGCACCCTGTCAAGGAAAACAACGATCTCGATTACACCGCCTTTGATCAAGATCTGTCCAGCCCTAAGAGACAACTGGGTCTGCTCAAGCTCATTGACTCTGTCTTTGAGTCCCTGCAAACCCGCATGGCCAAATTTGCACCGCAAACCATGGACGTTGTCATCTACTGTCTGGTACGAGCATGTCGCGCCATTTCCAGCGAGGGAACAGACGAACGCTTCTTGGCTGTATTCCAAAGCATTCGTCAGACATGTATCCGCTGCCTCAACCTGGTCTTCTCGATTGTTTCTGACCGAGACTGGACACCTTACGTCCGCATCATTTTCAAGGAGATGATCGATGGCAGACTGGATCAGTTCCCTATCGAGACAGCTCAGGGTGTTTCTGGTCTTCTGCGTATGTTCCATACCTGGGCTTCCTTCCCTAGGTCTACATTCTACTTGGTGCAGCACAATGACAAGGTATTGACCAAGGTCATTGACTGTCTTGCGGTGGAGTCAGCTCGCGACGAGGTCAAAAACTTTGTCCTGGATGAAATCCTTGTGCCCTTGGTAGAACACTCTACTGGCAAGAAGCTGCAAGACACCGAAGAAATGCCGGACTTCCCTCCCGAGCAGATCAAGTCTGAGGTTCTCTCTCCCTATTTGGAGCATGCTCTGTTCCATCTCGGTCGCTTGCTTAGAAGAGGCCCTTCGAAGCCCGTTCTCTACTCGGGTGTCAATGCTCTCTCTTTGATCGCCCCCTGCGTCGAAACTTCCAAGGAGACTGCCGGTCTCATCAATATCACTACATATCTGCTTCGCCAGCCACCAGACCGTGTCAGTCCCAGAACCAAGTCTGGTTTGCTGAAGATTCTGGAACATTTCCTCCCCCTATGGGATCCCAAGGAAGATGCCGAGCTCGCTCAGCAAGTTTTCGACGCTGTTTGCTCTATGTTCGATTACTTCAAGGACGACGTGAACAGAGAGGTATTGTCCAGAGTGTTCACTGCTCTTGCTACTCATGACGAGCAGCTCAAGGAGGTGGCAGTGCTGTGTGAAGACTTGAACTCTCGCTCAGTGAAGAAACTAGAACCCGACTACGAGAGACGTCTGGTTGCATTCAGAAAGATCAACGACGAGCTTTCTGAAACCTTGACTGCCAAACAATGGCGACCCCTTCTCTACAATATGCTTTTCCATGTCAGAGATGAAGAGGAGCTCTCTGTCCGATCCAGCGCTTCATTCGGTTTGAAGCGATTCATTGACAGGACGTCCACCGGACCAGATGCTGAGTTTGAGGCTCTCATCAACGACGTTCTGTTCCCATCTTTGCATTTCGGTATTCGTCAAAAGTCCGAACTGATTCGCTCTGAGGTCGTTACTGTTATTGGCTACTTCGTCAAAATGAACCCTACCAGACCCTCTGTGCAAGATATGCACGTCCTCCTTGTCGGAGACGATGAAGAAGCCTCGTTCTTCAACAACATTCTCCACATCCAGCAGCATCGTCGACAGCGTGCTTTGCGTCGTCTGGCTGGAGATGCCGCTCAAGGCAACATCCAAGCCTCCAACCTTGGTTCCATCTTCATTCCTTTGATTGAACATTTCGTCTTCGAGGATGCCGCTGATGAGAATGCCCACAATTTGATTGCTGAAGGTGTTGCAACCCTCGGTGCTCTCTCAGAGTGGTTAGAATGGGGACAGTTCCGAGCAAACTTCCGCAGATACCGCAGCTACATGGCCAGCAAGCCTGAGAAGGAGAAGAACATCCTCAGACTGCTCGGTCGAATGTCAGATGCTCTTTTCAGTGCAATGAAGCGAAAGAAGGCTACTGCGGCCCAGGACAGTGGTGAAGATGCCGAGGAGGACAAGATGGACGTCATTGAACAGCCTATGTGCACGCTCGCCAAATCCGTTCCATCGCTTGCAAAGGTTTCAACGGAGCTGACCACGAACTTCATTCCTTTCCTCACAAAATACATTCACCACAAGCAGGAGAAGGAAATGAGTCTGCGTCTGCCTGCTTCGGTCACCACTGTCAAGCTTCTCATGATCCTTCCAGAGGAGGAGCTGGCCATTCGTCTGCCACCCGTCTTGCTGGATGTCTGTACTACCCTCAAGAGTAAAGCACAGGATTCCCGCGACACGGCGCGGAAGACACTCAACGATATCGCTCTTCTTCTGGGTCCCGTTTACTTTGGCTACATCCTTAAGGAACTCCGAAACGTCCTCGCGCGAGGATATCAGCTTCACGTTCTCTCCTTCACTGTTCACTCAATGCTAGTCTTTACCACAGACACTTTCAAGCAAGGAGATTTGGATTATTGCCTGAAGGATCTGGTCGCTGTTGTGATGGATGACACATTCGGCACAGTTGGTCAAGAAAAGGACGCCGAAGGCTACACCAGCAAAATGGTTGAAGTGAAGAGCAGCAAGAGTTACGATTCTATGGAACTCCTTGCAAAGATCTCAACCATCAGCCAATTGTCAAATCTGATCAAGCCTCTGCAGGCACTCCTTGGGGAGAAGCTGAACTCGAGCCTCGTCAAGAAACTCGATGAACTGATGCGAAGAATCGGCATTGGTCTGTTGAGAAACCCAGATGCTGAAAGCCGGGATCTGCTGGTGTTCTGTTACGAAGTTATCAAGGAGTCTTACCGTGAAAATGCTCCAGAAGAGACTCAAGCTGCCCCCAAGTCCCGATCCGAGGAGCGATTCCTGGTCAGATTGCAAGGAGCTAAGCGGGGTGATCACAGGGGTACTACATCCTCACACGTTTACAAGCTCACCCGTTTCTCGCTGGATGTCCTTCGTGCGATTCTCAACAAGTTCAACTCCCTGCTTACAGCTTCCAACCTGGCTGGGTTCATCCCCATCATCGGCGATTCGCTTGTCCAGGCCCAGGAGGAAGTCAAGGTTTCTGCGCTTCGTCTCCTATCTACAATTATCAAACTGCCACTCAAGGAGATTGATGAAAACTCGCATGTTTACTTCACCGAAGCAGTCAAGCTTGTTAAGGAATCTCCCAGCACCAACTCAGAAGCGGCGCAAGCTTCACTGAAACTGATTTCTTCCATGTTGCGCGAGCGCAAGGATACCAAGCTTCGTGACGGTCACCTTGCCTACTTGCTTAAGCGTCTCGCCTCCGATGTCGAAGAGCCAGATCGCCAAGGTGTAACCTTCAACTTCATCCGAGCAGTCATGTCACGCAAACTTGTTGTGCCAGAGATGTATGAGCTGATGGATCAAATCGCAACCATGATGGTTACCAACCAGACCCGGTCTGCCCGTGATCTTGCCCGGGGCACCTATGTTCACTTCCTCGTCGAGTACCCACAGGCGAAGAGCCGATGGGCCAAGCAACTTGCGTTCTTTTCCAAGAACCTGGACTACAAACACCAGTCCGGACGACAGTGCGTTATGGAGGCAATGCATACACTCCTATCAAAGACTGGCCAGGAGTTGGCCCAGGACATTATCAGCAATTTCTTCCTGCCCATCGTCCTTGCCATGGCCAATGATGAATCGCCGGAATGCCGCGAGTTGGCGGGTACATTGCTAGGAGAATTCTTCAACCGTGCTGATCGAGAGCAGACAAAGACCATGCTGGGTCCGCTGCGCGCATGGTTGGAGCAGACCGATAACATGGCTTTGTGCAGCATTGGACTGCAAGCTATGCGCATCTACTTCGAGTCCGAGCAGAATGAGAAAGAGAAGCAGGCTCGCTTTGTCGTCGAGATTCTTCCGGATCTGATGCAGCCTGTCCTGGATGATACGGAGAACGGCAACTGGGAAGCTCTCTACTTTGCCTTGCAGCTCTTCACAAAGCTTTGCAAGACACTGCCTACGCTTGCTTTGAGTCCCGAATGCTCCTCGATCTGGTCTTCTGTCCAGGAGTCCTTGTTCTTCCCTCACACTTGGGTGAAGACCTGCGCCGCCAACGTTGTTGGCTTGTGGATGGCTGATTTGGCCAAGACCAATGCAACCACCGGATATGCTTCCATCCCTCTGGTAGGAAGCTCTGGTCTGTCTATGGATCAACCTACCATCCTTCGACTTCTTCGTGCTGGTCTCCGCAGTCTGCGCACCCCTGGTATCACCGAAGAATTGGCTATGCAGAGCGTGCGCAACACCGTCTTCCTTGGTCGCTGCTGCTCTCAAAATGGCCTGGAGCTGCCCAAGCTGGATAGCGAGGACGTCGAATCCGAAGATGAGGATGCTGAGAGTGATGCTGAGGAAGAGGCCCCAGAGGCGATCAAGGTGGAGACCAACAGATCTGCCATTCACTACATCTTCAAGCAGATTTCTTCTCTTCTGCGTCGGGAGACAATCGGAGGACGAGCACAGGCCCTTATCCCCAAAACATCATCCATCACGCTTCTTGCTGCCTTGATCCGTCACGTCGATGTTGATCAAATTCGCCCCTCTCTCCGTGTCATCTTGATTCCCCTGCAGCACTTGACCGACCCGTCCATCCCGGCGCCTCGCTCGTCGGATGAGACATTCCAAAACACGTACAAGTCTCTTGTGTCCAACTGCCACGAGGTTTTGGATCTTCTCCAGAAGAAGCTTGGCCCCTCTGAGTACATTGAGCATATCTCCAGAGTCCAGGCTGCTATCAAGGAACGCCGTGAAGGACGACGTGCCAAGCGCCGCATTGATGCCGTTGCTGATCCCGAGAAGTACGGACGTGAGAAGATGAAGAAGAACGAGCGCAAGAGAGACAAGCGCCGTGAGAAGGGCTTGGAGCACCGTGGAAAGAGACGTGGTTGGTAGGGGAAAAAAGTGTTGGCATCTATCTGCATGTCTCATGAACCGGTGTTATTTGCATATCAAAAGTGCTGGCGTTTGGGGTAGGATTTCATCATTTACAATGTATATATTCTCTGAAAGAATTCTGTACAAAAATACATTGGATTCTAGATTAAACTGTCCAGACCGAGTCATGATTATCTCTTATTGTACATAACCCCATGGGTATTCATCACTTTTCCTCAATGCCTGGATCCTGCCATGCTGAGAGTGGAGAGTCTTCACTATATTACACCAAATCCAAGTAACCCCAATATAACGACACCATTATATGCAACGAATCATCTTTATAGCCCATTTTGAACGGACTTATTCCGACTTCTCGCTGGAAGATCCCAGTTTCTTCTCTTCCTCGGGAGATCCAAGTTTCTCCTTGCCCTCCAAGTCATAGCTCTTCACTGTGCCATCATCCCAGAATTCAAGGTTTCCATCAGTGTGACCGTGGGTCAAAGCCTGACCCTTCTCCTTCAAAAGATCTTCAAGGGTAGTCTTCTTATCGAAGAAAACTCCGAGATGGTCACTCATGACATGGCGCGACTGGCACGAAGGACATTGGATGAGGACGGTTCCGCGGTGATAACCCTGCTTTGACATGCGGTGCGCAGAGCGATGACCGCAGGGTTTGCAAGTAAAAGTAATTCGGTAGGCCTCTTCATTCTTGCGACGCTCCTGGTTTGCCGCCTCCCACTCCGCTTCTTTTTCGGTTTGGCTCTTTGGCGCCTCGGTGAGAGGGCGAGGAGCGCTTGAGTTGTAGCGGAGTTGGGTTTGAGTGAAGATTCGTGAGTGAGGGAGAGCTGATGAGATGGAGGAGCGCGATCGGAGAGGCTGTGTTGAGAGGAAGCGCGAGCGTGTGATGTTTTGCGACAAGGCATTGAACGAGCGGAGGCCCGAGGTGAAAGAGGTGAAAGAGCGCATGATGAGTGAAAGAATTCTGAAGTGGTAATCTCGGTGTTTTTGATGATGGTTTTGTCAATCAAGACGGAAGATCGCAAAGTGATAGAAGCACAGGGAAAATATGACGATGTTTCTACGGAACTACTGAATTTCCGAGATGCCTCCGCGGAGAGCTTTCTCCAACTACCACTTTTCTTGCACTTTGAATCCCGTCTATTTATTGAGCTTACTGATACTTCTGCTTTCAAAATGGCGGCAATGAGGGCTCGACACAAGATTCGAGCTCCGCGAAGGGTGAGTGAACGAGGGGTCCAAATAAAGCTACCCACTAACTATAGTTCTAGGGACTCTCGCATGCCAAAACCGATGACTTCGATTCCATATGGGATGTTCTTTCAGTTTCACTGAATGAAATCAACACCAAGAATGCCTCGACGATTTCCTTCGAAGAGCTTTATCGCCACGCCTACAAGATTGTGTTGATGATGCGGGGTGATGATCTTTACGAGAAGGTCAAACAACTTGAGCAGAATTGGCTTAAGAGCAATGTTCAAAAGCTCGTCACAGAGTCAATATCTGGAAGCCTAGTGCGAGCACAGAATTCCACCGATGCCCAGGATCAATCGAGCGAGAGGAGAGAGGCCGGTGAGAAGTTCCTGGCCGCTTTGAAGGATGCCTGGGAGGACCACCAGCTATCCATGGGCATGGTGACAGATGTTATGATGTATATGGTAGGATTGTCTATCAGGAAATATCCTTGATACTTGCTGTTGCTAATATACACAATTTCTCGCAGGACCGCATGATAATCGCGGGCCAGAAGCCCTCCATATATGCTACTTGCATGGCGCTATTCCGCGACCATATCCTCAACTCATCCGTTCGCCCTGAATCTTCTCTCTCCGTCACAGATGTGCTCAAATCAACCATACTATTCATGATCTCGCTGGAACGGTCCGGCCACATAATTGAGCGGCCGTTGATTCGGCACTGTATCCAAATGCTAGAGGGTCTTTATGAAACTCCGACGGAAGAAGAGAGTTCCAAGCTCTATTTGACTGTATTTGAGCCAGCTCTCCTTGAGGCGAGCAAGGAATTTTATCAAGCTGAAGGACAGCGTCTCTTGCAAATTGGAGATGCTACTACGTTCTGTCGGATCGCTACCCAGCGAGTCGCAGAAGAACAAGAACGGTGTCGCTATACACTGGCGGTCGCGTCGGAACCAAAGGTCCTTGAATTGCTGGATGAGCATTTGATTCGCAGCAATATCGAGGAGGTTGTCAATCTCGAAGGAACCGGTGTCAGACACATGCTGGACCACGATCAACTGGATGGATTGCAAAACGTCTACATGCTCAATGCGAGAGTAGACAAGAAGAAACAAGCCTTGACTAATGTGGTCAATAAGCGAATCGTGGAGATGGGCAAGGAAATCAATAATTCGTCCATTTTGCTGCCCCAAGCCGCGGCAGCAGCTCCGTCGTCAGGGAAAGATGGGGACGGCGAGAAAAAGACAGAAAAGGGGAAAGACAAGGAGAGACCTCAGAACCAGCAAACAGTCTCGGCCATTCGTTGGGTTGATGATATCCTTGCCCTCAAGACCAAGTTCGATGGTGTCTGGGAGAAGGCATTTGGAAATGACCAAGGCATTCAGAGTTCAATTGGAGCTAGTTTCTCCAACTTCATCAATATGAATTCGAGAAGCTCTGAATTTCTCTCACTTTTCTTCGATGAAAACCTCAAGAAGGGAATCAAAGGAAAGACAGAGAATGAAGTGGACATCCTTTTGGATAATGGCATCATGATGCTGCGGTACATCAAAGACAAGGACTTGTTCGAAACATACTACAAGAAACACTTATCTCGTCGTCTGCTGATGAAGCGCTCTGCAAGCATGGATGCCGAAAGACAAATGATCTCGAAGATGAAGATGGAAGTCGGCAACCAATTCACACAGCGTATTGAGTCTATGTTTAAGGATATGACTGTGTCAGAAGATCTCACGGCCAACTACAAAGAGCATATTGCACGGAACGGTGATCCTGACCAGAAACCGGTGGACTTGGAGATCAACGTGCTCACCAGCACAATGTGGCCGATGGAACTTATGGCCAACCCCAAAGATGGAGCGGTCCAATTACCGTGCATCTTCCCCAAAGAAATCGACACTCTCAAATCGAGCTTCGAGCGCTTCTATCTTGACAAGCACAGTGGCCGCAAACTTTCATGGCAAGCCAGTATGGGAACTGCTGATCTGCGAGCCACGTTCGTCCGCTCCACTGGTAAGACCCAACGCTACGAGCTCAATGTCTCAACCTACGCTATGGTCATTCTACTTCTGTTCAACGAGATTCCTGAGGGGGAGTCTCTCACATTCGATGCCATCAAGGAGCGCTCGCGGATCCCTGATCATGATCTCATCCGCAACTTGCAGTCACTAGCAGTTGCCCCCAAGACACGAGTCTTGAAGAAAGACCCCATGAGCAAGGACGTAAAACCTACCGATAAGTTCCTTTTCAACAATGACTTCCACAGTCCGTTTGTGAAAGTGCGCATTGGAGTGGTTAGTGGTGGCGCGAACAAGGTGGAAAACCAAGATCAGCGCAAGGACACAGAAAAGAAGATGAACGATGAGCGTGGTGGTAGCATTGAGGCTGCCATCGTTCGAATCATGAAGTATGTTTTCTTCGCCTCATGAACAACACGACCAACTAACCTCTCCCAGACAACGCAAAACACTCACCCATTCCCAGTTGATGACAGAAACTCTGTCTCAACTTTCTGTCCGGTTTGTTCCGGACGTCAACATGATCAAGCGCCGTATCGAGAGTCTCATTGACCGTGAATACTTGGAGCGAGTTGGCGAAGAGCCGCCTACCTACGGGTACGTCGCATAGACATATGCGATACATCTACATTACGATCTTACGATCCTCGCATCGGTTGAGCAAACTTTCGTATTTATTCTGGGCTTAGCGATCGGCGTCTTGAAAATGAAATGAACAGAAACCTAGTATCAATCTTTTTCGATATTATCCCCAGGCTCTATCAGCCAGTGTGTGTATATGAGTATGAGTATGAGTATGCGCATGCATATATGATCAAAACGCCAGCAATGAAAAAAAAGCCCGCTATAAACCCAAGCACCAGAATCACAATAATTCCACCTCCCCTCTCCCCCACGCCTTCTTCACTCCCTCCCACCTAACAACCCAAACATCCCCCATCCGCATAGTAACACCCACATCCTCATCCTCCTCCAACAACACAGGCACCTCAGCCCCAAGACACCGGACAAAAACCACCTCCCGCAACTCAGGCCCTTGCACCATACTCGTGCCACCAGCATTATCATCCAACCTCCTCAACTGCCTGGGGAACGAACCCATAAACGAGCCCCCATAGTGCCCCGCCAACAAAGTCTGATGGGCATGTAAAAAGGAAGCCTCAGGCTGAGAAAGCGGCGCCAAATCCGTCAACGACGCTATGTCCGGCACCGAGTCCTCAGGCTGCTGATTTGGATTTTGCGACGAGAGTGTAGACTGCGTTTGCGAATTATCCCGCGATGCAAGCTGGACCAGATAATGCATACTGTATTTTGTGATTTTGGCCAGGCGCGCACGTAACAGGCTTCGGATAAGGTATTGGGTGCGTGCAAGGTCTGTTTGAAGGATTGAGAGTCGGAGGTTGAGGTTTGGGTTATGTGTGTGAGGGACGGTAGTGTCGCCTGAAGATGCGGCTAGGTCTTCGATTGTTTCAATCTGATTCCTGGTTAAGTTGTTCTGTTTTCTTTTGTTTTGCCTGCGGTCTTGGATGTACCTGGATTCGGACGCGGTCCATCATGCGCTCCATTAGTGGTGCGGGCCATGGGAGGACTTCGGAGACGGCGCGTTCGGCGACCCAGAAGCGCGTGAGGAGTTGGTGATCTAGGGCTGTGGACTCTGGGCTTGCGCCTGGGCCGTGGTCGACCGAGGCGAGAATGTCGTCGATGTCCATGGTGGGTGGAGGTTGTCGCGAGGTTGGGTGCGCGGTCCCGCGATATGGTTCGGGGAACTAAGCGGTGGCCAGAGGTCAATTGAAGACCTTTTTCTAACCCTTGGATGTTCCTTGGATTTGAATGTCTGAGACAAGCTCTAATTGGATTGTTTTGAAGATCTCTTAAGATCCCTGACGCAATATCTGATCGGCATAGTGGGACATCGGAGCTGGGGTGATCGATTTAAAAATACTCCAGGACAATTACATGCAGTCGGATTGTATTAAGTAGATCGGTAAGTCAATATATGTCATTAGAGAGAAGCAATGTACGAGTCAACTCAGAACTTCAAGGGCTTCGAGTCACGAAGCCAATTTCCCGGACTCAAGAGCCTCATGGTCAAACAGTGTGGGGGCATAAAAGAAAAAAAGAAAAAGAAAAAGAACATCCACCCATGCGGGTATCCGAGATAAAAAGACCAAAATCAATGTTTTCGCGCCGGGAATTAACGCCGTAAACCATTAGCTTCCACATGTACAGCATGGGAAGTGCCTCCAAGCCGTTCTCATTAAGCCTTGAACCATCTATGATCTAGACCTTGCTCGCATTGGGAGGTGGGCCAGGAGGAGGCGCATAGCCGCCGCCGCCGTTGTAAGCGTTCGGGGGCTGCTGCAGCTCGATCCCTTGCTGCTGAGGCGGCGCTTGCGCGCCGAAGTAGCCGTAGTTTTGGGGGTTTGCGCTGTATTGAGGAGGAGCGTTTTGCTGGTAGTAGGGGTCGCCGTAGGGGGCTTGTTGGTAGATTGGCTGGTTCGGAGGAGGAGGTCCGGGAGGAGGAGCCATCCATCCGGTTCCTGTGAGAGGGCGCTGGCCGTGGTTTCTGCGGCGGCGCGCATTGAAACATCTGCGAGAAGTGTGAGTGGATTTCCTAGTTGACGATAACCATGAGGAAGACTTACGCGAAAGAGAAGAAGAGCAAAAATGCCACGCCGACAATCACAGCGAAAGCTACCCAGCGACCCCAAGAGTCCCAGGTTGAGTAGCAGTCGCCGCCCCAGGAACTGGAGCTTCAAGGATGTCAGTATCGATCTCTCTGTGGGGAATTTCATGAACGTACCAATACCGAGCGTATAGAATGGCCATGGCTGAAGTGATGAAGAAAGAGAAGAGAGCAGCACAAGTGCCCAGGTGAAGATGTTCAAACGGGGGCTGGGGGCGGTGGGTCCTTGGCAGTTTAGGCTGCAGTTGAATGGCTTCTTTTGGTTTTGTTCGTGTGGGAGTATTTCTGTGTTCTTAGATATTTCCAATATTTGCAGTGTTGTCAGTTTGCCAGTATTTCCAGTGATGATTTAAAGTAATTAAATTAAACCACGAAAGATGGGGGGGATATGGCTATATACTCCGTACAGAGAGCGGATCATCTACGTATAGACTGCGCCACTCAGATCCACTAGGGCTGACGGGCAAAAGGCGTATTAACAAGGCTGTGCTGGGTATTCGGCATTCTGCTCTCTACTAAGTAGAAAATGATTGGCTAACTATACGGTTCTCTGTATATACCTACGTTGCGGACATCGGCTTAGGGTTGGGGCTTTAGTAGATAACATACTCTTCATCTAAGTACTAAAGTACTCCAGTTCTGGCTTGTATAGATTAGATCTCTTTCCCCAAATCCACCAAAGCCCTTTTCTTTCAGTACTCCGTACTCCGTCTACAGGTAGGCTCAAGAGTATACTTAAGAACTGGATCTATGGAGATTTCCGATTCAAACACTAGGCCGCTTTAATGCTCAGAGACTCGCATAAACCAGTGGCGCATATAATAACCTTGGAACCGATATTGTATCAACAACTTTAGATCTACGTTGGTATTCACGGGATATCGCCCAAGTCAATTTAGTAACATTTCTGCACTTTTAAAATTCAGACTTGGAACTGTGTCTAGATTGAACTATGCGAATTGTCCCAAAACAGTCACACCTCGGCATCTAGGGTTTATGGCATACCCTTCAGCAGGACAACACTCCGTAGAGACATAGCTTCCCAGCTACCTATTTGATCTTTGGCGCTAGCCAGACAACGGATTGGGGTAACCTGCTACTGCTGAAACTCTTGAGGGCTGCGATCGTACTTTCAACCTAGCCTGCCGACATCTTCACAACCAAATCACTGCAAGGTAAAAAGACAAGGGGAGAAATAAAACAAACGTGAAAGGAGAGAATGGGTTATCGTACATCATCTGATGACTGATTCAGATCGCGCTACTCCCCCGACAATTGTTTTTCTAGGATTCGCCCCGGCGTGTAGATCTGCCGAAGTTCTATAAAAGTCTCCGCCCCAGCAGGGGGCAACGACTCACACTGCAGACCAGCATACTGTCGGGAACTTTGGTCGGAATGTTCAATGCAAGTCCAATTAAAAGTCTCCCCGATGCCACAATATGCCACTGATGGCGGTCATAAATTGTCCCGAAGTGACAAATTGTTTCCCTGCAACCCAGGAGACACCCTAACTTAACTGCCAGGGTGAATTCTAATGATTACTACAAATATCCTAGTACAAGTTTTTCTAGGTAATTCACCCAATACCATGCAGATGACAGCTGAGAATTAGTAAGAGATCTAGCGACTTGCATCTCTCCTGGAGAACGCAACTTAGTCCTACATTCTCCTCCCAGAACTGCCTAGTATTCGACCCATTTCCAATTCCAACCATGGACACCCCTATAGTAGCCGTAATCACTGGCTCCGTGAGTGTTCCACTTCTCTCACAGGCTGTTTCTTACCATCATTACAGAGCCGTGGCATCGGGCGTACCATCTGTGCTGCACTAGTTCAACAATTCTCAGGCCCCCTAGTTCTATATGCAGCCTCTCGTACTGGAACTTCTCTAGATCTGACTGGCCTAAGTATTCCTCCAGCCGTCAAGATTTACCCTGCTCGATTATCACTCACGGACCAAGGCAGTATCGCAGCCCTCAGTTCCAGAGTCAGAAAAGAGCACAATCACTGTGACATTCTCATCAACAATGCCGGTCTATACTATTTCCAGAAAGACATCACCGCTGCACAGCGTCAGGAAACTCTCGATGTGAACTATCGTGGTACCCTCAATGTGAACCATTCCAACTCTCCTTGAAATCACCAACTAACTGTCACCAGGTCTGTCAAGCCTTCTTACCAATAATGCGAAAGAATGGTCGCATCGTCAACGTCTCATCCCAATCTGGCCAACTCAAATACTTTGGTCCTCACTTGCAGACGCGATTCATGAAACCCGACCTCTCACTTACCGAGTTAGACTCTCTAGTCAGCGAGTACAGCGTACGCTACCTAGTCCCTCGTCCTCTCTGCCCGCCACTAACGACCTCACTCTAGCGAGCAGCAGACGAGCAAACCCTGACCGCTGCAGGCTGGCCTCCCTTGGCGTATTTTACTAGCAAGGCGGCCCTGAACGCCGCCACACGGATTCTGGCCCGCGAAAACCCTCATCTACTGATCAATTGCTGCTGCCCTGGGTGGGTTGGCACTTCTCTGGGTGCGCAGGCGGGTCAGCCACCCAAGTCTATTGGTAAGTGCTGGATTTGCTTTCTCGCAGACGTATCACTGACCGGTTCATTAGAAGACGGAGCAAAGATCCCACTGCGGTTGGCGGTTGGTGATATTGGGCAGACTAGTGGGCGGTATTGGGCGAATGATTCGGTGGCAAGTACGGACAATGGGAAGATCCAGAATTTCTAGTATTGTGCGAGCCTTGGGACATACTGATTGAACATCAATATAATGCCTGGAGGTGGTTACATGGTACACCCCAAAGAAAGGACTTCTCAGGAAAGAGACTGAGATATAGCATGTACCGCCCGCAGCGGCTGAAACATTGCATTTCTTATGCTGTAGACACCAGTCAGTAAATGGACAGAAACTCGTGGGTCAATTCGACTTACCGACATAAAGATGGAACATACCAAGCTTGCGGTAGTGGCGGCACAAACGCAGATAAAGCCCAGGAAAGTAAGTACCTTCACCAAAAATATGAAGAATGGACACTTACATGTTATGCCATGCAGAAACAATAGAAAGTGACGCGAGTGGCTACTTGCTCTAAAGTTCCAGAGACAACCTGTCTGACTTGTGATTGCGGGTACTCCAAAACTCACCTCGCCAGGTTGCCCTTTATATGATTTCTAGTTAAACAAAACTCGCCATGTTGGCCTCAATATTAGTAGAAAAATTGCTAAACAACTTAGATTTGTAACCTCACAAGGTTGGGGTTATTCTGATGATTATTATCTTGTCGAAGAGCAGCAAGAGATGCACTAAAATGGAAGGACAGGCATTATCCAGTATGTACTCCCTCCTCCATATTCAGTTTGTTTTGCCAACATTAACCCTGCGCGCAATCGATCAGTGTGGATCGGTGTTCCAGTGCAATCTGTCTCAAGTCAGCAATGAATATAAAAAAAACCAGGAATAGGCTGTGATCATACCGCAGGAATGGGAGGCGGCGGCACAGCCGGCAACGCCGTAAGAGACCCATCACTCCTCAAATCCAGACTTGCCTCTCGCTCAGCCACTTCTTCATCCAGGGTCATCTGCACCGAGAGGACATGAATGCGGGGAGACATTTCCGGCTTCGTCTTAAAGGAGTGCGTCGGCAGCACGTCAAAGGTTTCCTGCACCCACGACATTTGCCTTTCCAGGTCCGGCCCGGAAAGCGTATCGTCCTTGTCGAGTGTAGAGGTGGGCTTGGTTCTGAAGATACTGCTTGGCCACTCTTTCGACTTGATGGGACGTGCGCAGCATGACGCGCCCTTGGACACGCTATCCCAGGCGTCGATGACGCGGTCTGTTTTGAGGAATTGGGAAATTTGGTCTTTCATTGTGTCCCGTCCATTGAGTTGGTCGGTGGTCTCTTGGCGGGCCTGGGTGGGGGTTTTGACCATTGATTGTCTGGTTGGGGGGCGTGAAGTGCAGAATGCGCGGAGTTGCTCAATGGAAATGCTGCGGGATGGTCGTAATGGTTGTGGTGCTGTCTGTGGGCGCGTAGGCTCGGCCTTTTCGCTGGTAGATCGTTTATATAAGAATGGTTTGGATAGTCTGCGTTTTAATTTCACAGAGGTGGAGGGAACAGGTGGAGGTGGAGGGTTCTCGCTGGTGGCTTCTGTTGCCAATGCACTGCATGATTTGGCTCGGCTGAGGATTCGTCGAGCACCCTCTCTTGAAGCGGCTGGGTTGCTTGGGGTATCTGGTTGGTCTTTAGCTGTAGCTGGGCGACTCTCCAGATGCTTGGAGGTCGTCTGGGATCTTTTAGGTTTGGAGAATGGATCGAGAGGTAACGGCTTTTCTGGGATGGCCGACGACCTTCTCTCGAAGAGCCTTTGTTTGACAGATTTGCTTCTGTTGGCAATCTTGTTGCTTTGTTTGATAAAGGATCGCTGCAACAGTCAGTGAATGGCTCAATGTGATTCCCGGATATCAAACTTACCACATCCTTTCTACTGGCGACTCCCACTCTTCGTTGCATTTCTGTGGTTGCCAGACCAAGTTGACTCAGAGCCTTCTGGAGGGCAGTCCCCTGTCGCCGGAGTTTGGAGATAGCGACGATCCATCCCTCCATGTTTTCCATCATGGCCTGATAGAAGGCCTGAAGGCTATCCGATGAAAAGCAGCCCCCGTTGCTCAACTCCTTGAAGAAGAACCAAAGTGCACCCATTGCCTCCTTGGCCTTTTGCAGGTCTTTGAGGGCGTCTGTGATAGCCTGAGTGAATCTGTCTATCGAATGTTCAATTTGATCATTATAGGCGACGATCGAGAGACGAAAGCCTCGGTCCACCAGCATCTCATCGAACACATCCAAGTTGGCCAGAGGGAGACTCAAATATTGAATTCGCGTGTGAACGTCTAGTCGCACAATCATCAGGTCTTCAGTCGTCCGCTCTAGAAATCCATCTAGCTCATTGACATGGTTTTGCAGGATCTTCATGACTGAGGTCTCAGACCTTGCCAGTCCTTTGGCGAGGAGATGTACTCCGAAGATCATCTGCGATATTAATTTCCAAAAAGGATGATACCTGCACATCGGTCAGCATGTAAAGGGCTTGCAAATGTCGCACCCAGCTGTCATATCCTCACTTTTCGGATTTCAGTTGGCGCCATCGCCTCCCACAGAGTCGCTCATATTTATCATTTTCCAATAGATCGCGCCGCCGGGTCTGCGCGTCAATATTCACGATCCTGTCGTTCCCGGGCCCGTCGGTCTCGACTATTGATTCTTCGAACGGGCCTTGTAATTGAGGAATTGGATGAGACGGGTATGAGCTGGGTTCCTCCTTCACCGTCTCCAGCTTGGAGATGCGGCCGTCCTCGGGCCCGTGGACAAGAATCTCTGGTGTGGAAACCATGATCTAAAGACAAAGGCGAATTGTCGAACTTCAAAGTTTGACACGTCAAGAGCCTCCAGATCAAGCTTTAATTGAATTTAACGGGGGTTGAAGCCTGTATTCATAGGGATGGTCGGATATAAAATCACGATCGGAATCAGCCTAAAGAGGCATGGCTGGTTTGAGAGGGCTGGCGTATGCAAGGCTACTTTATATTGAAAGAACCCACTCCCTTTTTCTTTGATCAAAAAATTGGGTAGAACTGGGGGAGTCAAGGTGAAGTCATAAATGTTAAACCGTGTGTTTCACTGGTGAGACATCGAGATCGAAGAAAAACGGCTCCGGGGACATCTTATGGGCCTGAATGGGCCCCCTCAACAAAGAACGGGTAAGGAACGTGTAATATCGGGGCTTATGCCGTGAGAGGGCTCGATTTCCTTAACTTTTCCTAATCTTCCCTTTGTTCCTTTTTTTTTATGGGTCTTTTAATACGTGGTGGGGTGGAGGCCGGCTAGACTGTCGTGTTGTCTTTGGGGCATATTTTCCGCTTGACACCCCATGGTGACCAATGACAGGATTTCCCTCGCGAAATGAGAAACCAAAATCGGGAGAGAATATTGGGCTGGGGACGATCGTAAGGTCTTAGACCCCGGGAGGCTGACGGCTCAAGGGGGTCATAATTTCGGGTTTGGGTTATTCCGATCTAATATCGCACAGTTCCTCGCCTGGGCATCAGGGGATATAGTATTATTATATTATCTGCAGGTGTGCTCCGTTACAGAAACAATTGATCAGACTACCTTCGGGGAAGTGCAAAGAAGTCGGACGTTTCATGTTGGATACACGCGTAATCGGGATGAAAACGCGATGACGAACATGTGGTCAGTCCACGAGTGCTAGTATGGAGTACACAATGCGCATTGTGTACTTCGTACCATTTTGTTTCTAAATATACTTAAGTACTTGAATTGGCTAATGTGGAAATGGTCAACTTCCCCAAGCGGACTATTAAAGATCGTCGGCTCTAGAAGTAATTACATACTTAAGTACAACTGGAATATGAGGACTTGTGGAATTGATATTTAAGTACGCAAATATGACCGTTTTAAGGCCAGGAACGGCTGCCTTTCAACTTGTAACTTTGGCCTACCGCCACTGCCCTAGAACGTCTCCATAGTTATCTGTCTACCCCGGAGCACATTTAGACAGTATCCAATTCCACTTCCAATTCCAAGGTACTAATATTAACGTTTGGTTTACATGGTTCGCTCATTTCTGCTACCAAAATGACACTGCAAATAGCTTCTTTTTAGCCGAACTTAAATCCTCTCTCTTTCCGTCTTTAATTCTTCTTTTACCCCCTAAATTCTTATGCTTGTATAATTGTGTTCATATTGTGTATACTTCAAGCTTTCCAAGAACTAATATCTCCCCCTCCTCTAAACATCCAGTGAAAACAACCCAAGAATGGCGAATGTTTCTACATAGCAAATTTCTTCCTACCTGGATGATCTCTACAGTAGTTGCCCCCAAGGTTGGCACTTGAGCACATCTAGAGATATCCATCTTATCGTACCCCGGGGATATACTTGAGTATAGCAACCTTGGAATTCATCTCTCACTGCCCAACTTGAAACTTCTTCCCCCCTTCACTCCCACAAACAAGCATGGAGTTCCCTCCTGACCATCGACTCAAAAAGCCATCGAAATACAGCCGCGAGGCCGCCATCTCCTCCGTAACAGACCTCTACGAATCTCTTACCACTCTCCTATATGTGGAGCCAAACGATATCCTCTACCCTTCACCAGGAGGATGGCCGCACATCACTCGGGAAAATGAGGCGTTCGCCTCTCTCAACAAAACCGATAAGGTACTTGAGCTGCTTCGCCACTTACCATACCTAGACTCCAGGCGCAATGAGTGGTTCATCAGACCCTGGAGCGTTACATGTGACTACGTGAACAACGATCCTAGCAAATATCGGCCTATCACGCCTGATGAATTCGAGCTTCCCCCGTGGGTAATCAATCTCACATTTTCTGGAAGATACGGCCAATCGCTTATATTTGACACATCGGATGGTACCTAACCCCGCTCGCTCCCCGAGGCACTTTTGGGTCGTTTTCTAATATGCATTTCAGGTACTGCAACAGAACATACCCCCAATGGGGGAACATATGAGCCAGATTACGCTGAGGACGACCCGCGATATTGGCGTGTTGAATGCGAAGAAGAAACAGAGCCACTGGTTGAGCGTTTGACCTTTTTTCGACAGAGGTTTCAGAATCTCAATTGGATCCCGCACGTCCAGAAAGTCGGGTCGTGGCCAAGAGTCTACGAATGGTACGATGAGCCAAGTCGCTCATACGGCGATGATAATGGCAAGGTGCTTGAGCTGATCACTTGCTGCACATTTTGTCCGGAGGTCCCGGCTTTCGTATTGGCTCTAACGTATACGACAGGCGATTCGCGATATTTATCTCGAGCACGGGTGGCCGGATTCATTTGACCGAGAGGCGTGCCAGAAGGCATTGGAAATTTTTTACTACATCTTTAGAAGGACGGGCAAAAAATAACCCTGGGGATTACAACCTTGGTAGGACTTAGATCGAATTTAGGTGGCATGCGCCAAATTTTCAGCGAATTGCATATCATTGAGCAGATAAATATCACTTTCATTGCCCAGGTGCAGAGATATATAGGTGAAAATCAGCAGATAAGTACTTAAGTACACCTGGGCAAAAGAACGAGTGAACTAGCTGTAGGTTTTGGGTTGGCATAACAAGTTATAGACCACATCAAGAAATGACGGTAACATTGGATCCCACAGTATGACAATAGTGCACCACTGAAATGACAGGACCTTCCCCTCTAGCCACATCAGAGTGGTTATATGTGGGATTCATGGCCATCAGTTGGCCAACTGTCGAGCCTGACTTCTCCGCGATATCCTTGTAGGTTCCATACGTGAAAAGGTACGGATAGAAAGAACATTGACTGGGACTGCAGAGCGGAACCTTGAGAAAGTTGCCCGCTTCCAACACTGTATCTGCGTCGTTGTCGGGTCCTTGCGCAGTGGACAGAAGCGAATCAACAGTAATATTGAGTTTGAGGGCCACATATCGGATCGTGTCGCCCTGGAGGGTGTAGTAGGTATGTGGTCCGCCCTGGACGCAATCAGAGTAACTCGCATTGGGCTGGGCGGTAATGAGACATGTCGAGTTGTCGGACTGACACTTTTCTGGTGGGATTATCAAAACTTCTCCCGTGTTGAATGGAATGAGTGCATCGGCCATGCGGTTTACACGGGCAATGTCACACATGCCTCGGTTGACGAGAGATGAAACGCTAGCCATGGTGTCGCCCTCCTGGGTGGTGTAGGTGCCGACAGTGGCATTGAGGCTGGTGGTATCACATGAAGAGGATGCATTTCGCGCATGAATGTGAGAAGCAGCACCTAAGCCAATAAATGAGCACCCCAAAAAGACCGAGAATCGCATGGTGATGGGATAGTGAGCAATGTCGATGATTGGAAGAACCCCATTCCATTCCTCCTTCTTATATCCCCTGAGCTGGCATCTACACCTGCAAGTCCCAAAAGATTGAGATACCCCCTGCGGTTCATCTTTTGCCGTATATAGTATAATCCCTGATGGGGATACGTACCACCATGGGCACGATATCCCCACCCATGACGCTGCCTTATAAGGTGCTGTAGGAGATTCATAAGTCCATGTCGTTTCACAACCCGAACCCGAGCGTGCGAAACAGCATAGGGGAATTTGATTGGGCCAATTTTATCAGATCCAAGGCTTCCCCCAGTCGATCACTGAAAGTCCGAGGAACTAACGGTTCCAAGTCGCAAGGCCGGGCTGAATGTGGTCATGAAGACCGACTACTTCCAATAAAAGACCCACGCAATGAATTAAGCCTGGTGATGCATGAGATATGCAGGAACGGAGAGAAGAATCCTCGAATTCCCGAGGTTGGGTGTCGGGGTGGAGAAGAGGTTAAACTGATGATCGTCTTAGGGTTTCCCGATGCAGAAAACGAGGCCGACCTCGGGACCACTTGGAAGTATCAACAATTTTAGAACTTTAGAATCATGCAGACTTCGTACCTGCATGGCATTTGCCGTACTTGTTAAAGCCGAGAATAACGGCTTTAGTCTGTACGTAGTGAGTTCGAGATAGGTAAGGCTATATAAAAGGCATCGGCAACTCTTCACCTCAGTTCTTCAGGTCTTCAGTTGCTTCATCCGCTTTACAATGGCTCCGCTGTTGAACACCTTTGCCGCAATCGCCCTTGGGGCCGGTATCGCCCAAGCCCAGCTCTGGGACAAAGTCATCCAAACTTCTTACGGTCCCGTTGAGGGATACCAATACTTCAATCAATCAACTTTGGACAAGTTCTTCGACGGCGCCGAGTCCAATGTGGCAGCATTCTTGGGTATCCCCTTTGCCGCTGATACCGGATATCAGAATCGATGGAAGGCGCCTCAGCCTCGCGAAGTGTGGAATGAGACCTTGAAAGCCACCGAGTTTGGTCCTTCTTGTCCAACTTCCTCCATGGGCGGGTCTGCCATCAGCGAGGACTGCCTGAGTCTCAACATCTGGACCAACGCCAAGTCTGTGGATTCCAAGCTCCCCGTTATGGTTTGGAACCAGGGCTCCGATGAGACTAGCGACAACACTTGGTACTATGGTGGTGGTATGGCATTGAAGGACGTGATCCTCGTCAGCTTCAATCGTCGTGATGATGCGTTCGGTTACCTTGCTACCCCGGAGCTCAACGCGGAAGGACTCAAAGCCACTGGCCATGAAACTTCTGGAAACTATGGTATCCTCGATCAGTTGGAGGTCCTCAAATGGGTCCAAAAGAACATTGCCAAGTTTGGTGGTGATCCTGACCGTGTTACTATTGCCGGCCAGTCCTTTGGCTCCTCCCAGGTTTACCACGCGGTAAACAGTCCTCTGTTCTCTGGGTACTTCCATGGTGGTATTTCCCAGTCTGGCATCAGATATCCTAATGATACCATGCTGGCCGGTCTGGCAACCTCCTACGTCAACATGTCCACTGCCATCTCCAACAGTGCCGCCTATATCAAGGCCCACAACGTTTCCACAATCGCGGAAATGCGGACCCTGTCTATGGAAAGCTTGGTTGAGGGTGCTTCCGACCGAGTCACTAATAGCTCCATCTGGTGGGTCACTGCGCTGTCAGCCGGCTACCCTCTGATCTTCAAGCCCGTTCTGGACCATTACGTGCTTCCTTCGACTTACCTCGAGACTTTGATCAATGGACCTGCCAATGATGTTCCTGTCATTACTGGTAACACCAAGGATGAGTCCGGTGCCTCCCCAGGCACCGACTACACCGTCGCCGAGTACGAATACTACTGCGGACTCAAATACGGCAACCTTTCCAGCGAGTACTTCAAGCTCTACCCAGACCACAACAATGGAACCATTGCCTCTCGCGCCTGGAACGCCGCTGCCCGTGATCTCTCGCTCATTGGCTCCTGGGCCTATGCCACAGACTGGTACAAATCGGCCACTTCAGACTTCTACACTTACTACTGGACCCACGCGCCCCCGGGCCAGGACCAAGGTGCCTTCCACCAGTCTGAAATCATGTACGCGCTCAACGCCCTCTATGCCAACGATGAGACCTACCCGTTCACTGCCGTCGATTTCGAGATCCAAGAGCATATGTCCGCCTACTGGGCCAATTTTGCCAAGACCCTCAACCCTAACAACGGAGGTTCTTACAATGGCAGCAAGACCTTGCCGCGCTGGAGCCCTAACAGTGCCAACGGTACTCAGGTGGTTATGGAACTTGGTAACAAGTTCAAGAATGTGCCTATCGCTAAGCCCCGACAGGTCAAGTTCATGATGGACTACTTCCACCAGCAGGTTCCCTACTAAAGGGCTGCAGGGGGGTCTCTGTCTCATGTTGGAATGTGAGACAGACTGTACCAATAGAGTATGTAGACACTAGAGTATTATGCTCTGCTATTTTATACAAGAGAGTACAAATACTTTTCTCCCGAAACGAAATAGCTCTACATATAATCCATGGTTGGTTGTGAGACATCCCAGGGTTCTCAAATTGGCAACCTTGGAAGTGACAAGATCAATAGATTTGTATAGATTCAAATGTATGGAGCAGATGTATTGAAATGAGTAAGGACATGCAATGTCTAAGCGTACAAATACGAGTAGTGGGACAATCGGGCTATGTTCACCAGGTTGTGAAGGGCAAGTGGAGAAGCTATGTCTTCCCGCTCTTGTCGCATCCCGAGCACCGCCAAGAACCCCCCGGGCATAGCTGATCGGAGGGGTAACCCACTTCGATCTCGGCGCTCTAGGCAACCGAATCTGAGAATCTCAAAATCTCACTGACTTCTCTTCTCCAGATCATTGACACCATGGTTGCTGAACACATCACCCTGCGCAACAACACCTCCACTCCAATTGTCCTGAAGCGCATCGAGCGCTTCCGGGCACCAGAGGCGGGAGGGTTCAATGCCTTCAGCACTATGGCCAGGAACCTGACCCAGGTCCTGACCAACCAAACGCGCAGTGACAATGTCGCGACAATCGAGCACGACAGCCAACCCTTCGAAGAGAAAGATGTAGACATCCGCATCGAGCCATTCACAACCAAGAAGACCGACCTGCGCCCCTTCATCGACTCCAACAAAGAGCGCGCGCGTCTCGTCTTCGAAGCAGAGGGCCAAAGATACCAGATCCAAGCCCCAGTCCCAACAACAGAATCAGAGACCATGAAACCATTAAGCGAGAATCCCAAATTCCGCTTCACAGGCATCTACGTGACCCCAGAAGCATTCCTGGCAGTCTTCTCGTCCGCAAACCTCAATGCCTGGATGCGCGAATTGCGCGATGATACTCTCCTCTCGGCCCTGTCTATCCCAGGTACCCATAACTCGCCAACATGTCATATTGCACCACCCTCCGTCCGCTGCCAGGCCGTCAGCCCTAAAGAGCAGCTCCAGAATGGAGTGCGGTTCTTCGATATCCGCGTGCAGCCTCAGTACCCTGATCATGATGACCGAGACGAATTGATCCTCGTACACAGCGTCTTCCCCATCTCGCTAACAGGCAACAAGTACTTCCGGGATCTGATGAACGAAGTAGACGACTTCCTGGAACGCAATCCGTCCGAAACCCTGGTCGTCTCTGTTAAGCGCGAGGGCGCTGGCCCGGCCACTGATGAGCAACTCTCACGCATCCTGGCTGATCACTATGCCAAAGCGGGTAGTCGGTGGTGGGTACGACCCAAGATCCCGACATTGGGCGAAGCGCGAGGCAAGATTGTTCTTCTGCGCCGGTTCAATCTGCAGGAGAAGCTGAAGGGCGAACATGGTGGAAATGGCTGGGGTATTGATGCGGCTGCTTGGGCGGATAATACAGCTCACGCTGTGTGTCCCAGTGGACAACTTTGCATTCAGGATTTCTACGAGGTGCTGGAGAGCGTGAACATCGAGAAGAAGGTGCAGTATGTCTCTGAGCAGATTGATCGGGCCAGCTGCTGTCGGTATCCGTTTGGTGTTCAGCCTGACGCGCATGCGACAAAGGCATTCCCCTTCTACATCAATTTCTTGAGTGCGAGTAATTTCTGGAAAACGAATACTTGGCCTGAGAAGGTGGCTGGGAAGGTGAACCCGGCTGTTGTGGATTATATCTGTCGTCGGGGCAAGGAGCATGATGCTGATTGCTCGACTGGTATCCTTGTTACGGATTGGGTTGGTCTGAATGGCGATTGGGATCTGGTGCGCTGCATTGTGGGTATGAATGCCAAGCTGCGTTTCAGAGAGCACTAGCGTTGAACAAACATGGGAGGGAATTTTGTCTTTATGCGCAGGGTTTCGGTGGTTAGATACCCGGGAAATAAGGGACAATCATATGATCCAATACAGTGATTTGATCAGAGAGGCTTCCAAGGCTGAGGTTTCAAGTATACATTGATTCTTAGATAATCGGTTGGAGGGTTGATGAAGAAACGCAGAATATGATGTATTATACAGGAAAATGAATCAAGAGGAGCATGACCAGATTAGGACGATTCGCTCTTGTCCTCTGGTCCCTTCTGCTCCTCCTCCAAAACGCTTCGGCGGCTCTCCAGTGTGAAATACACACTCTTGCCAGCTCCCTCCAGGGTAGTGGCAACGCTGGAGCTCATGCTCTGCAAGGCAGTGACAAGTTGAGAGCGGAGGCCATCCATACCACCCTCGATGCTACCAACCCACTTAGTCTGATCGACATCAAAGACCTGGTTGTCCACACGGGCAGCCAACAAGTTAATCTTGCGCAGACCGTTCTGAACAATGGGGTCGTGGTAGTCCGGGTTGGCCTTGCGGGTAGGGGCAGGGAAGCCGGCTTCCTTGGGGGTGAGAATTGACAGCGCAGCCTTCATGTGCTCGGGCGAGACGGTGGGGATGGAAAGAATAGCAACGGGGCCAACGAGCAGAGGGGAAAGCTCGTGCATGCCCTTCGAATTCTTGATGGCGTTGTGGGCGGTCCGGGACAAGTCGTGTGTCAAAGAAGGATCATCCCTGGAGCCTGAAACCGCGGGCAGCTCCGCGGAGGTTTGTGTCACGGGGTCAGTCGCGTTGGGAGGCTTTCCCGAGGCCAGCGAGGCATCGCTGGGCTTGAAGTACTCGACTATACGCAGGGCGACCTCGAAGATGCTGGTCTGGATGGTCTGGATCTTGATATAGGGAGCGATCGCCGGGGCTGTCCGTCCTTCGGCAGCGATCTTGTCATCGACCTTTTTCAATGCGTTCGCTAGTTCTCGGCGGATGGCGGCCCATTCCATGGACTTGAGGTTGTGGTGTTGGAAGATCACCATGAGAGGAGATGTGCGGATAAGGGAGGTGTATGACCGCAAAAGTTGCGACCGACGGTATTCAGGGTTGCGGTGCGAGGGCGGCTGGGCAGGAGGGAACCTCGAAACCGGCGCTGGTGAGTGTGTCATTTGCTCAATGGGAGCTGCGGGTGTGACTGCCGGAGCAGCGCTGCTTGCGCTCCTGGCAATTCGGAGTTCATGTTGGCATCGAGGAATCTGATGGAACGGGGCGATTCTTAACCGGGGTGGCATATTGAAGAGTGAGGTTGAGTCTTACAACCCAATGCGTGGAAATCGGACAGCAAAAGATGATAACAATGGCGTCGAGCCCCGGAAGTTGCAAATCGGAGTGATATTTTTTGGTACCCAAAAGGGGAAAGCGCCATTGAGGCGGTAGCAAGTTCTGCCGGCTGTATAGGCGGGCTTTTGACTCATTGCGGATATGATAGATCTACACTGACCTCATTGTCTGCCGGTTCAACCCAGACTATTGCCAATTGGTTTTTGTTTCAGAGATAAACACACGATGGCGACTCCCAGTTCACAGTTCCCTTCACCTCCGCGAACTGAAGTGGTCTCAATTGCGCCTCTTCTCCAGCGACTCGCCTACCCCGCCACGGATGGCCTCCAATTAAGCGCTCAAAAGATCGCTGCTGTCAGCGCAGAGGAAATTGCTTCTGCATTCGCTCTGATCTTCGAAGATGGCCTCTCTCATATCCAGGCCGCTGCGCTCCTCACATTGCTGCATTCAACCGGCAAAGATAGAGAGGCTGATGTGATTGCCAAGTGCTCCCAGTGTATGCGTGACGCTGCCCTTCAAGTACCCAAGGGTCCTCTCAGGAATGTCCTCAAATCTCGTGGAACTAAGGAGGGAAAATACATGGGTGGATTGGTAGGATTGTCTCCGTGCCCGTAGTCATCCAGTGCGATATTGACATGTCTCGATGTGCAGTGTGATATTGTCGGAACCGGAGGAGACTCCCATTCGACCTTCAACATTTCTACGACCTCATCAATTGTTGCTTCGCCTATCTTGATGTCCGCCAAGCATGGTAACCGTGCCCAGACATCGTTCTCTGGATCCGCAGACGTACTCAATGCCATCGTACCCATACCACCAAACCTCACTGCCATCACCAACGAGAATCTCCACCGGGTCTACGAAAAAACAAACTACTCTTTCCTGTTTGCCCCCAACTTCCACAAGGGAATGGCATACTCGAACCCTGTCCGGAAGGGTCTTGGTATCCGAACCATTTTCAACCTCATGGGCCCACTAGCAAACCCTGTAGACTGGGCCATTGAAGCTCGCGTCGTTGGTGTCGCATACCAGAGCCTTGGTCCCGTGTTCGTGGAAGCTCTCAGACAAACCGGAGCGAAGAAGGTCCTTGTTGTTTGCGGCGAGGAAGACATGGACGAAATCAGCTGTGCTGGCAAGACGAATTGCTGGAGACTTTTGGAATACCCTAACCCCGACTACAAGGAGTCAGGAGATCACGATCACGATCACGGCGATGAATCAAGTGACGATGAGGCCGAGAACCCCCGCACTATCGTCAAAATGGAGACCTTCCAGCTCCATCCCTCGGATTTTGGCTTCTCTCCCAACCCTCTCAGTGCCGTTGGAGGCCGTAAGATGCCCAAGGACAACGCTGCCAAGTTGATGAGTATTCTGCGGAACGAGCTTCCCCGGGACGACCCAATCTTGGAGTTTGTCCTCATGAACGTGGCTGGTTTGCTTGTTACTTCGGGCGTGTGCGAGTCTGACACTAGTAACATGGGCCCAGGTGATGATGGCCAGGTTATCACCGAGCGTGGTCCCGGTGGTGGTCGCTGGAAGGAAGGTGTGCGTCGTGCTCGCTGGGCAATTGAGAGTCTCCAAGCTTTGAAGTGTTTGGAGGATTTCATTGAGATCACTAACCAGCTGTAATGTTTGCTTCATCTACTGCATAAAATGTATAGATGACTTGGTGACGATTCTTTTCTGGGGTTTGAATATTTGTGGGAAAACATTTTCGGGGTCGGATTTTGCAAGATATCAACTTGTCTACCATGAGTGCCTGCTCCATGTTTGTATTACTAGATAGACGATTTATTCGTCTTTTAGGCCAATGCCTATGGAACAGCCATCTGCTTTTTCATCTGTCTCTCGCCAAAGCGCGCATGTAGATTTTTAAATCATAGGAGTCTGCCCTAATCGCAAGGTGAAATGTGAGCACCTTCAAAGCTCGGAACATCGCCTTCTCGCCGGAGACAAAGAAAAGCTGGTCTGTACAATTCAACTCCAAAGCGCCACAAAATGCATAATTCGTCAAGGCCATAGAACGATCTCGAACCTATTCCTCCCCGCATCAAGTCCGAGACCTCGAAACTTCTCACGGACCGTCAAGCAAGTGAAGCCATTTACCGAGCTTGGAACTGGACCATACTATAGAGAAAAAGGAACCAATTAGCTCATGCACATCGGCGCATAATGCATAGCAAGAAATCTTACCGCTTAGTCCGCTCCTTGTACAGCACACGGTGACCACAGTCCTTGCAGCGGATCTGGTCACCACGCTTCAGAGGCACGCGGGCAGAGCACTCGCCACACAGGTACACAACGGAGGGGCTGTCGATGGCCATGGCGCTGGCGTAACCACCGCCTTGAGCATCGAAGGTGTTCTGGGTGCCCATGGAGGGAACCTGGTAGGTTTCGCGAGACATTTTGGAGGGAAGGTGGAGGGTATGAGGATGTATGAGCTGCGCTGAAAGTAGTTGGATCCCGTAGGAAGAAAGATGTGATATGGGAGTACAATCGTCGTGAGATACTTTTTCTTTCTAGAAACGCGGGATTTTAGATGATTATGTAACTAGATCACGGGATCACCGCCAAGCCCCGAGGCTGCGATAAGAGGTGATAAGAAGTATACGATCTTTCTTGCTTCACTGGGTTAGGATCACAATATTTGAACATTGGAAGTATTGAAATCTCGAAATCGAGAGCAATCAGGCCCTTTTGATTGTATTGTATCACTGGCTCATATATCATTTATCATAACTCTAAAAATAATATGTGGTATCGCCCGTCATGATATGCAGGAAAAACCAAATGCCAACGCCATGCAAAATAAAAGTCAAGAATTATCGGCATGCCCTGAGAAGCAAGGACATGAGCAAAACAGCAGTCTCACCAGCCGCCACCAATCTTCCCAGCAAGCTCCACAACACGCGTGGTATCGTTGGCAGGGGTTTGGTCCTTGCCCACATCGCTTTCAACCTTACGATAAGTGGTGTAAGCAAGCTTTGACAAAGGAATGTCCATAAACTGGGACCAGCGCTCCAAGCCTCCATGGATCCTTGCCTCCTTGTCTTCCAATGAAGTCTCCGGAGACTGAATTTCCACTTCTGGCTCAGAGTCTGATTCCATGGAGAAGTATGCCTCGTCGACACGAGCCAGCCACGCGCGTTGCTCGTGGGGCGAAGGTTTAGAAGACTCATCTGTCGCTTCTCCTTGGGAGGAGCCAATAGTCTCCCTGGCATCCTCCACCCGAATCTGTCCACCACCATTCGTGCACCCACCAGGACAGGCCATGACTTCAACATAGGCATAATCTGACCCTGAGCTACCGGTAGAAGCGGCGTTTCGGGAGACTGGTTGGCGCCGACGGACGGCAGGGTTTGCGCCTGGAAGTTTCGATACACGTGCGGGTTTGAGCTTTCGGACGAGGTTTTGAATATTTCGGAAACCGTAGTAGCGCGCGGTTTTCAAAATCGGTTGATTATCCTTGGACATCAGGATGTACTCGACGACATCGACGTTGCGTCCACGGTTAATCACGAGTTGGCTGCCTGGATTGCGGGCCTGGAAAGTCATGAGGACGTGGTGGAGGTACCCTCCCGAGGTGCCTGTGGCGAGAGATTGCTCTGTTCGATTTCGTTTAAATGAAACGAAAGATTCGAGAGTCTTCTCGGGAAAAGGCAGGGCGCAGGATGATGGAAGAGGCTGTAGAGGCAGGTTGCGTAGTGAGAATCCTCGAGATGAAGCCAAAGAGAGAAGTTCACGGGCAGTAATGACGCAATCTACATCGCGAACGGGCGCGGTGTCGGAGCTTGAGTGATCTCCCTGGCGCCATGTCAAGTCCGTGAGCTCCTCTCGACTGGCTTCCAGCTTCTTATCAAAGCATGGCATTACAGCCAAATGCCAGATCCGAGAGGGATGAACCCCAAGAGATTTGCTCAGGACAGTCTTGAGGAATGTTCCGGACAAAGCTTGTGGGGATTTGAGGCGAGAGAGATGTGGAAGAATGAACGGGTGGGTTTTCTCTGCGTAGCAAATCCATCCGGGGCATGCTGAAGACAAAATTGGGCGCTTGGGAAGAGAATTCTCCGCTTCGCTCGTAGCCGACGACCCGAGCGAGTCTGACACTTCATCGGCGGTAAGTACGAGAACGGCCTCTCGCATGACATTGCTGTCTACCACCCAAGTAAATCCATTGCCGTATTTTCCTCCACCCCGCAGGCCTTGTGGTCCACTGAGTAATTGGTCAACCATATACCCCGCTTCTTTCTCTGAGATTCCATAAGTTGTGGCCAAGCTTGCCCTGACCTGCGGGCTAACACTGGCCACAAAGATCTTGCCTTCTCCAGAATCTTCCGTGTTCTTAATAATCGTTCCGTGATTTTCATGCGCCAAGGGTATTTCTGGGTGCGCATCAAGAGTGTTGAGAACTTCAGCGTGGGACTGAAGCGAGATTAGCACCGCTTCTGCAGATGTGACGCAGCCAGAGCATGCAAGGCAATCCGTCAAAGAAATCTGTGCAGGTGGTAAGTCCTCGGGCTGAACTTTGTCTTCCGTTGTGACTTCATATGCATTCTATTATTAGCGAGTTAGCGTTGCAATTGGAAATTGAGTAAAGTGACAAAGACATACTTCCTGGCTCTTTTCTGGTAGGGTTTCCACTGGTTTGATACATGCGACTCCGGGCGAGATGAAATCGTTCAAGTCGTCGGCCGACAGGATCGCGCTCATTGTGAACAAAGAAGTTTCCAAAGGACCAAAAGAGGATGAAAGGAAAGGACCGAAATAGTTCAAGGCGAAATGCGAAATGCGGCCAACGATATCGCGCGCTTTGTCATGGTGGCGATAAGCCCACCGCCTTATGCGGGGATCAAATGTACGGTGATTGGCTCATTTCATCCTTAACTCTTACTTCGTTTCTTTCTTCTCTTTCAAGTACTGGAGACTGATTTTCATTGTACTTTTCTTGTTGAACGTCATGTATTCGCGTTTAAAAGGAGACGTACGGGGTGTCCTCGTCTTCTGGTAATAGTTCGAGTCTGCTATCAACAGTGAAGACGCGGGAAACGGAAACATCCTATCACAAGCTTATATCAATTGGGAATCAAGGGTCCTTCTTTCCTGATATATCGACATGCAAGCCACAGTCGAGAGTGATTCCGACGAGAGTTTAATCTCTGGCACCCCCTTCACCGAAGGCATACTCGAGTATGATGCTGAGAAGGCTGAAGTCCTAGCTGCAGCTGCAGAGGCTGAGACTGCGGAGAAGGCTAAGGCTGCAGAGAAGGCCAAGGCTGCGGAGAAGGCCAAGGCTGCAGAGAAGGCTAAGGCTGCGGAGAAGGCTAAGGCTGCAGAGAAGGCCAAGGCTGCGGAGAAGGCTAAGGCAGCGGAGAAGGCTAAGGCAGCAGAGAAGGCAGGGGCTGATATCCTAGCTGATGCTGTAGAGGCTGCGGCTGCGGAGAAGGCTAAGGCTGCAGAGAAGGCAGGGGTTTCATTCCTAGCTGCAGCTGCGGAGAAGGCGGCTGCGGAGAAGGCTATGGCTGCGGAGAAGGTTAAGGCTGCAGAGAAGGTAGGGGCTGATATCCTAGCTGGAGCTGCAAAGGCTGCGGCTGCGGAGAAGGCTAAGGCTGCAGAGAAGGCAGAGAAGGCCAAGGCTGCAGAGAAGGCTAGGGTTCTAGGGAAAGCTAAGGCTGCAGAAAAGGCTGGAGAGGAGGCCAAGGCTGCAGAGAAGGCTAGGGTTCTAGAGAAGGCTAAGGCTGCAGAAATGGCAGGGGCTGCAGCTCTTAAATCCGCAGCCGTCGCACCTGCAGCCCCAGCCGCTGCACCCGCGCCCGTGAAGCCTGTTAAGAAGACACCGCCCGTGAAGCCTATCAAGGAGAAACGTGCTATAAAGCTCATCGGAGAGCCCGCCAATGTCAAGTACGATAAATCTGCAACTGTTAAGGCCTATATCGTCCCGCAAGCGATGAAATACACCAAACAGCTCATCGCTCGAACGGCAGCAAGCGGAACTGAATTTGCCTACCTATCAACTCCCGACAACGCCCAGCCCTTGTCCCGGGATTCACCCTGGTTCCCAAATTTCCAGGAAACCCTGATTCAGGTCGTGGAAGCCGATACATTCGATGCTGCTATTGCGATGGCCGAAGGAGAATTCTTAGAAGGCTCAGAGGACACCATGCCGGTTTGCGTTCTCAATCACGCCAATGCCTTTACGGCTGGTGGCGGCTGGGCTGGAGGGGCTCTAGCCCAAGAGGAGCAGCTTTTCTACCGAAGCACTCTCTGTGGGAGTCTCAGACCTAAGTTCTATCCAATGGGCCCGCTCGACTGCTTGTATTCGCCCCATGTGATTATCTTTCGCGAGAATCAGGCAAAGAATTTCAAGCTCCTGAAAGATCTAGAGAAAAACGCCGAAAGACTTCCCGTTGTTAGTGTCGTTAGCATGGCTGCCGCAGCTCGTCCGAAATTAGACGCTGACGGCACAGGGTACGCCAAAGACACTGATCGAGGGCTTATGTATGGAAAAATGGAACAGGTCTTACGCACAGCTGCACAGCATAATCACCGTCGGCTGATTCTCGGCGCTCTGGGATGTGGAGCTTTTGGTCATCCTGTAGATGAAGTCATTGCGCTGTGGAGCGAACTTCTCGAACAGGATGAGTTTCAAAACTGGTTTGAGCAGATCGTCTTTGCTATATTTGATAGAACGCCGGCAAAGAAGAATGTGAAAGCTTTCACAGAAGGTTTCAAGAAAGCTGAGTGATTGGCTAGCTTGCATGATTTTGTTATGTTTTCTCTCGTTTATATACTGAATTTGACGAGGTACTTATTTTCCCGCAAAATCAAGCCGAAGATTTCGAGGGAGCCGTGGACAACTTTTGGGTGTATGAACAACTTTTCATCTAGTAATGCGGAATGTGAGAATAAGCAGGTTTTGAGTATGTTTGTGTCCACGTAGTTTCAGTTGTGTGTATTGCCGTGCTCGGTACATCAGGTTTCATTATCAGCAGATGTGGTCTGAACATGCTATTTTATGCGAGTAGATCGCCGTCTGCCGACAGGAGCCGGCTTTGGTTTCTCATCTTCCGACTCCTCGCTCTTGATCGATTGCTTCCGGGTAGCCCCTCGCCTCTTAGTCTTGGGCGTCTCTTCTGCTTCTGAGTCGCTTTCTTTCTTCGGGGCTACTCGTTTCCGCTTTGTGTTTGCTGGGGTGCCGTCGGTAGTATCTTCATTGATGTCCTGAGCGACTGCCCCGGTCTTTTTCTGAACTGCCGGAACAACAGCACTTGTCCGGCCCCCGACAGTGAGAAAAGTGATTTTGTCTCCGTTTGGAAGGACTGCTGGTTGATTCTTTTTGCCCTTCCCCCATCGATGTTTGAAGAGCCAGTGCTCTGGGAACTTCTCTGAGTCTGCCAGCACACCTATCGATGTTGAGCAGACATAATGGATGGCAGCGTGGAGCTCCTTGATTTGGTCATCATTCAGAGTGTTACTGTACTGCTCTGGGTGAATTTTGGAGTGGTATAGGATCTCGTCGCTGAAACCAATTAGTTTCCATGTAAATGATCAACCCTAAAAAAGACTCACCCCATCCAGTTTCCAATACCACTGATATTGGCTTGGTCAAGCAGAAGAGCTTTGATTGGCACCTTCTTCTTTCCAACCTTCTCCTTCAGCCATGTCTCATTCACAATGTCTTTATCAGTGACAGGATCTGGCCCATTCTCCTTGAGAGGGGTGTAGTTTCGAATATCATCTGCTGGACAATCCACTAGTCTGATACGCGCAAGCCGGCGGGCATCCACGAATGCTGCCTCTGTCTTCGGTTCATCGCTGGTTTCCAATAGGAATTTCCAATACTTAGGAGGCCATTCCTTGTCGGCAGGCTTATCGGACCGGTAGTAGTAAGTATCGGCATCCTTGATCTTCAACCAGCCAGCCATCCCAAAATGCATCACCGCGTGAGGTGGTGAAGACATTGTGATCCAGAAGTATTTCCCCTGCTGCCCTGCTCCCACAATTTGTTTGCCTTGCATCGCCTTTTGAAATTCGGAGGCGCTGGTACCGACTTTGCCAAATACGATGTCATCATTTTGGGCCTGTACTTTGGACAGTGTCTTCCCCACAAGGTGCTGGCGAATGAAATGCACAATGCGGTGGATTTCCGCTAGCTCAGGCATGTTGATGGGTTGTGGATATGAAGAGTGATATCAAAATTGCAGCAATCAGAATATGTACAATGATAATGATATTCCTTGATTTGAGACCTCGGCTGATTCCGACCCCTTGGCGCGTTTGGATGAACACGCGCTGTCACGTGGTGATAGTGCATTACTGCCTCGACACACCGGTCAAGGGCGGTGGCAGATCCACGCTCTTGCTCACCAACAGTTATCAAGTCTAGCGTCAATCTTCGCAACCACTTTTTTTTTACTGATCGGCATATACTACTCATAAAGCCTCAAAAGTGCTAGGCGAATCCACCGTATATTGGTTCCATCTCTTCCTGCGACACCCGTTGCTAGCATCCCCAATACATACACGATTGACACAAACTGGAGTGGTTTTGGGTTAAGTCAAATCACGATACGGAGGAAAAGAACTTGGGGAGAATGACACAGACCTCGTCAACGGCAGCTCCGACGCTGACTCCTCGGTTCTGCTTTGATGAAAGATTGTTCAGAGGTATGTCTGGGTGTGACATCGTATGATGGACATATATTGACAACCCGTGTTCTTTTGAGCAGATTTCCTCCGGTTATCAAGATCTACCATCGATGATTCAATTACACAAAATCTTAATGCATTGATGACACCTGCCCGGGAAGGGTTCGACCCGTCGTCAACCGCAGTGCGGCAGACAGAGTCAGGGTCACGGAAAACCATCAACCCTGCCGCATGCCAAAGCTTCAAGGATAATGTTCTGTTTCCTTCATGGCAGACCAGATCAGATGTTCTTACATACTGCGCCGGTGTGGCAACGAGTCCCGATCCCGAAGATCCCGACTTGATCCTCCGCCAGACGGAATCTGCACGAGACCGAGAAAGAGAAGTCAATGAACGTCTGGATCCATACTCTGCCCGGTTTTTCCCTCGGGAGGCACGCACCGAGTCACTTGCGAACCTCATCCGCAATGAACGTACCATCGAAGAAATCATCCGGGCCCGGACTTGGGGTATGGTTTCGGAGAAGTGTACTGGGTCTTCTACTTGGGAAGAGGCGCTCAATGATTGGCGTCAATCTCACCAGAAATAGGCCCGAATTTTAGACGTATCCTATTGGGTGTGTTCACTGCACCTAGCGAAATTATGTACATATCTCAACTCTTCCAAGGTCCAGCCAGGATCTCATCTGTATATGAATGTTCCAATCATCTAACTATCTGGAACTTCCCAAAGACCTCCCCAAAGACCTAGACCTTTGCCTGGTGCGTGCCAAGCCTATCTTCCAGCATGGCTACTTCTTAAGTCCTCGGCGAATATGAAAAGCTAGGCCCTAGTTACTTCGAGATCTCCAGGGCTACTTGAGTACTAGGAAGAGAACAAGTCTTGTAGATCAGAAAGTTCTCTTGGGTGTGTTTGATACATACATAATGTACCTAGTGTATGCCTAAGTGACAAAAATGTGCACTGTTCTTGGTCATGAGTTCTGTCTTGAGAAGCTCATTGTTTCGCTTAGAAGCTTTTGTTACACAGTAAGCCACATGTGCATTGCTTCAATTGAATTCCAGATACGACCAACAAGGAACACAGGTCTCGCACATCACATTGGTTTAGGGCTTGAAGGAAGGTGACGGTTGTGTACGATAGGCTTATCGGCACGTTCGCTCTGCCAAGATTGGACTCGGAGAGGTCGTCCCCCGCACACATCGATTCCTCACTCGCAAAAGTCAAGCCAGCATCGCCCAAAATGCCGCAACCATTGCCTTCCAAGGATCAGTCCTTGTTTCGTCAGGTGGTTCGCCACTTTGAGATGAAGCAGTATAAGAAAGGTTGGCATTAACCCCATCGCCGCCCGGAGCTCTTCTAACCACGTCTCCTCCGACAGGCATCAAGACAGCAGACCAGGTTCTTCGGAAGAACCCCAACCATGGCGATACCCAAGCCATGAAGGCTCTCAACATGAGTCAGATTGGGCAATCAGAGGAGGCTTTTGCGCTTGCCAAGGAGGCTCTGCGGAATGACATGAAGTCGCATATCACTTGGCACGTTTATGGACTGCTCTACCGCCAGGAGAAGAACTACGAAGAGGCCATCAAGGCATACCGATTCGCTCTGCGTCTTGAACCCGAGTCGCAGCCCATTCAGCGCGACTTGGCTCTGCTCCAGATGCAGATGCGGGACTACCAGGGATACATCCAGAGCCGCAGCTCGATGTTGCAAGCTCGCCCAGGCATTCGCTCAAACTGGACTGCGCTCGCGATTGCCCACCATTTGGCCGGTGATCTGGCAGAGGCCGAGAAGGTCTTGACCACCTACGAGGAGACATTGAAGGGTGCCACACCGCCTGTGGCCGATATGGAAAACTCCGAGGCTGTCCTGTACAAGAACACAATTATTGCCGAGACTGGAAACCTCGAGAGAGCCCTGGAGCACCTCGAAGCCGCTGCCTACCGATGCACAGACCCACTCGCCGTTCTGGAAATGAAGGCGGACTATCTGTTGCGACTGGACCGCAAGGCTGATGCTGAAGCAGCATACACCGCTCTCCTGGAACGCAACCCGGACAACTCAATTTACTACAATGGCTTGATTCTGGCGAAGTCCATTCCCGAGAATGACCACAAGGCATTGAAGGCTTTATACGATGAATGGGTGGAGAAGTACCCCCGCTGTGATGCTGCTCGCCGAATTCCTCTTGACTTCCTGGAAGGAGAGGATTTCAAGCAGGCGGCCGACGCCTACCTGGAGCGTATGTTGAAGAAGCGCGTTCCCTCACTATTCGTGAACGTTAAGCACCTTTACGTTAACACCGCTAAGCGTGATGTGGTGCAAGCGTTGGTGGAAGAAAAGGTTTCTAGCCAGCAAACTAACGGCTCTGCCGAAGCCAATGGAGACAACAACGAATATTTGTCGTGCATACACTACTTCCTTGCCCAACATTACAACTATCACCTCAGCCGCAACCTCCCCAAGGCTATGGAGAATGTTGAGAAAGCCATTGAGCTCTTCCCCAAGGCCGTGGAATACCAAATGACCAAGGCGCGAATCTGGAAGCACTATGGTAACCCCATCAAGGCCGCAGAGGAAATGGAGAAGGCTCGACTCTTGGATGAGAAGGATCGCCACGGCAACACCAAGGCCGCCAAATACGTGCTCAGAAACAATGACAACGAGAAGGGTTTGGAGCTTATGAGCAAGTTCACTCGCAACGAGACGGTTGGTGGCACCCTGGGTGATCTCCACGAGATGCAATGCACTTGGTTCTTGACCGAAGACGCAGAGGCGTTCCTGCGACAGAAGAAGATTGGTCTTGCCCTTAAGCGCTTCCACTCCGTTTACAACATCTTTGAGACCTGGGCGGAGGACCAATTCGACTTCCACAGTTTCTCCCTTCGCAAGGGTATGATCAGGGCTTATGTCGATATGGTTCGCTGGGAGGATCGTTTGCGTGAGCACCCCTTCTACACAAGAATGGCCATTGGAGCCGTCAAAACACACCTGCTTCTCCACGACCAACCCGATCTCGCGTACGGACCCATCCCCAGCGGACCCGATGGACTTAACTCTACCGACGAGAATGAGAGAAAGAAGGCCCTCAAGAAGGCGAAGAAGGAGCAGCAGCGCTTGGAGAAGATCGAGTCTGACAAGCGCGAGGCACGAAAGGCCGCTGCCGCGAACGCCAAGAGCGCCGACGGAGAGACCAAAAAGGAGGATGCGGATCCTCTGGGTAACGCTCTGGTCCAAACCCAAGATCCCTTGAAGGACGCCATGAAGTTCTTGACCCCCTTGCTCGAATCTACCCCCCAGAACATCGAAGGCCAATGCCTCGGATTCGAGGTTTACACAAGAAAAGGTATGTGTCCACTCGCTAGAAATGACCTTGCCTTGTTACTAACACCTACATAGACAAGCACCTTCTCGCTGTCAAGTGCCTCGCAGCCGCTCATGCTATTGACCCCTCCAACCCCACTCTCCACCTCCAACTGCTCCGCTTCCGCAAGACTCTTGATGGTCTTTCCGGGCCCCTTCCTGAGAAGATCGCCGAGTCTGTCAATGCTGAATTTGAGAAGCTTCTCCCCAAGTCCCAGAACCTCGGAGAGTGGAACGAGTCTTACCTTTCATCTAACAAAAACAGCGCCACCCACGTCCAGGCTGGCCTGTCTGCTCGCTATATCCTGAGCCCGGAATCCAAGTCTCAGTGCGAGAAGGAGCTGCTCGCTACTCTCGACTTGCCTGAGATCACCATCGACCAAGCTACCCTTGCCTTGGATCTCTTGAACGAGTGGGGCAGTGACAAGACTGCTTACGCCGAGAAGGCCAGCAAGAAGTGGCCCGAATCTTCTGTTTTTGATCTGAACTGAGTTGATAAGACTGGGTGAGACCTCGGGACCTCAGACCTTCACTAGTCATCGCCTGCGGAAATATATTCCGCGTTGATGATGTGTTGTGCAATGATATAGAATCACATTGAAGTGTGGTGGGAAAGGGGGTACCAGAACATGGAGAAGACAGTGGAGAGAAGAGATCTCCAGCGCTGGTATTCCCAAAAATGTCAGTGGATTGTGCAGCCAATATTCGCTGGGACGGTCCAATGTATGAGTATCTATTGCCAACCAAGTCAGGGCCAAAAGTAGACTTAACCACAACCCTATACTTTCAATTTTTTTCGAAATCAAATGAACATGTACATTTCTAGGGGTGAGTCAATTAAACAAAAGCGCCGATATTATACAAGCCGAGGAGGGAGTCACAATATGCAAAACAAACAGACCAACACATGCTCAATGCCAGGGAAGAAACCATCCCTTAACCGTTCTATCAAATCAACAAACCGGAAATCGTGCAGATAGGGCAGAGTATATCATAAAACATGTTGTATCACTGTCCATCCTCTCCATCAAGGTTACCCAAGATGGGCTTACGACGCAGAGCTTCCTCGCTCTCACCGTAACCGTAGTTGATCCACATGCGCTTCCAGAAGGGTACATGGGCTGGACGCTCCTCGCCAAGAATATACTCCTGGAGCTCGCCGATGCGCTGAGAACGAGCCTCATCTTCGGGAGAGAGAAGAGCACGCTGCATGCGCGAGGCGATACGCTGGTCCAAAACAACGTCGTCAAGCCACTCACGCTCCTTGCCGTCTTCTTCGCGCTTCCGCACAGACTTGTGCCACTCCTTCTCAGCGGTATCTAGTACAGTCTGCTGCTCGTGGGTGTGAGAAGAGAGGTCTGAGGATGAGCCGTCTGGGGAAGAGGTGGGCTCGGCCTCTGTGCTGAAGGTGTCGTCACGGTATGAGCGCGCGTTGGCAGCGAGGACAACTGCTGCGACTTCGCGACCGACGTTCTCGGCCAGGTGGCGCTGTGTGAGGAAGCGGTACATTCTGATGGGGGTGTTGAGGAATCCAAGGATGTGAGGGAATTCGACTGGGACGGAGCTGTCGAATGATTGAGGGAGAGAGGGAGGGAGGCTGGCGGATGCGTAGTCGGCAGTGGAAATGTATGCGGGAGTAGGACCGGCGGCCTTCTCGGCCTTCTTTTTCTCGGCTTCTTCCTCGGCCTTTTTGGCCTCTTCGGCCTTGGGGTCGGGGGTTTCGTCTTTCTTGTCGGAGTTGAGAGAGGACTCGAGAGACTCGATGGTCGAGATCTCTGGGCTTGTAGACTCGGAAGTCTGGTCTGTGATGGGAGCCTGGCCTGCGATTAGGGCCTCGTCTGCGACGGGGGCATCCAGCGCATCGACCACGGGTTCTTCGGGAGGTGGGGGAGGCGCATCTAAAGGTCCAAGCCAGCCCTCGTGCAGACCACGGATGTATTCCTTCCAAGTGTGTCGGCCAATGACCAAGTCGCCCTTGGGGCCAGGCTCGTCGGTGATGCCCATTTGTTCACGGGTGGCAGTAACGACCGCCTCCACACTGGGCTCCTCAATGGTTGAGCATTGCTCTCCGGCCTTGCGGCGCAGCTTGCGGATGTTCTCCGCGGTACCGGCCCTGACGTCTCCCTCGCGCCGACCCTCGATGACAGTGTAGTCTAGTGCCGCGGCGACCAAGATCGGCTTGACGTATTCCTTGAAGTGATCCCGGGCCATGCGCAAGCCATCTCCCGGGGGAGAAGCAAGGTAGACTGTCAATTTGCGGCGCATCTGAGTGGTTTCCAGGGATTCCTTCGAAATGTGAGCCACGAGCTCCGACCACTTTTGTTGCACGCGACGTTTCTCTCGGCGGTCGTAGATGATTGCGCCAGCGAATGATCCGGTAATTGTGAGGAAGATCATCCAATTGCGAGAGGGCAATTTGAACCGCATGTTAGGCAGACCTGTTCACAACAAGCATCAGCACCATTAACCTTCGAAAACCGGGGAAACATAAACATACCCATCATCTTGAAGACAGGGTTAGGTGGCTTCTCGGCCACAGGGGGCTTGCTGGGGCCCGTAGGCGCAGCAGAGCTTGAGGCTTCAGCCATTGAGTGCTGTATTTTGGTGTGGGGAGACTGTATATCTAGGCCGAGCACTCCCCGGGGTAATTCAAAAAGTTGAATCTCGATGCCCCGGAGATACGTTGTTCCGATGCCCGATGCACGTGACACCGCATATCGGACCTTTGAGTTGCTGAGGTTCATGGGCTTTTCACTTCATGAGGTTTGGAGTTTCAGCTGAACTGGCACCTAGCATATATTCACATTTGTGGGAATGTTCCAAACAGCACATTAGACAAGGCCCTGTCTAATGTGTCTGATAGCCAGTGCATCTCTTTTGCCGGAGGGTGAAACCCAGGACAACGCTTCCCAGATTGGCCATGAGCAAAACTCCCCCAAGGCCCTTTGATCTGGTGGTAGCTGCTTAGGTCAAAGGCTGCCAACTCATGTCTTATCAAGTGACAGCCCAGTGACAGTCCAGACTACAATTCTACATCATTCGAGCACAGCCCAGCATACCTTCACCGTCTGCCCCTCCCCCTTGATTTGGGGACATCCTCGAGGAATGCTGAGGGGTATTATTTCATATTCCCAAGCCTATTGCCCTCGAAGGTCGATTTGAGAGAAGAATGGATATGCAATTAATAGCAGTGGGTTAGTATATGGAGTTGTCATACTCCGTAGTAGTATTTGATCTAGCAGCATCCAGCAATCTCACAGTGTCAATGGCCTTGAAAAAAAATCCCAGATATACAAAGTACCAGAGAGTAAAATAGTCGATTTACAAAAGTGACACAGGAACAAGGTGTTTCAGGACGGGTGTCGACTACATAATTGGGGGGCTAGATTGCCTCCTGAGCCACCGCTTCTTTAAACCTCCCCGCCCTCTTTCTTTCTCTCCTCCATCCACCTCCCATTGCTTCTGCTTGAGACCCTGTGGGGATTCAAGTCGCAAAGATGGATCCTAACAATCGCAACAATATGAATTACGGTTACGACCGTAACTACAACGCCAACAATCGCGCCTATCCCACCACCCCCTCCGCGTTCCCCCAGCCCATCTATCAGTCTCAGGGGGCCCAGGATTATGTTGATCCTTCGAACCCAGCATACGCCCCCGGGTACTTTATGCAGAACAATTACCCCCCTCAGATGCAACAGCAAGCACAGCAAGCACAATATGCCCAGCAGCAGCAGTACGCGCAACAGCAAGCCTTGCAATCGCCCCAGCCCGCCTACCAAGCACGCCCCGGGTACCCTGACGGCACCAACGGCTTGATCCAGCAATTTTCAAACCAGGACCTCAATGCAAACCGTGCCGGATTCTTCAACAACAACCGTGCTGCGTCCCCAGCGCAGCGACCTCGTACCGCTGGCGGTTCTCCTGCTCAAGCACCCGGCCAAGCATCACACCTGATTCCCCCAGTACCCCGCAGTCCTCGCCCGCCTTCCGAGAATGAAGAATTGCAGCGCTTCCCTGATCGGTACTCGGAGAATGTGCACAAGCGGGGCAAGGCCGCGAAGGAGTTGGTGACAGTGTTTTTCCACGAGAACATCGAGCGAGCTCGTGATCGCAACATGCGGTACGTATTCACCTCAATTGTGGAAGGAATATGCCACACCATGATTGTACCATACTGACAATGATCTGTCACAGTTCTGCGGAACTCGACAAAACGATCCGCGAACCCAGTTTGCCCGTCGAAAAGAAACGCCAGGATGCAGACTCTATCTCAAAGAGAGAATCTGACTTCCTCCGATTCCTGCGAACCAAGGAAACACCACAGAACTTCCAGACTATCAAAATTATCGGAAAGGGTGCTTTCGGTGAGGTCAAGCTTGTGCAGCGCAAGACAGATGGCAAGATCTATGCTCTGAAGTCATTGATCAAGACGGAGATGTTCAAGAAGGATCAGTTGGCTCACGTTCGTGCCGAGCGCGACATTCTGGCGGATTCAAAGGACAACCCTTGGCTGGTCAAGCTTCACGCATCCTTCCAGGACACTGCGTACCTTTATCTCCTGATGGAGTTCTTGCCTGGTGGTGATCTCATGACCATGCTGATCAAGTACGAGATTTTCTCTGAGGATATCACTCGATTCTACATGGCTGAGGTCGTTATGGCAATTGAGGCCGTGCATAAGCTTGGCTTCCTTCATCGGTAAGTTCTTTCTGATTTTCTTGAACCGCCGAGGTTTTTGCTTTGAAGTTGTCTCATACTAACAACCTTTCAATCTGATAGTGACATCAAGCCCGACAACATCTTGCTCGACCGGGGTGGTCACGTCAAACTTACTGACTTTGGTCTTTCAACCGGAGGCAAGAAAACTCACGATAATGCTTATTATCAAAATCTCCTCAAGAACTCTACGTCCAAGGACCGGAACCGCAACTCTGGTTATTTCAATGATGCCATTAACCTTACAGTATCGAACCGTGGTCAAATCAACACTTGGCGAAAGTCCCGCCGTGCGATGGCCTATTCTACTGTCGGAACCCCTGACTATATCGCTCCTGAAATCTTCAACGGGCAAGGATACACCTACCTTTGCGATTGGTGGTCCGTCGGTGCTATCATGTTTGAATGTCTTGTCGGCTGGCCTCCATTCTGCGCTGAAGACACCAATGACACCTACCGCAAGATTGTCAACTGGAGGGAGTGTCTGTACTTCCCTGATGAATTGGTTCTTTCGCGTGACTCCGAGGGTTTGATCCGAAGGTAAGTCTTGACATAGGCGAGATGGAACGGAACGTTTGCTAATATAGAAAAACTAGTTTCCTGTGTGATCCAGACCACCGTATTGGCAGCGATGGTGGCCAGCACGGAGGTGCTACGCAGATCAAAAACCACCCATTCTTCCGAGGTGTCGTTTGGGATCAGCTGCGTGGAATCCGTGCTCCCTTCGAGCCGCGTCTTAGCTCGAACATCGATGTGTCGTACTTCCCAATCGACGAGATTCCTCAGGAAGACACGAGTGCCATCCACCGTGCGCAGGCTCGTGCCATGCCGGACTCGCAAGAGGCCGAGATGAGTCTGCCTTTCATCGGTTACACCTACAAGGCATTCAATGCCTTCCAGAGCAATTAAACTCGCTCCTTGTGTTCCGAGACTGACTGGTCCTTGTCACTGGAGAAACCTGGAAGCAAGCAGGGCTTGATTTCTTTATTTCTCGACATATACATTTGATGATCAGATAAAAAAAAAGGCTCGGGTTCATTTTCATGTCTCGTCACATCTTATCATTGAGCATATCAGCGCGACGTTGTTTTTTCCCATTCCAAATTATGACCCGTCTTTGATTTCACTTGTTGATCTCACACGCCCTGCATTTTCTCGAGACCAATACATACTACCCGTCATTACATGTTCAGGGCAGCCTGACTGAGAAGGCCACCGCCATCTTGCAACATTCAATCTGGTGATTGTTGTACTGCGTACCATACCTAGGTAGTCTATGTCTCCCAAACGCATAAAATGACTCCTCTCAGGTGAACTGGTTTTGGAAAACTAGAGTACATAGACTCAGAAGCACAAGAAGTGTCTCATTGATGGCAAATATGCCCATGGTATGTGAGTTGTCATAAAAGCGAGTCGCTCGAGGATCAAAATAAAATGAAAATGCACATAGAACCCCGAAACGCCTGATCCAGATTTTTCCCGCCATAGAAACAACCGTCTTTTGGGTGCAAGCTCAAAAGAGAATAGAGGCAGGTGTACACAGCAATAACCTCCCAGAAATCTTTCTTCAAGCCTGCATGGGAGCCAGACCAGGCACACCACTGAACCGCTCTTCACGCTCAGTCTTGAACATAATCTGCACCCAGAATTCCTTGCTATCCTCATCAAACCAAGTCCAGTACTGACCCTCACGGCGATCAATCTCCTTAGCCTGCAACTTGAATCCACACGTCTGGTACGGCTCCGCAGCAACAACCAAGTACTGGTAATTGTTATCCGGCTCCTCAATCTTCTGCTCGAAAGCAGACATAAATCGCACCCGTGGAACAACGCCAGGCGTAATCTCCTGGTACAGCAATTGGAAAAGCAGACCCTGCTGGCGCGTGAGAGGATCCTGGATTTTGGTAATTTTGTAACCCGGCCGGCCGATCTTGATCATCTGCTTCTTGACTTGCACGCCAGCGAAACCGTGCATGGCAGAGGCATCTTGGCCCTTGCCTTCGCGTTGCTCGCGCGCAGCTCGTCGAGCGAGGTTGGTTTGGTGCTTGCGGCCTTGGGTGTGGGCGAGGTAGGAGCCGTCATTTTGGTGGACGGTCAAACATAGACGACATTCGAAACTGCCGACGTGGTTTTTGAAGAAGTAGGGGTCCTTTTCGAGGTCGATTGTTTCCAAAGCGAGCTTGCGCAATCGCTCGCGACGGTCGGCGTTGGATGCGGATTGGGAGGCGACGCCACCTCCGCCGAATTTGGATCCTGCGCGGTTCTAAGACTGTTAGTTTTTGCTGCTCTGCTCTGTTCGACGGGGTGTACATACCTGATAATCCATGTTGGTGATAGTCGAGCAGAGGCGAAGATCAAATCTCAGGGCGTTGAACCTGACCTCGGTGATTAGTAAGCGAGTTGCTGGGCATCGATTGATCAGTACAAAACTAAGCTCCCCAAACACAAGCACTTCTAAAACATACAGAATTGCCAAAGTTGGAGAGTGATGGGTTCCTTGAGCCTAGGTCAACGCCGGTCATTTGATGGTCATCTATGCACTATCCGTCATGTTGGCACAGTGCAAGGAACCACAGGCGACTGGCTAGGCGTCGAATGGGACGATGCAACTCGTGGAAAACACTCAGGAGAGCATAAGGGAATTAGATACTTCTCGTGTAAGTGGAATCGACTTGTTGAAATCATACCTCTAACGTTGATCCCCAGGCAAAAGCAACCAACCTACAGCGGGGTCTTTCGTTCGCCCCTCCAGGCCATCAGACCAACCCCGGAGCCTTCTAGAAGCCCTGCGGGAGAAGTATGCATCTGAGCCTGTACCAAGCACTTCCTCGGATGCATTGGCTGGGGCCACAGCTCCAAAAAACGCAATAGAAATCAGCGGTAAAGTCGTCGAGGAAGTTGGCTTCGACAAGATTCGGAGACAGCTTGCAGAGCTCCAGGAATTGCGCATTGTCTTACTTGATGGCCTACGGGTGGTGGGGGTCTTGCCATCCTATGAGCAAGACCAGGACTCAGACAGTGATGCGGCTCGACAGATTGGCCTGACTTGTCCCAAGATCATAGAACTTGATCTGAGCCGAAGTCTGCTGAGCCGATGGAGTGACCTTTGGCAAATATGCAACCAGCTCAAGCATTTGAAGCGGCTGAAACTGAAGTAAGTCTTCAAGCTACCTTTTATATGTGTTAGATGACGATCTGACTCGAGAAAAGTGGCAATCGGTTCCAAAATTTGGAGGACAACCTGGTCTTCAAAGGAATCACAGAGCTGCATTTAGAGGAGACACTATTGAGTTGGAATGAAGTATGTCCTCAAAGTCTGGAAACCAACGATCATCCATCGCTAACGCGGGTATAGGTTGCTGAAATTGCATCACGATTCCCAGGACTGACGTCTCTGACTGCATCCGCGAATCAGCTCACTGAAATATCGTGTGAACTCCCAAGCACAATAACAACCCTGACTCTCGAGCACAACGAGATTACCTCAATATCAGCATTGCGCCATCTATCTGCACTCCCAAATCTACAACATCTCTCTGTCCGAGGGAACTCCATCAGCACCGCCAACAAGGACACAACCACTTTCCAATTCCCCCCAACCCTCCGCTCCCTCGACATCTCCCGCAACAACATTACCTCCTGGACCATTCTCAACGATCTACCCACCATCTTCCCAGGCCTAACCACCCTCCGAATCTCTGGCAACCCCCTCTTCGACCAACCACCCCTCCCACCATCCATCACAGCTGCATCAGCATCAGACTCCAAACCAATGACCGTCGACGAAGCATTCATGCTAACCCTCTCCCGCTTCCCACCAACCCTCACAACCCTAAACTACAGCACCATAACACCCCAAGACCGACTAAACGCCGAAATGTACTACCTCTCCCTAATCGGCAAAGAACTCTCCGCAACAACCGAATCAGAAGAACCAGCTATCCTAGCCACTCACCCCCGCTACACAGAACTGTGCAACCTCTACGTCGAACCAAGAATCACCAGAAAAACCAGCCCAAACGCCGGTTCACGAGTGATCCATCCACGATCCATAGCAGCCCGACTAGTCAAGATGTCATTCCGATACCAGACAGACTCTCAATGCCAACAAGTCCTAAAGGAGATTCCAGGCTCCTTCGACACATACCAGGTTAAGGCATTGGTGTCTCGACTCTTTGGACTTCCTGCGTTTGGATTCAGGTTGATTTGGGAGACAGAGGAGTGGGATCCTATCGAGAAAGAAGCTGCTGATGAGGCTGCTGATTGGGATGAGAGTGATGATGAGGTTGGTGAGACGGGGCGAGATGCTGGCCCTGATGAGAGTCGGTTTATGCGACGGGAGGTTGATTTAGTGGAATCGACTAGGGATATTGGATTTTTGTTCCAGGATCAGGAGGGAGAGGTCAAAGTTCGAGTTGAATGTGACGCAAATTAGGGCTTTGGTAGTTCTGTTGAAACTACCATCCGATCTAATGTAGTATGGAAAAATGCATTGGAAATTTGAAATTTTTTTCCTTTGTTTTATGTGATTACCAATTGGTAGACAGTTAATGAACCCTCAGGCCGTGGCGTGGGATATCTTCGGGGTATGAGACTCCCGCAAAACAGATGTATACATACAAAACGTGTGGAGATGAACAGTCCACAAGTTCAAGAAAGGTCGAAACGCCTGAGTACTTTACTCATCCACTGCCTAGTCCCCAAGCTCCAGTTAAGATAAAAGAAAGAAAAAAAGAAAAAAGAAATGGCATGTTGAGGGGACAAGGAAAGGGTTGAGGTCATATCATTCAGCAGAAAAGACAACGCCGGAGCCATGATGCTTTTTTTTTGTCGAGCGCAAAAGAACAAGAGATCCTGTAAAAGCAAGATCAAGCAGGGTGTAATGGTTCTTGCGAACGCATTATGCAAATAAAAGGGAAAGAGAATGGGAGAGACACAGGGACACACGAAGGGCTAGTCATCGAATTGTTGATTATCCACGGGCAACCCACCAGGAGCGGACTGCCATGCAACAAACCCGCTTGTAGATCTGCGTAGTGCCCTTGCCTTCAGCTTCCTCTTCAAGGAACTTCTGAGCAACAAAGAGTTTGGTCCCCGATTCCTTCTCCGTCGTGTAACCGACCTTGGGCAAGCTGTTGGGGAAATCAGCCCAACGCTGTCCTAGGTGACGCGCAACAGAGATCGAGTAAATGATATCGCGGTTCTCGTATGTGTCCAGTAGTTGTCGGCACCGACTGAGTGTGTCGTCGATTTGCTTGGCGGAACTCGCTTCGTTGTCGTATAATGTGAGGAACTCTCCTACCTGATCCCAGAAATCAAGCTGGCGACTCTGGAATTGGTCTGGGGTGTTTGGAGGGTTGGCGGCATCCATGACCAGCTCCCGTGACAGGGAATTGGTCTCAGAGTGGTTCCATGTGAGCAATGCCTCGACGACGTTGAGCCTTCCACAGGCGGCACAAAGGTTCCAGTCCCGTCCTTGTTGTCCGGTCTCTCCATCTGGTACCTTACGGCACAGTGCCATACTTTTCCAGATGATCGAGGCTTCGAAGCTCTCTAGCCGTGCCAGAGTTTCGCCATCTTGTAGGTTCCATTCATTGAATGCGTTAATCAGGGCTGAATATTCAGCCATAAGCTGTGCATCGGCCATGAGATATGAGAGAGCCTTGTCAGAGTACCAGCGGACCTCAAGGAGTTTGTCGATAGCCGGTGCGTATGTGGCCAGGAAGACCGCCTGGATTTCTTCGAGGCGGCCAGGAGGGAGAGTTCCGATGGCATGTGGAGGAGGAGGGGCAATTCCTCTGAGAGAGAAAAGGTCATTAATGTAGATATTCTTGGCTGCAGTAATATGATCATTAGCTTCGCGTCGTGACCCACATATAAGTGGACAAGGCTTACCTTTGTATGCAGGCTCTGAGCCCTGTGGGCGGGGTGCGGTGGTGTTTTGCATTTCGGTATGAGTGGGCTGACTGCTCGCACTTAATGAAGGATCAATAGAAGCTCTGTGCGCGTGCTGCTCAACGGAGGCAGTGGGCGATTCGGAATGAAGAGAAGGTGCGAAAGGCTGAGAAGAGGCGGGCATGTACCCCGGGGGCGCGGAAGGGTATGAAGGTGCTGGTGTGGTCGTAGTAGAAGGGCCTTGGGGATTGACCACCAAGGATGGAGGAGGGTTAGGAGCTGGCTGGATAGCTGATGGCGTTGAAGCTTGAGTGCGAAACACAGGGTCGTAGCCTAAACACTCGCGTTTACTTTTCACGCAATTTCTGCAGACAGGGTGTGCTTCGTCACACTAAGTAAGAAAGAAAAAAAAGTCAGAAATCGAGTCGTGAGGATGTAAAAAGTGAGGTGGATTTGCGCCGAAGACAAAATATGGCGGGGTCTGCGGGCACAAGCGAGACTCCGCCCCGCGAACTCCAGTAGATAATATGCGACTCACCTTAATTCTTCGTTTGCGACAAGTTAAACAGCCAGTTTTTGTCCGTCGCTTGACTTCTTTCTTGTGCCTATTTCCGGATAACATTTTGTTCGGGTCGCCTGGTAGTTGATATCGCATCTGCGTATTGCCTTGTATGGTGGACGGATACCCAGTCATATATTGTCCCATAGACGCCATCGGGGGCATGTTGTTTGGAAGTGGTGATCCAATTGGCGCCTGTGGTACCTGTCCTTGTGCGCCAGAGTTGTGGTACATGTCGTTTTGTTGATAGTGCTGCTGTGGCTGCGCCTGGAATTGATGCTGGGTATGGGTTTGCGCCTGCGGTGTTCCGGGTTGTTGTGACTGAGCAGGACTATGCGAATACTGATATGTGCCATTGGTGGATGGTTGGTAGTGGGATACGCCATTGGTTCCTGAGTGTTGATTTGTGTCATGTCCAGTACCTGTATGGTCAGGCAGGCCCGAATGCGAGTCATGGTGATCTAAATGACTATCGTCCCGAAACTCATGCTCATCCATTGTTGGAATATCATCGATGCCAATCGCTGGTAAGGAATGATCAAGTGAGGGGAGTGTCGTGTCGATCGCAGGCAGTGACATGTCGTGGCCTGTAGTTGAGCCAATCGAAGGCAGCGCGTCGAAAGAATTTAGCCCAGAGTCCCCAAAAGCTTCAGATGTGTCCAATGCTGGAATCGAGGAATCGATCGGAGGAAGTGATGATTCAATTGATGGCAAGGTCACATCAGGTGTTTGCGTTGATGGTGTGGGCTCTTCTGAGTGATGATACGGGCTCGCATCGTGTATTGGCCCTACCGTCGTGGGATCCGCAGGTGTCGGCTCTGTGGGTATTGGCTGTACAGGAGTTTGATCTGATGGTGCTGGATCTGCCGGTGCTTGTTCGGTCGGTATGAACTCTGCTGGTGGTGGACCTGCCGGAGGTGGGCCGACGGGGAGGGGATTTGATTCCGCTGTCGCTTGCTCTGTCTGCGTTGGTGCTTGGTTTGCCTCAGTCTCAGCTGAAGGTTCGACTGGAAGGCTCTCCGGCTCCTTCGCTGGGAGTGGCTCGCTCGGCACCAACGGTTGGCTAGTCTCGGTAGCTGGCGCATTTGGCTCAGTCGCGGGATTGGGCGTATCGCCAGGCGGGGCGCTCGAGTCCGTCGGCTCCGCCATGTTGGAGATTGCGGTCACCCCAATGAGTAAAGTGTGCTCGATCGGATGGGATAATCAGTGGGAGTTGGACCGGTAGTAAAGAAAAAGCCTCTTTGTGAGGCCGAGGTTTCGAAAATTCACGGTCAAAGGTCGTCTGGTTTATCGCTGAGCGAAGTGATCACACCAGGTCGGACGGATAGAGAGTTAGAAATCATTTATTCCCAATAATCTGTGGGGTTCAACTTGGTCAGTAAAATGTTCGGCCAGCAGCAATCGAAGAAATCCCCGCAGCAAAGTCCGAATGCCATAAAATCCGAGTTCTCGGTTTTGCTCGTGGGAATTCAGTCGAAAAAGAAACACTGGAGTAGCGCAGGCCATGTGTCTCCTCGAAGCAAGTGCAAATCCACTGGGATTCAATCGGGCCCTGAACCGTGTTGGGGTTCAAGCACCGAAGTCCAGTATCGCGAGGAATTTTCTTGCGATATTTTCCCACGGGTCTCAGACAAGCAGCATCACAGAGATTGCAGATCGTGGTGTTCTGCCGGTCATCCAGGTTTTGTACGTCGCATTCGCGGCGGCCGACCAGCCTCAAATGCAGCCACCGTTACTTGGAACACTACTCGGACCACCCACAGGATGTCGGGCATGTATCGCGGGGCAGATTTCGGAAGGCCAATGATCCCTTTTGAGACTGGAGATCCTGGGCGTGGTATCGCATGGGGGGTGGTCGGGGCTCCGGCGCGAGGTGTTTCGAACAGATGGGCAGGGCTGCGGGGAAATCACATCTGGAATTGAAAGAACTCACCAGATGAATAAGTAAAGATTAGATTGCACACGAGTTTAAAGGACTGTGCAGATCCAGATGTCGTGAAAAGCGCGAATGAGGCTAAAGGAGCTTTCCTTTCCGGCGATGAAACTCTCCGCTTTGATTGCGATCGAAAAAAAATTATAGTGGCAACACCGCTTTTACCCACTGCGACGTTTTGGGGTTTGTAGTCTTCACTATACATACCTCATTACACGTCTTTCTATACATCAAATCTCACTGATTTTGCTTTTTTATTGAATGATATTCATCTAAATTGTAATGGACATGAGCCCCCTTGCAGTTGGGAAAACTTGGGGTTAATCATCCATGAATTGATAGACTATGGATGTAACAGCTGGTCCATCAATTACCCAGGGTGATAGAGACGTTTTGGACGCTGGGGTTTGCTCAGTCAACAGAGTCAATGGAGTCGGTGTGATGTGTCTGTTGCGTGAAGCAAGGCAATGGCAGACCAGCCTTGGAGGGCAGACCATGCTGACATGGCAGACATGGCAGACATGACCAACAGAGCGGAAGACAAAGCATAATATCCCGCCTTTTCTGTAGCTCGGACACGAGTAGCTTTGGGTGAATTGAGTTGACACAAATTCTGTGCATTTCATGTATTCCAGGGTGAGATTATTACTTCCTCATGGTTTTTGCCTTGCGCTTCTTGAAAACAACACTAGGTGTAACGTCTTCACTCGGGGGGTTCTCTGTAGTTGCTGTGTCTGCAGCTGCCTCGGAATGTGAGCCTGGTTCCTCTTTCACTGGTTGCTCGAGTTTGGGAGGGACATTCTCTTTCTTGGCGACGGAGGCGGGTTCCCCAGGGGTTGTCTCGTCTTCAACGATTTCAGGCTTGGGTGTGAACGTCTTGGTCATTTTTATATCCTTGGCAGATGCAAGCAAGTCGTCCAGATCGCGATCGTCCTGTGCACCAGGGTATTGTTTTAACCGCGAGCCCCAACTTTTGTTAACGACCATTTCTGGCGCAGGCTCATCCTCTTCGTCTTCACCCTCGTGTTTGCGCTTGCGTACTCCAATCGACTTGGTAGGACCTTCTAATCCCTGCTGAGGCTCGACCCTGGTCTCTGAGGTAGTCTGCCACTCTCCTGCTAAAGCCATATCAGCTCTGTATTCTTCGGGGACGGCGACTCCCATTTCTGCAAGCTGCGCAATCTGTTTCTTCCGCTCTTCGGCAGTGGCCATCCTTGGTGCGGGTTTGGGGGCTGGCGGCGCATTTCGTTTCGGTGGCGGCGCGCCAGCTTTCTCCGTAGACCCGCTCACAGCCTGTCTTAATCGCTCGACCTCAGATTTGGCTCGGCTGGAGTCCCGTTGCTGTTGTTCATTATCCTTGTGGATTTGGTTGAGGAATCGCCTGAGGCTGCCTTGATGTTTGGGGCTGGCTTCGTGTTGAGTCTTCTCGAAGGGTGTGTCGCGAATGAAGATCTTGCACTGTTTGCACCAGAAGCGCGGCTGTAGAGAAATTAGTAACGAAGTAGACAGACAGTTGTTTGTACTTACTGCGGACTTCCAGTATTCAGCCATGGCGAGTTGACAAGAAAGTGCAGTGATCACCTTGAAATGATAAGATCCGGTCTGGTTTCGGGCCGCCTCTCCGCCTGGAATTGGCGACGGATTCTATTTCCAGGACTTTTACCTTATTTCTTACTTTCTGCTTACTTTTCACTTTTCTTACTTCTGTCTAGTGATTTCCAATGACTCTTGCTGAGAAGCAGCTCTTGATAAGGCTCAGAGCTACCTACAGAGTACAGAGTACAGTGCGGGTCTGGAAATGTACACGACCGTTCTACGACCGTTCTATTGTCGATTTCTGTTTGAGAGATTTGAAACTTCAAACGCCCGGGAAACTCGTTTGCTCAGGCAATTACAGATCAGCTTGCTCTGGGACTGGGCTTTTCAGTGATCCCACTTCAAGAGCCATCTGAATGTTCTCAATAGTCCATTCCTCCATGGCAAGTATCGTCTGTATGCAGAGTGAGTCAATGCAGCACTTTGAAGATTGTTGAGAACTCACCTCAATGGTCCAAGTGCCCATATGTGGCACCAACATCACATTCTGGTTGCTCAACAACCCCGGATGAATATTGGGCTCTTCCTCGTATACATCCAACCCGGCCGAAAACACCTTGCCACTATCCAGGGCTTCAACAAGAGCAGCTTCATCCATCACAGCACCACGGGCAGTGTTAACCACTACCACACCATCTTTCATCTTAGCGAACTCGGCCTTGCTGATGATGTGGCGGGTGTTTTTCTTAAAAACAATCAGTACCTGCCCTCGTCCCGCAGTAGAGATAGTGACTACTCACATTCAAAGGCAAATTCAAGCTCACCACGTCACTAGTGGACAAAAGCTCATCAAACGAAACATACTGAGCCCCTGCAGACATCACATCGCTGAGCTCGCGGCGGTTATGATAGATAACCTTCATGCCAAAAGCCTCAGCCTTCTTCTTCAAGTTACGTCCGATCCCACCCATTCCCAAGATCCCAAGAACTTTGCCTTCGGGATCATGGCCAAGCGGTGGTTCCGGCTGACCACGCCACTTACCCTGCCGCAGGGCGTTCATGCCAGTGTTGAAATTGCGCAATGCCCCGAGTATAAGAAACATGTTCACATCGGCAGTGGCATCGTCCACGGCGGTTGGGACATTAGAAACCCGAATTGGAGGACTGCGCGCACTGCAGGCATGGACATCGATTTGGTCATAACCCGCTCCTGTGAAGATCTCAAATTAGTCCATGTCGACCCTTCCTCGGAGCTATACATACCGCAATGCGCAATGTATCGAAGCGACTGGGGGAGCACGCCCAAAAGCTCTTCGTCTACTAAACCCGTGAGGGCCACAGATGCAATGGTCCGATACAATGCGACCACGCCGTCAAACTTGCCTTCCTTGCACTCTTGGATGAACTCGGCTCGATGGGTGGCTGTTGATTCTACCAGCTCTGCCAATTCCCCCAGCGCACCCCAGGCTGATTGTGCACTGTTCTCCAAGGTCAATGACGCGCCCTGGTTTTAATCGTAACTATTGTAGAGCAAACTTACTGCTCAATGCATCCGATAAGGAGCACTTTGGGCTTGACTTCGGTATAGGTCATTTCGTATGCTTTCGTTATGTATATATCAATTTCACGAGGATGTTGGTAACAGAATGACGAAGCGCATTCAAAAGTGACCTTTTAAACCGTTTAGCAAGCGGATCGGAACATGCCGAAGCGCCTTCTCCGAACATCCACGGAGTTGACTCACTGATACGATGGTGTCAATTTAATTGGTGACTGAGCTTCTAAAGTTTTGTTTAAGAGCCCTGGAGAACCGCGATAGTGTCTGAACTTAAGTAGTCTACACCCACGAAATGCGATCATAAACATCAGATCAAAATTACTGCGCCTAAAGGGTTGAGTTCCCCGCAAGGCCCTGGACAACTGTAGAAAACGTAGTCTCCATTCGGAAAGTGTTTCCTGGACCTGTACCCCGTACACCGATCAGGTATGCAACGGCCTGTTGTGGGGTCACATATATAGATGTTGGAAATCAAGGTAGTCTAAAGTTCGGTGTCAATGGTATACAAATACCATTTAGCTAAAGCTACTGCCCTTCAACCAAAACACGAGTCCAGTCGAACTTCCTCCATCGCTTTCGGAATCCATCGACTCTACGATCACCACGGTTCCATCGTCCTTGTCGCTTGATGACGTCCGGCGCAACATCCAGCATTCCTCCAATGATTTCCCGGGCAAAGAGATCACCCCGGGGCCAGCGGCTATCGTCTTCCACAATATGACCCAGACCACCGTCGAGTTCAAACCAAACGTGGAAGTATGGCATCTCCTTCACCAAGCTTCGACGGAAAGCAGAGCGGCCCAGTCCTTGCTTTGATTTGGCAAGGGTGTCAATTAACTTCTTGTGCTGCGACCATTCAGATTCAGCGCTGAGGATGGCTTCCTTGAAGAAGGCAGGAGATGTCTCGCCAAGACTGTATGGTAGAGGCACCACTTCCATGGAAGCATGCTTCTTCCGCTGGGGCTGAGCTGCGTTCTCGTAGAAAATGACGTCCCGGCCCTGATCGTGGTACATGCGGGTGAGACTCTTCATGAAGTTGCGGATCTCTTCCCATTCGTCGTCATCGCATTCCATCAGGTTGGTGCGGTGCTGGATTGGTACGATGGTTGCACCACCCTCGCTGATTTCGGGCTCGGTGGGGAGCGTCAGGAAGACACGGGTTGCAAGGGAAACCACGGGAGCGAGGGGAGGTGTTCCTTTGTCCTCGTTGTGGCAGAGGGGACAGTTGTCCAGGATCTTGTTCATTTTGTGGAAGTCGTTGATTGTGGTGTTCTTGAGATCAATTTCAGACCTGTGCACTCGTTTGGCGAGCTTGGACGCATTATCATCCATGTATTCCAAATCATTCTGGGCCAAGAGGTTAGCATATCGAAACAAGACTGCGTGGGGGTTTTCGAGCTCACTTCAAACTTGGAGTCTCGACCGATTTGATCAGCCAACCGCCGGCCCTCTCCTCCAGCTTGACCACGAGTCTTGCGTTCTTCTCGCACCATGTCTTCAATAGTCATATCCTCGTTTGCCTCCACCTGGCCTCTCTCGCGGCCTCTCTTGGTATCGATGGATTTGACTTCGTTCCTAGGGCCTGCCAGCATGGGGTTATGCATAACATCAAGAACCACAACATCAGATTCCTTGCGATTCGACATGGCCGCTGCCGCCGTATTATATTGTTCTTCAAGCTGCGCCGCATCGGGTGACTTTTTTAGTTTTGCTTTCATCATTTGAGCTTTCAGGCGGTTCAATGCCGTCATATCAAGATGCTGGGTGGTCTTTGGCGGAGGCGCAGTATCAATCTTTTTGCCTTGACCCTCGGTATGTAACTCCTGCTCTGGGTCACGGACATGTTCAAGCGGGGCTCGTCGGACACCACCCTCAAGCTTTCTTTCCTGGAAAAGCTCGCCACTAGGCTTCTCCTTGCCCACGTAGGACTTGCCGTAGGTATTGCGGCGATCCATCTCAATTTCTTCTTCCCGAGCGTCATCAAATGACCTGATATCTCCGAATCTCTCAGTAGCGACTTCTTCCACGGTTCTGCCACTTTCCTCTGCCTCCCTGTAAACACCTTGGAGCTTTGTCATCCTCCATTGTGACCCCGAGTCTCCGAAGGTGTAGTCTACTTCATGTTGGGCAGGCTCGTCTTCAATATCCTCGAGTGTTTTTCCATCATTAAGATCGCGAAGATGGCTGTTGAGTTCCTTGTCGTGGATTTTAAGCTCGTAACCCGCGTGGAGCATTTTGGGCTTGGCTTCCTCCTCATGTCGCGTCGAGTTCGGTCGATGAACATAATCAATTTCCAGAGCCGAGGGCGCCTCCATCCATGAGTCTCGCTTCAAAGTGCTTGCCTCCGCTGGAGCCGTGGACGGCTCGTCAGCTTTCGTGTCGCGGTGGCGCCGCTTGTGGCCATGATCGTCTCCTTCATCGTTGGAACGACGCGAGCGCTTGTGTCGGTGTCCATCGTCTTCGCGGTGTCTGGATTCACGGTCCCTGTGGCTTCCACGTTCACGGGATCTAGAGGAGTGTCGTCGATGATGAGTTGAACGGTGATGGCGATGCTGTCTCGAGCGGTCTTTGCTGCGATCGCGACCGTGTCGATCACGATGTCTTTCGCGATCTGCCTTTTCGTGTCGCTGTTCCTGTCCCTCCGCGAGGGACTTTTCAAAGTCTTCCAAAGTCATTGTTGCTGTGGAAAATGTAGAAAACCAAAGGCCAGCGGAATGACGTTTTAAAGTGCCGGGCGGTCCAGTCGCAGATCTCGGCTTCCCCGCGACAAAAAGATTTCGGGCAAAAAAAAAAAGAGCTTGTCCTTCTGCGCATCTTCGACCTTTTCACATACATACTCCTTTGTGGTACTTGTTGGGATCTCTATCAATTACCTTGGATTAATTTTACCCAAACATCTTCATCATGCCGTCCCCGGTGTCCGTGGTCTGCGTGGGCATGGCAGGTATGGATTCACCAATTTCCACCCTCTGGTTATGTTGGTCTAATCATGTATATTCTGAGATTGAACAGGCTCTGGAAAGACTACTTTCATGCAGAGAATCAACTCCCATCTCCACGAAAAGAACACTGTTCCATATGTCCTCAACCTGGACCCCGCAGTGCACTCGGTGCCTTTCGACAGCAACATCGACATCCGTGATTCGATCAACTACAAAGAAGTCATGAAGCAATACAATCTGGGCCCTAATGGAGGCATTTTGACATCGTTGAATCTGTTCGCCACAAAGGTCGACCAAATCATCTCTCTGTTGGAGAAGCGCACAGCCCCGAACCCCGAAAACCCTTCCGCAAAGCCAATCGAACATATCCTGGTGGACACACCCGGTCAAATCGAAGTTTTCGTCTGGAGTGCATCCGGTAGCATCCTTCTTGAGACCCTTGCATCATCCTTCCCCACGGTCATTGCCTACGTTATCGATACACCCCGCGCGAGCTCTACTAGCACGTTTATGAGTAACATGCTTTACGCTTGCAGTATCTTGTACAAGACTAAACTTCCCATGATCTTGGTCTTTAACAAGACCGATGTCAAGGATGCCGAGTTTGCCAAGGAATGGATGACCGACTTTGATGCATTCCAGCAGGCTTTGCGAGAGGAGGAAGAGTCCGGTGCATTTGGAACAGAAGGCGGTGCCGGTGGCTTTGGCTCTGGCAGTGGATATATGGGTTCCCTTCTGAACAGCATGAGTCTGATGCTGGAAGAGTTCTACCGCCACCTGAGCATTGTCGGTGTTAGTTCGATGACTGGCGACGGTATTGACGAGTTCTTCGAGGCAGTTGAGACCAAACGACAGGAGTTCGAGCGCGATTACAAGCCCGAATTGGAGCGCAAGAAGAAAGAGCGGGAAGAACAGAAAGAATCTCAGCGGGAGCTCGAGCTAGGAAAGCTCATGAAAGACATGAGTGTTTCTGGTTCAAGCAGACCCCCCAAGCCCACTCGTGCCGAGCCAGAGACTGTCAGTGAGGCTGAAGATGAAGAAGATGAGATTATCAAACGCGGTCTGGCCGATGGGGAAGATGACAGCGACTACGAGGACTACGTGGGCCCCCATGCTGGCGATGACGAGGGTCTCGCCGAACGTTACAAGGAGGCTCTCGCAGGTAGCCAGAGTGCTCCCACAGACCAGGATAACAGCTTCACCAGATATCTCCGCGCAAGCAATATGCAACAGTGAAGTGTCATGAAACCGACTTCAGTGTTTGATTGCATTCCATGGGGCTCGGAGGGCCCTACGGCTTTGGGTGTTTGTGGGACTGGGGCGCTTTTTGTTTCTGACATTTAATACATACATATATCAATGGGATTTGGGTTCCTACACAATCTCGGGAACATGTAATGAGCAACTTTAGAAGTAAACCTATAGATTTTGTAATATATATCTATAGATACAGATCTTGGTGGCTCCGGAAGCCATTCCGAGAGATTGCATCTTGCGAACTGATGGCAGATCTTTCAAATATCCATGAATCAGTTGCATGGATGACTTGATTCCAGCTTTCTGCCAAACATTTAGGCATTAGCTCACTCCTGTTCTTCTACACTCATTAGTTTCCTTATATCATGTCACGTGGGATGTTCCTGTTGCTATGACGTCACACGCTACAATGCTTCAGCCTTAAACATCGGGGCTTTTCTTTCCAAGCAAATCTCTCCCTTATTACAATTTCGATCCTCCCAGCACCTTGGAACTACCCTGCCGTTGTCAAGGATCCGACTACACTATGGATGTGAGCCAGAATCCTGCCATAGCCTTCGGGCTATGTAATATTACTTCTTTCTTTGGAGCTAACAACGTTCGAAGGTCTTTCATGCCTACACCTATTCGACAGCCGGATGGCTGCTCATGCAAAGCTTAACTCTCATTGCTGGTCCGAGCATGATCGTGACCATGCTGTTGGACGAGACCCGACCTGCCTCCCGTGAGTGTCATGAGCATCTACTCAAGCAGATCATCCGACATATTACAGACCATTCTAACCAGCTCTTCTAGCTATGGAGCTCTACTTTGCCCGATGTCTGGGATTCAGTCTTCTGACCATCGCTGTTTTGACGGTGATGCTAACAGGATCAATTCCTCTGACTGCCGACATCAAGGAGTCTGTTTCGACCGATGAAAATGACCCCAAGGCCCCATATGCCGTTCCTACTCTGATGGTGACATCCATCTTCCACAGTGCATGTGCATTCTACGCATACACCTGGTACGTCACTGGCGGGCAGGGTCTGTTTGCCATCGGGGTCGCCGGATATTCCGGTCTTGCTGCCATTGGGCTATGGTGTATGCTCTTCGCCAGCAGCAATGGAAGAATCAGTCGCCGTACTGGGGCAGATAAGAGGACTACTGGGTATCCATTCAAGAACTCTGAAGCAGCGAAAAAGCATGGAGGCAAAAGTCTCTAAGTCACGTACCATGACTGGATTTTATGATTGAGGGCGGTATGCGTTACCAAGCTCATAGGCTATGATCTAGCAATCAATTGAACATGGTAGAGTTGAATTAACAGATGTTTTGTTGTAGTTGCTACTTAGAAGTAAAAGACCAAAAAGATCCGAGCTTCCCAGGCAACCCCACAACGCCGCTTCAACCGCCTTGTCTCCCTTTCAAAAGCAGCACCCCCTCTCCACTATAATATTCCTACTTCGTATCTGTCGCAAGTATGTCGGAGCCAGACCTTTCTCATCTGGTCCCTTTCGACGGGTCTCATAATTTCGTCGCCTACCGCCCTGCGGAAACGCGGCGAACTACGCGCGCAACATTCATTCGCCCCGGGCTACCAGGCGAAGCAGTACACGACTTTATGATCGCCCAGCCAAACCAACAATCGCATCAGCAGGACAATGAGACCTCCCAATTCCAGGGACGGCCAAACCGGGACAATTTGCAGCAACGCCGGGATTACAGCAACGACTTTGAAAATGAACAGCTTCTCAATGCCCCTTCGGGTGCATTCCAAGGCCCTGGTTCAGGCCAGATGTTACCTCCAGCGTCGTTATCGCAAAATGGCCTCGCGATGGTGAACAATGTGCATCCAGCGCATGGTGATAACTTTGCAATACTGCAGTCACCGACCCAGGCATTCCAGCAGGACTTTGTTGAGATGAGCAGCGAGCCTGTTGATACCACGACTTTAGTTGCGCCTGGCGAGCAGCGAGGTTTCAAAGCAATCCCTGATCCTCCTGATCTGGATTACTGGAGGGACAGGCTGTTCAATGTTGATGAAATGATAACCCTGAGTGAAGACGAGTATGTAGACCTTCAACCTTCACTGGTGTCTGTCTACCCTTTCGTATCGAACTAACTATTCCATTCGCTTTGCCCAGATTCAATACTTATTTCCCCCATGTGGACAATGTTTATTCCCATCGCTCAACTCAGCGATACAAGCGCAAACCTTTTGTCTCTCATTATTGGGACTGTCGGTTAAAGGGTCGACCTCCAGGCACACCCAAATCCGACAACCCGGAAAAGAAGAAGCGCAAGCGCACAGCTAGAGAAAGGGACCTCTGTCATGTTAAAATCAAGGTAATGGAATACTTCCCCCGGTCTGAACTATCCGACATGGACCCTTCAGTTGAGGCTGGGCCATCCAACGTGCCCGGCATGTATACGTTTGCTTTGAGCGGCGACCCCTCAATCCGGAATGTTCAGACGTTCGGTATGATCCCGCCAAATACGGGCTTGTCTCCTAACCACCCCGGAGCGAACGGCGGAAGGTATTACACCATTCAGCGGGTGAATGGAAACGGAGCTAATGGCAAGGATGACGGTGTGAGTGGTGGACATCAACACACACTAGAAGAAAGCGACCGCGTGAAGAAAAGCAGTGTTCAGCGATCAATGATGAAGGATAAAAAGGACCGAAGAACGAGAGTGGTATGTTCACGGATAAAACCCCGCATGATTGGGACTACGTCATCTATCAAGTTTCGGATCTTCGAGCTGATGCAGTTCTCCTCTTGACAACTTTCATTGAAGTGATATCTAATAAGTTTCTAAGGATCGAATCATGTCTCAACCAGGCCCCAAATCATACCACACAAAGGCAACGGGGTTGGCCGCTGAGACTGTTGTCAAACATTCCGACGAAGTCAACCTCAAGCTGTATGGAAGTTGCTTTTGGTAAGAGAACCTGGCCTGAAACAGACGATGAATAGCGACGAGTGCTAATTTCATCTTCAAAGTCCTTTTGTGCAGCGCGTATGGATTGCGTTGGAACTGAAGGGGATTCCATATCAGTACGTCGAAGTGGATCCGTATCAAAAGCCCGCTTCGCTGCTGGAGGTGAATCCCAGAGGACTTGTTCCGGCATTGCGACACGATAATTGGGGATGTTATGAGAGTAACGTGTTGTTGGAATATGTAAATTCAACCCCGTCGGTGCCTCATTCTCTCACTAACCAGTCACCCACAGCTCGAAGACCTTAATGTGGGGGCAGCGATGCTTCCAGCAGATCCGAAACTGCGTGCCCACTGTCGCCTGTGGGCTGATCATGTAGGTCAACGATCTGCACTGTGCCGAGAGTTCATTTCTGATATATAGTGCAGGTCAACCGACATCTTGTCCCGGGGTTCTACCGAGTGTTACAAGAGCAGGACCAACAGGGACAGATTGACAAGGCACAGGAGTTACGTGCTTCCATGGAGCAGCTGCTTGAAGTGGCACATTCCAAAGGGCCTTTTTTCATGGGCCCGCAGATCTCCCTTGTAGACGTCCAAGCTGCCCCTTGGATCTTGCGCCTGGGACGAGTACTGAAGCCATATCGGGGTTGGCCTGATCCCCAGCAGGGGAGTAGGCTGGCAGCTTGGGTAGATGCCATTGAGACCAACCCGCATGTTCAAGCGACCACCAGCACAGATGAGCTGTATCTGGATAGCTATGAGCGCTATGCCCGTGAGTTTGCTGGCGTCTTCTGTTTCTTTAGGTCTTGCCGATGTACTGATACTTCTCGTGCCGCAGAAAACCGCCCGAACACTTCACAGCTTGCAAATGCGATCAACGCAGGACGGGGCCTACCCTGAGCGCCCAAAGCCTTGAAGAAATGGGCATTGTGGAAAAGGAATCATGACGGCATGTAAATTTAGCTTGTTCGAGCGCCACGGTTAAAATTGAAACCGCCTCTCCCACTTGCATCAGGGCCTCTCGGGTTGCGTAGTGGCTGTTGTGGTTGTTGTGGAGCTAGAGGGTCAGAGCCATTTCGTTCCAGCTGACGGCCACCCCGTCCAAAGGGTGCATTAGGCTTGGCTGAGGTAGCTGGGTCGTAGAGATGCTTAGACTTGCTGGGAGCTGAGGAATCTTTCTTCTCGCGATGGTCTCTGCCCCCACCACGTCCCTTCCCCCGACCACGACCCTCTCCGGAATGACTGTTTTGACGGGGCGGGGTCGTGCTGCCGGGCGATGAGGTGCCAGAAGCTGTGGCGGACGGGCTCCCAAAGAGACGTTCGCGCACCTCTTCGTATTTCCGCTGTTTTTCCTCTCTGTTCTTGAGTGCAATCGCATGACGCTCTTCAGGTGTGGGCTCGGGTGCCTTCTCATCTTCCGAATCGTCGTCGTCTACTCCAAGCTCACTAAGACCAGCGGTTGCGGCATCGATCGTGCCCGAAGATGACGAGTTTCGGGTCACCAGTAGAGGTTTCCGACTCAGAAGCTTGACTGCTGGTTTGATGTCCTGTTTGAGGGGAACATCGGCGCGCGTTTCGGCGAAGTGGAAGGTCTCGGGGGAATCGCTGCGACAGATTTAGTCTCTGAAAAAAAAAATCATGTATAAGTCGCAGACTCACGCCTCAGCCCATAATTGTCGGTTGAATTCTGCCTGCTGTGCTCTGCGTTGTGCCTTGGTCACTTTGGATGAGACTTTCTTCTCTGAGGGCGGGGTAGACTGTGAGTCTAGTTTCTGTCAAATGGCATCAGCATGTGCTTTGGCAGAGCGGATTGCAAGACCCTGCACAAACTAAGGTCCAATGAGGCCTTGGGTGTCATACATCTGCTTGGTTTTCCCACGACTCTTCCCAGGCGTCGGGAACCGCACCGGTAGCATTCATTGCAGGGAATGTTGAAGGGGTTGGAAAAGATGGACACAGAGAAATAACAGAATACAACAAACAAGAGCTATGTGCAAATATAAATGTATATAGCTTGACGGGGGAAGAAAGAAGGGGAAAAAAAATCATTTCGCGGTGCGAACCCCGAGGCCACCGCCTGTCGCGCTGTTGATCCCCCGCCAGGCACCTCTCTACTCATCAATCTCGGGCACTTCAGCCATGGCGATTGGTGAGTGATACTCTTATTATATCCGATTCAACCCATAATACTAACGCGATAAAGACCAAGACGGTGATTCCACAATGACTTCTTCAGTCGAATCCATTCGCCCAGACGAAAGTGCCAGGGCCGGCGCTCGCACTCCCACCGGCACCGACGACCCTTCCTCCCCCGGTCTCAACAGATCAGAACTCTCCCCTCCAGGCTCCCAGGCCCAGGGCCCAGGCACATCTGTCGCAGAACAGCGGACGTTGGAGAGTCGACCAGGACCAGCGGCGGAACCTGTGGCATCGTGGAATACCAAGCGTGCACAGGAAGACTATCAGCGCGCTATGGAATTTGTCGTGGACAGGGATTTCAGCCTACGTATGTCACCATGTTTGGGGGTGGGCTTTACAGATGATCTGAATACTAACTGAGGCTTCTGGTATAGGCGAATTTGGAGATCCGTTTGATGACAGAGAATTGCACGAGAAGCTATGAGGCTACGCTTCGTCTTTCGGTTACATTGCTATGATTAATGAGATATGATCAAGTCTGGGGCTACGACCCCAATTTCAGTCAAATATTGCTTCAAAGAGCTAGACAGCTCCCGGTGCTCCTGGTTAACTGATGTAGTGTAGGACATTTAAGTGTCCATCGATGTTGAGCTAGAAGACCTTGACTCGCTCATGTACATCCCCTCAATCAACCAGCTGAGGCCTTCGCCTCCCCTACTCCATATGTCATCATCATCCAAATGCCTTTTCGAAATAATCAATCGCATGGAACCCGTGCTTCATGGCCTTGTACACTGACGACCGACACTCATCAGCCATCTGAGCAGTACCGCAAATCAACACGCTGAGACAAGATGCACTAGCTTTACTTTCCTCCATCTCAGCCATGAGAAGTCCAGCGACGTTCAGCCGGCCGGGCATGAAGCGGACGCCATATGAGGGTGAATTGACTGGGGTAAGGGCAGTAGCTGAAACGGTGTTCTTGATTTCAAACCTTTCTGAGCTGAATCTCTGAAGGGTCTTTTCGAGTTTGGTGCAGTAGACTGTGATCTTAATGTCGTTGCATCGAATGATTTGCTGCACTCAGTATGATGGCTCCAGTCTGGTCTGTTTTTCCCCAATCATCAGCTTTCCTATAGTCATGTTTCAAACTGTTCAAATTGTCTCATTTGGAACCATCTCCCACTGAATTCCCTGGAAGCTCCACCAAGACATCTTGCGGACCAGACGACTTCTCGTGAGCAACAGTTTGAGTACGGTCTTCTAGCTCTCGCAGTTGATAATCTCCCCGGGAACCTACCAGCATGTCCACCGTGCTATTTGCTTTCGCCATTAATCTCCGTCGATGAATGGCGTAGCTGACAATGGCAGCCACGACGAAAATGCCCCCCAAAACACTCCCGATCGAGACCGCTACCAAAACACCCACTGAAAGATGTGGCGACGGACTGGCCCGTTCCGTCGCATTCGAGTTTGAGATCAGTGTGGAGGTGGAAGATACCAAAGGAGTGGACTTTGAAATGGAATTCGAGCTTGAGGAAGGATTCGAAGTGTCGTTTGAAGTTGAGGTACCCGGCAACGGGTCGCCTAGCTTCTGAGCTATCGAGATTGCGAAGTCCGAGCTACAACAATCAATTGTACCTCCGCAACACCACTTTATCGAGTTAGCGGTCCCATCACAGGGTGTTAGCATGATGGTATCGTTATATTTGTACGAAGGTGGCTGAAGTTCTTATTCAGCAAGCGTTTCTCAGGGCTCACAAAGCTCGTCATAGCATTGCTCAAGTGATGTTCTTGAAGAAAAGTATGGAATCATGGTTGCGTACCGTGATACTGGTGCATATGTCCAAACAACCACTATCCATCCAGTTCGAGCTCGTACATTGATTCCGCCAGTATGATGTATTGGTGCGCCATTCTCCGTCGTTATCGCGCCACTTCACAACATTCAGACAGAGTCCATTTGGTAAACATTGGTCGGCAGTTTGACCATTTACGCCATCACCGCCCAACGGGTTTGTGCGATTGCTGGCGCAACACATGGTAGTCGTTCCGCCGATGGAGTTGCATGGTTGATATGTGGGGCTCTGAGCGATGACTCCGTTTGAATAGTAGCAAGCTGATGCTGCTCGTCTGGTGAAGGCGATAAAACCCACGAAGGCAGAAATGGTGGGCAGGGTATCTGACTCATGCAAGCGATACATCTCCTTCAGATTACGCAGCATTTTAAACTGTCTGAAATACTTAGTCTGAGAAAAAGAGCAGAGCCAAGAGAAAAAGAGGCTCTTACATGAAGATATTACATTTTATTATGTCTGTGCTATGCTATAGTTACACCAGAAAGCATCGAGCAAGGGGCCCCCGTCTTTCAAAGAAGTGGCCATCCGGAGGAAGCACTCCGCACACAGATCCAATCCTGCCCATCACCACATCTCATCGGGGTTCATATCGATTAGCAGAGCCGCAATTGCATGTACATAGTGAGCTTTATTCAGAATGACATAGGTTCAGATTCCGCCAGAGACGGGGCTTCGTTTGTTGCCGCTCAATGACATCGACTTCGCATCAGAGTATGAAAAAAAGGGGAGAATAATTCCATTCACCGAGAGAAGACTATGCAAGTTCGTGTAGAGACTTGGGGCCGTTCGAGGTGTCCAATTCGGACATCGTCGTGTGGCCCGGGGTGATGGATGGCGCGGCCTGTGGGCTACCACAGAACTCACTTGGATCTGGATTGACTGCGACGTAGGGGTTGCCATAGAGCCATAGAACCTGGGCCCGCTGGCTCTCAGGTTCTATCGTTGGCCCAGAACCATGCCAACAATAAGCTCTTTCGTGTCGAGTACCCCCATCGATTTTTCCACGGAATGATGTTGATACCATATGTAATCAAATAATAATCGAGACACATTTGGAGTTCGTAAGAAGAATTTATGTCTGCCTCCCAGCTGAAGGAAGAACACACGTTAGGTCCACCATCAGATGACCTCCCCAGTACTAAGACAGGGGAATGTATTGGCCAGAACGAATATTTTGTATGCTCCCATGGCTTTCAATTACTGTTCAGCTCGGAAGGTCAGTGCGGCGGTTAGATGGAAGCGAGTGATTCTCGTGTAGCTTCTCACCCTGTGTAGGAGAATATCTATCGATAGGGATTGGATGTTTGGTCCCTCAATTTAGTCAGTTGTATGCGAAAGGAGTTACGTTGAAGTAGGTCGGTGCACTTTCTTTTTATATTTTTCTCGATTACGACAAGGCTGTGTCCGAATCAACACCACCGCAGTGCTTAACCTTAGTATTTACTCTTCAAGTATTTTTATTTAATCGCGTTAGAGAATTAGCTATGCAGCCTGAGAGAAATGGTTCATCGTGTCGCAAATGATGTCGTATGTTTTTCTGGTAAACGAAAGGCAAGTTTAGCTAGTGATAAGCCTACAGGCGAGAGAGAAGAAGCGGACAGAACCGATCGTATTGACTGCTCAGGGAGAGAGAGAGGAAGAAGAGAGAAAGCCTAGGGAGGAGGGTTTATCTACAAACAGCAAACGAGGGTTGGGACGAACTTCCATCTCAACAGGTTCTAAGTAGCCATGCCCCTTTCAAAGTAAAGCCAAAGAAATCATGCATAAAATGTCCATGTTTTCTTTTTTTCGACGTGAAAAAGCAGTGCGGGAAGTATTACATAGAACTAGCTGTGCCAGGCTTTAAGAGGCGCAATTCCAGTACCGACACTCGCTGAGCTGCAGTCAAGCTGATGAGGTCACCGCGGGGTATTTGCTATGCGGGATCGACCAGGTTGCTCAGTTTGCTGGAGAAGCAATTTCCGCTCTAGTGTATATATAGAGGATGCTTGAGCGGGGGATCTAGTTCTTCATACTACTTGTGATTAGGACTCAATATCTATTGACTTTGCCTGCTGCATCTCAATTTTAGGGAGAAGCGGAGAGCGGATCTATCTACTACGAGGATTGGGACAAACTCCCTACACATCAGAATGCACTCTCCCTTGCAATAAAGCTTGTGGATTCTCCAATCGCCTCCAGAGATATCTTTCCGCTTCGAGCTCGTCGTCATATCCCCCCATAGCATTCTTCAATCCATCATACCACTCTGGCCGATCCATCGGAAAGTAGTGTGCCTTAGTATACTCCCAGTATTCTGGGTACCAGCCGCCAAATTTCCAATCAACGATCGCAGAGACCTTCCCGTTGTCCACCATGATATTCCAAGGGGCGAGATGTGCGTGGGTGAAGCAGCTTCGATAGCGACGGGAGTGGCATTTGGTGACTTCTGGGTCGAGATCTTCGTTCCATTCCTCAATCGTAATGTTCGCTCGAAGGTATGAGTGGAACTCTTCATGACTCGTAAACGGCCCAAAACCATAAGGCCCGACTCGGTGATCCCGTATCTCGTGTAAGCTTGCGGATGCAACTATCCCTTCTCGCGGAGGCTCTAGATTCCGAAGTTGACGGATGTAGCCCGCAACCTCAGTGATGATGTGTTTTTTCTGGTCTTGCGAGAGATGACCGTGGCACCATGCTGCTTGGAGGCTCATTCCACGGACATACTCCATTTCGATATAGAGACCATCATCGTAATAGTGGGTGTTGAATATTTTAGGCACAGGAATTGATGTATGCTCAGCGACGTAATTCATGGCCTCTAGCTCCGACTTGGGACAGGGCCCTTTGATCATTCTGCTAGGGCTGACACGGACTCCATGTCGTCCTCCTGATCCAAAGAGTTTCTTGCCAATCCATAGTCGAAGTGGAAGAATTAGACGAGTTTTGCGGTGTTTTCTCGAATCAGCCATGGCTCGCTTGGTTCGGCAGATGAATTTCGTATTGAAAGGCGATAAATTTTTTCGCGTATGGTTGATGGAGTGACAATTGGCAGAGAAAGATGGCGAAGAGAGCCCGTCGGAACCTCCACATTCGCGGATATCGGTGTAGTGCTTGAGCTTATGGCGACGGTGGTTCAGGGGCCAGGCTAGCTATTTCTTTAGTCCGACCTATTCCACTGTACACAGTATTAGAATGCTTATGATTTCGGCTATTCCACTAGGTATCCCATCTCATTACCTGAAACGCTGTACTCTCAGAGAAGCGCTCTATCCAGGGCGAGTAGATGACAGCGGCAATGGTGAGAGCAGCGCCGTCAGATTTAGGGATATGGGATCGTTTCATAGACAAGAAACATGTGGCTCAGCGGCGGCTCAGGTGGGAGGATACTGCAGGATGAGGAAGGCGATGTTGATTGAGTGACGATGTATTGAGACAGAATGGCAAGGTAAAGCGAAAGGGAACCGACTGAATTCACTACGGGGAGAGAAAGAGAGAGAAGGGAGAAGCTAGAAGGCTGCGAGCTATCTACACATGGGGGTTTGGGCGAATACCCTACACAACTGTTTGCTATGTTTGACACATTCGCCCACTTAGGTAGTCAACTCTAGTAGTCTAGCTCTCTTATCTTCTCTCAACCCAATACACACACTATGTACGTTCAAGCGGTATTTTGGTCTAAGAGCCCTTCCCCGCTGAAGAACAACACGATGGATCACAGTTCGGGCGGTGTTTGTAATGTTTGCACATGCTCCCACTTTTAGTAGTCAGACCGATAGATCTAGTCTTCTCTCTCCCAATCAATGCAACATTGCTTAAGCAGTATTTTGAGTCGTCAAAGCCTTCCTATTTGAAGAGGCGGTAGGGGCAGTCAGTTGGTCCTAATTAGGAATAGCGCGGTGCGCGAAATCGCGTCAGGCGATGTTCAGCATTAACGTGTTGTATAAATACTTATACTTATTTAGTCAATAAGAACGGAGTATGGTGATAATTTTCCAGGTGACATCGGCTGCCACATTATGAACTACATAAATCGAATACATGTATTCCATTGGTGGATCCAACTAGCAATCTCGTAGGCTTTCTCTTCTATGCTCTATCTTGTCTGCCCTCATGCATCACTAAGATGGCAATAGAGCTTTGGATACTGCCACTTCGGAATACTCCAGAACATGAAAGAAAATACCCAAATAAACCCAACGACTTTGCTCCAATTACTTTCATCCAACCGCTTAAACCCAAGCTTCTTCACACAGGCCCGGAACAGCTGTGTCACAACGACCTCTAAAAGCCCAGCAAAGAAATTGGCGCAAAACCACCATATATCCAATGACCAACCGCAGTGGTCACCAAGCTGCCACGAAACAGCAGCATGGGAGACACCAGAGAGAAAAAAGATCATGAATATAACGAAAACCTTGTCCGGAACCGAGCGAGGCTGAAGACGGAGTATGTTGCGGGAAATGCATTCACCATAGTTCGTGTAAGTTCGACGAACAATCTGGTGCCAAAACTTGCTCCAAAAACGTCGGATGCTCCATGCTTGACTGAGTGATCCGAAAATCGACGGCCACTCATATGGTTCATCAATACGGAAGAGACTGACCGAGACCAGTGAGAGTGCAGCGTGTGCTGAATCAAGCATGGCGACGGCAGAGAATGTCCACCAACAGACGAACGCACATCTCAGCAATGTCTCTCTGAGGGTGACTGGAACAATCTGCGACGGTAAACGTCGAAAGTAGACTTGGTGTAATGGGTCAAACTCGTCCATTCGGAGAGGCATGAATACTGCAGGGAAGATCCGTGATTTTATGTAAAGATACATCCCCACGTATGTTACAAGTTTCCCAAGGCGAAGCACTGTAAATCTGGCCAACGAGGACGGAAAACTTGTGGCTGACTTGGACTTGTTCGCAATTTGGTAAGACGTCCCCAAAAGGAGTGGGTTGTTCCAGAGTTTTAATCCTTTGTGATGTTTGCCGGGAATGTGGGGAGCAAGCTTGGAGATGCGACCTATGTAATCGCCATCTTCCCATACTCCCAAATCCTCAATAAAGAGCAGTGATGTAGAGTGTCCCACCCAAATGCAGAGAAGGAGACCCCATAGACTGTTTAAATCTCCCGGCCACCAATTTGATGTGGCGAAGGACACACCGGCTGGAATGTACAGCAATGGCGATAGAAAAACTCGTCGAGGATAAGGGATATTGGCTAAGTGAAAGAAAGCACCAACGGAAAGGAAGAAAGTTGTGATGGGGACCAGGATCCAAACTATGGGTTGATGAACCGAAGACATGACTTCCTTTTTGCGCAGATGTGAAGGTGGATATAGTTTGAAGAGGTCAAAGTCGGCTTTGGAGGGAAGAAGTGGAAATGAGGGTTATATAGTCTTGATTCTAAAGTTGGCCCCGAGGCCGGACGTCAAGCTGCCCCCACGACTTATTAGTGGGTCATAATGGGGTCCAAGTTTAGGGCTTCTTTCATCTCAGTACATTACAGGTATTATAACCATAACTGGCTTCAACTCAAACGTTGGTATGACTTAATCAAATTTTCACTTTATTTTACGGATAAGAAATTGATTACTGGCGGTTTGGAAATTGACAGTGGATTCTACCGCACCCTAGGATCTTTATCGGAAATATCTTAGACAAATTCTCAAAAATACCCAAGTATAACCACTCTTGCACAGTCTTCTTCAAGTTCTCGAAAGAATACCTGTAGACCTAGGTACATTCCACCGCGATTTAGCCAGAAAGAGAAGCCTGAAGGTCCTGCTTGTCCTGAGCAGTAAGGCCATGGTACTCGAGGCTAGCGCTACCCATGGGAACGGGGACGGGGCCACCAGCCTGGGCAGGCTTGTCGAGAAGCACAGTAGCCAGGTTCATGCAAGCCGGAGGAACATTGTCGGCACGGGCAGCTAAGGAAAATTTTAGTCATGTTCGAAGGTATCTACATAGTCTGACTTACAGTCATCACCGGTGCTGTACACATTCACAGCGGCTCCCTGGTCATTGATCTGCTGAATACACAGATCCATAGATTCTTGGGAAACACCTGCAGGCAGGGCACGCTTGTCCTTGCTTCCTGCGACAATGCCTCCAGAAATGGCACCTCCACCAAGACCACCCGCAACGCCAGCGACGATGGCTGGGGGAGCAGGGCAGAATTGAACGAGAGAGAGGATGGCAAGAGCGCCGGCAGTGGTAGCGGTAAAGGCGTGCATGTTGATAGAATGAAGTTTGGAAGAAGAAAAGATTTCTTGAGATAGATTTGAAGATTGATGAGCTGTTGAGGGTAATGACAACTCTTCTTGGGGAAGATGCCCATATTTATAGACCAGCCACTCAGCCTTTGACCCTGTTGGCCTTTCCCGACATCTAGTTCACCTGACTATGACGATGAATTTCGATGCTTAGGGGCTTTCGAAAAATGGACTGACTCGCGATGGCCCACTCTCACACTCACTCCATTAGAGAACAAAGCGCTGAAGTTCATAATAGAACGTCTCTTAACCATGAGAGATTTTCCCAGGCCGGTTCAGTGGACCTCAATGCATGCCAATAAGCTAGGCAGAATCCTTCCCCCAGGCCTCTCGGCCCAGAAAAATGGGTGGGTCGATATGAAACCAGGGCAGAAAGTATGAACGGTCTATAAAAAAACGAGAGATTTGATAAACAGACCCTGGTCACTCCATCCATCGTGGGGCCGTAACGGAACGGGTCTGGTCGGCCCCTGTGGGCCTTCATGGGGCGGGGCCGCGAAGGAATATGCAGGTGTACATACATACATACATACATTGTTTAAATTGATCCCCCGCACCGGCCCACAAAGCCCACAGCCTACCCCAGCCCAACCCGCAAATGGGCTGGGCTTTGGGCCCGGTCCTCAAACCGATGAGGGCTTACAAGGTTTTGTGGGGGCCTAGTGGGCTCTAAACGATACAAACATGCTAATTTTTAACAGATTCAGAAATAATGCAGGTTTTCCTAGTATTTTTGAGTATCTAAATTATCATTAAACCCCATTTAAATCAGCCGAGTAACTGCCTCTAGGGCTAGAGTATCAATTAATACGGAGTATAATAGAATATGTAGACCATGTTCACTCAGAACTTCAATGACTCGACCAACTAAAACGAATTTGAAAAGCTTTGCGAACGACTGCACCGGCTTCCATCTACTCATGGATGTGATGAGGAGCTGCTGGGCCCAATTCCGATGTTGAATCCCAATGGAGCATGTATTCATAACACTATGTAAATATCCAACCTTACAGATTCGAACCGATGTAAAAAGCAGGTATTATTTAGTAGGGCTATAAATGCCAATACCGTATTTACGAGATATCAAGATTGGCCATTTTAGGGGACTAATTGTACTGGTATGACCTTGGAAGACCCCTACTACTCGTAATACGCCGTTGCCTTTGGTGGGCTTTGAGAGGATACCCCAAAGCCCACTGCGGAGTTCTAGCTCAACGAAAGACACGAAGGATTCAAGGAAAGAAAGCCGAAGAGAAATTGATGGTCGTCATTCAAGCAGCCAAGATATAAAAAGGCTCATACAAACTCGTATGACTCGGGATCTATGCAGTCTAGATGAAGTTACAGTCTTTGCCACCATGGGGCGAAGGATGGCGAGACAAGGATGTTACCAACAATGGGAAGTATTAGTATTGGCCAAACATTCATCGTAAATGCAATGGTGATGTCAATAGTGTGGATGAAGCAGAGATATGTGCCGAGTCCGGTATACAGACCGTAGATGATCACAGAGTATCAGTGAGACAAAGGGGCTATGAGTACAGATGGATGCTACCGTAGACTTTTGCAATCCAGGCTCCACAAAAGAATTGAAGGAAAGAGGAAAGGATGTACGAAAAGGGGGCCATGATGCAATTAGACCTCAATCGAACAGCCATTACATGGGAGATGGGAAAGAATTCGTAAAGTTGTAGATGGGGGCCATCATTCGATCAGACCTCATTTGAATAGGCCTTCCAAGGTTACATGATGGAGCCTTGTCAAGACCTTAGTCCAAGGCATCTGTTTGTCTGACTATAAGAACCTACACCTTCTCACTTCAACCCCAGCATCTACAACCCAAGATTCCAGTCTGCTTCACTTTTAACAATACCAACTTTGTCAATACAAAAGAACACATTTATAAGCCAAGATGCAGCTTATTGCCATTTCTGCCGCCATTGCAGCTTCCCTGAGCATGGTTCAATTCTGTCCTGCTCCTCCGGCTGTCCTGGGTCCCATCCTAGGTGGTGCACTGTAAGTATACCAGTCGCTTATTCAGTCACGTTAGAGCAATCATACTAAGGGCGTTGAAGTGCCGGCGAAGCAGGCGGAATCGTTGGCTACGGTGTGGGAAAGATCGGCAAGCGCTCCATCCAGGGCTCAGTCTTCGAGAAGCGTGCTGATGTAAGTTTCAAACCGGACCTGTTTCATAGCACTGAAGTTATTGAAAGCTAATGATCACAAAAAAAACAATAGCCGTTCGCGGGTCTTCCTCAGCCAGCTGCTGATACATGCAAAAGTCAGTTGAACGGGGTCGAGGTCAAGTTTACCCCCACTGGCGCGGGAGCCTTCCGCATCGACAATGTCCCCTCTGCCTGCATGACACTTTCGAATGTCATCTTAGGACAAGATCCTAACCAGCCTGCGCCCACCCCTCTCGGTAATTATTGCAAAATTTCAAGTCCCTTTTTCTGTTTTGTGCCTAACTTCGACTAACAGGTTCCGCTGCTCTTGGTTACACCGGTCTTTCTGACGATGATATCAACAAGCTCCAGGCAGCTCTTGATGGCAAGGGCTACTAAAGTGGATTCACCGTGTATTCATGGTTGAAGGAAGAAGTGAGGGTTTATGCGGGCTGTTTCAATCGTGTCTTTTTCGTCTGAAGATAAGTTTATTATTTACGGACTAGAGAATACCAAGAGCCTGTTCCTATAATGCCGGAAAGATGCAATATCTGCAATTTGATCTTCTGTACTGTGTATTAGATGCCAGAACCATCAGATTAGCTTTTTTTGGCCTTATACTCCAAGGCTGTAAATTGTACGGAAAGGGGCAAAACCGTAATGCAGACTTATTGTGAATCCATCGATTGATATTATAATCCGCAGTGTCCGTGTATCGTCAATATCCCACTATTCTTGGGCTACTAAGTGGATTTAGAAACCATATGTTCAGTTATACTACTCCATGTAGTGAACATACGCATTATCTTAGTGGCTTGGTTAAGCGGTAGTAAAAGGTTGGCGAAGAGAGGAAGAGAGGAAAAACCCCGAGATCCCTAGAGAAAAGCATCAAGTCTAGATTTGAAAAACAAGGGTACATTGGTAGACAACCATACTTGTGCCTCGACTCGTGGCCCTGTTTCATTGCCGATCATTAACAAATTGGAAGCGATAGATAGAGTTTTGATATATTAAAATCTATCAGCCACCAACTGTTGGTAAGCAGGACGCTATGTAGTTGGTCCATGTGGGTCAGGGGCGCATGCAGATCTCAACGTTGTGCCTTAAAGACTGACGTTACTGAAAGCGAGAGTGGAGTCTCCGAGGCTGAAAGACACAATGCCAAGATGGTCGATGTAGCAATGGCTTCTTGGGTCTCCAAGAACCTGCATATACGCTTAGTAAGTACATATCGAAAGAAAGGCCATCCCATTACTAAATCTACTTACATGTACTTGGAACTCACTCACCTCCTCTCCCCCTCTCTATTTTGTTGGAAATCAAAACATGAAGCGCCCTTGGCGCCTGCTTTTCAGCCAAATATTTGCTATCGTATGGGCCGTCGCCTCTGTTTTCCTAGGCTGGGGAACCTTATGCATTGTCACGGGCTCCAAATATCCCATCTTGGTTGTAACATCAGAGTCTATGGAGCCTGCCTTTCAACGTGGCGACCTCATATTTCTTTGGAACCGCGAGAAAATCATTCATACTGGCGATATACCGGTTATATGGATCCCAGGGAAGCCCTTACCAATGGTCCATCGAGTGATCACGGTCAACCATGAGGTACAAATAGATGGACATCTCAAGTACGTGTGTTAAATTGTCTTGAAATTCAGACAGATATTAACATCCATATTTAGGCAGATGATACTGACAAAAGGCGATAACAATGCCATTGACGACAGATTCATGTATTTACCGGGACGGCCATTTGCCCTCCGCGAAGAAGTTTTTGGCTTGGTGTGGGGGTATGTGCCTAAAGTTGGGTGGGCCAGTTTGGTTCTACAAGGTGGTTTCTGGAGATGATTTGATTGGCAAACTTCGCGCCCAGGCTTGTTGGATGTATTTAATATCTGTATGATGGTCATTCATTTGCGAGAGCACAAAAGTATCGAACATACCCATTGTATTAAACAATTTATTGCCAGACAAAAGTCTCATAAAGTGGTACAAAACGGATGTAATTCTGTACTATAAGGCCATGAGATACTATATAGTGAGGTCAAGATTCAAACCAACTGAAATCTACAAGTTTTACTTTCCATTACAGTCGGGCTCTACTTGTAACTTGGGAGGGTTGGAGGCGAAACCTAGGGCGTTGAGTTGGGGTGTGTTCGATACTTTTGCATAGCCACTATAGTAAATGTGAAATGAGGGCATTTCCAAGACGAAGGGGCCAAGCTTAGCTTACTACTCGTAGTACACCGTACTACGTATACGGCTCTAACGAGTCGTATTTTCCCCAGGATATGCATTTACGAGTATTACATATACAAAATGCAAAAAAAAAAAACGATCCCCGAAAAACACACCATAGGCCGATCCTGGTACACTTGGCAGTGGTCTCGGAAGCCAAGTGCCCAGGAGCTAAATATCCGGGGGCCACACTAAAATCCTAGGGGCCAAAAGACATATCTTTACCTAAAGCAGAAGAGACCTTGTACCTTTGAATCACCTGTTTCATATGTAACTTGGTCGTTAATTTAAAGCAGATCCCTTTCAAGGTTCCGGCGCCACTAAACTTTCACTAAAATTTGTATTTATCTGCCTCATCAAACTCCTTTTCTTCCCCTCTTCTGACCTTCATACCCCTCTATTTTCCAAGTCATTCACATAGCACTAAGATGGAGTCGCTCACACCCACCAAACAACCTATCGCCATTCGTCCAGAACATATTGCTTCATCGAGCACAACAATTCAGGTGAAGCAGCATAGCGCAAGCTGGTCCAGCGGCAAATTTACCATCTCAAGCACCCCAACTGCCGAAGACCCTCTTTTCAGCAAGCTCTTTAGCGTCGATGGTGACGTTGCATCATTATCTCAGCGACGACATTTCTGCGACGCCTCAGGTCTTCCCCTTTTCGAGATATCTCGGAAAAAGGTCGGAGTAACATGGTATCTTCATCTTCCCGGCGAGAGCAGCAGTACAGGAAGCTCCTCCGAGCCTATTGCTACGGTTGTACCGAAATGGAGCGCTCTCAAAGACAAATTTGATGTTCATCTCCGGAATGCTTCTGCAAATGGAGAGGAGACAGTACTGGAGGTTCGCGGACAGAATGTTTGGAAGACGAAGACACATGTTACTCATCGTGGTAAATTGGTTATGGTGGTAAAATTGACCGATGTGGCTGCGGTTTATCTCCCCGGAAAACGACCGTCGTGGGAAGTGGTGGTGGCAGAAGGAATGGACCTTTCGCTGGTAAGATGGCCTATCTTTTGCCCAGATGGTGGATATAGTTGAGGGTATCTCTAACGCTTTATAGGCATCGGTTATTACTGTTCTTTTAGCTACGGTGTTATACCAGAGCAGTGAGGCACGATCAGACACCCTGACGAACACGAGTTACTGATTCTCCCAATAGGCGGCAAGGGAAAGGAGCCAGCGAGTAATGAGGGTCCCGTTGCAGGAAACAATGTATAGGCTTGAATGTGAAGCAATAGATGAGAAGTGAGTGTAGGCCGAAAGTACAACTTAGAAGGGCTATATGGATGGGGTTATCGTTATCACGCAGGGCATACCTGGAGCTTGGCAATGGCTTGTGAGTGGGGGTCAATTATACTACCTAGTGTAGTGGGGAGAGAGGGCATGTCTCCCACCACTGTTTGAAAACCTAGAGCAGATGCCAGGTCATATAATGGGTGCTGTTTGGTGATAAAAAAGATGGAGTAGTTCAGAGGAATGTTAACTATTCTTGTTATCCAGAGGGACATGTAAGGCTATACTTAAGTATATGTAGCGAAAAGCGTTGAACAAGCAGATGCTTGCTCAGCATGTGAATGCTTCCAATGACCCAAGTAAGAAAGAAATGACAGAATAGTGAATTCAAAGTATGAAGATTGCATTGTGTGTCTGCTCTCTATCAGGAAATAGGCTCTATTTATGCTTCTTAGTGGGAAACTGATGGAATTCACTCGAATAGTGAATTCTGAGGGGATTCGAATGAGAGCTGGCAAGTAATTACCGCAAGAGCAGCTTCCACTAGAATTCAGTGGTAGGCTGCATGCATGTAATTAGCGCAAATCTAGGCCTCTCTTCACGGCGGGAGCATGCAGTTTCGTCAATTGAAGCCCGTTTGACCTCGAGGCAGCTTCAATTGACGAAACTGCATGCTCCCACCGACGAAGGAGCGGTGTAATTACGCTAATTCTGTGCATGCGCTCTACTACTGCATGGCAGTATAACTGCATGTCATTCTAGTATGGGCTGCAGCGCGGTGATTACCTGCCAGCCTCATTCAAATCCTGCCAGAATTCACCATTCGAGTGAATTCCATCAGTTTCCCACTGAGAATCATAAATAGAGCCTATTTCCCGATAGAGAGCAGACACACAATGCAATCTTCATACTTTGAATTCACTATTCTGTCATTTCTTTCTTACTTGGGTCATTGGAAGCATTCACATGCTGAGCAAGCATCTGCTTATTCAACACAATAGACCCAATATAGACTTGCTTTTGCAGTATTTTGTAAATTCTTTTGTCCTAGTTTGGTTGACCGAGGCATCCTAAAGTTGTTTGAGGAATGAGAGAAGAACTGAGACAATGATGATAGCCTTGAGGCATTCTCTGAAGACAATGAAGAGCACCCAAACAGTGAAGACCTGTAGACGTTCACCAATTTGGCAGCGGGTCTGAAAGGTGGACTTTGATGGAAACTTCAGAAAACTAGATTGTTCTTGCGCATTTATGTGTGAGAGCCTGGTCTCCGGTGAACTGAGGGCAACCTCTTTTGGATGCACCAGTCCATAGATCAACGACCCTACTTCATCAAGCAATTCAATTAATTATTGTCGGGGAGCTTTGATATTAGACCCACTTAGAAATTCAACCCCGAGCGACACACTGCCGAGTTCCTACGAATTGCTTCTAAAGTTAGTAGAGTCCATCTAAAAGACTAGAGAGGTTTAGCCAAAGTTCACTCGGCAATCGACTCTTTTTGGCCTTCATTTTGACCTCCACATAGAATAACAGTCTTGGCATATACGTCTCGTCTGTATCAGACTACCGGAGTGGAATGATGGAGACAAGAGTCTACATTTTATCAATCTGACTCACTGCATCAAAACGGTAGTCCCTTACGAGCTTAGAGCCTAACCATAGAAGACAGTCATCCCAGTTGAATATCCTCAGGGTTAGTGCCTTACGCCCTTGGAAATCGAGAGACAATCTGTTGAATGGGAAGCTCGTCCCAACCCTCGTTTGCTGTTTGTGTAGATAGACCCTCGCTCCCGAGGCTTCTTCTTCTTGCCTTCTCTCTCTCTCCCGCGGTCAGTCAATCGATCAGTGCCAGTCGGCTTCTTCTTCTGCCCTGTAGGCTCAACAGGTTATGAGATCCTTTTTACAAAGAATATGTTATTCAACACGCTCTCGCTGACAAGGTACTACATTTTTACCTAGGGAAAGGGGATGGTTGACTCGGATCATCCGCCCCGCCCCGCCTCACCCTACACTCACTTTACTTTATTTATCTCTTACTTCATCATCAAAGTGTCATCGGGCGAGGTCCCGCTGCCTCCTTCTCCCTCTGCTCCTGAGGCGTGGGAGAGAATCATACGGGAACGACGCAGAGTGGATACCTAGAAGGATCAGTCTGTTGGACTGTCTGATCCTAGTACATTTACCTTCTACAAGATCAGAGCCATGCCTTATAACCTGTTAAGCCTACAGGGTAGAAGAAGAAGCGGATTGAAACTGATCGATTGACTGACTGCGGGAGAGAGAGAGAGAGAGAAGGGAAAAAGAAGAAGAAGCCTCGGGAGCAGCGAGGGTCTATCTACACAAACAGCAAACGAGGGTTGGGACGAACTTCCCACTCAACATAATTGTCCCATACCAAAAAATAGGAATCGGGCTATACGAGATCCTACTGTGATGGCTCAAAAGTTCGGTAATCTCCAACATGATCGAACTTGCTCAATTTCTTCTTCTCTTTTCTTCCCCCAGTGAGCTTTACAGCCTATACAATTTGGAACCTCCTCGCCAGGCTGGGTGCTCTCCAGCTTCTAGGAGGAGTTTGTTCGTCAGCGACACACTCATTCGATTGGAATGTTGCCGAGCCTATTCCCGACTCATTCTTGTTCAACAACTCGATCAGTCAGAGCTGTCCAGTCAAGCCGGGAAAGACCTATCTTATTCGTGCGCAACATCGCTACGTTCGTCGGGCAGTACTTTTGGATTTAAAACCACACTCTGCGTATCGTGGAAATCAACGGTGTCTATTTTGATGAAACTGAAGCAGAAAGTTTGTATCTGTCTGTGGTGCAGCGGTACTCCATTTTGGTGACTATGAAGAATTCTAGCGAGAAGAATTACGGTACAGTCATGGTCGCGGACTCATCTCTACTTGATACGACACCCTCTGATCTCTTACTCAACCAGACCAACTGGCTTGAGTATAACGCCGAAGCGCCGCATGAGAACGTGACAATGCCTGCCGACGACTCTTCGGATATCTACCCCTTTGATGACATCAACCTCGTTCCTTGTGATCGAGTTGAGATTTATCAAAATTCGTCTAAATCAATCGCAGTCACTTTGGTTATGGAGAATCTCGACAACAGCAGAGAGCGTATGCCCTTCTGAACAACATTACCTACACTGCCCTTAAAGTCCCCACTTTGTACACTGTTAAGTACTCTGGGGTTTAGCAACCAATGCCACAATCTACGGTGACTACACTCCCTCGGTTATACGGCATGATGTCCCAATTCTGCCAAATTACCGTGGATATGTTGAATATCCCCGAACAATCCAGTGCACACAGCTCAACAAGCCAACCACAGGCCTTGGGAAGTTTAATGCAGCGTCTATCCTACCTAACACGCGAGGTCAGAATCTGGGATGCATTCATTCCATCTCATTGGAAACAGCAATACCAATTCGAGAACGCGGATTCCGCTGCAATTGTACCGCCTGATCCTTGGACCACCACCTTTTTAACAGCGGCGTACGCTGCGCAGATGATTTTCTATAACCATGTCCTAGCATTTTACAAAGCGATCCGACGGCATGAACTGGCGTTCGTAGTTCCAGGCTATGCTAGACCAGGAGGGCTTTGGGATGATAGTGAAGATCGGATCTTTTGTCTGCTGAGAAAGATCTGCTGTGCCGTTTCAGTCACTCTTGGATCTCTGGATGAAAAGGAGACATTTCAGCCATTGCGTTGTGCCAAGTTTGCGAATAGTCACACTTTGCTCTGGCCAATGTGGACTGTGGTAAATTTTCCCTTCGCGTCAATATTCCATAGGGAACTGTGCCATCAGTCTCATTGGAAAGGCGATGGATCATAGACTGGCAGCTTCCTTAACCAATTCGAATCTTGGGTAGCCTTATTTCCCAAACTGAGGTAAAAGTTGGGTGATTTATTACTTGAACTGTGCATTCAGCCAGCATCTACAATGTTTTCCACTAGATGACAATAATAATCAATACAACAGCCGAGATCCAGACCACATATACCCGCTATGAGCCGACTAAAAACTACTTAAGTATACACACAATGGAATCAAGCCAATAATCGGTGAAGCAATAAAAAAGCAATAGGGCTAGCGGGCCCATATGTTGGCAAGGCAACGGCCAACGGCCAACAAAGCAAACATCAATCACTAAACATCCCGCTTCATCTTCGCACTATTCGACACACACACTCTGTACAGGCTGTATCTCCAGTTTGCATGGGTTTATAAAGACATCAACTTAATTCACCAGTTGGACTGTACATACTTCTTCCAAAAGATTCCGACCGCTTTTTTTTGACACATTCCACACGCGTCAACATGGAAAATCACCCTTCACCCGCGCAAAAAGGGTATGTTGTATCCCCATCTTCATCTCCTTGATTTTGGCTGGGAATTCTGCCCTGTCTTTCACCTCATTGTTATACTCCCATTTTGCCTTTGTTTTCTACACCGCCAGATATTATTGACACTAACATCGCGTCCGTACTCCAGCGCCTCTGTAAACCCCCCAACAGAAAGCACATTTAGCTTCACCCCAATTAAGGCTCTGAGCGCCCTGCCTAGATTGTGGGATCGCAAGCCTTCGACCCCTGTGCGCGCCGGAGACAAATCACGAAAGTTGTGGAAGCGCATTCGCTTCCCATTTGGCGGTATGAAGACTGAAACAGAAGGCAAGAGTACTGTCATTGGTGCTTCTAAGAGTTCGGACTACCAGCGTGGTGTTAAGCGCCGATGCGTGGATCCGACCGATGCAGAAGAGACTGAGTTGGAACAACGCGGTCGCTCGTTCCTGGAAACCAAATGGGAGATGCAAGCCGCTCGAAAGAAACGTAAGTGATTCACCAACTCGAAGCGACCGATGACTTTTGTCTAATATCTCACAGGCAAGATGCCCGAATTCAATTTCAACATCCACAACGATACACCCCAGGAAGTTTTCGGCTTTACTGGCAACCAGTCGGCTAGTAATGACGTTGCTATGAACAATTCTCCTCAGCCGCTCAGCGATATGTGGCAGTCTGTCAAGACACCGGTCTACAATGATGCTCTGGCCAACACAGACCTCAACGCGACCGACGCAAAGTCTGGCGAAGATCTGCAGTCTGAATCTCCCGATCAAGCCGCGCCCGTGATTGATCAAGCGGCAGAGGATAAGGTGGAAACTGTACCCGCTGCAGAGTCTGTGCAAGACCTCACACAGGAGCAGGAAGTGAAGCTGGTACGATCTGCATTGCGTAGCTCCCTGGATGGCGAGGATGCGGAGCTGCTCAATGATTTCCTGTCGAGGGCTAAGGCTAAGCGCGCCGCCAAGGCATCGCATCCTGAAGATGCCGACCAAGCAGAGACATCCTCTAGCATGGAAGAATCACCCGAAATTGAACGCTCAACACCACGGGCGCGTCGTGTGTTGGAAGACTTGACCACCAACTCACCTTCACCCGTCAAAATCCAACTTTCACCAAGTAAGCATGACGTCAAAATTGCTACTATTGGTGCAGACCAGGCACAGGAAGAGGTCCTCAACAAAGAAGTCATGGAAGAGCCAGCTCCATCAAGCCCTGGATGTCGCCGAAGCACTCGCGCCAAGGCTTCGAATGCTCCTTATACTCCATCTGTGCGCAACACTATCTCGCTCCGCCGCGCGAAAGGTACCGAGTTTATATTCCTGCAGCGCACCGATGCCCAGCAGATGGCTTTGGCAACTAAGCGTAACACTCGTCTCAACAAGGGTAAATCCGTGAGCCCCAATGTCGCTCTGGAAGCTCTTGCTCAACAGACAAGCGAGGAACAGGCTGTCGCCGATGAGCACCAGCGTTCATCTCGCATTCACAGCTCGAAGAAGCAAGTGTCATGGAATGAGGAGCGCATGGCTGAGTATGAAGAGTACACAGAAGCCCCAGAGTACGTTGAGGAGGAAGAAGGCGATCAATGCAAAGATGACGTCGGCGCAACACCTCGTCCACGAGCAGAGAGCAAGCGCTCAGCAAAGAAAGCAGCACCCGCCCAGCGCAGCAGCCGTCGTCAGACAGAGAAGGCAGAGCGAACCGGGGAGAGTGGGGCCAGCGATCCAACCGCGCAGGCTAGTACTGCAACCCCGCGCTCACGCCGGGTGAGGCGCTTGGGCGATTTGGGAAAGATGGGCTCAGGCACCCCTGTCAAGACCGGCCGCAGCACAACCAAGCCTACCGCAGCCTCGGCACCCGTGGAGGCAGCCCCCTCCACACCCACTAAGGGCCGCCGCAAGGTTACTCCCAAGTCCCCCAGCTTGTCCAAGCTTCCTGCGCCATCCAAGGGTGCTAAAACACCCTCAGACCAATCTTTCGTCAGCGGCATTCCTACCCGCAGCACGAAAGGCACAGATGATTCTTCCCAGAGTATGCTCCAGGCCAGCGCTGGGTGCACCCCAGCCCGTCGGATGCGGTCGAGATCTTGATCTTCACCGAGTATGGTGCAGAGATCTAATTCCGCGTTGCTATTGCTTCTAGTTGTGCTCTCGATACCCTGATTTTTTTTATTTTTTATTCCTACTGTCACTCCCTTACATATTACTCAGGGAGTTTCGTCTGTCTTTTGAGATACCAACTTGCTTTGCTTTTGCTCTTTTTATCACATTATTTACCCAATTCATGGAGTTTTTCTCATACATTTGATCAAGATAAGATCGTGTAGCTGCACGGTTCACCATGCAGAATGACGTCTGTGCCGTTGCGCCACGCTTTACGCCTCAGGATCCATAGGGTCCAATGCTGACTTTTTCACAGTTCGGGAGATGCTTCCGACATTGGCATTGACTCTCTACAGGGCTAGCTCATGCAGCTAGCCGCTTTGACAAAGGATGTAGCGGGCAGCGCGTTTGGGCCGAAGTTGAAAGGTTGAAGATGATCCCAGGCAATCACTTGCTGGATTGAGATGTGGCTTGATACCTGTACGGATAGCCGTTACCATGCTGATCTTCGTCTTGATATTTGCAAACAGAAGGGCTAGAGCAGTCTGTGCCTTTGAGTCCTCGCGACATGTGCATTGTATCACATGGCAACCTTGCATTGAACTGTTTACAAGTACGGAGTAGTCGGTACTTTACTGCACTCCAGCTTTTCGATATATGCACCTACCCCCAACTATGTACGATGTAAGGTAGATCAGCCCAACGTGCAGCCACAATAACAGAGTATCAAATACAGAGTTCCGAGAATTAGAGACAATTATCACCAAGGTTCCCCCGAAGTTCTTCCCCATCGGCTCAACAATCGGGGATCCCGATCACGATCGGTACCGGAAGCACGCTGGAACCCGAAGCCGGCAAAGGATTCAAGACCTGGAGAACCCACGTTGAAAGTTTAGGTTGATGAGGCATTAAATATGCCACTAGTTTATTTTTTGTGAGGCCTTTAGCAAGTAATCTCCGTCATTGATCATCCAATCTTAGCGCTAGTACGGAGGCATCCATACACCCTGTATTTTCAACTCGCAATACTCAATATTCCGCGGGATACTACAGTGTGTACATGCTAGGTATTAGGCGTTAGGTAATGGGATATCTTGGCAGGACAAGCGCAGGTAGCATTCAAAATGGAGTAAGAGGGCACGTAGCGCATGTACTCCGGAAGGTGCATCAGGCCATCTCGAATCCTGAGTCCGAGTACGGAACTCACACACAACCGAAACAAGTGTCAACATTCGAAACACGCAACTCGGTTCTCATCCTACTCGTACGCAATCCTCAACTTGCATTACCCTTTTGGGTGTCTCGGTGTTGTAGAGAAGGCCTCCGAGATTTTCCGTTCAAGTGCAGTAGTCAGCACAGCCCGAAATGGTAAGCGGCAACGCTAAGCCCCTTAGTGGCGCAGGGGCTTTGGGAGCCACAGTGTCAACGCGGGATGACGTCTGCATGCAGTCGGAGCACACTGCTCCTTGGATATGGGAGCCGCTTCTGTGATATATTTATTTAGCTATAGTAGTAAATTTTGGTAGAGGTATGGCATGTAAATGCTTGAATATTGAAATCCATTGCAACATTTTATTCGAGTAGAATTGAGTTGGTATTTAAGCTCTATTCTCGACAAGCACAGTCTGCAAATGTTCATAAAGTCCAATCATCGAGAGCGGAAAGACCTGCAATCTGATTGGTTGGGATCCCAGACCATTTTTCAGATGTTAATTACGGTTTATTTCCAGTTACTCGGGACGAGGGGCTGTGGAAATTTGCAATTCGCAATTTCCGCAATGAGCCTGGTAATTTTACTCTTTACTTGGAATTGTTACTTGTGACAATTATTGGACATCTCAAACGCTATGGCGGGGTCATGGAACCTGGCGGGGTTTGGGATAGAAAAGCTGTCCCAGCCGGTGTGTGAAGTTGGCATCAAATACGGCTGAATCCCGAAGATACTCGTATCTCTACGACTAAGCAGGTCCGGTGCGCGAGATGCGAAACACAATTAAGGACCTCAGAGCGCTTACAGGGAAAGTAAAACTAAATCAATGGTGTATGTCTTATTCATTCGACAGAGTTCGTAGTCCGTTCGTAAACACATTTCCCACTTAGGCTCCCTGTGTGGGAGTTATTATTTTGTTAATCTTAGATTCACATCGAATCTACAGGGAGAGACCCTGAGCAGTCTCCTCAGGCCAGACGTTGTAGCCGAAGGTATCGTGCATGTTGACGAAGCGGCAGTGGCGGCCCTTGGCAACCGCGTTGACAGCCTCGAAGTCCTCATCGCTGAGATCAATAATCTTAAAGTTGGACTCAATACGCTTGGGGTTGGAGCTCTTGGGGAGCACAGAGTAACCGCGGCGCAGACCCCAGGCAATGAGGACCTGGGCGAGGGTGTTGCCGCCCTTCTCGGCGATAGCGTTGAGGGTCTTGTTCTCAGCAACACGCTCACCGGTGGTGGGGACCTGGTTTTGGGAGCCAAGAGGAGAGTAGGCCTGGGGCAGGACGTTCTTGGAGAAGCAGTACTTCACCAGCTCGTCGTTGGGCAGGAAGGGGTGAATCTCGATCTGGTTGACCATAGGGAAGACCTTGGCGTACTTGGTCATGGCCTCAAGCTGAGGAATGGTCCAGTTGGAGACACCAATGGCCTTGACCTTGCCTTCTTCGTAGATCTTCTCCATGGCGCGCCATGTCTCCTCGTGGTTCTCGGTGAGGTCCTTCAGGATGACGTACTATTGTGTACCGGTTAGCTAGCTCGGGTGCCTTGTTTATTGTTGTTATCATACCTTTCCATCGGGGCCAATCTTAGGCTTCTCCTGGGTCTCCTTCTCGGAGGCAATGGGCCAGTGGACAAGGAAGAGATCAATGTAGTCCAGCTTCATGCGCTCGAGAGAGTTGTTGACGGACCAGATAACGTCGTCGTAACGGTGCAGGTGGTTCCAGACCTTGGTGGTGACAAAGATGTCGGAACGCTTAACGGAAGGGTTGGCCTTAAGGAAGTCACGGATACCATCACCGACCTCGTCCTCGTTGAGGTAGAACCAGGCACAGTCAAGGTGACGGTAACCGGTGTTCAGAGCAGCGGTGACAGCGGCGTAGGTCTCGCCCTTGGAGCCCTCGCTGGCGAAGGTGCCGAAGCCAACGGCGGGCATCTTAACGCCATTGCTGAGAGTGAGAGTTTGTCCGGATGACATTGTGAGTATAATTGGGTATAATGGGATGTGTGTAGGAAGGAAGAAGAGCTCTTGTAGAAGATAGCAAAAGATAGGGTGGAGCTGGAAGGCAATGACGATGAAAGTGGGGTGGAGGGGCAAGCCCCCCCATTATCTAATCAGAAACTTGGTCTGCAGTAACCCCTCCTTTTTCAAGACGATCATGAACCTTGTATACTCGTAGAAGTCTACTCGTATCTGTACGAATTGACTAGTGTCTGCTACCCAATGCTGCATTTTGGGCATGAAAGAGAATCTCAATCATATCGAGAATAATTTCAAAATAGTTGTAAATTAATTCCAGATACCAGAATAGTCAAATAGAAAAATAGTCAAATACCAAATACACCCGAACGATCCAAAAAAGAATCAAAAGAATAATAAAATACCCAAAGCGGAAAGAGAAAGAAGGAAATGAAAAAAAAAGACGCAAAATTGCCGCTAGTAATTTTCAAAGCTCTACAATGACATCACTGACCGAAACGGCGAGAGCGTTTTGAGCCGATCGTCATCGGCTCCATCGATCTTATGCCGGTCCACGGTGCGAACTGCACTCCAAGCCAATCGTCCCTCCGTCTCAGGCCTCTTCCTACCCACTCGGCGTACTGCGTTGCTTCAAACTCGGCCTAGTCAGCCCCTCCTCCTCCAATCAGTGCTCTTCTGATTCAGTCGGCCACCCGGGAACCAAATGTGTCCCGCGTACTGGGTACATGGCAAGACACGGTGTCAGCCACCAATGACGCAGGTACTCTGTACAAGCCCGTCGGTTTCATACCAATGGAATTCAGATGTCTTGCCAAATGATGACGATAATTCCTAGGAATGATGAATACTACTCGTACCCGGTGAGTGGATCCCTCGTAACCTCAAGCAAAATAACACCCTTTTTTCGTTTGTCTTGAATCCGGTATGAGATAGGGCTTTGTATATATACTCTGCTGAATCTCCCCTCCTTCTCGTTTGCTATCAAGTGTCATTCTCCTTCTTCCCTTTCTCACCATTTCTTTTGAATATCAAGAGTCCTGAATATCCTTCAGTGACCCTAAGTAGAAGAATCCTTATCCCTTCTACTCCCTTTTATACCCCACCACCTTCACAATGGCTCGTTTCGATGAGGCTGAGCTGAACGTTGACCCCCAGCAGGCTCGTTCTGGCTCCGGCATCGCCATTCCCTCTGGTCAGGATGGCAACACCATTGAGGTTCCCGCCACCCGCAGCGCCATCAGTGATGCCGCTTCCTTCATGCACAACCTGAGCTTGGCTCCTTCCATGAAGGACCGCCGCAACTCTCGCAACTCCTTCGGAACTTCTCTCCCCATCCCCCGCTCTCCTCGTCTGTCCCGTCTCTCATCTGTCCAGCGTGGTAGCGGAGTTCCCTCCGTCTCCCGTGACATCCTGGCCTCCCAGGTCCAGGATATCAACAAGGAGAAGACCGCCAAGGCCAAGAACATGGCCTTCGCTTTCGACATTGACGGTGTGCTGGCACACGGTAACCACGCCATTGAGGAGGCCAAGATTGCCCTCAAGATCCTCAACGGTGACAACGAGTTGGGCATCCGCATCCCCCACATTCTCCTGACCAACGGTGGTGGTAAGACTGAGGAGGCCCGCTGTGCTCAGCTCTCCGAGATCCTTGAGCAGCCTATCTCCACCGACCAGTTCATCCAGTCCCACACTCCCATGCAGGCCCTGTCCGAGTACTACGAGACTGTCCTTGTTCTCGGTGGTGACGGCTTCAAGATCCGTGAGGTTGCCGAGAACTACGGCTTCAAGGATGTTGTCCACCCCAAGGATCTCCTCGCCTGGGACCCTACCATCTCTCCCTGGGCTACCCTCACCGAGGAGGAGAAGGCCGAGGCCCGCCCCCGTGACTTCACCAAGACCAAGTTCGACGCCATCATGGTTTTCGCCGACTCCCGTGACTACCAGACCGATATGCAGGTCATCATGGATCTGCTCCTTGCCGAGGACGGCAAGATCTACACCAAGGCCGAGGACCCCGTTGCTACCCGTATCCCCATCTACTTCTCCCAGGGTGATCTTCTCATGCCCACTGAGCACAAGGGTCTCCCCCGTCTCACCCAGGGTGCCTTCCGTATCTCCATTGAGGCTCAGTACAAGACTCTCACCGGTGTTGATCTCGAGCGTGTTGTCTACGGTAAGCCCGAGCGTGCTACCTACACCTACGCCGATGAGGTCATGAAGTCCTGGATGGAGGAGCTCCACGGCGTGGCCCGTCTTCCCGACAACATCTACATGGTCGGTGACAACCCCGCCTCCGACATCATCGGTGGTAACATGTACGGCTGGAACACCTGTCTTGTCCGCACTGGTGTCTTCCAGGGTGGTGAGAACGACCTCAACTCCCCCGCCAACTTCGGTGTCTTCCCCCACGTCCTCGAGGCCGTCAAGGCCGCTCTCGCCAAGGAGCTCGGCGAGGACTTCAAGCTCAAGTGGAACCCCAAGGTCAACCCCGTCCTCCACGGCGACGGTGCCTCCGCCATTGAGTAAAGTAAAAGATCATGATTGGTCGATCTTTTCACGCTTTCACGAAACTCAAAAAACAACATCTGGGCTTGAGAAGGTTTTTCCTTCCCCGGCGTTTTTGATATGTCATGCCATTTCATAGACTTCTTTTCTTTTTTTCTCCACCATCTCTTCGCATGTACCCCTTGGTTTGTTCCTTGGGGTCCCAGGCTAGAGGACTTCTGATATCCTTTGTCATGTCGGTTTGAATTACGATCGACCTGAGAAGACCGTGAATAAACGGTTAGGTGGTTTCGAACTTTTGACTTACTCCTTAGACTGGATTCCTTCCTACATCTCATGTGCCATGATGCCAAAGCTTTGTTTTATTTTTTAATGCGAATTTCCGCATGCAGTTATATTCCCAATACCATACATTTTTTCATTCTCGATCTCGATCTCTCGATATGGCTTTGACTTTTCTGTACTCGTACTTTGAGTAGTGGTTGACGACATGGTGATGCATTCGGCGCTGTCAAAAGCTAATTTGTCTTGTTTGCACTGTTTGTTGTATTCTTCAGTGTTGTTGCCATGACTCTACTCAGTCATCTATTTTGTATTGAACTTTAGAGGCGATACAGCTTGATCCAATCTTGTTTCCTGATATCAAACCTTGGGAGGTACAAAGTCAGTTGATTCCCGGTTTAGGTCTAGTAAAGTTTCAAGGTTATTGCTTCACTTGTTTCCACAATCTATGGTTGCCCAATGCCACTATATGTTTTATCCTCAAGTATATCTCTATCCAACCTCTACTGAGTTCCAGGAATCTGGATGGTTTCGGGTGTCACACAAGAGATAGATCTGCAGCCTGGATGAACCCCGGGCACATCCCCGTGCGACATTGTCTGGCATCTGGGTCAAGTGAATCAAATACGCATTTCTATAGGCTGAATGAGTATGCACGAGTATCTGAGAGCTGTCGATCACAGGTAGATCTTCATGTTTAACTGGAATATCTGTGCATGAGTGGGTGAATCCTCGCGTTTCTATAGTTGGTGATGGTATATAATTTCAAGGCTCATATATATCCATGGACAGTTCAATACAAATTTCAATCAGAGTTGTCGTAACGACACATTGACGTATGAAGATAACTTTAGAACCTTAAAAAGATTGCATTTCTTATCTCAACCAACTGTACCTAGGTACCTAGGTAGGTGCATCTATCAAATGCAACTAAAGTGCTTTGATCTATAGATAACATGTCTCTCACCTATCGCCCTCCAGGCCAGGGGTTCCAGGGTTTTCACACCAGCAATTCAATGTTCACATCCAAATACCTAGTCTCTCGTTAATTTGAGAATAATCCAATATGCAGTCACCCTTGGAATTGTGATCCGATAGTCATACCCACGTGCAGATGAGCCTTGGCCACTTTGTACACATCACATCTGTAGATCCCCATTTCAAGGTCTGAAACACATACAAAGAATATGGCAGGTGACTTCAGGGATATGTCAGGATGTCTACATGTAACCTTGGAACTACTTAGTATATAAAAGTGACGAGCTTTGTAGAAATCACGTCAATATGAAGAACAAAAAGATAATCATCGCGTGATTACTCAGCCTTTGAGTTGACGTTCTGCTTGCGGCCATCCGATTCCATCTCAAGATCAGTAATCCACTGGAGCAGAGTGTACTGCTCTCTATTCTTACTCTATCTCCATAATTCAGGGGTTTGTTCCCATGTCTCCTATTCCTACATTAATGTCCCTTTGATCTCTGAAACGAAAGCACGGATCCCTTCGCATTCGTTGCTCGAATTCCCAGAGTCCTAAGAACACACTCCTTTTTCCTGTTTTCCCATTACCTTTCGCGTATTGCCTTTTCTCCTTATACTTAGTAGGCAGTGAACAGCTTTGAAGAGAATCCTCCACCTACAAAGCACCAAGCACAACGCCCTTATCAGTTCTGCCCCGCGCGTCTTCACCGTCTACCATGGTCCGTCGCAACTCCGACATCGAAATCCAGCTTCCAGATGCCGGTCCAACACCTCTCTCGGACACAGACTCACTCACAGATGTGGAAATGATCTCGGATGAAACAATCCTCAACCTCCCTCCCCACATCGCAGCCCGATTCTACCGCAAAAGCAGCAGACGCTCCTCCTCCTCCCGCCGAAGCTCAATCTCCTCCATACACTCCCACACATCCGGCTCACCAAGCGCAGACCACATTGCCCAGCATCTGCGCCGGACCTCGATCCTCGAGAGCCGGAAGGCAAGACTCGCAGACCGCGCATTACATGCAGAGAAAGTAAGACTGCGAGCCGCACTGGCCAAGGCAGCTACACGGAACCTGCAGATCGAAGAACGGGCACTGGCTGCACAGCAAGCGCGGGAGCGTCTGTTGGCGGATATTACTGCCAAGTGCGAAGATCAGGTCAAGAGGGCCAAGAAGAAGGCGGAAGATCAGCGCGATAAGAAAGCCGCAGACGAGGCTCGTCTGCGGCTGGAAATGGCGGAGAAGTTTGCTGAGGCTGAGAAACGTCGTGCGGCGTACCAGACTCACCGACGCAGGCGGACGAGTAGCTTGCCTGCTGCGGAGGAGAAGAAGATGTCCAAGGAGGTTATGAAGTCGATTACGGAGGATGCTGCTGCAAGACAGATTCAGCGGGTGTGGAGGACACATCATGCGAAGGCGGTCATGGGTCAGTTCAGGGGGTTGAATCTTTCTGTGGATCGCGTGCGGGAGATGAGCTTTGAGGAGGTCGGGGCTCTTCTTTCTAGTGGTGAATTGTTGGATACCATGACGAAGGTTTTGAGGCTTTGTGGACTGCAGGACATGGAAGGTGGGTTGCTAGGTGAGAGGGGCGCTGTGCGCACCTTTCTCAGCAGCTATCTGATTGTGACGCATCCGAAAGAAGTCTTGAGCAGTAACGGAGATCAAGAGCAGGACTTGATTTCCAAGGCTCGGGAGTTGTTGGTGGTGTTTGATCAAGTGACGGCACTGCTTTCATCTGGTTGTTGCTCGCCTTCAGTCATTACTGCAGATCTCCAGAATTTGTGTGAATCACACAATGTGTTCTTCTCTGCGTTCCATGCTTGGAAGTCCCATGACTCGACAGTCCTGATCGAGATCATGGTTGCGCAGTTTGTGGAATTGGAGCTGATCTGGCAGACTGTCAAAAATGACAAGGCCGGTGGTGCCGCAGAGGACTACAGACAGGGTATTCGTCAGAACCAAGTGCTATTGCTCGCCCGTCTCAAGCGACTCGCGGGACCGGAACGTCACATGGAGATGATCCGTGACTCCTTGAAGAAGGCCAAGCGTGAGAAGAAGCGTGCAGCCTCCAAGCAAGCCATCCCGCGATCTGCTGAGGCTGCCCCTCCTACAACAGAGGTCTTAACGGAGAGTATGACATCCCCTCTCAGTGAGTCTTTCAACAACATCGATGCCGCCGTTTTCCAAGAGCTGGACAAGCAGCGGACATCGCCCCACGAGCGATTCACCAAGATCCTGACCCCGCTCCCTGAGAACCGGGAGCTGGTTCATGAGCTTCTCGTCAACAAAGAATTCAAGATTGAAGAAGCACCTTACACTGAGCCACGCAGGCAAATCATGAAGCAAATGTGTGACACAATGAGAACAGGCGTCGAGGCCGGACATGGCACAAACTGGACTGTGGCGATGGCCACAGTCATTCAAGATCGCCTATTACGATCTCTCCAACGTGGTAACTCTCTCTACGTGATCATAAGTGAAGTTCTAGATCCAAAGTTGGTCCAAGGACAGTGCGAAGCGGGCACTTTCTCCTATGATAAGTTCTTCGAGTTCATGAACAACATCCTGCCCCGACTATGCGCTCCCTACCGAGACCCCGTGGTTAAGGCTTACATCGAGGATACATCTGGCGACGCCATTGACCGATTAGCACGATTAATGAGTATTATTGATCTTCTCTCTCTCGATCAAACGAACTTTATGATTCAACTCGCCGCTCCCCAACTCATCGAGGAAGCACCGGGTTACGAGCAGCGCAGCTTTGAACGCGGCATCGCGGATGGTTCAATCACCCTCCACAAGACCCACCGCTTCTGGCGCATCCACCGCAAAATCATAGTGGATGAAATGAAGAAGCGAGACCCAGAAGGGATTCAAGGCGAGCCGCACCCCGCAGCCGCAAGAGTCTACGCGCAAGGTATCACAGACACCGTCTTCAGCAACGCCCCGGTGTCTGAAGATCTTGTCCCCGAAACTCTCAGCCTAGACCGACGCCGACTTGAGCGTCTCCATGCGCGAGCCTTCCAGATCGTCGCCACTGCCTCGATCCTGCTCACAGCCAAGAACCTACTTAAACGAGACGCCCGCTCCCAGTGGAAGACCGAAGCAGACCGCATTCTCTCCTTGGACTTTAATGAAATCAGCGCCGACCGCGTTCAATCAATCCTCCAGTCCACGCACCCAATGCCCCCATCCGCAAGTGCCCAGCTGGCCAGCACCATCAAGCGAGTCCTCTCCCCCGTCGCGACAGCCTGTCTCGCGGCATCACCACAGCTGATCGTGACCACCGAAACATCGGCCTCGGGGGTTCCTCCGTCCTCAGAGACCGTTACCAGCTTCGCAGATCCAGTCGCCCGGTTAATCCTCTCTCGTCTGCGAAGCCACGTTCTCTCCCGTCTCAGTGCGTCTAGCGCCAATGAGCGTGTGCGTGCTACCACCACCGCTAGTCAGAATCTGGCGGCAGCTGGTATGCCTGAATTTGTTAATGAGGTTGGAAAGTTGGTGGAGGAGCTTGAGAGGGTCCGGGAAGTGGACTGGCTTTGCCATGGAGGTGTCTATGAGGGGTTATAAGGGTTATATAATGTTTTTCTTTTGGGTTACCAAGTTGGAAGTCCCTAGATTTATAATGCCGGAGTTACTATGACTAGATTAATGCCATTGATTCATACTTAAAGACTGAAGTTGTCAGCCCTAACTACATACTACTTAAGTATCAAGTATAGTTATCGATGACATATCTATCTCTTATCGTAAACCCCACACCCAAAATTCCTCCCACTCTCAGCTTCACAGCTCAACAACCTCACCTACGCAAAACAATTAAACCCCAAAATGCAAATCACCCACCTAAGCGACCTAACACCCCCATCCCAAGAGCGCACCTGGCTCACAGCGCCCCACCCCACCCTCCCCCTCCTCGCAACCTGCAGCAGCGACAAGACCGTCCGGATCTACTCTCTAAGCAATTTCACCCTCCTCTCCACAATAACAGGTGGCCACAAAAGATCCGTCCGCACAGCAGCCTGGAAGCCACACAGTGACGGGGAATCCGTACTGGCAACAGGCAGTTTCGACGCCACAGTGGGGATCTGGCGACGATGGGACAATTACGGGGGCGAGGCTGAAAGCGCCTCCGACGATGATGAAGAATGGCGCTTTGCAGTGCTCCTTGATGGCCATGACAGTGAAGTCAAGTCTGTTTCGTGGTCTGCCTCTGGGATGCTGCTTGCTACGTGTTCGAGGGACAAGAGTATTTGGATTTGGGAGGATTTGAATGATGGGGATAATAATTTTGAGACTGTTGCTGTTATGCAGGAGCATGGGGGTGATGTGAAGTGTGTTTCGTGGCATCCTTCTGAGGAGTGTCTTGCGAGTGGGAGTTATGATGATAGTATTCGGATTTGGAGGGAGGATGTTGATGATTGGGGGCAGGTGGCTTGTTTGAAGGGGCATGAGGGGACTGTTTGGTTTGTTGAGTGGGAGAGGGAGGTTGAGGGGGAATCTGGGCCTAGATTGCTTTCTTGTTCCGATGATCGGACTGTGAGGGTTTGGAAGAGGGTTGTTAAAGGGTCTGGGGATGAGGCTGGGCCGCTTTCTTCGGCTTCGACTGGAATTCCTAGTATTATTCGGCCTGTTGGGAGTGATGAGGTTTGGGAGCAGGAGGGTTTGCTTCCCAAGGCGCATGAGTTGGCTGTTTATGCGGTTGCTTGGAGCAAGACTAGTGGGTTGGTTGCTTCCACTGGTGCTGATGGGCGGATTGCGCTTTATGAAGAGCGGGTTGTTGATGAGGCTTCTGGGAAGAAGGAGTGGACGTTGCTTGCTGTTCAGGATGGGGCACATGGTATCTATGAGATTAATCATGTTGCTTGGGCGAAAAGGGCCGATCGAGGTGGTCAGGAGGAAGAAGTGCTTGTTTCTACGGCTGATGATGGCAGTGTCAAGGTCTGGACTGTGCAATAATGAACCATGGCTGTCTGATGTACATAAAATGCATTTGCATATAAAAAAAAGATTCGATTCATTCCAAAGACTTCTCACGTATATTCAAACAGATGGCCCAGTTGCACGGCAAGGTCACCTTGTCCTGTGCCCATCTTCATGTTCATCATCACTGGCATCACCGACAGCATAATGCTCACCATCCGGAGAGTGGAGATTGTCGAGCTCTGCCTCATCAAAATCACCAGCCTCGACATCCCTTCTAGAACGCTTAGCGAAACGGTTCAACGGCGAACTATCGGCTAGTTCATCCTTGACACCGCGGTATCCTTTGTTCGAACGGCGACTGCGCCAAATAAAGAATCCCCAAATGGTAACACCAATGATGACAACGACCAGAATCGCCTCCCCAGACTTCGTGTACGCGTGCATTTCCGTCTGCTTGAGCTTCTCCTGCTCATGCTTTTCCGCAGCCGTGCTGTTAGTCTGACCGCCAACCGATGTCTGCGGCAGCTTCTCCCCGTCAATACGAGAATCCGTGGGCATACCACCAATGCTGGCAATGTCGACCTTCATGAACCGATCAAGCATATCCCGACTTTGACGCGGGACATCAAATGGAACCATATGACTGGAGTTGTAGAAGAGAACATAAGTCAAGTTTCGAGCGTACTGGTAGATACCCGCCGGCTCGCCTTCGAAAGACCAGTCGTGGCGCGGGGCCCAAACACCGGGGCTTGTTTCGAAGCCAGTGCCGCCTTTCCACTTCATGTTGTGGATCATGGTTTCAGTGCCAATGTGGTTGCAGATGAGGTCCTTGTCGCCGGAGAACAAGAGGATGTTGATTCCCGATTCGATAAGGCCAGGCAGGAGGTCGACAGAGGGGCCAGTGTGTGGTCTGAAAACCCTACCAACATTGCCATTACACTCCTGCCAGCCTTCTTTCTTGGCTGGGTTGATGTTCAACGCCTTCAGAACATCCGGTCGTCGGAGGTAGGGCTCGATTTGCTTGAGATCTGGTGGCCAGCTCATTCCGCACGAGTCGTCCTCCTTCAGGCGGATGTCGTACTGATTCATGCATTTCCCGTCTTCCGTCGTGAGATCCAGGAATTGCTCAAGAACAAACTCGCACGAGGAAACGCTGACCTTGTCCTTTGCTCCGGGTGTTTCTAGATTTGAGAGACAGACTTCATTGAGGGAATTCAGGTTGGCGTGGAGAGTTGACCCTCCCTCAACGAGACCTTCCCTCACGATATATTTCATATAAGATGGATACTGATCTTGTGGCGAGATCCATCCATTGCCGATAAGCAAGCCCTTGAGAGGCCATTTCTGACCACCTTCCGCCGCGACGGCCTTGTTGCGCTCTTGAATGGCCTTTGCGATGTACGGAATATACTGACCCGCATACGATTCACCGGCAAAGTAGAGCTAATACAGTCAGCGCGATCTAAAACGTAGAGAAAGGGACGTACATCGTCGAGTTCGAACTCCGGGAACATTTCGAAGAACTTCTCCATGAAGACGACGAATTGCGCAGCCATATCGTCCAGCTCGTGGAGGTAGCTATCACCACTCGCATAGCTGAAGCCAGTTCCCACGGGGTTATCAACAAACAGGAGATTGGCGAACTCGTCCCACCGACCCGGGTTGTATTCAAGTGTGTGGTCGTCTTTCAATCGGTAAGGGCCCACCTCCATCAGAGCACCGTCCATCGAACTGCATCCCGGACCACCATTCAGCCAGATCACGGTCCGTTGTCGATTGGCGATATGGCGGTTCTGGAAGTGCCAGAAGAATAGGTTGCCGTTGGTTGCCGGGTTCACTTCAACGTGTCTGTCGTGGCATTAGTAATTTCAATCACTGGCGCATATAGCTTCACTTACCCGGCATGCATCTTCAGGAACGGGCCCTTCGGAGCTCCTGGTAAGGAGTGGACATAGTAGTCTGCGGCGTTCAACGCGGCAGATGCCACGTTTACCAACAACAATGTGGAAATCAGCCATGAGATGGCGGAGGAAGGTATTGAAAGCATTTTGAAAGGGTAGAGATAGGTGTCCCGGGAGGGACTCGTAGGGTCCAGTCAAGAGATCATTGAGTCAAGAGAACAAACAAAAAACGAGGGATTCGGAGGTCTGGAAGGATGACGAAGTGGAAGGGGGGCGTACTGGTACGGTAATTACTAGTGGTACATTTGCCAAGATAAGGGAAATATGCCTGTAACTTTTGTATTTTCTGTACGACGATATATTAGATTGCGTGTTGAGTCTATTGATTGCGTTTATTGTCTGCCCAGTTGGTTATAGTGGGTGATAGTTCATGATACTCCTTGAATACGATGTATATCGGGGCATCTAAGCTGTGAGTATACAGGTCTGGCCATTAATCTGTTCTTTTTTATGTGCGAAGCTGAAACTGCGTACGTAGCATCTAATTTTAGGCCCCCATTCTTAGATCAAGTCGTCAAGGGACTTGTCGGCGTCGTTCTTGATCAGATCCACCATTCCCTGCAATTGTCAGTAGTTTCCCGAATAAGGGCTGGACAGCATCACTCACATCGGGCATGATGGGGTTGCCATCGGCATCCTTCACGTAACGGAAAGGCATCTCAGTGCGCTCATGCTCGTTGATCAAGATCTCCGGGTAGTCCAGGTAGGGAACCTCCTCCAGAGGGACTACAATCATTAGCAATGGATCTCTCAAGGGATCCCATACCACTCACCCTTCTCGTGAACCACCATGCGGGTTACGCGCACAGCAGTATCAGTGGTCATCTGCTTAGGACCCAATCGGCGACCAACGTAGCCCTTCTTCCTCAGTTCCGAAGTACGATCTAAATCAATTAGTCTTTATTTCCAGTAAAACATTCCAAAGACCAACCTCTGGGAGGGTCATCGCCTAGGAAAATTCTCAAGTCAGCCGAGTCCAATTGGGCGCATAAAAAAACCCTTACCCAAGATTCCACCGAAGAGAAAGACATCAAAAGTCTCTCCATCCTGAGGGTTCAACTCAGTCTGCGCAGACGGATCCAGCAGACAGACCTTTTCTTTGCGATCGGCAAAGATCTCCTCGACACTGCGCTGCTCAACCTCCAATCCCTTGGTGGCGGCCAGATCGGCGGGCATCTTCAGTTCGGCGGGGACGGAACTCAGCAGGAAGCGAGCGCCGCGGGCGTGGGATTCGCGCGCGATGCAGGCATATTCCAGAGTTGACCAGGGACCCAGTTCGGGATCCAGGTGTTCGACTACGAATGTTGGGGCCATTGTGAGTACTGTGTTGAAGAGACAAAGTGGGTGAAGGTTCGGCCCACACATTGCCGTATTTCAGATGTCGCGGGCAAGTGGGACATTCAATTGTTATCTACTTAGGAACTTTAGAATATTTACCAGTTATACATGGATGTAGATGTAGATGTAGGACAGAGTTATGGAGAATGAAAACGATGGCAGATTGTAATAAGTTAATATGTAGAGGTAAGACAAGAGACTGTATGTTTTAAGTAGTGGGGTGATATAATTCATATTGAATACTACTTAAGTATAAATGCTATAAATACTGTGGATGCGATCATGCTGTAATGCTGTAATGCTATCATGCTAAGTATAGTGTTCAAGGGATAGACTGTAGCGTAATAAGAAGTAATAAGAAGGCTAAACTCGGCTGTCGAATATGCAGCGTCATCTACAACTCCACTTAAGAGAAATGAGAATAGAATTGATTTAACCTTCGCAACTATTCTCTTGGCTGTTCCCCTGTACCCTCTACCCTCTACGTTACTCCGACTATTTAACTTGGGGTACTTCAACTTATCTCCCGCCTAATCTTTCTTTCCTCCAACAACCACCATGAATCCCCATCAGCAAAACAAAGTGGACATCGCTGTGAGTATCCCTCATTCTACATTTCTAAATTTCCCATCTAAATAAAATCCAGTCCCTCACCCCAGAGGAGCAGCGCCTGCTGCGCCTCTACGGCAAAATGCCCACCAAGAAAGACGTCCTCCAGAACAAGCTCAAGGTAAACCCAACCCCACCCCCACATTCACATTCACTCACAATCGCCCAGGAACGCAAATACTTCGATTCCGGCGACTACGCCCTCAGCAAAGCCGGCAAAGCCTCCGACGTAGGCGTCACCAATGTCGGATCCCGCCACCCAGTCCCCGAAAACATCCCCCACCTCACAGCCACCTCGCCCAACTCCGGCAGCAGCGCCCAAGGCCAAATCCCCGGTAGTATCAGCGGCCATCCCGGCTCGGTCGGATTCCAAAGCCGCAGCCCTGTCAAGGATGGATACTTGCATCGCAATTCGAGTCTCTCGGAGGGTGAGCCGGAGAAGGAACAGGAGCTGAGCGTTAGTCCGCCTGCTGCGAGGGAGGGTGTGCCCATTCAGAGGTAGGGGGTGATTTGCATGCATGTCTTTTGATACTTCAAAAGCTGGCGCTTTGGGTGGCACTTGGATTTCTTTACTCCGACGCGGGTCTAGGGTATTGGTTTCTTCAGTGCTCTTCGTTGTTTTTATCAATTTTATCATTCAGCTTGGCATTGGGATTTAACTGTTTTTCTTCATTTGATCACTTATTTTGACTGCTTCACTTTCGTTTCTCTGTTTTTTCCGGTTTCTGGCTTTCGATGGAAATTCCACTGTGTGATAAGCCATCTAAATTGTTCATATCTACCAAAGATAATGGCCCAGTTTGGACTCCACTGCCAAAGTACGTATTGTGTAAACTACAAGAACAATCAAACGAAATCTCTATTTCATTCGAAGAAAGCTATGTACAAGAAAGGGACCCGGGATTCCGATGCCCAAGCGAGACAGGGTATAAGTGCCGAAGAACAGGAGACACAGATAGAGATGGCAGGTAAAACGAGAAAAGGAAAAGCAAGTTCAAGTGTCGTGAAAAGGCGTATCCCAAGAAGGGAATGGAATGCACATATCAGGCTTCCCCCAGATGGGTTGACAGTCCAACATAAAGCAATGGGGTTATGGGCGAAATGAGCCAGGACCTAAGTCCCGGACTAACGGGGGGCTCATTCCAGTCCGAAATGGCGGGTTTGTGCTGGTCGCGGGGTCAACAGCACAGGGATTTCAGCAGCAAGTAGGGCACTCTTGCGCTCAGTCTGTTTTCCAGTGTCCGGCCAGTCCGTTGTCGAGATCGTCGTGCTCTCCGAGCCACAGCTCAACGGCGTACAGGGCGATCGTGCACGCGAGATTAATCCACCGCCAGAGATTGCCGCCGCCGCTCCCTTGACTGCTCCACCACTCGCCACTGCCGCCCATGGCTTGTGATGCTGATGAGAAGTGCTGCATCAGAAGACTGGTGTAGACGGCGATCAGAATGGTGGGGGCGAAGTAGCTGAGGAAGCCCAGGACCTGGCCTGCTGCATCGGAGTCGTCGATGGAAGCTTCCTGGGAGAGGGCGCGGGCGCCGGACTCGCGGACTGCAGGGATGATGCGCGTGGATGCGTAGAGGACCAAGAGGCGGTAGGCGAGGGAGATAAGGACTGAGGGGGTGACTGCGCTGAAAACGGCGGTGATTACGTTGAAGGCGGCGTGGATGATGGAGGGGAGGAGTGACAGGGCGTGCATGAGTGTGGTGTACGAGGCCATGATGATAGGAGGGAGAGGCGGGAAATCACCAGCCTGGGCGGGCGAGGGAATCTGCTCCACCGGGTGGGAGGGCTGGTAGTCTGTGAAGATCTGGTAGATGCAGAGCACGATGTAGGCGAAGAGGAGGGAGCTCTCGACTGGGTTTCCACGGCCGCTGCCAATACCCCAGGCGCAAAGGATAACGGCGCATGTGACGGAGACACCGATGAGAGCTGCGTCGACGTTCGAGATCTCGGGGAATTGTAGCACGCGCCATAAGAAGTAGACGGAGCTGGAGATAATGGTAGCGGACAAGACGAGGAGACCAATCTAGAGCGAGTTAGTATTCACCTCAACCAGCTGCTTCGAGACAAGACTTACCATCCAGCTATCGCTGCGCCCGCCGCGATTCACCAGCCAGCGAGTAATCTGCCCCGCTGCCTGGATGACCAACAGGCTACAGAAACCCTCCGCGAGTTGGAAAATGGGAGTCGACCATCTCAGGAGTCTCTCCCAGTTCCCCAGAGCAACCGTTTCCATCAAGCCATCGCGACCAAAGATCCATTCATGAATGGAGGAATCTTGCGCCCTCTTCCCACTAAAAGTGCGCTCGACCCAGGAGCTGTTATCGTCCAGGTCGGAGAAGCGGTTCAGGGACCAGATGAGGAGGACCAAAATGATAGCCCATTGCGTGAAGCGGATGACAGCGAGAATCGAGGATCGGATCCAGGATCGATCAGGGGTTGAGAGCCTGAGTAGTGAGACCAAGAAGTAGAAGGCTGCGAGGGATAGCGAAAAGGCCAGACCGCATGTCTTGCCGCCCACGTCAAAGGCCAGTGGGATGGACGAGACTATGACGGCCAGGAACAAGGCCGACGAGAAGACTCGGAACAGCCACATCAGACCAGCGTAGAGGGGGACTTGGTGGAAAGATGTACTTTTTTTTCCCTCTATCAACTTGGAGAGGTGAAAGCGGGACTCCTTTTCGAAGGCGGTCAGAGTCTAGATGCAACTAGGGCTTAAGGTATTTACTTCAACGTTCTGTCAAACTCGACACTCAGAACCTTGGAATGTTCAATGGGGGTTCATTTCTTAATAGAAAACATCTGTACATTGTGTGCCAGGCCTAAATCTTCCAAACCTGATTCCTTGGTTTGCTACTACACAGACATCGGCCGGTCCCACGCGGAATGAAGAGCAATCAACAAGATTCAAGTGCCACGAATATGGCAATCTGAAAACGAATATAATATTGAAAATTGAACCAGCTGTCCTGCTGAGTCAAAACTATCGATGGGAATACTATGCATACAACCCGATCCTAGTTCACAGACTTGTTCAATGCGCGTTATCTGTCGACACTCGACCCACACCTTATTGGGCTCTGGTAACTTCATATCAAGAGCGTACTGGAAATATAGACACAGGAACCGTCAGAAAAGAAGTCAATTATTTACGAGGCCCAAACTTTGCCCAAGACTCTGAAAACCCGGATCCGCGCACCCAGAGATCCTGGAAGATCAGGCCCACGGAGTCCACAGCTGGATTGATGGTTAGAACATACTAACGAATTCGGAAATGCTTAGAATTGGTCTTACCTAGGTTGCCAATCTTGAGCCACATATCCCCGGTGACAGGAAGCACAATATTCGACGTCTCTTCATAGGAGCGGCAAAGTTCTTGGGCGAAGGCGACGGTGCGAACAAATTTCGCCAGATGGCCATCATCTGAAGGATGAAGGTAGCTTTTGGAAAAGACTTCAGGCCAGCCAAGACGAATCGGATACTTGCTTATGTCGTTAGGTTGTGGCTCAGGCATCTTTCGGGATGCCCAAATCAGTAGATCCATGCGGCCCTTCATCTCCAGAAAACGCGACTTTTCAGAAGCACTCAAGTATGGCAGATCCATGAAGGTTTGGAAAAAGATCGAGAGATTGGTCGCATGGATAAAGAAGAAGTCGAGTTTCAATTCCTTGTTAGGGTTTTGAGCGGTCGAAGTCCAATAGACTGTGTTTTAAAAGCGAGATGTTAGGAAAATCTTGTGTCAGAACAAAGGGGGGGAGGATGGAATGATGTATCTTACTCGCTGTGTTTATCATTTCCACCAGTTTCTTGTGTATTTGGTCTTCAGGTACAGTCCACTGACTGCAATATCGAACAACCTCTGCGCCAGCTCTCTGCAAAATTCCTTCGGTGAAAACATCTGTGTCACCGTGGGAGGATGAGTCGCGAATCTTTCGATCCGCACGCATTTCCCCCATTATTTCCATTAAACTCTTATTGCCCTGGCAAGAGGTGGAGGAGTTGACAGCAGCGGGGTTGTAGAAACTTTCGGCGAGGTAGTCCTTATGTACTGAGGCTTGCGCAAAAGCCTGCGCAACGATGGCAGGCTGTTGGAACTCAATTCCGAAACCAAGGTGAATGATGGGGTGAACAAGACCTGCAAACATTCGCGAGAGAAGCGACTCGGCCAGCTCATCGCCACCGAAAAGATACTCCTTCATGATAGCCGGGACGCCCTTCTGCGTAATCTCGCGCTGGAAGAAAGCAAGATAGTTCGAGTACTGCTCCTCGTGATACATGTATTTCATGAAGACTTTCTTGTCGGACAAAGATTGAATCAAACTCTCATCACGAGGATATGCGGGTCTCTGGCGCTTGTCTTCCCGTTCATACTGCAGCTGAATGGTTTCGGGGGAGGCTCCCAGAGCCCATATCGTGAGCATGAAATGTACGATATGATCTGCGATGTGAGCATGTCAATTAACGGTGCTCAAAATTTCAAGAGGAATGCTCACCATGAAACTCAATGTCGTTGAGGTATATATGGTGATTCTCCATATCATGCTGGAGCACCTCGCTCACTTTGCGAGCCGATGCCCAGCTAAGCCCGGGTTGACTGAAAACACCGCCATGGGAGGGTGTCAAGACAATTTTAGTTGAAGTGGCCATCCTTGAAGTGAAACCTTTGCACTTATCTGGCACTTGGACAGAGAGCTCTGGAAAAGAAGAGAGAACAGGGGAGTCGAATATTTATTTATACCCCTGGAACAAAATGACGTTGAATATTGATATTGCGTCCGCGTTTCGCATTTCGGATCTCGGATCTCGCATTTAGAGACACTTTAATCGGCACCTGCCACTTACACCGTATGTACTTAAGTACTTGGTCCGCTTAGTTGATTTCTAATCGATTGATGGTGATTATTGGTGGCCCGGGAGAATTTGAATTGGGATAATCAAGAGTACATCAGAGCCCTGTAGTGCTGATAATACGAGGAGTAGGATGTCAAACCAACTCGCACGAAAGTGTTGCAATAAGGCATGTTTGGTTCCATCTATAGACAGTGGCATCATCAAACGGTTATACGTGTACACACTCAGGTGGTTCGGTCACAAGGCGCATGAAGGCGTGCCAACCCTGGGCCGTGAGAGATTTTTTTTTTTTTTAAACAAAAGAGAGAGAGAGAGAGGACGAGGAGGAAAAAGATCAATATAAGCCACGCTATCGTGAGGTAGACTTGATCCACTAAGCACTGGAGTCTCCAAGGAAAAATGGGGGATCGACAAAGGGACGAAGCCAGTCTCCGGATGAATCAGCCAAGATATTGGAGAAGAGGTCCTGATCTAATTGGAAGGATGAAATGTGAGGGGGGATGTCTGAGTCTACTTGCGTTCCAGGGTCCTCTGCGATGAACGAATCGGAGCCCTGAGCTCTCGAGGGTACCTGATTGACGTTGGTCGCGCGCGAGTCGCTGCTGGTGCACAGTTGCTCTTGTTGTCGTTGCAGCAGAAGAAGGATGTTTGCAGATGGGATATCCGTATTTTCCAGCCCGGCAAGACGCTGAATATTGTCCTGTAGAGTGGGAAGTAATTCGTGCTGCGCATGCACAAGATGTGCTGGATCCACGCTGATTTGCCTGTAAAGTTGGACAAGCGTCTGTAGAGTCCGATACCAGCCGCAAGCAAGTCTCCAGACTTTGCAAGCCCGATTCAGCCATGCAAATGACCAGGATAGTAAGGATGAGAGCTCGGAGTCTAGACCCACTGCCATGTGCGGCCACTGGACCGCGTATAAGAGCGTGGTCGCAGCGTTAAAAATACAAAAGCAGGTAAAGGGGGTTTGGAAATGAAGTCCGCGCTGATCAAGCTCTTGCATGATCCGAACAATGCTCAACGCAACAGAAAATAGATCATGTGCAGCCTGCTCCCACCATCCAGCTGGCGCGGCTTCTGATAAAAGCGGAGGGTCAATAGGACCTTGATGGCGATTGATGCTTTGCGGCGCAAACGGAAGATATTCCCGGTGAAGGAAAATAACGCTAAGATAGTATACAAGGTTTATCACGGCGAACCGCTCACCCTCCCCGCGGGAGATATACACACGAATGTTCATGTTCGACGGTGAATAAAGCTGGTTCGGGTGCTGCGACGCACGCCAGTTCTTTAGAGCTGCCATGCTGCGAGCCCAGAAGGATGTGTCTCGCCAAGGCGGCTCTCTGGACGCGAGTGACTCGCGCTTGCGTCCCCCGGTCGATACCCAAGTCGATATTGTATGCCAGATGTGAAAGCCTTGAATCATCAGTGTCAAAGATTGGTCGGATCCCATCTTCCCGGGGGAAGATGAACGGAGAGGGCCATGAGGCTCAATTTCGGGATCCCAAAGATCGAGGAACATCACGGCCGAGGAGGAATCGATGTCAAACGCAAAATCATCTTCCCCCCAGGGCAAAGGAATCCCACGTATACTCAATGAATGGTTGGAAGCTTGGCACTTCCCACATCCGATCATTACATCGATGAGAAAGCAGGCCCAAACAGTCCGACACGCTTCCTCCAGCTGGGAATTCCGAAAATTCGCAGGCCTTCTCTCAGATAGACTTTTACATCGTGCATAGGCCCCATGCGCAATGCGGGTGGACATCCCGTTGTGTATCCATGCATGGGAGCTATTGCCCTCCCCCCAGTCATACAAACTTAGCATCAACAGGGCCTGGGAGATATGTATATCCATCGGTCCTGTCGTATGGTCGATTATATTGCGGCGAACATAATCCGCAAAATGTCGAGAGGCCTTCGCTGGACCACCATGCAAGCTCACGACTTCCGGCATGAATCGAGAGCTCAACGCCAGTAGAGCACATAGTAACAAAGTTGGAACTGCTTTTTCATCAAGACGCGTAAGAAAGCTAGGATGGTGGAAGAAATCGAATTCCGGGAAATGCCGGGTATAAATAAGGAAGGCATGTTCCAGCATTTTCTCATCCAAACCAGTCAAGGGACCCTGATCATCATTTCGTTCTTGCTGAATGCCGAGTCTATTTTGCCGCTCTGCATGGGGATTAGGAGACAGGACGCGGGCAGTCTCTCGTTGAGATCTACGTTGTATGCGACCTGGCGGGGGACGCGTAGGGGTGGCTTGAAGCTCATTTTCTTGAGGATAGCCCGAAGTATGGCTGGGAATGTCTCCCCTAGGCGTAGAAGAACGACGATTCCGTTTGCGCACGTGCTTTGGTGTGCTCAAAACACACTCACGTCCAGTATTTGACGCACAGGCCTGACAGGGTGGCGAGCCATCATGATGACACTTGACCTTGGCCTTCCTAAACAGTCAGGCTCTTAGTATACAATTCGAGCATGGAGCAAGGCAAGGCGTGTAATTGTGACCTTTATGGTGCCTCAAAATGCCAGCCCGTCGGACGAGACAGTATCGGATCATGATGTCTTCAAAGGAGCAACAGCTGCGGGAATTTTACTCACCGGCACCATTGACAAGCAAATGTAGATCTCATATTTCCCAAAGCGCATCCGGCCGACACAAACGCTTAATACAGGAGGGGGGTATGTCGGCAGGGCAAACGCCCTAAGTTGCTATCGGCCCATGAATCGCAGACAGGCGGTCTCTTCGCATTTCGTCGGCATGTCGCATTTCGCATTTCGCGTTTGCTTTTTATTCCCGAGGAAGATGACTCAGCCTGTCACATCTCCAGGGCTATGGGATATTTGAAACCATACACCTGGATTTTCACTGGGTCCAGTTTTCAGACCGGTCAGGGTGGATCTCGTTTGGTAGACTTTAGTGGACGAAAGCGTTTTTAATTTCCCATAATGTCTGGAAAAGCCGGGGTGCGTCTTCGTGTGGGTGCTTTTCATAAAGATAGTTTCTTGCCCCTGAAGGGTATGGTCTCGGTATGCGGTTGATGCAGGGCCGGGTGTGGCTGTATATTCGCTGTTGAATACTAGATCTAGAGAAAATTACAACCTCGGGACCCTTAGGCAAGGTTGGCGCAAAACCCAACAACAGAGACCATCCCAGAGTGACTACCGAATGCAATTTTGCCGTCAAAGACCACACAACAGGTAGGCCTCAACTCGACCGGAAGCCATAAAACTCTCTCGTTGTCTATGCATATCCAACACTCAGGGTCGATGTATAATTCGAATCCCGGTTGTGGGAAATCACGCGTGGATTTGTCGCACTGAGATTGAACACGGAAACTGCCCGCGTTGGTACTCAAATAAGACCCATCCCGCGAGAAGGTAATGTCACCAGGATCCTGGAAAAGAGCGGGTGACTGCTTCAACGCGCCCGTGGCTAGATTCAAGAGCTGCATGGTCCAACGCGGAGAGCTAAACGCCAGTATCTGGCTATCAGGAGAGAAGGCCAATGAGTGAGCGCAAGCCTCAAATGTCTGCAGCAACAAGCCTGAAACCGGGTTCCAAAGTCGTACTGTTCTGTCGTCACTCGAGCTAGATGCAAGTAGGTGGCCATCTGGCGAAAAGGCCACCGAAGAAACTTCACCTGAATGGCCCTTCAGTGTCTGCCGTTTCTTGCCTGTGGCCAGATCCCATAGTATAATTCCAAAACCTCCATAAGGTGGTCCTCCACGATGAGAACCAGAAGCTAGTAGCTTCTTGTCAGGCGAGAAAGCTATGTGGTGACATTCAGACGAATTGTACTCCAGTGTCTGCCTCAGTACGCCTGTCATTGGGTCCCAGATACGTATAGGACTTTCAACAGACCTCGAAGCCAGCAGAAAGCCGTCAGGAGAGAAGGCTATACGTACCCAGTGTTCTTGGCCCACCAGAACGTGTCGCAGCTCACCTGTAGCTGAGTCCCAGAGCCGCACAGTATTATCACAAGATCCGGATGCCAGTAGACAGCTGTCAGGCGAGAAGGCAACATCACTTATCGCTTCTGAGTGGCCTTCAAGTATATGGTTCAGTGCACCGGTACTTGAGTTCCAAAGACGTATGGTTCTATCACCAGAGCCAGACGCCAGCAACTTGCCATCGGGAGACACGACTAGCTTGCTCACCCATTCCTGATGGCCTTGAAAAGTGGGCTGGAGCTGATTTGTTATGGGGTCCCACATAAGTACGGTGCTATCTTCAAAGCCAGCTGCTAGTTGGCGGCCATCAGGCGAAAAGGCCAATGAAAAAATCTCGCTTGAAGGGCCCTGGAGGATGTGGAGAAGTGCACCTGTGGCTGGGTCCCAAAGACGAACAACGTCACCATCTCCATTGCCCCCTAAAGGATAATAGCTAGACGCAAGCAGCCGGCCATTAGGCGAGAACGCCAATGAGGTAACTTTGGCGCTATGCTGAGGCTTGAGCGTTTGCTTCAGTGCCCCTGTGGCAGAATCCCAGATCCGCACATTTGATTCCTCCGACCCAGATGCAACTAGATGGCCATCAGATGAGAATGCAACACAGGCAATATTTCCTGAATGTCCCTCTAATGTCTGTTGTAGCGTACCGGCTGAAGCATTCCAGATTCGTGAAATATGACCCTTCTCAAAATCCCAAGAGCCAGCTCCGGACGCAAGCAGACTACCGTTAGCCGAGAAGACTAAGGATTTGACACCACCGAAGTTGCCCCTGAGTTCTTTCTCCAGCGTACCTGATGCTGTGTCCCAGAGCCTGATATCATCAACCTCCCCCTTCTCTGAAATGGCAGAGCCAGACGCAAGTTGGCTACCGCAAGGGGAGAAAGCCAACACGTCAACCCCCGTGAGATGGCCCTTAAGCGTGTGAATCAGCGCCCCTGTGATGGGGTTCCAGAGTCGCACGCTCTGGTCATGAGAACCAGATGCAAGTAGCTGGCCCGTTGGCGAGAAGGCCAGAGAGGTAACCGCTTTCGAGTGTCCCTTAAGCGTCTGTCGCAGTGCACCGGTAGCTGCGTCCCAAAGCTGAATGATATCTCCCTTGCTGCTGCTCCAAGCCCATGAGCCTGAGCAAGATGCTAGAAACCGACCGTTGGGTGAGAACGCTACTGCATTTACCGCACATAGGTGGCCCTGGAGCGTCTTTAGCTCCACGCTCCACTGGTGGCGAACCCATGGTAACTGGCATATCCATGGAAGAAGCTCGTGGATGAACTCCTGGCGAACGGTTGACGTGAAAGGTGCAAATACAAATCCTGCACAATAAAGTTGGAGAGGAACGTCATTGGCTATCTGTCGGAACTTGAGAACGAAACGCTTTGCATCATAAAGAAAATTCGATAGCGTCGTCGGACCACGAACATCCTTTTTATGCGTGAGAAATGATCATAATCCAAGGTTGTGTATGTGACTTACTTGTGTAATCATCTGAAGAGAGTTTATCATCATGGCCACGTCTGAGGCAAGGCCCAAAGTACTCATTGCTTCCACCCAGTGCAGGAAATGCCGCTGGAGGAAAAGCAGAGCCTCCTGAGCTATATCACTTTGATCCACACACTGCTCTAAATGACGTACCCAATGGCGACAAGCGTATTGCAACTCGGGCTGTAGGTGATGATTTATCAGCCGTTCATCAATTTTCATTCTTCTGGTTCCATAATGGTTGAGGTTGCAAATGTCTCTTTTCAATTTCGCACGCATAGTACGAAGACAGTGAAGTGCGATATTTTTATGTGTCTGGCCTTCGTCGATGTAAAACTGGCTTCTTGTTTGTAATAGAAAGTCTCGAAATGACTGGTGAAGGATTTGAACCGGTTGATCTTGGCCACTTGGCAATCGAAGGACTGATTGGAATGAATCCAATAGGTTTGAGACAAGCCTTTCTTGGAGTCCAAGAAACCTGGAGATCGCATTGACAGGAAGTGGATCGGCGAAAAGAATTATCGACCCAACGATCTGCCGGAAATACTGTAATGTGAGATCTTTTTCCTCCTCATCTTGTCCACCCAGTAGCCGCACGAGTACTGGTAGGTATGTTTTGTCCATTTTTGTTGAATACTTTGCTTGATCTTTGATGAGATCGGCGAGTTCTTCAACGGGATCTAACTTACACTCCACATATCGACAAACAGTTGCTGCTGAAATGAACAATGGAACAGACATATTAACAAGAATTTGAATCGCATCTTCCCCGGGCCAGTCTGTAGGGACATCTTTTTTATCCTGGATTTTCCAGAACTGATCCTTCAAAAACAAGGAGATATCGTATGCTGTCACTTCCTCGGGAATGTCATGTAGAGCAAGATCTTGATACTGATGATTTGCCATTTTCGAAAATCCTAGGCGAATCGGCAACTCGGGTCGACTTGTCAAGAATATTCGAAGCCGAACAGTGCTTAACTCTTGTAGTTGTGGTAGAAGTTGAAGTATCACACGTATGTCATCATCTGTGTGGCATTCGTCCAGTGCGTCGATTATTATGAATATCATTCGCATCTGCGGGTTCAATCGGTCCAAGTCAAGCAAAGGCTGGAGAAGAAACCCCTGAAACTGCACTTTGAGTGACTTCTGTCCCAAATCAGGTTCATTGTTAAGTGCATTCCGAAGACTTGGTACCATGCCAGGAATTTTGGTTGCTAGCTGTCGTGAAATTGTTGGAAACAGTCTAGTGGCATTACCACGATCTGCTTCACCTCTTTTGAAGAAGAAGGTGGCCGCTGCGAACTTCTCGCTTGGGAATAATCTCACGACAGTCCGGGCAATAGTCGATTTCCCTGTCCCGGCCATACCATTCAGCCAGAAAATACATTTTCCGTCAGGTGAAGTTGCCCACTCTGCAACGTTGCGAAGAAGGTCGGTTCGAGTGCCGTGGAGGCATTCATCCTCATGTTGATCGCTATACGAATCCAACTCGGCACCACGTGCAACTAGCAACTTGTCTAAGATGTCTTGATTGGGTCAGTAGATTCTTCCCGTTAGAAAATGACCCAACATACCCACAGTGTGATATTGGATGTTTACATTGCCGTTGTTGATTCCTAACTGTACATCTGAATGGTTTGATCCAAATGACAAATCTACATTCCCGCTCATGTCTATCCCAAGGAGGGGAAGCTGAGTCCAGTTCAGGGGAAAAAGGCACCCAAGGAGGACAGTATATGGGCAATTTGCTGCTTCATCAAGGTAATCTGATGAACTGGAGATGGAGGGAGAGAAAGCTCAGATGACAAGGACGGGGTGTGAAGATGGGAAAGCCAGATATCCCCTTCACTATAGCCAGGGTCACTAGAGACAGTAAAGCTAGGGAAAGGAAGAGAGAGTGAGAAAGAGAGGTGTCGAAAGGAGGAGGGTTGGCGTTGGTGCCTTGGGCATCAACCCCTCACACGGGGAAAGAATGGGTTGAGTTACATGTAACAGATCGACCTGCCCACAGTTTGTACCTGTGGGGTAGAGTACTACAATGCCATAATGCCATTGGTGTATAGCGGCTTTAAGCTGAGCTACACACCGCCACTAAAGTAAAAACAGGAATTGATCATGATAATTGATAATCGATAATCGAAAGGTTGGCTGAAATCTGATAAACCACTAGTAAAAAAAACATGACTCGTTCGTTGGGTGACTGCTGGGGATGCTAAAACCGCTTATCACTGATTACGGCATGGAGGTATTACCTAGTACCTAGGTACCTACTACCTAGATAGGTACTAGGTACCTAGTAAAATATCTAAACCCACATATATGACGTAAAGAGCTCAGCCCCTCCTCCAACTTTCTCAAAAGAAGAATTCAGCCGTCAGCCGTCAGAAAGGTTGTTCTTGACTTCTTTCTTCCCACTCCCATCCTTTCCTTCTGGCTCATTTTCAAGAGGCCATTAATTCTCGGCTTCAATCATGTCGGATAGCGAGGATCATGACTTCACGTCTCCAGCTAACGCGGCATCCTTTGCTAAGCAGACGGTGGATCTGACATATGATGGCATCAAGGAGGTGGTTCCCAATTTCTTGAAACTCACTGATAGTGAAAGTAACAAAAAACACATCGCGGTATGGTTCATATAATAATATCGATCCAAGTGTATAATATGTGACTGACTGTTTATCTTTCAGCGGGTTAGCAATTGCTTCAGCAAATTGTTCGGTACTGTTCATTCAGCTGCTGGAGATTTGGCCATGTATGAGAATGGCTTCGATGGACCAGATGCAGAATATGTTGTGGAAAAGTATAAAGAGGTATGTCAATGGTTCCATCCTATTTCTAGATGATTGATTCGCAGCTGATTCACGGTGTATTATTTTAGATCATCGACGAAACGGAGAAGATCCTCAAGCATCATGGTCAATATTGTGAAGTAGAGGGTGCTTTTGATCCAATCGATGATGAAGATGACGACTGGGAAGTCTGGGACGAGATGGTGATGGTATTAGTTGCAGAGCTGAAGGTATGCTAGTTGAGTTTGATGCACTGTTTCCTGAAATATTTTCTAATATGCTCATAGTTTCTTGGAGTGGCTTGCGCGGTGTTGATACCGTCTGAGAAAGCTCAGCTTCGTGAAAAATACAATAATTTGTCTCTTTGGGACAGCGATGATCCTGATCCTGATTGGTACGGAAGTGAAAAACCTGCCGATGTTGAGCCAACACTTCCTTCCCGTTCAGGTGGATTTTGTCTATGAATGGATGTTATTGAAACATCACCCCTGGTATAGGACTGCAGCCAAATCCCCTCGGATCACCTGCGGGTTAGGGTCCACTTGCTTAAGCCCTATTATTATTGGATCCCACAATCATCTAGGATTCCTGATCTCTTCAAGAATCAGTCTATATACTAAATGTCCAATCCGATCTCTACTATCCGATAATCTTACCTAGTGTAACAACATAGATGCCTCATGTTCCCAAATAAACCTAATACACAGCCTTATAGCTTACCTAAGAGCTGTCTCTGTTTTATCTCTTCTTCATACTTAGTTCTACGTATTTAATACACTGAGATCTCCTTAATAAAGCTTCATTACATTTTGTTTCTTATTGTCAGCCTCAAAAAATCCTCGGTTCCTTCACCGCGGCAATGTTTTTCAATTGCATCATCGGCAGAACCAATCCTTACCATTATCCAGTTAAGCCGCCCGCTGTACCAATTTTCTTTTGTGATCCTGCTGAGAACGTACACAAACCATAGAGTCAGCGACAGGTCTTGAGTATAGTTAGGATAGGCTTACCCCGTTCATCCTTAATCTGTTCTACGAATCACTTCTTCTTACCTCAACCTTTTGAGATGAAATACCCTTTCATCAAATTGTCAACAGACCCCATGAGAAATGGAGAGACGTACCTGGCCTCCCCGGACAAGAAAGACTGGAGGCGGACACGTTATTAATAAGCGCAGGCTTGTTTAACGCTTGACATTTCTAAAAGGTCATCAGTCTTGAGCAGTGATATTTCCTGTCAGGACCCCTGACCACGCTCAGGCATCCAGACACCACCGGCACCTGAGGCTGCTAGGGCCCGCCTAGGGCTGCGGGCAGGGCTGTAGGCACTGCGGGTTCGCTTACATCTTACGTAAGCTTACCGGAAGGATATCCTCTAAAGGGGGACTTCCTATAGCAAAGTAACAATTAGTTTAATTATATACTATAAATATTATGAAGGTTATAGAGGTTTTAGGGTTCAAAAGGCGGTGAGGATCTATATATATATATATATATGACGATATATATATATAGGAAGAAGGAAGAATGTATAAAAGAAGGAAGGATATATGGAAGATAATAGAAGGATGAGATGAATGGAAGATAATAGAAGACGATGGAAGGATAGGATGAATAAAAGAAGATAGGATAGAAGAAGATAGAAGTGTATATGTATGAATGTTTGTATTTGTTATGAATGATAGATCTCTAATTACTAGGGTAATTAGACT